GCGAGCAACAATACGCGTGGTTCCATGTCCACTTCCGGTTGATGGTATTTCGGCAAGAGATATCTTATTCGACGGCTGCACAGGTCGGATGGTTTGCAAGCGGCCTGTACGTGTCGCTCACAGATGGATGAAGAGGATCGAGGTGTGGGATATCGTTTGAGGCGCTCCAGGAGCCCGAAGCATTCCAATAGGCTATAGTATGTCCCGCGTTTTCCAGACTTTATGTAGCCTCGTTCGCGCTCAAACAACGTAGTGTTTATTTCGCGTTCCCTCGAATAAAATTAACGAATGTACGATCTATAAACACAGGAGAGACAACTAGCTAACCAGTATCCCCGTCTTTTACACCAGGTTCTGAAGGTACAGGTGTCAAGGGTTGCGGCGCTGCAGTCACAATACTTCGTAATGCAAGCTTGAACTTTTTTGGTGGATCCTCCCCAGGCTTCACCGTATTTATTCTTCCGCTCGAGGGCTCAGGCTCTTTCCGTGAACCTAGATCAGGTCGTTTTGGCTTATTTGCTAAAATGTCTAGTTGCTCATCATCGTCCTCTCTTCTCCGCTTGTCACCAAGCCGTATTGGCAGCATTGAAAGTTTGGCCGATGCCTTTGAAGGGGCATTTGAAGGAGAAGGGGCAATGGATTTAGAACGGAGTAAAGACTCCAAGAGGTTGTCCTCTTCATCCAAAGAGGACCGCCGAGGAAGAGGGGGCGGGCGTGAAGAAATCTGTCGATGAGATATTCTGGGACTGGGTGGTATGTCTGCAGCAGGCGAAAGGGGTGAGCTGCGTTGGCTGGCTGTCGTAGCAGCTTTGGATATTGGTGCTGAGGGTACTTTGGGCGAGGGTGGGCCAATTTCTTCCTCATCTTCATCGCGATAATCCACTAGAGATTTCAAGGGCGGAGTGCGAGGAAGTGCAAGTGTTTGTGGACGGAAACCTTTCCCAACCATAGCACCACGTCGCTTTCGTTTCAATGTGGTATGCACAGGTGATGACGAACGCCCGCGTAAATGAGGAGAGATAAATGGAGGGTTTTCGTCATATGGATCACGGCTTCCGACTTGAGGAGAGATCGAGGGCGTATGGTTGTCGCTTTCTTCATCCTCAGTATTGAAGTAATCTTCTTCCTCGACGTCAATATTTCGGCCCATATGTCGGGGATCTCGAAGACTCCTATGACGAGAATGAGTAACGGCCTGTCCATTAGACAATAAGTACGTACTTCACTGGTTGTGACTCCTCTTTGGGAGGAGGTTCGACGTTGATCTCCCACCGTCGAATGAAGGACATGAATCTGTGACCACTGAGCGGCGATGCGGCTAGTTGTCGTACCAATGATTCATGCTTTGTCATGCAGTGATTAATCGGGTCTTTAATATTTTCCTGTACCATATAATCAGCTAAACGAAAGAAGAACGAGGAAATGACGCACACGACGCATATGTTCAAAAAACTCCTGACATGAGGCACTCAGTAAACTATCCCGCCGAGACTCCTGTATCGTGAGATCCAGGATCGGTTTGAATACGTCTAGTTTCATAAGGTGGATCATGAAATTTGGGTTGTTGACCTTAAGGCATATTCGGAAAAAGCGAAAGGCAGCTGCGCTCTCCTGTCAGTATAAATACTACACGATATGAACGAGAGATGTACCAAGACGTAAGTGTTTGTCCCGGGCTTTTAAGAATGAGACCATGCGAGCAGAGATGTGGGAGGAAAGCATGGAAAAGTGAATGCGGAAGCCATGCTGTTGAGCAAAGTTGCATACTAAGTCACATAAGTATAGGTAAAGGTTAGTCTTCTCGCGCGAAAGCCTCAGTACTGGCTCTACGAACAGTGAATCAGTTACAAAACGTGATCTACACGTTAGGTAGAAACGAACCAGTCTGGGTCTTGAAATCAGGAATGTCGCTGAATGGTTTGAATAGGAGTTCTATACATCTCTTGTAGAAGTAATCGAGAAACTTCTCAGTTCCTGGGTCGTCTTTCGGACGAAGTAGCTTGACGTTCAAACCAGCCTGAAGCCACTGTGAGATGGTCACAATATGTAAATCAGACAATGCTCACGGGTGTCAAATCAGGACCATCCTTGGGAGAGACATCCAATATGGTCTTCAGGGCGTCACCGACCTGACATTGCAACGCCAAATCCCGAGTATGTGTCAACACTCTGCACATTATTCGTAAAAGCGTCTCAGCTTGCTCTCCCATGGGCCGTCCTTCCTTACTCTCCCTCTCAATAGCCGAGGCTTGCTTGGTGATGTGATTTCGAACACCATTTAAATCGTGATCGAGCAGTGCAGACATCACTTCACCTGCAATGCTGATTGTTGTTTTTGCTTCTGGGTCATTCTCTGAAAGTGAGAACGCCCACTGGACAGCAAATAGGATACCCCGGTTGACAAGGGATCGGAAGAGGGAGATACGAGCAGCAAGCGGCACATTTTTACCCATGACGCAGAGCTGCTGTATAAGCACCAATACCTCTCTACGGAGGGCCAACTCATGCTCCGAGAGATTATCTGGTGGGCCGAAGGAGAAAGGCCTTGGGGTTGATGTGGAGCCATTCGCATGAGCGCCGTTGGGTTTGCCGTCAACATCCATCCCCTCGCGCTTCTCATCCTTGTCTTTCCCTCCCGTCAAAACCTCCTCGTTCACATACAGCGACAATATTTCGCGGAGAAACATGGTGTCCTGTTGGACATGGTTGATTATGTCGATTTGGTTGAAGATAATGCAGGAGTTGAGGACATTGAAGGTGGAGTCGTCGAGAGCGCGCGCGAGAACGACGTCTTTGAGGAACTGTAGACGGTAGGTGTGGTGGATTTTCTTCTGGATCATGATGTCTTGTATGGGAATAGGTTGGTGGAATTTAGAGGTTACATGGAGAAACTCTCGGTAGTTCGCTTTGTGATTTGGGAACTCGGGGTCATCTTGGAGGAAGTCGGATTGAGTTTTGTGCTCATCATGCAGAAATAGGCAACATACATTCAAGCATGCCTACAGCACCAAAGAACACACTGTCATCGAGGATATGTTCGTATAGTCCATGATCATGAATCATTACTACTACAAAATATCGTCAACAAAATTCGTCACGGGAGGCAGATGAGCGCACATATGGTTTGCATGAGACTGCACAATGCATGAAGATTCTCGGCGTTCTCCAAGTCTTCTGCCAACTTGAAGACTTCTATCATCTTCGTGATATATTCCTGCTCAAATCTTAGCGGTCCGTCGTGAAGAAATTGATGATTTGACGACGGACCTCGCGCTGAATATACTCGCATATTCTCTCCCTAATCGCCTGTCCACGCACTAGTGTTTTAATGGCACGTTCAATATCGGGAATATTCCCGAGTTCTGGCTGAGGTAAGTGGCCAGAGCGGATAATCGCTGCTGTCGTGGAGTGGTCGCTTCGGGGAGATGATGAGCCTCCAACACTACTTTCTCCTGAAGGCATAAAAGTCAGATAGTGCAACAGAAGGAGACCAGAATAGAAGCAGCGCGGCATAGGGTCAAGGGTTGTACATACCAACGACATTCATGTGGCGCTGGACCTCGATGATGAAATTCCACACCTCTGCACACCCTTCGGCGTCCTGGAAGCTCAAGGCGTAATCTGCACCATCCGGTTCCGTCCAGACAATCAATGTATCTGGTGGTCGCGTGAGTAGGTATCAGCAGATCCCTGTAAATATGTATACCAGACGGACCTTGTTGGCGTTGATAGACGTCAGTGGTGCGGATGCGAGTAGTCAGGATGAGTTTGTCAAAATGGACTTCCGAGCGAGCGATAAGGAAAGCCTGGTTGGTCTCGTTCTCGAATTGTCCGTAACAAAAAGCGGTCCCTTGGTCAGCCCATTGTGAGCCAATAAGTTTGTAAACCTTTGTAGAACGTGGCAAATGTCGGTCAGAGTTGGCCCTTAATGAACTCATGAAAACAAGACAGGCACGGAAGAACGAGCAAGAGCGTCGGCACTCTTGCTGGTGCGTAGCAAGTTGGTCTGCGCCAAGGTACACCACGTTGTTGAAACGACCCATTCCTGGCATGGTTGACAAACCATACAAGGACGAGATGCAAGATGCCGACACGCAGAAGGGTGATATATGCATGGCTCACCTTGACACGCTTAATATCAGGATCTGTGTCTCGACTTTCCTGTGTGTCCTCGTGTGTATCAGCAGGATTCACAGCCTCGAGCATTGTCATTTCGTCAAGTTTAGGATGGTCTCCAACCCGGTGAAGGTCACTTATCAGCGAACCTCGCGGGTCATGGAGGTCAATATGATTGACAACATGATTTCCTAGTCCATCCTCCGTTCCAGAAAGCCCAGAAAAATCCAGGGAAAGAGGAGGTTGATGTGAATCCTCTTGGTGGAAAAGATGCGTAGCCTGTGATGATAAATTATGATGTTGCCCTTCGTCGTCGCCAGACGTCGTAGACTTGGATTGACTGGCAGCGTCCAGGCCGCTCATGACCAACAAATTGGTTTTGTGCGTCGTCCTCTCGGCGCTGTGGTATTTCCCTACAGAAATGCCTTGCCTTGAGGAATGTTTTGGTGTGAGCTCCCTTCCACCAACTAGAGGCCCTTGCACGCCCGTGAGAACAACATCCAAAGGCGCCACGGACCTTTCCGGCTCCAATTACTCCCAACTCCATTAACGATGAAACAACTCACCTAGTATGTCCATGTCACCAATCCACTTAAACTTGTTCGATGCGGTATCAAAGAAAGGCTCAAGCCCCGTGGCGGTCTCTTCTGATGATATCCCTTGGGCGATATTAATCTGGATCATGATGCTATGACAAAACTCTCTCGATTTGGTGCACCAGGGGCATTAACGACACTATCCAGGATTCCTTCTCACCTCACGTCGATACTACTACGCGTCGCTTTGGTCCCACACTACACATAACTTTATGCTCAAAGCAAAACTGAGCGCTGAACCTTTCACACCGATCCTAGATTACGTAAGATATATGTGCTAACACTGTCCCGATCAGGAGATCGTTGGCTAAAGCCTATAATTGTCTCCTGATGGGCTCATTTGCTTCGCGATGAGCCAAAGCGTGGTGGTCCCTACCCGCTTGCAAGCGGGACTAAGCTTTGGCCACATCCACATTAGTGGTCCATGCCCGCTTGCATTGAACTAAGCTTTGGCCACATCCACATTAGTGATCCAGTGTCCCTAGTGGCGCAGAATATATCCGAGCTCTATTTAACGTCCGGTTTCTTCAGGACCATAGCTCACATATCATCATAACGCCACCCACACTCACCAATGGCTCTCAAACACCTGCTTGCTCGCATCTTCAAGCGATTCAAAAAGTCTGGATCTGCCTCTGCGCTGGACGTCGCTACTGCTGCAACGCCTGCTCCTGCACCACATGTCTCATCTCTGTGTGTTGCTCCCCTAACTGAACGGTCTCCGGCTACCCAAGCAATTTTTCCTGTTAATGTGAACCTCCGATTTCACGTAGTGTTGTCCCCCACTGCCGATGGCGCCCATATGTCGATCCAACAAAGTCAAGTGTTACCTACTCTTGGCACAAGTTGTGAAGGAAGTGCGCACACCGCCCAGGGACCTGCACCGTTTCTCGAGACTTCTACATTAAATTCTCCGGTTGTCTTTAACATTGAAACAACCGCTACGCAGCCGACGGAGAGAGTCGATACGATTCCTGATTTCGTTCTTCCTTCCGTCCGAGGACTAAATCTCTTTGGACTCGGCACGACGTGCCTTCAAGGTATGCAAATCATCGATGATCTTAGAGAGGTGTCTCTCGTCAGTGTAGCACGGATGTTTACTGTTAAGTTTCCAGATGAACAACATCCCTCGAACATGGCTGCCTTAACTCGACCTGCCTCCCTGACGGACACCGCTCGAGACAGCGATATACAGTGCATAGCACCAGTTGAGGTCCAACCTCGCACAGCGCTTGTGACACCTCATTCTCCACTTTCCGAATTTGCCGTCGCGACACCAGGTGTGGCTCGGACCATGCAGACCATCGAGAGCAAGGACATCGAGACGCCTCAAAAATGCGCCGGCGCAAGACCACTAATTCAAATTGCAGGACCTTCTGTTGGACCTACTGCTGAAGCTGTCGTACCGTCCATGGCGCCTACTATCCCCGACGAACCTTCCTCCCAGAAAGCACGCCTGGGCCTACAGCGATATGATTTTGTGTTTCCACATTTTCCCCTTAGCCAATTGCTATCGCCTGCCGCTCACGCTTCCTCCCACAAATCACGCCTAGACCCACAGCTATACGATTCTTTAATTCCACAGCGTGAACGTGACCGATCACCACCGCCTGCCCCCCATGAGCCACCGCGGTGCCCACCAGGTCTAAAGCTTCCCGCAGATAGGAAGCCGGGAGTCCAAGCTGGGCACTTACGTTCTGCACGTTCTGTACACCCTACACAGCAGGGACCTCCCTTCGAATTACGACAGGATATTCCAAAGCGGATTCTCGACAACGACGCATCGCCACGACCTCCGCGAGGCAATACCGCGCTAAATCACGCCGGTATGTTACCGGCTCTTGAATCCAGTGTCTCGAATTTTCAGCTGTATAATTGCCCGCCGACACCTGAGGTAACACAGGCCAGTACTATCGTTGAAAGGATCTCGAACAATGGGAATCTTGCCTATTCCATTCAGGCAGGCGGTCACAAGTACGTCGCCACGGCACAGGTCGGCAGTGGTGGATTCGGTTATGTCTGGTACGCTATCAAGGACCAGAAAGAGGAGGTCGCCATCAAGGTCATCGACAAGGCTGGACTACTTGCGCAATTTGTTTACTGCGCCAAGGACAAACGGCCGACCATGCAGCAACTGCTTGAAGGCTCTCAAGCAGCAGCGGCGGCTATCAGCTCTGAATATGAAGCATTCAAGCGTGTCACCGAAGAGCGATCCCCATTTCTGACTCCTTTGTTGCATGCCTTCGAGGACGAGGATAATTTCTACTTCGTAATGGTGCGTTTTCCTGACCATCATCTGACTTGGTGTTGAACGTCCCCCAGAGGTTCTACCCGCAGACTCTTCGCACTAGGGCAAAATTTGGATTCATGCATTGGCAATTGCGTCTTGTTGCTGCTGAGCTTGTAAGTATCACCTATATTCTGCATGCAAGTTCAATCTGACGCCCCTTGTTGCTCCCAAAGCTTCTCGCCCTCCAGCATCTTCACAAACTGCGTGTCGTACATTTGGACTTGAAGATGGAAAACGTGCTCGTAACTCCGTCCGGCCACGTATGCATTGCAGATTTTGGCAATGCTGAAGTCCTGGACCGCAAATTGACTTATCAGCAATTCCACAACGAGCGTATGTACGGTGCATCGGGTACCGACGGTTACCTTCCTCCAGAGCGAGTCAAGGGAGATCAGGGATATAACTTCAAGACGGACACCTGGACCTATGGTTCCATTTTACTGGAGCTTTTGCTGATAAATGGCGGGGTGAGTAATTCTTTGTGGTTCCGTGCGTCCTGACATTAAAGCTTACCCGACTCGCAAGCACTGGTACTCTATATATCATTTCAGTGATGGAACACATAAATTTGGCAACGACCACAAGATACCAGCGGGTTACAATGGAGAACGCCGACTGGCTTTCATAAGACCGAACGATGAAATAGATCTCATCCAAGATAAGGACGCCAAGGATCTTCTTTATTCTGTATGTCTCCACGTCTTTGTGTTGACGTTGGCTTAACCCACATCAGATTTTCTTCCCCCAACACCATGCCATGAGACCTGATTCGGAGTCAATTCGCAGTCATCCATTTTTCGCGTGCGTTGACTGGATGAAGTTAGAGAATCGGGGATACGATCGTAAGTCCATGACCAAGTCTGCTGGCGTGCCCTTGCTCACGTCCCACTAGCCATGTTCAAAGCTTGCTTGGGCAACGCACCACTCCAATCTGTAGACTCTGGAAAGATTGCCATTGAATGCTCTCATCCTCGGCTCCCAGAATTCAAGAAAGCTGTGCTCGAGCAGGGCAACAATAATTTTGCTTTCGGGCGAATGTACGTGGACTATAAGTGCCCGACCGAATTGGCGCATGATGCTATGCATGGAGCCACTTGCAGGGCTCCAGGGACTAAAGTGCCTCGGAGGCATGTTTGTCAATGTGACTTGCCTGCCGACTGGAACAAGGGTTGACATTAATATTCACCGGTTTACCACGAAGCATCCGAGCATGACCCCTTAAAAATTTGTATATTCCAGTTATTTATGATCGTTACACTTGTAATGCTATACATACTCACGAACGTCAATTGATGTGCACTTGAATTGAATTGAACGCGTAGGGGTCGCTGACATAATTCATCTTCCGAATTTCCTCTTGCCAAGTGGCCCAGTGACGTTTGAACTTTTCTGTTCTCTTCCTTCCACACAAAATGAACAGGTCCACGACAATAATAACCGTTGCAGGCGTCGCAGTCGGTGGCGTCCTTGCATACGCTGTGTACTTCGACTACAAGAGGAGAACCGACGCCAACTTCCGCAAACAACTTCGTAAGTTTTCACTAGCAGAGTCTTTTGTTACGCAGTTGACATAGCGTTTCAGGGAAAGAAAAAAAGCGTGTCAAGCAGAGCCAGACACCGTCTGAATCTGGTCAGAGTGCAACCGGGGGAGTGGATGCAAATGACTTGCGGAGCGCGTTGGAGAGCGTGCGCAACGAAGAAGTGCCACCTGGGCCGGAGGAAAAGGAACAGTATTTCATGAAGCAAGTTGGGATGGGTGAACAACTATGTGCGAAAGGTAATTAGCAGTTTCGTTTTGGGATGATTGCTGCTTGATTGGTTTTCAAGGTCCTGTCTACCACCTTCCTGCTGCGATGTGTTTCTATCGCGCGTTGCGCGTGTATCCATCACCCGTGGAGCTGATTGTGATTTACGAGAAGACTGTTCCTCCACCTGTTTTCCAGGTACGTCTTTTTTTTGATGACTGTCGATTGTGTTGACCTGGCCATCACAGCTTGTGATGGAACTTACCAATTTGGACGTGAGTAATGATCCTTCACTGGCAGAGGGGAAAATTGGACCACTGTCTGACGGGGAGGACGAATCGAGTCCCTCACGGGGCCCACCCTCGGAAGCATCCTCACAAGAGTGGGACGAGGTCACAGACCCGAGCAGTCAGACGCCTGCCCTGTGACTATGACTGCGAGTCACAGATATGCTAGCCCTGTAGCCTGCACCCTAACCCCTTATCTGTCAAATTGCATATCTATCTCTTTCTTGGTTGTTTCAATGGTATCTGATTCTGAGTTTTGTTTCATGTTTTGGTCGTCACTGTTAGGTCAAAGACCGAGTTGAAGGTACGCTGCTCGGGTGTGTGTTCTCAATGCAGGACTAAAGATGAGATAGGGTATTATACGTTCTTCCCGCCGAAGGCAATGAATGTCGCAGTTGAGACTGTCGATGTCCCTGATGGCAAGGGCGGAACCATGTCGAAGAAAGTCCTTGTCGTGACAAAAGATTTCAAGGCTGGTGAAGTCATCTACCTGGTAAATCGCCTGTTCCATGTCTCTTAAATCCGTCTTCATCTTCTCCACAGGAAGATCCAATCGTGGCCGTTCTCGATGCCGACCTTCAAGGGAAAGGCACACATTGTAGCTATTGCCTGCGCCAGATCCAAAACGATCCCATCCATCCAGAATCTGATCGCCTCCACAGCGTTTACTGCTCATCTGACTGCCTGACCCAGCACAAAGCACACTCGCAGACTCTGCTCTTCACGCTCGAGTCGCCTTTGCCTGCCGCCATCGCGCCCGAAATGGGAGACACGCTACGTAAGGAGCGGGAAAATGCCCAAAACGCGTTCGTCGAGTATCTCATACAGACCAAAAGGGCCGCACCAGAACTTGTGGCACGATTCGTTGCGCGACAGGTCAGCGCGGAGACTGCTAAGATGTTGCCCCGCGGAATACTGCCTGGCGTCGCTTCCGAACCGGTGCTGACAGACGGTGGGGAGTACTCGCTGTACGATCACCTCGAGCGCCTAAGATACCTCGAGGTGAAGCCCGCAGATCATGAGACTCGCGTCTTGAAGGATGTACTGCAGACTGCGCTCCCGGGACTTGAACAATTCCTTACGGAGGAACGGCATGCAACCTTCGTCGGGAAGATGTCGTACAACTCGTATGGAGTATACTTCGGTGAAGGAAGGGAGGACAAGGTGAGCTCGTCTTATGTTTTTGAGAATGTTATGTTCTTACATCACGATGTAGCCTGAGACAGCTGCTCGCCCTGAGAACGCCGAGAAAACACGCACACCCTGCGGTACCTCCAAGCAGATCGGTACGGGCTTTTACGCAGTGTCATCCTACGTGAGTTCCTAGTTCTTCTTCAATACACCCTTTCTCATTGCATCGACCCCCAGATCTCGCATAACTGCGCACCCTCCGCTAAGCCTGTCTTCCCAACTGGCACTGCACAGCTGCAACTTGTGGCCACCTGCGCACTTCAAAAAGGCGACGAGATCACCGTCGCGTATGTGGACGTATCACAGCACTCTGAGGAGACACTCGAGGTAGCACGCCGGCGTCGCCGCATGGAGCTCGCGAGGGGATGGCGGTTTGCGTGCTCTTGCAAGCGCTGTGCTGAGGAAGGATTGGAAGGTGAGATTGAGGAAGGAGGGGACGAGAGCAGGGTAGAGGACATTGTGACAAGGGCCGAGGGGTCATAAGTGGATATGGATATTTCGTGCGTAATGCGGCGACTCGGGGGCTGGTGGATCAGCAGATTCAGAATACATTTATATTGGCTCGTTAATGACTGCATGCATGGACCTTTTGATTAGCATATTACTCCTTACTCTCCACCATTGCGCGCCGTCGTCGGCGATGCCATTGCTCTGTCCTGTGTCATAAGTTTGGGATTGTTTTACGCATGAGTCAACACTACTGGCGCAACATTTGCTTTACAATCGAGATACATTCCGTTTTGCTCGTCGTGCATGGATCTATGAGCTCGGAAAACGATTATTATGGCTTGTTATTTGAGCTCTGGAAATCAGGCTCTATATTTAGGTTCTTTCTTGTATGAATTCCATGATGTCTACATTCATCGTACACCGCTTCCGCTTCTCACTGTCACGACGCGCCCTACATACGACTGCAATCCGGTATGTCGACCGTCCAACGGCATTCACGAACATGCTTGCAGGGGATGTTCCGCCCCCTGTGCAAGTTAGTTCTATAACGTCGGCAGGTATCCAGCTAGCAGACGGGCTTGTCCTTCCATCTGCGTCCATCTTCCTGGACGGCAAGGTCTTTTTGTGGAATGTTCCCTCGCATCTATGGGATGGCTGGGGTCGCGAGCATCTGAGTGTATTTGAGACTGTTGTCCCGAAACCAGGTGCGTTCGGAGACTTGCAATTCACTGACCGAACAGGACTGAACACAAAGTAGAAATATTGGTGTTTGGCACTGGGAGACGGATGGAGCTTCCGCCTCCGAGTATAAGAGGCTACCTGAAGGAGATGGGAATACAACTTGACATCATGGATACGGTGAGGTCTATTGTCTATACATTGCGAATGTAGTGCTAATCTCGATGATTCCTCGGACTTCCAGAGAAACGCGTGCTCGACGTATAACTTGCTCGCGGAAGAGGGTCGGCGGGTAGCCGCTGCATTGCTCCCATACACCCCGCGCCCATGGCGGTCATAATACTGGCTGCAGTAATATGATCTGACTCTTGCCTCCACATGTTCTTCATAATACATCCTTTTTGAAAATTCATGCGGCATGAGATGACTATTCGGGTAGCGCCTTGCGTTTGCCTTTATTCACGGGAGGCTCTTCCTCATCATCGTCAAGGAGAGAAGGCTGCGAGACTTCAACTGGCATCAAATTGCCTGGCAGAGACATCAGAATCAAACATCAGCACAACAACGAATTTGACAGCTTGCATGGTACACTCACCGTCTTCGTCTCTAAATTGAAAATATAGTACCTCCCAGTTTGTTAGGAGGCCTCTGATAGCCTTGTCTGCCTCAAGGGCCTCATAAATCACCCCTGACCTGCCCTTCTCCTTCCCTTTTACTGTGCGCGCCAGCTCAAATTCGCTCGTGCTTTGAACGTGAGGGAAGCTGTCATCCTCAGTTGCGACGCGAGATGTGAGCGCAGAAAGCGCCTCATCCTTAAGTAACGCGATCGTTGCGGATTGGGGGACTGTTAGGAATATCGTGACTTGGTGTGTTTTGGCCAAAATTTGGTAGGCTTTTGGGGCTGCTCTTGGAGGCTGGCAACGTTGTACACATCAGGAGGTTATACCAAGTTAGCAGCTGTAGCATGAACTCACCATCTTCCTTAGCTTGCTGTGCAAGTACTTTGCAGAACAGAGAGCAAGGTGCTGCAGACCTAAAACGGAATCTGAAAACTCCGCGTGATCAAGAAAGGCAATCGTCCACATCAAGTCCACATTCCGAAGTTGACCGTACTCGACGACGATGAGCGGCTTTCGCGACAGCGCCTCAGGCAGCCAGCCCTACAAGGACCCAACACCACTCCCGGACTCTGTTCCGCGTGTTCAGGAGCTCGGCGCAACCAGTGCCCCGCTGAAGTCCGCTGCATTTTTCATTGGCGCTTACTGCAAAGAGTATAATGGTACGTTGTAATCAAATTACACGGGGAGGGATGTTGATGAGGTGTATATTGGTAGAGGATTTTATGCTTTGCAAGAATGAGGGCCGGGGCGACCCGGGACAATGTCTGAAGGAGGGCAGGCGTGTTACACGGTGTGCAACCGACTTGTGCGTATCGTTCCCTGTTCGTTTATTCACTTCTGATAAAGCCGGCAGGATTAACAAGATGCGGGAAAACTGCCTTGAGCAGTTTGACGCGCACTGGAACTGCCTGGAGCTGAACAATCAGGTACGTAGGGTCTCGGAGCTAATCAATGGCAGTTCTTACATTTACCCCACATTTCTTAGGAATATTATGCCTGTAGAAAACCCGAGCGTACCTTGAACAAGTGCATGTTTGAAAAGCTCGTGCGTGTCTTGTTCATGTCACAATTGCTGCCTTTGTGCTAATGTCCGGTTACTCGTCAGGGCCTGACAAAGACGATACCTGGCACTCCAGCGGGGAAGAAGCAGATACATGAAGTAGAGAAACCGATATATACCACAGTACAGCGGTGAGGGCTCTCCCAGCATTTACTAGACTACCTGCGATAGCCCTGGGTCGATTATCCGTGCTGTTCTGGATCAACAGTGCTTCCTTTCCGCGGAATTTTTTGTGCAAGAAGCTTTTGAGAGATGATCTTCAGAATTGTAAATCGTGAAAGCGCAGAAAATTGTGATCACCTATTAGTGAATATACGAGTCTGATTATTGAGAAGATGATGCAAAATGAGCGCTTGCACGCGTCCGAATACGAATGATCTCATTCTCGTTCCGCCATGTCGTGCGAGTGCTCTCAGCGCGCAGACTTTACACGACTGCATCAGGCGCAAGCTCAGTCATAACACCCACACATTCTATATACCTTAGCACGTCGACCAACCCATATTTCAATCTCTCGTTCGAAGACTGGTAGGCCGTTCGCTGCTCGGTATCCGTGACATGCTAATATGATCGTTCACTTGCGCTTGCACCGGAAATCTGATAATGATGCTTCCTGGCTTGACTCGTTCACGGATGCATATCCAGGCTATTCAGACACGCCCCTCAGAAGGAACCGTTACTCCTGTTGTATAGAGATGCACCGTGTGTCGTCATAGGACGCAACCAAAATCCATGGAAAGAGGTCAATCTCCGTGCAGCCCGTGCGCAGGGAATTCCATGGGTGCGTAGGCGCAGCGGGGGCGGGACAGTGTACCATGTACGTCTCCATTACCATACAGTGTATCCTGGACATAATACAACCCCACATACCAACTTACTCTAACACTCAGGACCTTGGCAACACGAACTTCTCCATCCACGTCCCACGCACGACTTTTGACCGCAGCGCTACTGCGCAGGTCGTTCTCCGGGCCGTGCGTGCGCTTGGCGTCGATGCAGACGTGAATGAGCGGAACGATATTTGTGTGGGAGGTGAGAAGGCGTCAGGCTCGGCGTACAAAATCGTGAGCGGGCGTGCGTACCACCACGGGACGATGCTGATTACCACGAGGCTTGATACGCTGGGAGATTTGTTGAGGGTAGACAAGGTTCGTTTTTTCTTTCTCGATGATATTGGACACTCTTTGTTTCTGTACTCTTTCAGTGCAAGGGCTTTTTTGCTGATTGGTATATTGGCGTGCGACAGGACACAATGTTTACGAAGGGTGTCGCGTCTGTGCGTTCGCCGGTGTGCAACCTCGCTCGATTCAGTGAAAAAGTGAGCCACGACGCGTTCGTGAATGCTGTCGTGGACTCGTTCAAAGCCGAATATGGCGTTCACGACGAAGTAACACTTTCTTATCTAAACACGTCTTTCGCCAACTAAACAGAAAATGCTAGCCATGCATCGTGAACGATGCTGACGACCTCGCGCGAATAGGATACATTCAACGCGGGATGGCAGAGCTACCTGTAAGCTCCCCTTCATTATCTGCACGCGGTTACATTACCCCTTCTTGTAGAGCTGGGATTGGGCTTTTGGCCAGACTCCTGAGTTCGAGTACACGATCAAGAAGTCGTTCGTGTGGGGCGATGTCGTAAGTCCGTTCCCCTCCGTTGCTGCATTTCCTGAACTCTGTACCAACAGACAGCACACATCCACGCTCGACACGGGGTGATTCTCTCCTGCACACTGCAAGGGTTGGATTCTGAGCTTGGAAAGGCTCTCGAGGGCAAGCGGTATGGGTTTGTTGAAGATGAAGAGCTGGGTGTAGATGTGAGTGGAAGGGAAGAGGTCGTGTTGGCGTGGCTGAAGGAGGAGATGAGTTCCTATGAATGATATTGTTTTCAGTAGATGTATGAAAACGACAGTGCTCATAGATACGGATATAATGTGAACTTGCGAACGTAGAAATCTGGTTTTTCTGGCGATCCTAGTAAATATGCTTCGGGTGCTTTCACAGACTTCGTTCTAGCGCAAGAATATTTGTTCCTTTTGCAGGATATCTCCCAATGGCAAGTCGTCCCTGCCCATTGAAGGTTGGTGTGTAATATCCATCTAAAGAGCAATTTCATTCAAGGTAGTATGGTATGTGGTATCGTTATGATGTAGCTTCCGTGTACCATGCGCTACTCGTCTCGAAACCTTCTGGAGGTACCGGGTTTGACTAGAAAAGTGCATGATATTTATTCAAGCGTGGACGCAAGTGTAAAGACAGTACATACGGATTGTCCACGTATGTGTCCTGTTAGCCGCCTATCACGGTCCATCATCATCTCGTCCCAAGAATCGATGTGGTATCGAACAGGCTAGGAAGTTGTCAATTTGTCCAAGCGTAATGGATTATGCGAATTACAGAAGACGATGAAACAGTCAGATACTGGTGTTATCCACAACTTCATAAAACAAATTCTAGACATACCTTGCCTTGATTCTGAGCCCTCTTAGAAACATTCAAGAGCGTTCCGGCCGCTGCAAACATTGAAGTAACCAGGCCTGCAGTGTCATTAAGAATATGATACCATCAAGTCAGCAAAGTATCCTCTTGGATTTTGAGAGAGCGTACCGAACGGAATGAGAGCTTCCCATGGGACAGGCATTGTAGAATGTGGTTCAGTGATCAGAAATGTTATGTATCTGAGTTGATGTTTGCAGAGGGAGTTGGCGTCTCCGATTTGTTTGGTCTCATTTGTTCCTATTCTACAAGAGTTTCAGAACGTCGACGTCCACTTTCTCAATGTATGGTCGCAGCACCAAAAATCATACTAGGCAAGTATTTATGTTTGAACGTGGCACTACCACCAAATATATATCGGGATCTACTCTGAAATATCCTGATTCCTTGGCAAACAAGGTATCAAGGTATTCCAATGTTGCGAGAAACTTTCGAATGTGCCCTCTACCCCTTTGGAACCGGCAAGCATGAATGTTCAATGCGCCAGCAGGGCTAACCACAAACTTTGAACGTCACAACCATGGCAGGATTGTGTCACTTTGCCACGTCGCAAATTTTACCACGCGCTTCGTTATCACTCGAGGTACTTCTTTGTGAGAGGTTTTGGGCCCAGGCCTTTGATATCACTGCGGCCGAACCTTTTCATCCCCTCTCCATCATGGTGTTAAGCTTCCAAAGTGTCACCCAACTCCTCTCAGGTAATTTTATTATCTAGTCATTGACATCGGTGTAGTGCCTGACACATCCATCGACAGGCGGTACCATGCCCGTTATCGGGCTCGGGGTTTATTTGAACGATGAATGCGCAGTAGCTTGCCAAGTTGCCTTGGAGGAGGGGTATAGGTAATTCCTCTGTCTGTCGGCAAACTTAATCGAGTAGTCGACTCCCCAATAACCGAATCAACTGATGATACTGATATCGAAGGATGATCGACTCGGCGAGGTATTACAGGAATGAAGCTCAAGTAGGGGTAGGCGTCCGACGAAGTGGAATCCCCCGCGAGCAAATATTCATCAGTATGAGTTTTGTTGATGCAGGATGGTTCAGTCGTTAATTCGAGACACTTACAGCCTCCAAAATCTACCATGTTGACTTCGGTTTTGCGAGGGCCCGCGAATGTATCCAGGAGTCAGTAGACCAGCTGGGCCTGGGTAGGTCTTCATTGACTTATATATAAACGTAATGCCGAGAGCATTACAAGGCTATTACGACTTGTACTTGATCCATTCTCCGGTAACTGGGAAGGAGAAGCGGATCGCGACCTACAGAGCCCTCGTTGAAGCGAAGAAGGATGGCCTCGTAAAGAAGATCGGTGTTTCAAATTAGTGGGTTCATCGTTTCTTGATATCGGCTTAACCTATTGAATTTCTTGATAGCTCCGGAAAGCACATCGACGAAATTATTGATGCTGGACTGGAGTTGCCTGATGTCAATCAAATTGAACTCCACCCGTTCTGCCAACAAAGACCTATCGTTGAGTATTGTCGGGCAAAAGGCATCACAGTGCAAGCATATTCTCCGCTTGTCACGGGCCGAATGGATCATGATGTATTTAGACAGCTTGCAAAGAAGGTTTACTAATTCTCAAAAATCTTTTTTATATGCAAGCTTACGTTGAGACAATCCGTCCGCAGCACGATAAGGACGAGGCACAAATCCTCATTCGGTGGTCGCTGCAAAAGGGGTAAGCACCTTCATGGCAAACCTTAACTCAGAACTTATAAATCCTTTAGATATATCCCCCTTCCGAAATCTTCCCGTTCAGAGCGCATCAGATCTAACGCTCAAGTCTTTAATTTCGAGCTGGATAACGATGACATGGATGCACTTGATGCACTCGATCAAGGTGGGAAAGGTGCGGTAACATGGAATCCGGTTGAGGAGCCATGATATGAAATGGACTACGAGAGTGTTGCTGTCGAGTTAATACCAGGTCGAACAAATTTTTATTTTCAATCTAACAGGGTGCGAAAGAAAAGTCTCAGTACGCAGAAAGATTGACACGCCCCCTATCCTTCCAAAGGAAGGACCTTTTTCAAGAAAAACCTCAGGTCCTCCATCTCAGATTCAGCCATCCAATGCGCTATGCCGTACGACATAAAGCTCACGCCCGGGTCTCCTACCTTCGTATATTGTCCATATCTGACATCGAGTTCATCTCCTATGAACTTGGCTGACTCCCAGCTCAAACCCCAGGTCACGGATTCATTCTGCACTCCATGACCCCAGAACACGGGTATCGTAGATGCATGCATGGACAACCGCTGCAAACACAATTAAGAAATCTCGCTACATTTGAAAGTTTCCTCTCACCTTTTTGTATTTTTCTCGCATGGGGAGCCAACCACCCAGACATATGACACCTCCCAACTTCCAACCATCTTTCGTATCGGATGCACCCCTCCACTGATTACCACCCAAACCTGTGATGAGGGATATCGCGCCCCCTTGGCCAAATCCCCCTAGCACGATACGTCCTTGTGGAATTCCTGAATTGATCTCAGACTGGATAAAGGCATCTAAATGTTTGACGCTTTGCATAATTCCCTCATCATACTCCTTAATGTCATCGTATTCCGACGAATACACCAAAGGCTCGCGCAAGACGTCAAGCCAGCCCCTGGCTGAACTTTGCCTCCTCGGATCTTCTTTCCACGCAGTGATGGAGCGCTCAGGCGCATTAGGGAACACCCACTTGATGTGTGGAAGCTGGGATGCAATCATGCGCATCTCCTTGTTGTTTGAGAACTCCAGGCCATTATCTCCTAGTCCCTATGAGCACGTCAAAGATGAATATGTATGTCCCTCTCGCGATCGCCACAGCACGTACATGAGCGAATATGACCGTGGCGGCGTGCTTTGTCTTCGGGGTTATGGTCACAAAAGTTAGTGGTAGAGACATCGTCTCACAAGACAGAGCAGGTTTAGCCCGGGAGCAAAGAGTACTGCATGAAAGAGGGCCACGTAGGAAACTTGAACCCCACTTTGCGCCCACATTCTCACTGGCAGGATGTGGTGGGTAAGGATGCTGTGATCTATGCCTGCCACGTGTCGATACAACATCGAGATGTGGCGGAATATATAGGGGTCGTTCGCACACGAATTTCTCGCGAATATCGGGCACAATATTCACGTCAAGCAATAATTCAGAAATGTCAAAGGGAGAGCAAATACAATGCATAATTTGTCTCCAAATTGTCTAATGGACCGGATAACGAATGCAGGCACCGAACATATGAATGGAACCAGAGCTATGGTCTCTTGCAACATTTTGCTTCACAGGTTCTGGGTTTGCTACAAATAACCATCACTGTCAGTGTGTATTTGATCGAGGAGGTTCATTCAACCGTACCTGTGGTATGACAGTTCCCAAGAATGTCACCAGGTCTTCCATCTCTTTCTTGCATGACGCATGGCCCATGCGTTCATATGACCGAAAGTTGATTCCAGGAGCGCCAAGTTGGTCATGGGCATCGTGCTTCACGATACCAAGTTGATCTTGAAGCAATTCAACTGAAACCTCCCCCACTTTATAATATATCACTGCATCTGCTGTCCCATGTCCCCATAATACCGGGATAGATTTGGCGTGCGGGGAAATGCGCTGTAGGATTGATCAGTATCATCATGTTATATGGGAGAAGAATTTATGACGGTGTATTACTACTGACCGACTTGAACTTCTCTCTGAGTGGCATCCAACCGCTCAGCACGACTACACCAGCCAGCTTGCTATCATCCCCGAAACTCTTCGTTCTCCAGTCTTTACCACCCAAACCCGCCACCAAAGCCAGGGCTCCTCCTTGACTGAATCCACCCACGACGATACGACTTTCTGGTATTCCAGCCTTAACTTCTGCTTGAACCAGGTCGTCTATGATCTGAACACCGTTCTTCACGCTCTCGTCATCCTCGAATACTTTGTTCAAGTACTGCCCAGGTTGAAGCGGGAGATTAGATATATCAAACCATGAGGGCATCCGAGTGCCGAAGTTTGCTGTGACCGCTTGCTCAGGCGCATCTGGAAAGATCCATTTGACATGAGGAAGTTGGGCGGGGATTGTCAGTTCACCGGGTTTCCTGTAGTCGTAATCGCCGCTTATCGCTGCGCGCCAACTTTCTCCCTCGTCGCCGAGACCCTGCAAGGTGAGACTGAGTCAGCACATTATCTCCAGCACGATCAAGAATTGGCATTGCGGACGTACATGAGCAAAGATGACGGTTGCAGTGTGCGCTGCGGTCGGCTGGATGATGACTGACGGCATCTGATGTGGATATCTATGTGGATAGGTACAGAAAGTTCGCGCAGCCAACGATAGGAAACATTGCAATCCACGTGAACTAGGCATGGCTATTAAATAGCATTAATCAGTATTGGGTGATATAGCGGCTGCAATTTGGCCCTGAGGCTTCTAAGCGAAGCTTTCTGAACATATGCCAACAATAATACCTTCAACTTATCAAGGAGCTCGCTTCGAATAACGATTGCAGGTTCAAGCCATGTCCTATGTGACTATATAGCTCTCCCCTAACGGTCTACGGCCTGAAGGAAGACAGACGTCACCCCTATTCATAACCATGCCCAACGCACAGGGTCTGAACTTACCTGAAGCAGCGGCAGTATGTATTATGCTTGGCAAAAAAAATGAACGCAAGCGCGAATTTATCGTGCATAATATGCATGGCAATTTTAATCGCACGGTGGTAGCGCGATGGGTGCGGGAAAATTTTTAACCAAGGCTAGAAGCAAGCGACTCGTGATAAAAAATGGATCCCAATATGTTGGCTCCGAATCATGTCACTTGCAGCACCTGATAAGAGTGCAGGTAGAGACATTATCGACATGCCATGGGTAGCACTGGTTGGGATCTAGAGCTGGAAACCCCGTCGTCCTGGTCATTTTCTTCCCCATCATCGCTCGAAGCCACCACCTCAGCTCCGTCGGCATCCTCCTGGTCCTCCCGACTTTCATCTTCAACAAGCTCTCCCTCAGGGGATGCACCTGGATTGATCATTTTCCTTTGGAACTTCCTCTTTGGAATAACGCTCCAAAATGCCTGCTCCCAGTCCCGTGTTTCAACCCACTTCAGTAATATTTCGAATACCTATAGGTAAACCGGACAGCCTTCGCCATCAGAAAGACAAACGACGGAACAAACATATGTCACCTGGTTGACCGTGAGCACCTTCCTCGTTGTTAACGATGCTATATATCGGCCTATAGGAAGGCGTGCGTGTCGGATGGATGACGTTTTGGCTTTTTCAAGGCAGAGATTCTAATATATATTTGTCAGATCAGGGTGGAGGAATTACGGAGGATTTGAGGAGCGGATCGGAGAAGGCGAACATAGGGTCACTAAAAATGATAACGACTCCATTTTCTGGTTTTTCCAAGGGATCCACCCGCCCAGGCTCTTGGTAGTTCTTGGGTACGATAATACCGAACCGGATATGAATTTTTCGAAGTACATACCTTGTATCGGTTGTGATCGCAAATACCTCCGATAACGTATATTTCTCCCTCCTTAAGTTCCATGAGCTCTTCCTCGGAATCAGCGGTCAGGTAAACCACACTTGCGCGTTGTGCTTCCAGGCCTTCATCTCCGCTGCAAGAATCGGAATTGGATGTCCATATTCGATCGTAACCTTCCTCCCACCACTTTGTATTCGTCCATCGCTTGTATCCAGCATCGTTTATGGCATCTAGCCGCGCCTTTGTTCGCCCATTGAGGGATGTAAATAATAGTGAGGTAAACGGAGTAGATGATCGTCGATTCGCGCTGTATGTATATGTTAGTTGGGAAGTTAAAGAGGTCACTTCCTGCAGGTATGCTCGTGCCAGTACAATAATGACGACGGTGTTCGTACGCACCTTGTCCGTCATCATGTCATCGAAACCCAGGTCTATTACCACTTGCGCAGCAAATGAGGTTTGATCAAATCCACCCATCTTACGACGCTTCCGTGGCTCCGTATCACCTACTTGTGCACGCTCTCGTCGCTTGCGTTTTTTCGCCTCCTTCTCGCGCGCACGACGTTCAGCCTTTTGATCTTGTAAGCGAGCTGCTTTTGCGGCTCTCTTTTGGGCTTTCTTTGAGAGAGGTTGTGAAGTGATAGAATTTTCTTCGGCTTGGGCAATCACTGGCTGTTCCATGATGATTACTGTGAGCTTCGATCCCAGCCTACAAGTAGGGATGCGTAATGTCGGTGTCATTTACAAATGGTTAAGGTTGAATTGCCACCGCGGCCGGGGACCGCCGGCACTAGTACGGGATTAATTTAGATAAGAGATCGATCGTGGTATGGCACTAGCGTACAAGACGACGGTCAAATATAACGATCAAATATGCCGCAAGCAGCTGCTATTGGGAGGGTTACTATTCCTCGCTCCGGTGCTAAAATTCTTTAGACGTGCCATTTCTGGTCTACTTGACATCTCTCACCCCCTCAATACACACTCCCAACGATGTCGATAGTCACGTTGCCTTTCCTAGTGGTGCAGCCAACCGAAGCACATACCGCAACGGTGATCTGTGTACATGTAGGTCCACTTTCTCACCCCGCATAACCTTCAACCATTTGCAACAGCGTTGAGCGCCCAGTACCTTACTTCGCCTGTTTCGTCGTTCACGCTGACCACATGAACTAGGGCATCGGTGATGATGGCAGAGGATGGAATCCCCTCACAAACGAGCTCGCGCCTGCCCTCCCGCACGTAAAGTGGATTCTCCCCCACGCACCTCAGCGACCCGTAACAGTATATAATAAAGAATGGCTCCGTGCCTGGTTCGATATACCATCTTTTTCCTTCACCGAGACTGAGGACGCACCGGGCATGTTGGATTCGGTATGCAAGCTGGACGCGCTTGTCAAGGCCGAGGTCGACGCTGGCATCCCAGAAGAGCGTATTGTCCTAAGCGGCTTTTCGCAAGGTGGTGCAATAGTACTCCTTTCTGGCCTCGGCGGGCGCGCAGTGCGCGAGGGAGGTGAGGGCTGGAAACTTGCAGGAGTCGTAGTAATGAGTGGGTGGCTGCCATTACGGGACCGTTTCAAGTCGCTCATCTCCCCGCACGCGCTAACGATGCCAGTTTTTTGGGGTCATGGAACAGACGACCCACTTGTGAGATATAGCTTCGGGCGAAAGTCGGCGGAGATTTTGAAGGACCAAGTCGGTTTAGCGCTAAGGTGGGGCGACAAAGGAGAGGCGGAACGCGCGGCCTTCGGGAGCGCTGGTGTGAGTTTCTTGGGGTATGATGGTGTGCTACACGCAGCATGTTCCAAGGAGTGTGCTGATCTGAAGGAGTTTTTAAAAAGAGTAATCCCTGACAATCATAGTGGATGAGATACGGTTATTAGACCGAGATGATGCTATCATTTGCTTTCTTGTTTTTCATAGGTTGCATACCACGTTACAGTCGGGATTGTAGGATTTCAGTAATTCTTAGCAAGTGAAAGTCAAATTCGATAGTCGATAGTCGAGATCTGATGTCGAGTATATAGCAATAGTTCGAAGCTAGAATAAGATTCTAGCCTAAAAACGATAGCGCGAGAAACTAGAGCACATCTTTGAGATTGGTCTGGGCTGATCCACGTTCGAGGGGCTTAAGTTGATTGGGCGAAGGCTTCCAGCCAATCTGAAATAGAACATGAAGTAAAAGCTTATCAAAGAAGTATTTGAATATACCATGTAGATAATCTGGAATGTCGCTGGAACGGAGCCGTCTTCATTTCCGTGTAGTTCTAGTTAGAAGAATTAAATTCTATAGATTATCCACTGTGCTGTAACAGACCTTTATAAATAGCTGAGGCAGCAGCCAACGTATCCCTGTGCAAAAAGTGTCGCCTACAAAGTTACAATAGGAAACAAAGATAGCATCGAAGTAGCTCACCGTCCAACAACAGCATTGTTCTCACCCATGTCGCGCAGATCTTCGAGAAGCTCCCACATGCTCGGGTACCCAACGCGTACTTCATCGATATCTACAGTGAGTAGAGTGAATCCCGCACGAGAGAGAAGGTTCGAGATATCTTTAGTGTCTATACAAAAAGCAGATTAGAGCTGATAAAACAGTAACGATGCGAAAGTGCATGAATGAGTTACCTGTCATGGGCGAAATATGTGGCGAGATGCCGCCCTCGCGATCTACTTCCGCAAGCTGAAGGGCAGTCCTGTGGAAAGAATGTCTTTCAACAAAATAGAAAACCACCCTCATCTCTTACCGGAGCTCAAACAAGGTGTCCCCGCCAAACATAGCGCCTAAAAAGAGCCCATCAGGTTTCAGGGCTTCCTTTATTTGTACAAGCACGCCTGGTAGGTCGTTCACCCAGTGGAGGCTGAGGCAAGACACAATGGCCTCTTGAGAGTTGCGAGGAAGAACATCAAGGAGATTCTCTTCATCTGCATGTGCACGCTCTACCTCAACTGTGGATCACTCGTATTATTGTCAGGGCGTTACCCCGGTGAAATAACATAACGCGCCTTCGAATTCTTCGTCCGGATCTCGGTTGAGCGTGGTCTCTGTATGATAGTTAGCTAGGAATTTAAGAGCCAGAAGTAAGGAGCGGACCGCTAGAATCTATCATGAGTACTTTGCGCGTTTTTTCGGGATCGAGGAGCTTGGAAAAGTGACCAGGCCCTGAGCCAAGGTCCACAATGGTATCGAATTTGCGTTTGATATCCTACACAAAAATCATTCAGTTAAGGTAGAAGGAATAAAACAAGTCAACTGACCAGTAGTCTCTCCATCATTCGGTCTGCAACTTCATCCCGGACGTAGTCTACAGTCCTGCTCCCTACACCTGCATCTCTGCTTACTGCCCGATCTCTCTGCTTCCTCTTAGCGGCCCGGTCGAACACTTGATACACACCAGTTGCTGGCGGAAACGATGAGGATGATTCGGAAGCAAATGCACGCGTACAAGGACGTGCTGCATGACGAGCAACCACTCGGAGGAGGGACATCAATTACTTGGCCTCGGAAGCATCCGAACTGCGTTGGGTAGCGTCTACGCGTGACATGCAACAGTCACAAGACAATCACGAGCGTGTCTCCTACTTTAACTCTTTCATCGTCTTTTGGTTTACTTTTGCAGTTCGGGGCTCCTCTGCAGTTTTTCGTTCGACTTGCTCGATAGTTGGATATCGCGGCAATGAATCACAGTGGTCAACCCAACTCAAGCTCAGATTATCGCGCGATGGCCCCGTTTGTCAACCCTCAAGACTTGTCGTACGCGTCACGCAAGGCCAAGATCGAGGAGGCTAAGCGGAAGCTCATCGAAATGGAACTACAAAATGAATTAGAGGAGGCTGTAAGACAAGGGCGGGAGGCTGAGTGAGTGCTTTGCTGTTGAATAGCGTTGTGGCTAATGCGCCAAAAGGCAGAGACTGGTAGCAATGAAAGCGTCCAAGGCAGCGGAAGTGCCGTGAGTAAAGAGATTTCACAATACTCTGTAGTGATTAACATATGTGATCACTCCACTAGCATCGTAACAGGGCTTTCATCAGCAAGTGGCTCTGGCCATTATCCTAATGCAATCTATCATCAGTCTGCGGAAGAAGCGCCCTTGACAGCTAGAATTGAAGGAGAAATACGCGACTCGCCTCCAAATGTACTGCTTGTATTTGCTGTATCTTCTGTAGTCTCACTCCGTACAGTCATCTAGGCCGCCCACACAAATGCCATATAACCACCAACGGAACTACCCAACCACCAATCCGTCACAGCAGACAGGATTTCAGGCGCATATTCCTCAAATTTCAGCGCAGCCACCACTGCAGAGGCCATCCTTTGTGCAAACGCAATCACAGGCAGCGGCAAGGTCCCAAAGCTCGCGTGCACCATATCCTCTGGGTCCCACATTTGCTGTTCACAGCTATCAACATCCGCAACAAGCCTCGTCTACACCCTATCAGACCACGTATCAGGGTGAGCAGCCTCATCAACAACGATTTAGATATAGTACGTAGAATTTTGTCCGTTAATTTGACATGGTTGTACTTACTGCGTCTGTGTTCTACCCCAAGGTGAGGATTACTGGGCAAAGCAGAGCCAAAAGTATGCGGCAGAGCTGGGTGATGCAGGTGCGCAAACTTTTCCAGCAGGCGTCAAACCTTAAGCAAGCTCATTTGCTGGAACAGGGATACCCCAGTATGCCACCCAAGTTCAACATCAAGTAGCATCCTCAGCTGCACCGTCCGTCGCGACTATCGTATCATCAACTCAACATCCATCTTTGTCATCCGCTGAGCCACAGGCCACCAAACGTCAATCCTCAGGCCACCTTGCTCAATCCGCCACCACGAAACAAGAGTTTATTCGGCAGTTCCAGTTGGCTTGCAATGTAGGTTGTGACGTTGGTGAATTCTTTGCCTTCCTTTAAATATTTTCTAACAGGGCAACGCGCAAACCATTCAAGACTTTCTGAGCTCTCATCCTGTGGCCGTGGAATGGTGGTCTGAAGCTGCGCGCAGCGTCAATCCAGCAAACTTAAAAGACGAGGGAGTAGTCAAGATGCTTAATGACATGAGAAATCTTACGCGGTTACCCTTTCCTCGAGCCAATGCTTCTGCATCTGCGAGTACCAACGTTCACGTTCCTACACCAATCTCGGCAACATCTGTAGCCACAGTTCAACCTTTGCCCCCGCCTGCGAATCCTCCGTCCGCTCAACAAACGCCAGCAGATCTCAGTACAAAGGAAGCTTTCGTGCGATACTTTCATGAACGATTTCAGGTGCGTCCCTTTGTACGCCGCTGACCTACCGAGTTTGACGATTTTATTATCCTCAGCGAGCAGACATGAACGTGATTGTCGACTTCCTCGTGCGAAAACTGCATTCCGTGCCGGAGGAGTGGCGGAAGGCGCTCCTCGGGACTCTAGCTCCAGAGTTGTTAAAGGAGTTTGGTCACGCATTGACTCGTGCAAAGGCTTCAGCAGCTATCAAACATGTGCCTGTGACTAGTGCTGTGATGACAGATGCCTCCTCCAATGGTGTGCCGACCGTCGCACAGCAAAGTCGAACCACTACTGCCAGCAACGTTGTTACAACTGCAACTACGCACACTACGTCTGAGTCATCAAAGTCGATTCCCGTACCCCCCAGACCGTCTGTTACCAAAAGCACGCTGGCTAAGTCCACGAGTGCACAACCCCCGAGGACGTTGACTTCAAATCGCACTGCTGCGACTACCGTCGCTGCATCAGTCACCAAGACAACCCTCGCACCTCCAGCACAAGCATCCGTATCGACTACGCAGACGGCGCCTTCAGCGCCCTCAACGCAGCCAGCTACATCTCTGACCGGGACTAGTATATATGGACAAGTAACGGGCAGTGCGTATCGCCCATTCAGTGTACCCCCTCCAATGAGTATACCAAGTGCCGATGGCAAGGTTGCTTCATACGCGTATGATCCATATTTGAGGAAATACGTGCGGATGGATATTCCGAATGAGCACCCAGTGCCATCAGGATCGAGCGCGGGTACACAGTACCATGACTCTGTGTCCAAAACATATGATGGGCAGCAGCCGCCAGCTCTCGTGCCCCAGGGAATACCAGTGTCCACGCAAGCTCCAGCTACCGTATTGATTCCGCCTGCCACTCCGCCGCGACGGGAACAGAGTGGGGCTGCCCCAGTGGCGCGCACACCGCAACAGGCCGATAGGTCGCGGCTCGCAAAAGATATACTACGGTCACTAGGAATAAACCCGCCACCCGCGACGGCGGAAGAAGAGGAAGAGGTTGACAAGGAGGCTGGCGTATCACCGGGAAATTTACCAGCAACCGTACAGCATCAGCAGGAGACGCCATCATCTCGCGACTTATCAGTTGAACCCCTCCACGAAGCCCCACTGGAGATTAGCCTCTTACAACCTCCTTCGAATGTTTTGATGGAACAAGAACAGCAGCAAAGTCCTATCAAGGAAGTCATTGCTGATGACATAATCGTTGACGATGAACCAAGTACTACTACTCCCGAAGAGGACACTGCCTCCCCCGAATTCCCACTACCTGCTACTACACCATGTCCAGCATCCACGTCTATGGATCAGGAGGAGTTGGCGCGTGGAGTTGATGGAATGTCGATAGCCACTGATGTGCACCGTTCCGAGCCTAGTCGAGAAGATGGGCCTATCGACAGTCCCATATCATTCCCAGATCTTGATGAGCCTCTACCGCCTGTGCTTGAACCTGCGGGTATCTCATCTCCTGCCCCCAGTTTTAGAGAGCAATCGCGCGAACAGAGTGAGGACGATAGGAGTGGGGCTCTTCCACTTTTCCTGCCGTCGCTGTCAGCATCACCTGCACCCTCTGACCATTCTGGTGTCCCACTTCCACCGGAGACGGACGATGAGGTTTTAATAGTAGAATCCGTCCAGCGTGGTGGTTCGCCTTCTAAGAGCCGCGTAGATTCGTTGGATGAGGATCATGCACAGACATCACTACGAAGTGTGAAGAGGAAGAAGGGTCAAAGGGTCTATGTGTTAGTACCACCACCACCTCCTGAGCTTAGGAGGGCTATCAAGAAACGAAAGCTGGAGGATCAAGGCATAGTCTCTGGCTCAGAGGAGGAAGAGTGTACGAGTTTGTTCCAGTTCGGGTGATTTTTTCTGGCTTATGTTCGTTGCAGCCAAATACAATGATTTCGAGCAAGCCCTCATCGCGGACTGCGGAGTCCGAATGGTTGAGAGACCCTGCCAGTGGAATGGATGTGATGCTCTGATGAACAGCGGCGAGAACCTCTATTTGCATCTCAAGTTACACGTGCAAGAGACTAGCTCTGAGGTAAGGGGATTGTGGCTGACAAGATCAGGTAACTCACCAAGCATCTCAAGGGGTCCTTTGCATGCCGCTGGCAGTCATGTCCTCGGAGATTCAAGTCGGCAACAGTTTTGGAGAAACACCTACAGAAACATGCGTACTTCCCTCTGCCATGTCCTCTTGCAAGTACGTGTGACCTGACAGTCTCGCTTACTATGTCCGATTGACCTGCCTCAGATTGTTCAGATGTTTTCGATAAACCAGTTGAGGCGATGGGACATGAAGTACGGCACCAGCAACAGGAATCAATCAAGAAGTTGGAGATGAAACAGCCCCCAAAGCCTCTCGCGCCAAAAATACCTCCAATGCTAGATCCTCCTCCCAACCGTCTACCATCTTATCGTGTGGAACCGAGATACATTCGCCAAGCTCATATCCCACCTCAACGCCATGCCGTGATTGGTCCCTGGGTGAGTCTTATCAGAGACGTTAGGTATACCTGCGCTATAACTGATATGGTGATCAAGGTTCTTCAACACATATTTAGCCCTGTCGAACAAAACCTGAGAAAGCAGAACGCACCTATGCGACTCCGGTACCCGCGCCCCGACGCTCGTCCGGAGAACCTGGATAACTTGAGGGCAAGACCGGACGAATATGACTTCCTGGCATCACTATCGACATCACCAACGCGAACGATCCGATACGAGGATCTTGATTCTGGGAGTGTGTCACTGGCACTGCTTGACGGGCTCACGCTCTGGGATACGGATTCAAATAGTGATCGAGAAAAATCGAATCCCGAAGGGGAGGGCTCTGATCCGACAGAGGACATGGTGATCAAGGTGCCAGAGGGAGGTGCATCTAGTTCTGTTCCCATGGAAGGATCTGGCAATTTACCGGTGGGCGAGGCCTCAACCACGATGGACGGGATGATTGGTAGTGAGTGGACTACGGAGGGCGCCGTGGGGGAAGAAGAGGCTGTGAGGATGATGTTATGGGATTGATGTCGTTGTTAGTGCACACGCACGGTCCTTGAGGCCTGCCTTGAGGGCCTCTACATATTATTAACACTGTTACACTGGTCGGATGACATTGTGGACAGACTGACAGTACTGTCGTGTGTAATTAGGACAAGGGGTTGAAAATAATTTTGTGAAAGTTGACCATAAGCTTATTTTGGTGAAATTTCCTTGGTGATGAGAAGCGTGATCGCAATCTGAAACCGAGTTCTAGGCGTCACTACTTTGGCCGCGTGATTCTCCTACACTCTCCCGCCTGTACATTATGATCGAGCCCATTGCTAGTACTACTCACGGTGAGCTCGACACGACGCTCTTCTCCAAATATATGGCCGTTAACCAACCCACAGCAGTTCCAACTTTTATTTCGTCTCGTTCTGCCGATGTTATCCTGTCCGACATTCGTCCTACTAAATTAACTCCCGACGCTCTCAACTCCATCAATGCCCTACTAGACGAGTTACTCTATAGCATACTTAATGCAGCTCGGTCGTTCAACCCTTCCCGACTGAGGACCGCAATGCACAAAGTTCTACCAACCACCCTGGGCAAGGAAGCTATACTTGAGGCTGAGATGGAACTTAGAGCGTACTATCAGCGTACAGTTACCGCTGTGGGTTCGGGCTCGTCGAGCGAGGATGGCGTTTTCAATCTGCAGTGGGCATCTGAGGTGCGTTTTATGACATTGTGTTACATTCACTCAAACCTCAGCACTACTGTGTACAGCTTTTAAGACTTAAATGCGAAGCATATTCGACTTTAAGCGACACAGACGAGAATTCAGACGCCGAAAGTCACCTCAAGGAACGTATGCTTGCAGATGGTGTCCCTCCTCCCAAGCAGGAAGTCCTTTCACCAGCCTCACTCTATCTAACTGCCGTCATCGAGTGAGTATCCTCTGCTGTTATTCGGAGTTCTTGGCCTGATATCCTCTCGTTAGGTCCATATGCGAGTGAGTCTTTCAAGTTCTTTCGAAAGTGATGTTCCTGGTCTGAGCTCATACACATGACAGGCACATTCTGTCAAACGTGGGACGTGTCGCATCACGAGATAGTAGCCGAGCAACAGCTAACTCTCAAGATTTATTCATCGCACTTTGCGAAGACAGTACGATATATGGTTTTTTCAAGAACATGAAGGGTTAGTTCATTTTTGTCCGAATATTCTTTGGCACATTGATGACGTGTTTTGTCGCTTCTAGTCTACGGACAAATTGAGACATTGTCAAAATTGCCGAAACCGAGACGGAGTAAATCTTTCACCCGAGAAAAGTTGTCGGGTGCGACGTCTTCGGCGTCCTCTCGCGAGGGTGATGTATCCCGAAAGGAGAGCTCACGCCATCGCATGTCATCAGAATCGTCTAATATCGGACCCGCCATGGTTGCGGGCTCCAATCATCACTCTGCGAGATCATCTATCGACAAGGCACGCGCGATTAAAATATTTAGTGGCAACAGCAATAGAGGATCAAATGACCATCCAAATGGAACTGACTCTGTAGTTGGTCATAGGAAGACAGATTCGTTAGTGAGCGCGAATGCGAAACAATCCTTCCATAGTGGGGACAGGTCTCCCATTTCGCCGACATTTTCCGTGCGACTTCCACTGCTTCTCCATTATGGATGCGTTGACTCATAATGCGTTCTAGGAGGATCGATCACAAGAATTCGATGACATGATGCGATCAGGGTCAACCATGAAGGTTTCGCTCACCCCGGATAGGCTGCGGACGATGGAGGTATTTAAGGTTTCTTATTATCACGAAATTTTACGGATTGGTGATAATTGTTTGGTAGGCTCTTAACAAAGAGAAGGCACGCTTCAACGGTAGGAAAACCTCCCTCCAATCATCCCACAAGGACTCTATCTCGTCCGAAGTATTACTAGCGCCCACTGCGCCCGACCAACCAAAGCGGACGACGAGACCATCCTTGCAGCACGTTGATTCTATTCACGAGGACGACGAAATACAGCCCATAGCGAAACCCCCTCCAACGTCACGCCCTCGACAGCTCAGTGCCGCTACTGCTTCAGGATATAGTCCACCCTCTTCCACTCGCGCTCGCTCTGCCTCTTCCGCTGATCCCATGGTGCTAAAGCCTACCACATTCCCACTGCCAAGGCCGCCGCATTCGAGCCTTGGTTCGTCCCTGAAGCCACCGAAGCCGACACCAAGCAAGGTACAGCAGAGGCAAACAAAGCCCGTCCCTCATGGATTGGACGTCAACCAGTCACGACCTCCTCGTACTCGTACCGTCGCGAGAAACCGAGAGTCACTTGATCTTGATGATATCATGGGTGGTTCGGATGATGAGGATGAGGCAGAGAAGCTGAAGAGTGCGCCATGCTATAATCCGCAGAGAGGTATATCGGCAAGCGCTAGAGAGCTGATTGACTTTCTCGCCGAGGGCCCACCAGAACCTCCCGCGACTTCCCCAACCAATATCAATTCGGGGTCTTTTTTGACCCCCAAAAAGACTGGTCGCCTGCAGCGCATGATCTCTAAGATCACCCTCAACGGCAACGAGAAGGTTCGTTCCGACAATGAATCTGGCAAAAGCTCTCCCCGGAGGGCAGACGCTCCTACCCCTCTTCTACCCAACAAGTCCCTGACAAATCTCAGCTCCCTCGCGAACAGACCCGTTCCGCCTCGATATCCCACCGACTTGCCCTCCGCTACATCATCAGAGTCTCGCACCTCTGTTGATAATGCACTCTCAGATCATCGGGTTCGGAAACAGTCTCTTTCACGCAAGCCGGTGCCCCCATTCGATCCTAAAACAACCTCACCAGATTCTCTTGTTCCTACGTTGGCTCCCGGCATGCCTGTGGCGGATGTTAGTTCCCCTGCACCTCCCGTGCCCACCAGTTTTACAGTCCCAACCACTTCCAAACGTGTATTTGAACATGATTCCGTCAGCAAACGTGGTTCTGGCGATAGTTCATCGGCCGTAGCACGCGTGGAAGCCCCTGCTCGTTCGAGCTCAGAGTCAAAAGCGCCTACCGTGCAAGCGCCAGAACGTTCCTCTTCCAGAGTTGTCCTCTCACACCTTGCCAAACGTCCAGCGCAATTATCCCCCACTACATCTTCACCTTCCATCCCGGCATCTGTCATCGATCATGCTCATGAAATGCGGCGAACGCTATCGCATGCAACGAGCGCAACCGAATGTCGTCTGCTCATAGATATCTTCTTGGCTCGGGCTGGTTTGGTGGCTGATTCGTCGGAGCTTCAAGTTCTAGTCCCCGCCCCGCTTACCCCTGAATCTGCTGCGAAGGAGTCTCAGATGGAGCACGCCATTGTTGAACTATTACTGGGTGGCGATGAAGAGTCTTCAGACCCGCCAGTCCAGTCTGAACTATCTGAACCATGATCCATGCAAGCCTCACCCGTTTTACGATTCGAAGCTACTATGGATACAGCCTAATGATACCCAGCTCTCTTCACTCGATCTTCCATATAGATCTAACAACTACTCATTTCTATTGACCCTCATTCTCGCTATTAGTGTCAGCAAGCTGCCAGTCGGCCTTTTGTTCATTTGGTATCCGTAGCCTAATGTTATTAACGATGGTTTATGTATGGTTTTTGAGCCACGAAAGCGATAGCAAGAATATTGATGAGGGCGACAGTTGTTGTCATTGTACTTCCAATGAAACGGCAATGCCCATGGCAGCCAGCTCAGCGCAAAGATAGCGGAACACGTAGGGGACCGCCACAACATCGAGATCACCACCTTTTAATGAACTGCGCAGCACGTTCGATGACGATATAGCCACCTTCACGCCTGGCAATGGACTTCGATTGGGACTTTGTCCTGTGGTAAGAGCCTGGCGAGCTCGTTCGTCATCTTCCTCGGCAACTGCGCGGCACACTCTGCAGTACTCTCCACCTGGACCACTTGCTTTCATCGTGCCGGTAGATGACTCGCCCAAGCTTATATCATCGTAACCAAGGGATATGAGACTGCCACAGGTCCGACAGACCCATGCAGTGGAGTAATCTGAGCAATTCATTAACCGGTCCTGGAGAAGGAACGACGTCCCATGAGCGATCAGAGCGTCGCGTTCCATCTCCCCAAATCGGATGCCGCCAGCACGTTTGCGACCCTGTTCAGGTGATTAACAAACAGACATCACCATATATAACGACTTCCCTACCTTGACTGGCTGACGTGTCACAGGGTCAACCGGGCCTGTGGTTCTGACCTGGAATTTGTCTAGGACCATGTGCCGTAGACGTTGGTAGTAAACAACGCCGATGTAGATATCCGCGGCGAACTCTTGCCCAGTGATGCCCGAGTACATGGGCTCGTTGCCGTAGTAATTATAGCCAGCTGCTAATAGCTGTTCGCCAAAGTAGTCAATTGCTCTGTCTTCTTCAGAGAACCTGGATGCTGTCAGCTGGCATCAGCAACAGGAGCAGTGGTGATTTACTGGAAAGGAGTCGCATCTTGTGCCAGTCCGTGCATAGCGCCAGCTTTGCCAGCCATGCTCTCCACTAACATGCCGATGGTCATGCGACTTGGGAATGCATGCGGATTGATGATAACATCAGGTTGCATTCCGCTCTCCGAGAAGGGCATGTCAACAGTGGGCCATTTTTGTGAGCATACACCCTTCTGACCATGACGAGACGAAAATTTATCTCCGATAACGGGAGAACGAGTTATGCGGAAAGTGACATGTAATTTTTGTAACTCTGTATCTCCAGCATCACCGCCTTGAATTCCGTTAGCAGCTACCAGGATGAACCGGGGCGAAGACCATACCTAACATGCGCACTTCATCCACGATTCCTTGCTCATCGCCTTTGTACTTGACGAACCTCGTGCGCCCAGTAGTATCATCGATGTAAGCGGCTATAGGATCCCCAGAATCCAATTTGGTGCCGATGAACGGCAGGCCATCCTTATCCAAAAAATGACAGCAGGTATGCTGTCCATCGCCTTCGGCCGTTCGAACATCGTGACCAAGACCAAAATGCAGTGTAGGGGATGTTGATGATTTGGCAGCCCCTCGCATTTCCTTCAGATCGATTATCTGAGATTTGTAGACTGTTCCGTAGCCGAAGCCCCGTTCATGTGCGGATTTGTTCAGAATCATGGCGTCCTCCATGTCGTAACCGGTGTAAGAAATGACGGCAACGACGGCATTGGTGCCGTTTGGGAACGAGTCCATGGCGTAAGTATTGTGTAGATGTGGTCGAACAATGGGAGTTTGGCCAGTCTGTAACCGGTAGAGCTTGTTGTCTGTTCTATGTTGTAGGGCGGTAGATGGGGTACCCATAGTTTGTTTACCCATCTTGAGACACGAAGTCAAGCTGGGGTGATGGTTGTTGTGTACTGGGACTTACCTGACACTGATAGATATTTCTGGGACTCTGCACAGCAAATTAGTAGCAGCCTGTAGAGCTCGTTCTTGTGCGTTACCTGATTGAAATCCGAGAACGGCGTCAAATTTGCCAAGATGGACAAGAAATTTGTGGGTGCATGTTCCACGTGTGTTGAAACATCTGGCTCGACCTCGTCAGGTTTGATTGCGATGTTCATGTATACCTGTTCAAATGATCCAACTTGGTCGTCCTTGCCGTTGGCGATGAACTTCACAGGACGCATCATCCTCGCTCGGGTAGAAAACAAGAACAAACCGGGGTACTGTCCACCTTTTGATTCAGGAACAAAACCGATTTCCAGATCAAGGGGAACCTTGTGTCGACCCTCGGTTTTCCATATCCGTAGATTGGTGGCAAGCTGCTGGGAAACTGACTGTCTCGCCCAGCCGATGACGCGACCGTCAAGTTGAACGCAAAGGTTTTTTCGGCCATCTATTGAAGATGAGAAGGCCTGTGTCATGCCGTGAGCTGCCAGGAGTGCGGGGATCTCAGCAACGGAAAGAGGCGCGGTGACAATGCGGCACGTCCTCGAAAGATGATTGAGCAGACCACACGGGGCACCATCAGGCGTGTGCACTGGACACAGGAAACCTGGATAATTGTTAGGATGGGACCAGAATGGCTGAAGCGCACCACTTTACCCCAAGCTTCTGGTAATAACTTTCGAACGGTTGTTGTCTTGAGCTCGGCGAAGAAGGCACCACGATGAATACATCTAAAATGACTTATATACCTCATCCAATTGAGTTTTTCGGCAACAATGGTAAACCCAGATGCTTGTTGCAAATCAAGACCCGACGGTGAGACCAAATTACCAGTAGCCAAGAAGTTTGACATCTTGGAACCGATATCCCAGTTCACCTTATTGATGACCTTCATAATATATCGTTCTACGATGATCATCAGTTCATAGCAAGGTCGAAGCGAGGCATTTGTGCGTACTGTCAAGAAAATCGACTGGTGGTTCTTCTTTCCTGACATCTGTCGCAATCTGGTTTCTCACTTGGTTCAGCGCTTCCTCAAGGCGTTCCTTGATGATCATGCCGTATAAATAACCAGGAAGCAGTACTTCCTGGTGCTGTGGCGAATCTGGGTTATCTGCGCAGCACGAGGAAGATACCACACTGTACAACTTTCGCAGCATGAATCTGCAGGTAGCGGTCAGCGTATATCAAGAAACAAAGAAAGTAGGTACGAACACCAGCATCCGGAATTTGTCGCGAGCCGACTCGAGATGCACCAGAACCATCTTTTGAATTAACCAAGCCCCAAGAGCTTGGTTCGTCCAGTCTTCGGGCATGCCAAGAACAACTCGGAATTTGTCGCCCAAGTACTCAAGACACTGATAACCAGTGTACAAGCTATACATTTTGAAACTACGCAGAAGCAGCTCAACCCGATCTGTTAGAAATGTGTTTTCGTAATCTTGCATCATGATGTTATCAAAAATCTCCCTGTCGGAAGCGCCGATAAGAGCCTTGAGGATAAGCATGATAGGTATCACATATTCTTGTTTCCTCCAGCTGAATCGTAGCATTGCACTTCCGTTTGAGAGATAGTGGAGAGTATTGGTAACGCTGGATTGATCAGGGCGAACGCAGCGAATTTGTACTGCATACTGCGTGTACGAAGGGCCACGGTTAGCGAAAGATGGGCGAAGCAGCGAAGTGACATGGTTTCGACGGGGAAGGATCAGATAGCGAATTAACCGTTCGTTCCCATTGATGATGAAGTAGCCACCAAATTCTTCTGGCTCTTCGTGTCGCCTCACAAGTTCTGCAGAAGGTAGACTACGAATATTGCATCGAACAGACTAGTAATATCAGTCAGTTCATCGTCCAAACACGCATATAATGGGTGCTTACCCGAACCATGATCGGAACTAGACCACAGTCCCGCATTACAAATTGATCGGGATGAATGTTCCCATTAATGCTCCAGCAGACCTTTACTTGCATACGCCCCCGATAAGAGGTCAAGCGCTCACGAGCCTATCATGTGCGTCAGCTTTAGGGCATCTATCTTCCACCCTGTAGAGCTTGGGTTCAGGTTACGTTCGACGGAAGCAACTTACCTCTGTAGGAAATATCTTGCGCTCAGTGCTCCATGTATCTCTGTCTGTAACTCTAGGAGGAGCTATAGATACCTCTTCTATCCATACTATTCCATGCGATGAACACTATGCAATTGGGAGCCAAATGCACCACTCACTGCTCAGTCGATTGCCCCAACCACGCTGACCACTCTCTGTCCCAAGCTCGCCGCTGCCATCGAACACGACGCGTTCGCCTATGTCCTTCAGACCTAAAGACAGTAGTCCTCGACCATCTCCGTCTCCCTTTGGCAGTCCAGAATCATCGAAGAGGGCGTTGAAGGATTCGATATGAGGCGTGACAAATTCGTTAAGGATCGGATATGTTGAGCCTGTTTTGGATGGATTTTTGAATGACTCTTCGCGCTGGATGGTGTTAAAAGTAGGCTGCCGCCTTGACTTCTGCGAGCCGTCGGGCATAATGTCTGAACTACCTCCCCTGGCTTTTCTCAGCTGCACCTCTTGCCAATTTTTTGGCTGAATAAGGTTAATTATTGCCGTGAGATATAGCTGCTAAATATGTGCATGTCGGACCTTTGATATTATGAACTCCGCATCCTACTCCTGATGTCGACAGCACCAGCGACAAACGACTGCAGGCTTTTTCTTCAGATATGTTCGGAAGTAACACACTGCAATCTTCCTGGGCAAATCCTCAACAGAACCAGAGCCAACCGCAGAGTTCTGGTTTTGGTCAGCCTAGCGGCTTCGGAACCGGAGCAGGTAAGCAAGTCATTTGCCTGTACAGCGTTTTACACACCTATTAATCGCCGAAAAGCCTTTGGATCAACAGGTGCTTTTGGTCAGCCCCAGCAGCCACAGGCCAATCCAATGTTTGGCAATTTGGCGAACCCAAGCACGGGGACTTCAGCATTTGGTGTGTCCTATCGCGTTTATATTGTATTCCTCGTGACTGAATTACGTTCGGTGCAGGCGCATTTGGCCAGAATCCTCCACAACCAGCTGCGGGTACCTCAGCATTCGGAGCTCCAAAGCCTGCCACGGGCTTATTTGGAGGGGGAGGTACCTCAGCTTTCGGAAGTGGCGGTAATACTTTTGGCTCAACAGCTGGGACGGGGACCACGGTTTTCGGATCCAATCCCAACACTGGAGGTGCGTTTGGTTCTTTTGGACAGAATAGACCCACCACTGGCTTTGGTGTTACCTCTCCAAGTAAGTGCTCTTTAATTTTTTATGAAATCACAGAAGGAGCTCACGCTTGTCTTCAGCCACTGGCAATGACACCACTGCTCCTGTTACAACAGGCACATCGAATCCTCCCTACAGCTCATTCGGTGAAAAAGACCCAACATCAACAATTACTCTGCAATATCAAACTATAACGGCTATGCCCGCCTATAGAGGGACGTCGCTCGAGGTGAGTGATTATCACCGTCATATATCATTTCCTCGCTTAACAGTCTTGCAATCTTAACTAGGAGCTTCGTTATCAAGATTATCAACAGGGACGGAAGACTGCAGGGGCATTCGGCCAGCCATCCTTTGGTGGCACAACAACTACCCAACCAACGAATTTATTCGGAGGCGCGCCTACCCAGCCTGCCAGTACATCCATGTTCGGCAGTGGCGCCAGCGCGGGTACAGGCGCGTTCGGAAGCACGGGAACAACAGGCAATCCTAGTACTGGCTTTGGAGCTTTCGCACAACCCCAGCCCGCGCAACCGGCGACAGGTTCTGGGACGGGAATATTTGGGTCGGCCTTTGGTCAGCCTCAACAGCAGCAGCAGCAGCAGCAACAACAACAGCAACAACCTTCCGTCTTCGGTTCTTTCGGGCAGCCACAGCAGCAGCCAGCCACAACTGGGACCAGCATCTTTGGTTCGGGTGGCGGTGGTACATTTGGGCAGCAGAACAAGCCCGCCACTGGCTTCGGCAGTAATACCTTCGGGTCAACAAGTAGGACTCTTGCCGCTGCTGATCTCATATCTTTTAACATTCTCTAACAGCAGGTGGCGCGTTCGGTTCTACAGGAACCTTTGGACAACCAGCCAGCCAGCCTGCTGCAGGTACTACAGGCATTTTTGGCCAATCCCAACAGCAGCAGCAACCTGCAACTGGGAGCACATTCGGTGGTTTTGGTACATTACAACGGCCACGTTCTAAGAACAGTACTAACTTTTCGCTGTAAGGTTCGAACACGACTGCCAAACCGTCGATTTTTGGTCAGCCTGCTCAAAGTGGCACAACGCCTACCGGCTTTGGCACGTTCGGCAATCAACAGCAGCAGCAACAACAACAACAGCCTCAGCAGCAACCTCAGCAGCCGCAAGCGGGTGGCATATTCGGCAATACCGGTGGTGGCATATTCGGCCAGCCTCAGCAGCAGCAACCTCAACAGACTGGGTGTAGGTTTCTTTTTTTCCCCACTAGTTCATCTAGTGATCTTTTTCACGAATAGTATTTGGTCCCACCACAGCCCAACCTCAAGGTGGCCTATTTCAAGGTCCGACAGCGGGTGGAGGTTTATTTGGGAACGTCCAACAAAATCAGCAGCAGGCCCAACAGCCCGCTCAACCGGGTGGGCTTTTTGGGCCCAAACCAGCCACTGGCGGGGGTTTGTTCGGAAATACATTCGGTCAGACGGGCACGACGGGAACAATCAGCTCGCAACCCCAAGCAAATATTTTCGGGCAGCCTCCAGGTCAAGCAACGAACCAGCAACCAACAGCTGGGACGAACGCGTTTGGCTCATCCTTATTTGGTCCCAAACCCGCCGCACCGGGGCTTGGCACTTCGACATCAACAGGTGGCTCATTTTTTGGCAATGGACAATCGTTGTCTAGTCTAAACGCCTCTGCTACTGTTCCTGGAGCACAGGGAACTCTGTTTGCCTCCATTGCCGAACCTCTTTCTCAGAACCTGCCAATCTTCTCGATGCTTCCTCCTGGCCCGCGTGCCGTAGACCTTGACCAACAACCCAAAAAAAAGCCTGGCTTTTTCGTCGATGTCCCTACACGTTCACCAATTCCATACCTGCAACTCGGCTATACCCCCGCTAATTCGAAGCTGCGCGGTTTTGCGACATCAACGTCGGGGGCTGCGCTTGGGTCCAGCACGAGTCCCTTCGCCACTTCACTGACGAATGGGAAATCTAATGCGTTGGCACTTAGTCGCCTCGATGGGAAGGGTCCTGATGGATTGTTGGGGCGAAGCTCCACTCCATCTCTAGGAAGTGGAGGGCGTCAAAGCGTGAAGAAATTGATACTGGATAAGAAAGTTGAGCCTGCAGACCTCTTTAGTCAATCTGGTTCGCGCGCTAGTCCCAGTAGAGTAACGTTCAGCCCTGCCCTTAGCCAGGCCGCACGCGAGAAGGAAGTTGCAAGAGAGAAAGAAGCCGCCGTCAGTGCAGCATCTGCTGCTCCTCAAGTGGAGACTCCAACACCTATTGTTCGCAAAGTTCCCGGTCGCTTTTCTGCACAGAGCACCATCAACGTGTTGGGCTCCCAACCACCCTCACCTGCAAAAGAGCCAGCAGCATTGCAGCATGGTAGCTACTGGGTGAAGCCCGCCTTACCCACTCTCATCAACCTTGGTTACGAGGACCTAGTGGCATTCAAGGACCTTGTTGTTGGGCGCGTCGGCTATGGCGAGATCCAATTCTTGGCACCAGTCGACCTCACTAATCTTCCAAGACTTGGCGCTCTCCTGGGCGAGATCGTCAAGTTTGACGATAAAGAGTGCAGCGTTTACCCCGACACTGATGATGCAGACAAGCCTGCACCGGGCTCAGGGCTCAACGTTCGCGCGCGCATTGTTCTTGTCAGATGCTGGGCGACGGATAAAGCGACTCGCGAGCCCATCAAGGATGAGAAAGATCCTGGTGCAATCAAGCACCTGAAGCGGTTGAAGACGATCAAGGAGACCCATTTCGAGAGCTTTGACATTCGGGAAGGAAAATGGACATTCAGTGTGGATCATTTCTGAGCATGGCTCTCGTTCTTCGCGAGGTGTTGGTTCTCCATTGGCATACATGTGCGGTGCAGTAGTATTCCTTTCCATATCTTTGTAAGTGTTGTCTATGCCACGAAGTGCTGTTATTAGTTTAGGTGCAGTTAGAAATACTTTGTACGCAAGTAGATAGCTTTCAATATTTGAATAATAACAAACACCAGAAGCAGAAAACGATGACATCAATTTACGCCCGACGAGTTGAAGCGGGTCACCTTGAAATCACCCAGCATTCCAACTAAGTCGACAACTCCCATCATTGTCCTATCATGAACATGTTGAATGCAAGTACAGGTCGTACAATGCGCGAAATCATGCTGACCGCGTTTGACAGATACCTGAAAACGAGCTTAAGGGGCAAAACGCGGCTGTCGCGCGCGGTGCCATAGAGGGCGCACTCGCAGGCTCAGCAATCGTAGCACCGACATGGTACCTGCTAAATCGCAGATGGCCGGCTTTTCGTGCTTTGCCCACTGCGATGAAGACGCTGGGCGCCGTCATCATCTTAGCGCCCTTAATTTCCATTAGGGCGGAGCACCGTGGGCTGGACTTTGATCGCCAGCACTGGTATATCGGGCGTTTTACTTTGAGACACCATCTAACTTGGATTGGTTTAGGTCGGGTATTGAAAAGACGGAGCTGGAGAAGGAACGAGAGGAAGAGCGGAGGAGGTGGGCTTCGTTGAGCCCTAAGGATAAATTAGCGGAGTGGACAGCGAAACACCAGCTCAGCGTTATCGTTGGCAGCTGGGCCCTTACTATGGGTCTCGTCGGAAGCAAAGTCATGCGTGACCCGTGCGTTTTCCTTTTGCAGTGTGGTTTGAGCGGGGCTGACCACTGAGATGACAGCTTGATCTCTACGCCAAACAAGGTATGAACTTTTGTTACTTCAGTCACTGCTTGTTTGCGTGCTGAGACCTGATATATCATTATATCAGATTGTTCAAGTGCGTCTCTGGGCTCAGGGACTTACTATCGGTGTCATCATCGCAGCAGCCGCTCTAACACACTCTCAGCGCGCACAGGCGGCTAACATGAGGAAGGTGTGCTCCTTTGCTTCTTTCCCCGTGTCATCGAGACTTCTAATGCTTCATTAGCACTCTCCAGATCATACTTGGGTTTACCTGGTATGAATTTACACCTTTCATTTTACATGTTGTGTTAACTTCAGTTCTAGCTGGACGAACAGCGCCTTAACAAGGAACGTGCACAAAAGGCTTAGTACTTGCCCTGTCCATGGTTTCATCCTGTGGTGTTCATCTTTTTCTGTTGTATCAATACGCAGCCCGTTCTCTGTACTGGTCTGACTCATCAGCACAGTTAATCAATCGTTCCATTTCGGTGTCTTCCAATCCAATACAGATCCTGGCTTATCGGAAGTTGATTCACGCTAAACCTGCAAAAAATGAAGCTCTATATCCCAAGGGACCCATGATAGATATAACGACAGACGAGGCAGGTTCATGGGTAACGGGCAAGAATATCATGAGGATATAAAATGATGTACGCCAAAAGGTGTCAGGGGAACAGAAAGTCGATCCATGCCTTCATGCTCCATAGAAGCGCCATGCAAAGTATGCTCCCAGTAGGGTCAATGGGATAAAGTACATCAAGCTGCAGGAGATGTCAGTTGTGAAGTGAACGCGCGTGTAATGAAACTTACTTTGAACCCTGCTCAACGGCATCTGAAACCGAAGCACCAGAGCCGGGGGTCTTGGTATCGCCGATTTTCAGAGCCTGATAAATTGGGTTAGTGCAGCTCAAGTTGGCATTAGGGTGCACCTTACGCCATCTTTCTCAAAAGCTCCGACGAGGAGGGGAGGGAGCAGGTCACGGGCCTCGTCAGAGTGCCCAACATCTTCGAAAGCCTGGGTTGCGTCTTTGCCTGTAGACGGCGTATCTTCAGTCCGGGATTAGCCGCCCATTTTCATGGGACACATACCAGCTTCGGCCAATATCACGTCGTCACCTCCTGGATGCTACATCATCGTCAGGGAACAGTTCAATATCCATCCCGGCGCTTGCATACCTCGTCGATGAACTTAGTAACATCGTACACTGTCCAACACGTCACCACGCAGACACAGTTTGACAAGCTTCCTTGTACTCACCTTCTCCGTGGATAAGAACATAGAGACTGTCTTTAGTAGAGTGTGCCTTGAGCTCTTCGTACGTGACAACCTTGGCCATTGCAAGTCCTGTTAGTTGTAAACGAGAAAGACGGTGATGACGGGAATGACTATGAAGCAAACAAGGAAGTAAGTGTTTCAATTGCAATTCAATGTATAAAAACCCATCAATATATTTTCTCACACCAATCGGAATTCGACGTACGTCTTTGTAACTAATTATGTCACGATTTCCCGCCAAATTGTCTAGTCTAAGGGTTGCTCTGTTCGTGTTTATTTGGGATCCGAGCAAGCGTCGGGACTCGTATCTAGACCTTATGGAGTGTATCCAGGTATGCACTTTCTGCTGGGCCAATCGGAGTGTTTGTTTTAAAATCGTTACACGACGAGTCCTTGCTGGCGTCGGAAATTCTCAAGAAAATAATGCGCATCACGGACAGATACATGACGGACGAGAACACGTCAAATGGATTATGCACGTAGAAAGTAAGTATATCCGCATCGGTTTAGTACTCGAATGACCACGGTTATTACTGCACAGACAGCTGGACATTCAAGCGTGGAACCAAGCACGCTCTAATAGCTATATCTTCCACATCATCAGTATAGGGACGAAAGCACTGTGAGCCATGTCCCTAGGCATTGACGAGTGGAGGTCGCGCAAGAAAAAAAAGTCGATCAAAGCCTACACCAAGTCACTTCCAAGATGCTGGTATGATTTGGTGTAAATCCCGGTCGGAATCGTCTGCTAATAAAATAGGAGGGACGAGACAGGCGTTGGCGGTAGGAAGTATTGTTTGTGTGGCACTTTCACTCAGCGTTTATAACTGGGCAGAGGAAGTGAACCTTTCGTTATCAGTTAACAAAAAAAAATTTAACGCGAATGCAAATGTTCGATCTCCGATTCACTCCGCATTCGGGCCGTGCCGAGGAGTGTGGGACACCTTTCTTGACCTCCTTCAACGCTCCCGCAAGACGTCGTACCATGGCTTACGACGAGCATGCTGACATTCTCGGCGGCCCCATCTTGCAGATACCAAATACTGGTATTCTGGGTCAATGGTCCCAGTACTCGATTCTATTCAGGGCTAGTCTCATCCTAGCACTTGGCCTATTGGTATCCCTCATCTCACTACGCGCCTGGGACATATGGAAAAAAAATCAGGAATTGGGTTACAGAAAGTGCGTCATTCTTTTTCCTTTCTTTAACCTCTGCTCACGACACTTACGACAATCAGAGCGATGCGTCGCAAACATGGAATCCCAGACTCGGACTGTCGTCCCTTTGCTGTAGCATATGCTGCGGCCACCCGGGCGCGCGCTGAACGTGAGGCTCAGGACAGACTACAGGCTAATAACGTCACGGAAGACCCTCCGGTGATAAATAATCAGGTTCCGTTGCCAGACGTGCATGGTTTGAGGCGAAGGGCGGCCGAACCTGGTGTGTGGAACTTTTTTGTAATTTGTTCTCGATCTGATCGGTATATAGCTACGAAGCCACATGTTAATCAACTCCCTGCTACAAGACGTACCATTTCTGGCTTTGATCACAAGCCCAATGGATTTGACTTTGCGCACCGATATAATCCCCGACTTCGGGATGGCCTCCTGCCCCTCTCACGCGAGTCCCTAACGTCTGGGAAACGTTCATCCTATCGTCGTGCTAGCAGAAAGGATCTCGGTTTCGACACGAATGCGGCAGTGGAAGGCAAGAAACGAGCGTATGATCATGAGGGCAATCATGAACCTGAAATATCAAAGAAGTCCCGTGTTGATAGTGGTGACCTCATTGATGACGATGAAGAACTCGATTTACTCGAGGAAGAGGACGAGCTAGAGCCTGCTCAACGGGGATCAAAACGGACTTTCGATCTGGATGAGGACGCTGAATATATGCGCATCGATGGTCGCGACAAGCGCCCTCGCAATATGTCGCGGGCTCAGACACCTGAAGACCAGGAAATGGATGATGTCGCCGAGTTGCACCCAATTCCTCGTGGGAAGAAGCGTGATCGTGCTGAGGCTGGCTCTACGTTTGGCGGTGATGATGAAGAGGAGGCACTAGATAATCAAGATGACAGGTCTCACCGTCATCGCAAGCGTCGTACGGTTCGTCCAAGAAAATCGGATGGTTCTTCTCGTGGTAGGAAGCGAGATCGTGATCCTGAATCCCCAGCAAGCGAGGGCAGTATTGGAGGTTCTCATAGGCATAGCGAGCGCACATCCAAGAAGAAGAAAGGGGGCAAGAAAACCTCTTCCGTGGCAGCCAGCGATGCTCAGGACGGCTTGCAGGATCCCCTTTGCAATGGTAGAAAGATTGGTGAAGAGTGGGAATCAAATGGTGTTCAATATAAGGTCGGGAATGAAGGCGAGCGGCTTCGTCTTACTTTGGTGAAAAAGGCTCGGAGCAAATATTCAATGGTAAGTCGCTTGTCCCTTTGTCGATGTACATGTGGAGCTAACCGAAACACAGCCCAAGGATTCTCAGCACCCAGATCGACAGGCTAATATGGAGATCTACGTGGAAACTTGGCTGACAGATGAACAACACAAAGACGCTGAGGAACGGCAGGAACTTGTGTGGCAAGAGACGCCTAGAGCCTCGATTGAGCCTAGCACCCCCGGTGAGGCTCCTGTATCACCAACAAAGACGGGCAAGGATCTGCTCTGGGATTCGATGAAGAACAGCCCCGTTTCTAGCCGTGCCTTTCGTCAGTCATTGACCAATGGTTCAGCCCGGGTGAATCCATTTAAGCAGCCTTTGCCGCAGGCTCCAACTGGTCGACGTGTTGCCTCTTCAAATACCCATACTCCACCATTAATTCCTGGTGTGGCAGAGGGTCCATCTCGTCCGGGGTTCCGTGCATTCTCAAAATGGGAGAAGCAAGATCTTGAGGCTGAGGCGATGGCGAAGATGCGTGCACGGATGCTGGAGCAGAAGAAAGGAGAGACCCCGCAATCAAAGGCATTTGAGCTTCCGGCCAGTGCCACGGCGCCTGAGCTAGGCCCTAAAGCTCCGGCTGTGCCCATTATTACATTCACCCCGCCACCTCCTACTGCATCCACGTCTGGCGGTACCGAGACAAAGCCGACACCATCATTATTTTCATTTAGTAATACCTCAACGAGCATGGACGCCTCAAAGTCCACTGCTCCTGCTGAGTCTCCCACACCAGCAAGTGTTATGCCTGCGACCTCAGCTCCAGCTGCCAATAAACCCAGTTTATTCCTTACCTCCTCTACTCCACAAATATCCCCTGCAGTGCCGGTATCTTCATTTACTCCGCCCACGACACAACCTCCTACCACCGCCACCACCGCACCTACCACATCATCTGCATCCTCTATACCCAATTTTTTCGCCAAGCCAGCCGCACCATCGACGCCTGCACCTGCAGCAACCGGAGTTCCTTCATTTTCTTTTGGTCCCACGCCTACACAGCCGCTGTTCGCTGCATCTGCTTCCGCATCTACCAATCCCTTTTCTGCGCCTGTGGCATCAAACACGGAAATCAGCAAACCGGCACCATTCCCCTTCGCAAAACCCAGTGTGCTACCTTCCTCGGCGCCAACATCTACATCGGCACAAGCTAACCCACCGTCGGTATTTGGGGCAACCTCAAACATTGCTAACCCACCGTCGATATTTGGAACATCTTCAAGCAACGCTGCGACTTCTGCTCCATCCGCACCTGCCCCGCTGAAGTTTGACTTTGGCAAGAAGCCTGCTAGCGCGATCCCCAAGCCTGCTGCCACATCTCCCCCTACCGCAACTGCTGCCGACGTCGCAAAACAGACTAATCCTTTATTCACGTTCTCGGCGGCTACTCCCCAATCCAGTCCCATGGGATCGAGTTCACCGCAGAAGTTCCCGTTCGGTCAGCCTACATCGGCATCAGTATTTGGTTCTGGTGGCAATGCCACTGCTGCATCAAAACCTGCTGAGACCTCGGATGCGCATAAGCCCAAAGGAGCAGAAACTGAGACGCCCAAATTTTCATTTGGTCCGCTCTCTGGTGGTTCAGCATCCGGCTTCACAGGTGCTTCATCGGCACCCAAGTCAACGCCGAGTTTTGGAGCACCGTCGGGGACATCACCCTTTGCTACAGCTCCTTCGTCGGGCGGTGATGCGAAGAAGACGGACGCGCCATTATCAATCTTTGGAGCCGCAAATGCTACCAAAGAAGATGGAAGCAAGGCTGGCGCTTCTGCAGCTGCAGTCTTCGGTGGTTCCGGCTTTGGTACAAATGCAAATGGCGTCTCGAGTAATATCTTTGAGAAGTCCAGTGCTCCGCAGCCCAGCGGTGACGCAAGCACGTCCACATCAACTCCCAAGAGTGCATTTGGCAATGCCGCGTCGAGCAATACATTCTCTACAACTCCTGCTGTATTTGGCAGTGCCCAAGCAGGCGCTTTCGCATTTGGCAATGGGTCAACCAAGCCCGCAGATAGCGCGAAGCCGTCACCATTTGCTCCTCCATCAAACAATACCACTTCTTCTATCTTTTCGTTTGGAAAGAAGGAAGACACTGCAGCGCCTTCTTCGTCCGGCGCCAATGCTTCCACTGCGCCTGCATCATCGACGCCCGCGTTTGCATTCGGATCTTCTGTGTTCAGTCAACCTTCGACGGGTACTTCAAATGGGCCAACGCAACAGCAATCAGTTTTTGGAAAACCGTCGGCACCTACGCCTAGTGCATTTGGTTTCGGTAGTGGGACCAGTGGCACTGGAACTGGAACTGGAACTGGAACTGGAAGCAGCACATTCGTTTTCGGAGGTCAACCTGGAGGCCAAAACCAACAGCAATGATGCATTTCCACGTTTTTGTATATACTCCAGTGGGACTGCATACGTGACCTTGTACAGCACATACCTCTTTCTGTATTGCGTTCGTCCCCGGTACTTCATACAAGTATTGCATATCTCATCGCATGTCACTGTTTGTTTTTGTACCATCACGATTAATGTGTTCGGGGCATTCAGCGCTGTCTGATTGGAGGCTCCTGCACCCTGATACCTCTGCTTCAATACCCACTTCCACCAGCATCGTATTTCATACAGTCATCCTAATTAAACGACCCAAGTATCGTTGGTCTTTGCACTGTGCTCATATGAGATGTAGTGAACACCGGTATGCAAGGTCGTATGTACCCATGAGAGGGGGTCGTCCAATGATCAAGGTGACATTCGAAGATTGAGGGCGTGGGATCACGATGACGATATGAACGCGACAAAAGCGCGCCGTTGAGCGTTGTCGTGGTCCTGGCCAGGCACATGGTGAGGTTCTGGACTGCGACAGTTCGCAAAATGCAAATAGTGCGGGCCTAGAGAGGCGGGGCCAAGCGGGCATGAATCATGATCACCGACGATGATCAGCTGACCGTCACTGGCTCGGGAGTCGGCGCACCAGGCACAGCTTAGCGCCATCAACGAGTACTTTCGTTATCGGTAGGGTGTAACGTTCCAGAGCAAGCCAAACTTCAATTTCCTGTCTCGTCGAATGAGTAGACTCTTGAGCAGCAGAGGTACGAATACGAGTCTTACAGACGCGTAGTACGTCGACGTTTCGAGACTGAAGTCCCGCAGATTTACCGTGATGCGGTAGATTCAAGAAGATCTGGGAGACTAATCTGATGTACCATTTTCGAATAGTGTGACCATCATGATCTGCAATGGTAAAACGTGTGCAATGCTTCCGATACACGCGAGGCACTTTCCACCAGGCAAACGGACTGATTTCATTGGAGATTACAAAGCGGCGAAAAAATGAATGAGTACTAGTGAGCCCGGCCGGTGACAGTGGTCAGTACTTGAGCCAATTGGTTTGGGCGCAGTTGCATGCTGTCAGGTGAATTAGTACACCATGGCCATTGTAAAAGGATAGGAACTATACTGACCAAGTAAATATCGAATGCACGTCTTCTTACCCAAATTATAATCATGTGAGTGTGTTGGTAAAAAAACATGACCACCGCAGGGGTCGAACCTGCAATCTCCTGATCACGTATCGTAGTCAGACGCGATGCCATTTCGCCAGGCGGCCGTTGAAACAAAAGAATGTGCATGTGCTATATACCGAAGACGTGACAAGATTGCCCATACCACCAACAAGTTAAAACTACCGGACCTCCACCATGTCCGTCCTGTTCGAAACTTCTCTAGGCGACCTCGTCATCGACCTTGAGGTGGAGCAGTGTCCGAAAACATGCGAGAACTTCTTGAAACTGTGTAAGGTGTACTATTATAATTTGAATGCATTCTTCAATGGTGCGTAATCCTCCCTTCATTGGTACCTTTGCCTTAAATAACAGTATGCAGTTTCCAAAGATTTCCTAGCCCAGGCTGGTGACCCCACTGCCACAGGAACGGGTGGAGAATCAATATGGTCCTACATTGCCTCGCAAGAGAAGAAGGATGCCACAGTTCCCAGGTATTTCGCCCCAGAAATCGTGCCAAAGTTGAAGCATACCCACAAAGGTACTGTGTCCATGGCTGTAGCACCTTCTGTGAACGGCGAGAAAGGTGGTTGTGGCAGCCAATTCTTCATCACACTTGCAGACAACATAGACTATCTCGACGGGAAACATGCAGTTTTTGGTCACGTCGTACTCTCGGAAGGGGCGGAAACGCTGGACAAGCTGAATGATGTTTTCACGGATCAAGATGGGAGACCATTCAAGGATGTGCGAATAAGACACGTCGTTATTCTCGGTGCGTTAGCACCTAGGTGGACCCTGACGTTTTCACGTGCTGATCGATATTCACAGATGACCCGTTCCCTGATCCGCCCAACCTAGTCCAACCTCCGTCATCTCCTACTCGGGCCCCAGATAATTCTACTAGGATTGCGGAAGATGAAGACCCGCTTGCCACTCTTCCAGACGAGGAAGAGGAGCGTGTACGCCGCGAAAAGGCCGCAGCAGCCTCTGCCCTAACGCTTGAAATGGTTGGCGACTTGCCTTTTGCCAACGTCCGGCCGCCAGAAAATGTCCTTTTTGTGTGCAAACTTAACCCTGTCACACGAGACGAAGACTTGGAACTTATCTTCTCGAGATTCGGCACCATTATGAGTTGCCAAGTCATTAGGGACAAGAAAACGGGCGACTCGTTACAATACGCTTTCATAGAATTTGATAAACGAGATGACGCGGAACAGGTTCGTGGTGCACATCTGCATAATGAAACATGACTCAAGGACCTGCCAGGCCTATTTTAAGATGCAAAATGTTTTAGTAGATGATAGACGTATTTGGGTAGATTTGTACGTGCGAAACTACTTCAATAATTTGTCTTGTCTTACCTCATCTACGCAGCTCGCAGTCCGTGGCACGGCTCAATACTTCCTGGTCTAACAACCCCAAAGTGGGATTGCATAGCAAAGAAAGGGGTGGGTTTGGCGGTCGTGAAGACTTGGAAGAAACTCGACGATACCGGGCGGCTGGAAGAAGCGATGGCAGAGATGGTTATGGAATGGTGTTCGAAGTCCCAGATGACACAGGAACATCGCGTAGGAGCAGACATGATCGAGATAGGAAAGACCCTCGAGATCGGCGCCGACGCTCTGCATCCCCAGTGCCACGCAACAGATCTAGAGAACGGCGCCACAGCAGAGATAGACATTCTCGGGATCATAGGACACGCCGCTAGTGACGGATCTGAAACTGAACACCGTGCTTGTATGTTTCTATCCATTGTACTTTGTGTACCAAAATGATTTGCCCCTATGAGGCACCCCACTAGTCTGAATTGTAATTTCCACCATTGCTGTGCCGCCGGCTAGTATATAAACCTGCATTCGCTCAATGAGGCCTTGAGGACTGGAACTCTCTGTCTCTCTTTCTGACCTCCATGATGACACACTCACACAATGACTTCTACGCTCCCGGCTCTGATATGCTTCTGCTCTCGAGCGACGATGTCAAATTCTGCGTCCACCGTTGCATACTAGCGGCCGCCTCTCCATTCTTTGAACATATGTTTGCATTGCCCCAGCCCCCTGACGATCCAAAAAACGAGGAACGTCGTCCCATGATCCCCGTGTCGGAGCCTAGCTCAATCGTGCACACACTTCTGTGTTTCGTTTACCCCATACCTCATCCCACCATTTCATCACTCGACGAACTCAGCACTATTCTCGGAGTCGCAGTCAAATACGATTTCCTTGGCGTCGTCTTCTCTCTTCGCAAGCAGCTTATCTCCCCCGCATATTTGAGAGATGATCCAGTGCGAGTATTCGCAATCGCGAGTCGTTACGACTTTGAGGATGAAGCTCAGGTTGCGTCCCGACACACGCTCTCCACCAACATCCTTGACTGTCCATTGTCGGATGACTTCCGCTTCATCACAGCCCACTCTTACCATCGCCTCCTCGTCTTGCACAAGAAACGGTCGAAGGACGCCCAAGCGCTCCTGAAGATTCCAGAAGACGTGAAGTGCCTACAGTGCTCAGGGCCTTATTATGGAGCGTTTGTACCGCCAAAGTGGTGGAAAGAGTTTGAAAGAATGGCAAGAGCGGAACTGGAAACACGGGCAACCACAGACATTATCTTCAGCATGCCATTCTTTGCACGGGCCGCCGATGCGTCAGGATGCGCGCGATGTGCGAGTAGCATTCTGGACTCGCATCAATTTTTGTCAGATCTCAAACGACAGATCGACGAACTTCCTGCTACTATATGATTATTTCTTCTTCACGACTATCACGACTATCACGACACAATCATTGTCACATAATCTAGGACTTTTCAGGGACGTTCTTTACATGCGCCATTCTGCGTTAATATCCTTAAAACTTTACTCCCGCGACATTGACTCGCCACTACTCTTTCTTAAACCAATTTATGTTACAATCCCATATTGTCACTACAGTATACATTGGAACGATATACTCTTAGATCTAACCTTGCCAGGTGCCATATGTACTTGGTTGAACTTGTATGCATTATGATAGCTGTATCACGTAGTAGTATTGAACTATGTGTAGGCTACGTAGGTGATCAATATTAAGTTGATCAAGTTGATCTCTGATACAACGGTGCCTGACTGTAATATCGTACGGCGTCAAGTTCAAGCACTGGTTAAGCGAGTATGTAAGTACTCGAGGCGAGGCTTTGGGGAAATGCCGTAATCACCTTGTGGCAATCGTTCACACGTAGTAAAGCTCAAGTCAACTAGGGGGAGGACCGTCTGGGGAGGATCGTAGCTAGAGGAGTCGTATGAAGGATGATGCATATGGAGAAAAAAGGAACTAAGTAGAAATAAATGTGAAACATTATTCAGAGATACCCGAGCTGATGAGTAACCAAGGTAAGCGTGACACTGATCTGCTTGGACTAAAATTAAAGTCCTGGGCAGCTCTCCCGGATCTCTCTATCTCAACGACTTTGTCTTCAACATGTCTACACCACAGCTGGCCACATTCAAGGTACCTGCAGTCGAAAATGAACCTATGGTGAGTCTATGTAAACTTCACGAGTCACTCCTTCTAATACTGAATCATATCGGCAGCGAAGCTATGCTGTGGGATCAGCAGAGCGTAGGGGTCTCGAGGCTGCGCTTGCTCAGATGCAACAGGAACTTCCATTTGAGGTTCCCTGTATCGTGAATGGCTTACCGGTCTGTACAGCATGCCACCAGCCAATTCATTGATGACTTAGTTTTCCGCGGATCTTAGATTAGAACTGGTAAACTTGCAAAGCAGCCCATACCCTCCGATCACGCCCGTCATCTCTGCGCATACCACGAGGCAGATGAATCGACCGTAGCCAGTGCGATTGATGGTGCCCTTGCTGCCAAAGCTGAGTGGGAGGCCATGCCTTGGAACGATCGTGCCGCCATCTTTTTGCGTGCTGCAGAGCTTGTTAGCGGCAAGTACCGTTACAAATTGATGGCAGCTACTATGCTTGGTCAAGGAAAGAACGCTTGGCAGGCCGAGATTGATGCTGCTGCCGAGGTGTGTAGGATGGAATTATCTTGGTGGCAGTTGATTGACTGAACTTTCGTAGCTGTCGGACTTCTTCCGTTTCGGCGTCAAATATGTTGAGGAGCTCTACGCACAGCAGCCTCCTAAGAACTCAGCAGGAGCATGGAAGTAAGTCCAGTATCCTTTCTATGAAGCTACTTCTGACGATTGCTTAGCCGCATCGAGTATCGTGCGCTGGAAGGATTTGTTCTCGCAGTTTCGCCATTCAACTTCACAGCAATTGGTGGCAACCTTCCAGGTGGTACGAGCGACTATTCTATCACAAGTCTTATCTTCTGAATGAGTCTTTTCTTAGTTCCCGCGATCGTCGGTAACACAGTCGTATGGAAACCTTCACCGGCGGCCACGTATTCCAATTACTTGATCTACCAGATTCTCGCGGAGGCCGGTGTTCCAGCTGGCGTCATCCAGTTTGTTCCCGGGCCACCTGCAGAGGTCGTCGCACAGGCCATATCCCACCCCAGCTTTGCAGCACTCCACTTCACGGGTAGCACCTTTATATTCAAGAAGCTATGGAAAGACATTGCCGCAAACCTAGACAAGTACAAAGGGTATCCGAGAATCGTCGGCGAGACAGGAGGGAAGAACTTCCATGTCATCCACAAGTCAGCAGAAGTCCGAAATGCAGTTTTGCAGACCATTCGAGGCGGTTTTGAGTATCAAGGTGCGCATATCGTGTGTATGAGTGACACGCAAGATTGATAGGCTTGTGTGCAGGACAAAAATGTTCTGCATTGTCACGGCTATATGTTTCCTCTTCGCTTTGGTCATCTGGACTCAAAGATATGCTCCTGTCCGAGATTGCGAAGATCACGGTTGGGCCACCATCAGACTTCGGTAACTTCATGGGACCCGTGATGTGCGTTCTATTTCTATGCATTGCGCTGCGTACTGGTCACTGAACAATATCACAGAGGTCGTCCGGCCTACGACAAAATAATAGGCTTTATCCAGAAAGCCAAGGATGCGGGAGGGGAGGTTCTTATTGGAGGCACCGGTAAGGCGGATAGTATGACCCACCTGCGACTTTTCCGATGATCCTACAGGTGATGACTCGAAGGGCTACTTCATACAGCCAACCATCATTCTAACTAAAGATCCTGAATCAATCACGATGAAAGAAGAAATCTTTGGTCCTGTTATCACCGTAATGGTCATGTTTAGAAATGTGGCCAGATGTACTAACAACTTTTCAGGTCTATGTGTACGACGACGCGAATTATGAAAAGACTTTGGAACTGATCGACAACACCTCGCCTTATGCACTGACCGGCTCTATGTAAGTCGCAAGGTTTTTGAAGATATGCGTCGACTGACAACTTCCTTTCCAGCTTTGCCGCAGACCGCAAAGCTCTCCTGACTGCCACAAACAAGCTACGCAACGCTGCCGGCAACGTCTATTACAACGAGAAATGCACTGGCGCGGTCGTGGGTCAACAACCCTTTGGAGGAGCACGAGCAAGCGGGACCAACGACAAAGCTGGGAGTATTAGCATCTTCTACCGGTTCATTTCGGCGAGAAGCATGAAGGAGAACTTCGTGGGCCTGGAAGACTTCCAATACCCGTCGAACTTGATTTGAGATAGTTCTTATCGGAGTAACCACACTAGGAATCGACGTTGTACCAATCAAAGAATCATGTTAACTTGTCACTTGCGTTTGATGAGAAACATTGTTGAGGACGAATTTTAAAGCATCTTGAGGGGCAAGGAGGAGCACTAGAACAGCCAACTATCGCCATCCCGCCTCATCGTGCTGTGGTTACTCTACGCATATATAATAAGTTTGTGGTGCGTGTCAGATTCTGGGAACGTTCATGCACTGATCGGACTTATTAGACTCTAGGATGACGCCGTCCGATAATGTTGCGCAGGAGTCCTGGTCGATCTACACCGTGACGTTCACGACACCTGCTGTCAGTAATAATCCTGTTAGACTTGAGTCAGAAGTGAGGACGAGTTAATCAGTACGTGCGATACTGAATCACTGTGAGACTTCATTACAGGATGATGCTTCACATGAATGAATGCTAGTTCTAGCACGAGATTGCCCTCTCCGAGTCAGCGCCGATGATCATTCAGGCTCAAGGGGTTTTCATCATCGACTGGCACGACAGTGTGTAAAGGCGCAATTATCAATTATGTCTGTGATGGAATGGTCTGATTCATAGCCCTCGGTATGCGCTCGGACGAACTAGCGGTGGTATTGGGAGTCAGACGCAGGCTGGTTTTCGGCGGGTCATTTCACTTGAACAACTTCAAGCTCATAGATCTAGAATTGACATGGAGTAAAACTGTATACGCTAGCGACGGACTAGCTCAGTAATGTGAAGACAATACTAACATTATGAAGTATCTAGCGAGGGACTAGCTAGTAGTAGACTAATGTGAAGACAATACTGAGGTGTTCGGATGTTGCGAGAGGGTCTAAGTATGTACCGTAAATGATTAGCTGAGGTAACTCGGAGGATCTTCGTGCGGAGGTGTCATATAGTGAAGAAGTCAATAAGTCGTTGTGACGCGTGGTGTCGATGGTGAATATCAAGATTATGAGATAGCGTACGCGTACGAGAATGGAAAGGGAGCATCCAAAAAACTGTGGTCGCCACCCGTACACTTAGGATTGCTACAAATGGATCATCAACAAGTAGGGCTAGAAGTATTGATTGAGCAACTGTGAGGGACAGTTAGGGCTAAGAACTCACGCATTTCGGCAATTCGACCAGTGTTCTCCATGAGCCATGCGACTGAGATCAATCTCTTGCCCACTGGGTATCATGAAGACATTCCAAGGAGAATTAAATGATCGTTCTCGGGAAGCTGGTGGTACCCAGAAAAGTAGCCGACGATCGGGTCCTACCATCCATCCATCTTCAAGCAAGACAGGGGTTGAATTAAGACCATGATGAGAGGTGCTATCGAGTAGCTCAGCAGGATTTTGCAGCGCATATGCTAAGCTTGATGCGAAGCAAATGGCGCGATTGTTCCAAGCGTTGGTTGGCGTGGCAGTCTCCTGTTTGCAAGGTGTGGCGGGACGTCTATCCGAAGAGAATGCAGAGGAGTGGATCTCAGTGCGCTGCTGGAATTGCTGCGTTGTCGCTGCATCCCACAACCGGATAGTGGAATCTGGAGAACTAGACACGATGCGAGTGCCATCGGGGGAAAACGAGACTGACCAAACGTCACTAGTGTGCCCTCGGAAGGGCTCGCCCAGTGGCAGCCCCGTCGCTGCATCCCACAGCCGGACAGTGGAATCTCGAGAACCAGACACGATGCGAGTGCCATCGGGGGAGAACGAGACTGACGAAACCTCTCTAGTGTGCCCTCGGAAGGGCTCACCCAATGGCAGCCCCGTCGCTGCATCCCACAGCCGGACAGTAGAATCTACCGAACCAGACACGATGCGAGTGCCATCAGGGGAGAACGAGACTGACAAAACCTCACTAGTGTGCCCTCGGAAGGGCTCACCCAGTGGCAGCCCAGTCGCTGCATCCCACAGCCGGACAGTGGAATCCCAAGAACCAGACACGATGCGAGTGCCATCGGGGGAGAAAGAGATTGACCGAACCTCACTAGTGTGCCCTCGGAAGGGCTCACCCAATGGCTCCCCTGTCACTGCATCCCACAGTCGGACAGTGGAATCCTCCGAACCAGACACGATGCGAGTGCCATCGGGGGAGAACGAGACTGACGAAACCGAATCAGTGTGCCCTCGGAAGGGCTCACCCAATGGCAGCCCCGTTGCTGGATCCCACAGCCGGACAGTGGAATCCCAAGAACCAGACACAATGCGAGTGCCATCGGGGGAGAACGAGACTGACGAAACCTCTCTAGTGTGCCCTCGGAAGGGCTCACCCAATGGCAGCCCTGTCGCTGCATCCCACAGCCGGATAGTGGAATCCCAAGAACCAGACACGATGCGAGTGCCATCGGGGGAGAGCGAGACTGACAAAACCAAACCAGTGTGCCCTCGGAAGGGCTCACCCAATGGCTCCCCCGTCACTGTATCCCACAACCGGACAGTGGAATCCAAAGAACCAGACACGATGCGAGTGCCATCGGGGGAGAACGAGACTGACGAAACCGAACTAGCGTGCCCTCGGAAGGGCTCACTCAATGGCAGTCCCGTTGCTGCATCCCACAGCCGGACAGTGGAATCCTCTGAACCAGACACAATGCGAGTGCCATCGGGGGAGAACGAGACTGACCAGACTTCACTAGTGTGCCCTCGGAAGGGCTCACCCAATGGCAGCCCCGTCGCTGGATCCCACAGCCGGACAGTGGAATCATATGAACCAGACACGATGCGAGTGCCATCGAGGGAGAACGAGACTGACCGAACCGAACTAGTGTGCCCTCGGAAGGCTCACCCAATGGAAGCCCTGTCGCTGCATCCCACAGCCGGACAGTGGAATCCCGAGAACCAGACACGATGCGAGTGCCATCGGGGGAGAATGAGACTGAAAAAACCAAATTAGTGTGCCCTTGGAAGGGCTCACCCAATGGCTCCCCCGTCGCTGCATCCCACAGGCGGATAGTGGAATCCTGTGAACCAGACACGATGCGAGTGCTATCGGGCGAAAACGAGACTGACCAAACTGGAAGAGTGTGCCCTCGGAAGGGCTCACCCAATGGCAGCCCCGTCGCTGGATCCCACAGGCGGATAGTGGAATCCTCTGAACCAGACACGATGCGAGTGCCATCGGGGGAGAACGAGACTGACAAAACCAAACCAGTGTGCCCTCGGAAGGGCTCACCTAATGGCAGCCCTGTCGCTGCATCCCACAGCCGGACAGTGGAATCGGTTGAACCAGTCACGATGCGAGTGCCATCGGGGGAGAACGAGACTGACAAAACCAAACCAGTGTGCCCACTGATCACGGTCTGAATAGCCGTCCAGTTCACAAGACGTCCATGTATCAGACGAAGAGTGTTCGGAAACCTTGCAGTAAACTTTGTGGCTATCGTGGACTTGATGGGCGAAAATGGCAGTGCTGATACATACAGATGCGGCGTGCTGTGCAAAATCATCCCACCAAAGACTTGGACGAATCTCTGCACATTCATTGCAGCGGACAAGAGATCTTGATAGCCAATTTGGCCCTGTGTTCGCGCGTAAGCACTTTGGCTGACGCTACTAGCTGACTCTGTTCTCACCTTCAGCCACTGGGAAATGAGTGGAAGCACAGCAACTGCAACGTTCAGTGCATTGAGAAGGCCGAGTGATTCAATCCAGAAGAGCAGCCGCTCGTGTTCGAAGAGTGACCCTATTTCCTTTGCGAGCTCCGTGTCGAAGTCCGTTGCTCGTACGTGCGCAGCCCAAAATCGACAGGAATAAGATAGATGCGAGGGAATGCATGTTGCGACTCGATCTGGCAGCCCGGGGTCTTTGCTATTGGGGAGGTACGAAGACTTCATACTACACATATTGAAGCGAAGGTCGTGTTCCATCACACGAAGTGACGCAAAAGCAAGATTGCGTTGCGCGATCGATATCTCCACGAAAAAGTCTCCGCTGGATGATTTGTTCGTCAGGAATTCGCGGAAGGACGCGTGAAGGGGTCGGATGGGGCTGGATGAGTTGGTGGTGCCGCTTAACAGCGATCCCATATCTGCTAACACGTCTTGCACTTCGTAATGCTCCCCTTGGTCCGGAAAACGGCGCCGCATGGCATTCAGGGCATCTAAAGGGAGGGGTTCGGCTGAGCCAAGTATTTGTCCCATCACGGAATGAAACTTTGCTAGCGCTCGTTGATAACCGGCCTCTGTGGTGTGTCTGTCCTTTCGCATGTTTTCTCCTAAAATGAAGCTATATATGCCATACAACAAGTTCTCCCGCTCTCCATGATTGTGGGACACCACATCATTGAAGCGATCGATTGCGCGTGAGCCAGGACCGATGTCTTGGATGTATTTGCATGCAAGACGCGCCCACTCGAAGAGTCCATCAGCTTTGTCAGCGAGGACTGCGAAATTTTTGTCCCCAAGGCCAGACGCCTTTTTCAGTTCGTGTGACACAAATGTATGGATGTCTCTCTTCGAGACTTCTTCTGAAATGTTGTCCATGGATAACCGTTGGATGTGTGGAGCATCCCGAAATTCAGAATCGATATCATGAAGGGGGCGAGAGGTGACGAGAATCCGAAAGTTGGATGGGAGTTCGGTGATTTTGGGAAGACCTTCGACATCTAGTGTGCCGGCAAGTATGCGGAGAAGGTTGCGCCGTGTCTCCCTTCCGCCGCTCTCATCCAGTGCTTCAATGACGATTAAGACAGGCTCCGGGCCCATGCTCGACTCAGACAACTTCCTTAGCGGTTCCATAAACAGCTTGCGCCACTGCTGAATGATATCTATCGTGTTCTTGAGCGCATTTGCATGTTCGACTGCATGTGCCAATGTTCGTCTCATCTCCGGATCACGGTCAGCGAGGTCGCGAGCGATAGTGGAGAAGACTTTTTCATGGCGCTTGTCGGCTTTAAGGTCTCGGTCGAAGCAGAAACATGAACCAAGCCCTCCCAAGTCGTTGAACCAGTTGGCGATTGTGTGAGCGATGGCTGATTTCCCCGTGCCTGCAGGGCCAGATAGCCACAGCACACGCTGAGCAGCATCTCCACTGATCCATTCAGTGATCTGGGAGAGAATGTCCGTGCGCGTCCCTGGTAGGCATTGTTTCGTGGTATCTAGTCCTGCGCCTGCCGCGTAAGGCATACCGCTGAGATCTAGTTTGTCGCCCAGTTCGTCACCTGAAGGGGTATGAGCGGATGTAGCGTCAGAAGCAAGTCCGAATCCTTACTCGTACACCGGACAAGGTCGGCTACGTCCCGAATAGCTTGGTCCCGAAATTGTTGCATAAGGTCGTCCAAAGCGTTGTTGTATCGTGTAATCAGATCATCCGTCTCCGAAACAACATTTTTCCCGAGTCTCTTCCCTGTGATAATGATATAAGATTGACAATGTGCAGAGTGCAATAGCTTAATGACTTACAAAAATTCTTCTTCTCTGAGTAGTCCCTGATGAAACCTGCGCACTCTAGAGTCTGCTGGGCAATCCGTCCAGCGATACTGCGCTTGGATGAAATCTGGCCAAGAGTGTCCTTTTGCGACATGAAGTCGTAAATCTGTTCTAGTTTCTTGAGAAGAGATTGTACCGATTGGTCCCGTTCCGTTTGAGCGAGAATAATCTGCATAGAGTCAACAGCTGCTGAACAGGAGGGCAAAAGTACACGTACTTTGGATGCAGTAGACAGCACACCCAGCACCACCTTTGCGTAAGGATGTACCTATGGAACTTAATTAGCTCGCTTCAAACATAGGAGAGTAGCCCATACATTCGCAAGATCCCCGATGACAGTATCAAAAATTCTGAGTGGTTGAAGATATGTGGTCTGGAAAATGTCTGCGGCATCGAGATCCTTTGGGCCATCCTTGGCTGCGGATGCCACAGCAGTGCCACGTTTCCCGAGTGGTCTCATACTTTCCATACCCTCACGCGCATCTCGAAGTCCGGCATCAACCGATTGGGGATCTGGAATTTCCACGCCAGACGAAGCAGCGTGAACCTGTGCGACCACCAAATTTTAAAGATGAAAAACAAATCGTTTGGCGTAAATACCTTCGAAGTAGGTTCTCCGGATGCTTCTTGGTTCACACAACCACTGAGATTCTCAGGTGTGGCGAGCTTGTCAGCATCGGAAGGATGCAGACGCGACGCATCCTTAATGGACCTCAGATAAGTTCAAGATTATAGTAATGACCAACTACCTCAATATTCTGATTCGACGAAGCATCTTCATGGTCGGCGTTCTGGACAGTAGGGGTTTGGTGGCGGGAACGCTTGAAGCGTTTCTGTACAATATGTATTAGCTATATTCTAGCACCCTCAGCAGAAGTTCAAGGTCGACGTACATAAACTTTTTTAGTGAAATTCTTCTTAAATTTCCGCAGGGCCTGACGAAATCCGCTACGGGGCTGGCTCTGGGTGAAGGATGTGTCAGAGGTAGCGATGATGTTGTTAGCGCTCGTCGACAGTGATACCATAAGAGCACGTACCGAGCTCTCGCCAGCAGTTGCTTCTCTGGATTCAGAGTGCTCTGGAGGAGATATCTGCCTGGGGTCTTCGCTCATTGCAAACAGTCAAAGATTTGTATCAGCCTGAGGGAAATGGATGGAAGAACTAGGACCGGGGGAGAGTACTCGGTAGAACCAAAATTTAATAACAAGCACCCGAATATCCTTGACCACAAGCCTCAAGGCAGCGCTAATCATGAATCATGTTCAAGTTAAATTATGATTGGGCATTCAAGCAAGAACATGTGTCGTGCAAGGGCTAGCGAAACTTGAACATCATGCAACACGCTTGATTCATCAAGTTAGTTGGTTATGAAATACATACTTATGTCACTATATGGGCCAGGCCTCAGCTGAACTTGTACGCGGGAGTGATAAGCTTCGGCTAAAGTGTAATTCCGCTGTTCTCACGGTCAAACAGGCTGAGCTTCGCCATGGCACACCTAAAGCCCATCATTACATTCACCCCAAGTGTGATACGCCTTCGGCCTCAGCTCCAACTGCCGATAAACCTTTATCCCTGCAGCGCCGGTGTCTTCATTTGGCCTGCCCCCACCACACTTACCATATCATCCGCACCCTCTACACCCAACCTTTTTGCCAAGCCAGCCGTATCAACGACACCTGCAGCAACCGCAGTCCCTTCATTTTCCTTTGGTCCCACGCCTGTAAAGCCGCTGCTCTGCTTCTCCATCCACCAATCCCTTAAGCTTCTCTGCACCTGCGGCATCAAGCACGGAAACCAGCGAACCGGCACCATTCCCCTTCGCAACACCCAGTGTACTACCTTCCTCGGCGCCAACATCCACATCGGCACAACCTAACCCACAGTCGATATTTAGGGCACTTTCAAGCAACGCCGCCCCTACCTCTACTCTATCCGCACCTGTCTCGCTGAAGTTTGACTTTGGAAAGAAACCTGCTAGCACAGTCCCCAAGCCTGCTGCTACATTACAACTGCTGTCGACACCGCAAAAGATACTCGTCTTTATTCACGTTCTCGGCGGTTACTCCCCAATCTAGTCCCATTGGATCGAGTTCACCGCAGAAGTTCTTGTTCGGTCAGCTTACGTCGGCATCAGTGTTTGGATTTGGTAGCAATGCCATCAAAATCTGCTGAGACCTTGGAGGCGCCCAAGGTCAAAGGAGCAGAGACTGAGACGCCCAAATTTTCGTGTGGTCCGCTCTCTGGTAGTTCAGCATCCGGCTTTGCAGGTACCCAAGTCAACGCCGAGCTTTAGAGCACCATCCGGGACATCAGCATTTTATTGAACACCAAAATCATGGCAGGACCAGGATTTGAACCTAGGCCTTCCCAACTCCGGGGGGATGTCACGAATTCCAAATACGAACCATTATTCTTTCTTGAACACTCGTAAGACACCCGTTAAGCGCCCATCACAAGCGCCCGTCGTTAGCGCTCAGTCAGCGTCTGTACCTATGACGTTCACAAACCCTAACCCGAACTCATCCTTTACATATCCAAACTTCTCTATTCCATTAGCGCCCACTACCTTTATCTCCGACATTCCCGATTTCGACTTCCTTTCACAAGCGATTAGGTCACGTGACTCTAGAATCCCCGAGAACCCTTGCACAGCTGTTACACGTTTCATGACATCATAGTGTAGTTATATTTAGATCATCGTACGATTTCCTTTCCTATTTAATGATTGGCTAGTTAGTTCATTCTCAGATTCAGTCTCAGTTTCAATGTATGTATATAGGTAGCTCGTTGTAGTCAGTAGTTCTTTAGTTCAAACCTCTTTTGTATTAGCTCACTGCTAGCAATCCTAAGACGTCCCTGCTCATTATCTCTTCTTGTTTGATAACCTTCGTTTGAGTCCTAGTCTCCGCCCCTGCGTTAATTCGTTAAAAGGGTTGTGACATTAGGTTTGAACTATAGGGGACTCCGACTCCACGCATTACCGCTTGCACACCTTTATCCTTTGAAACTTTATCCAGCCAAGTCAGGCTCGATAAACGTTCAAACGATCCGTTACTCTTCATCAACGTTTCACGTGTTCTTTAATCCTTGACTGCTATACTCATAGGGTCAACGGTTAAACAACAAAACCATTCTATATTGCCCGGTCTAAACAACCGCGACCCTTGATTTCATCATTCTCCCCTTTGCTCGCTTGAGCGCATTCATACCTATCCTTTCGTAGTTAGTAGTCCTATACCAGGCCCTGCCTTACATTGCAGCCGCCAGTATACGGAGGTGTTCACGACATTAGGCGTGTCACTGCAACTTTGAGTGCTGGCCCAAGACCCTGCCTGCTCAACGTTACTATAACTTTCCCTTTTACCTATCACCTTTCTTTCGTACGATACGTAGGCTACTCTACCCAAGTTTAGAAGAGTTGTCTAGCGATAAGTCCTACGCACAGATCCTACCGAGGATTTAGAAACGCATCTAGTCGAGAACTGACGCTTGTAAGCTTCGGCTGGAAGAGCGGTCGTGTCCTTCTAGTGTGTTCCCTTGGGAAGTGTTGGCAAAGGCACCTAGTTTCTCTCACTTGGCGAGTATAGTTGTTACGTACACATCTTTGTAGTTAGTATCTAGGGAAGAGTCAGTTGGGTTTTACCAGGACCCTTTGACCCTGAAGTACGAGGTAGATCCGATCAGATATCGGGGACCGCTTCAGTTTTCCATTTACGTATTACCTTTCTCACCTTCCGTTTTCACCATCATTCCTTTTCGGATGAGCCGTTACGACTAGCTCATCATTCATCATTCCTTTTCGGGTAGACCGTTACGACTAGTCTACCACCAGTCATTTGTGAATCGGGTTCCAGAATACAGCTGGCACAATGACAAGAAAAACGTATTCCTTACGAGAGTTCAATGCAATGGGAGAAGCGCTCAACGGAGAAGCCCTTTGTATGTTACCGTTGCGGAAAACCAAATCACATTGCGAGAAATTGCAGAACTCCGTCTCCACAGAGAGAGACAACAGTACGACCTCATAACATTCCCGCGAAAGAAGACACCCTTCCAAGTTGGTTCATAGAATCCCTAACTCACGGAGAAGTTAGAGGAGAGGCACCTAAGTGGTTCAAGGATTTGGCCGCTTCACCACAAGGCAAAGAATTTTTGGCAAAAGAAAAGGCCGAAAGAAATCAACCGCCGAAATGGTTTAGAGATTGGGTAGCCACTAGGAAAGAAGAGATCCTAGAAGAACCAGTAGAAGAAGACGTGTCTGGAAGCAGATATTCGATCTTATCAAACTTTGCGGATGTAGAAGAAATATACCTAAGATCAAAATCAGAACATTTCTACATTCCAATAACGTTGAAAGGAAAGAAGAAGACTGCGGACGTTAGAGCCCTTGTAGACTGTGGGGCATCTACTTTATTTATCAATAGGAAGTTTGTGTTGGACAATGACGTTCGGTGTCGTAAATTATTAAAACCTATTCCGGTTAAGAACATAGATGGTTCTTTAAATGCCGCTGGATCGATGACTCATTTCGCCGAACTAGGTCTAAAGATCGGTGACCATGTAGAAGACAAAGCAGCCTTCATGGTTACAGACTTGGGAAGCGATGATGTTATTATCGGCATCGACTGGCTAAGATATCATAATCCAGAAATAGACTGGAATGCAGGACAGTTTTCATTATCTAGGTGTCCGCTTAAATGTATTACGAAAAAGGAGCAAAGACAAAAAAATAGAGAAAATAGAAAAGCACAAAAACAGGCAGATGTGGTTCCAGATCTGATTCCCACAGAAGAGGATGACGATGAGGACATGGACACGAGGAAGGCGACCTGTGAAGAGGTGGAAGACGAGGATAGTCCTGAAAGATGGATTAGATATAAAGCCTCGGTTGCCACGGAGCAGAAGGTAGCAGAAGAAGCTACGAAAAAGAAGAAGTCTGTTGAAGAGATGGTTCCAGACTGGCTTCATGATTACCTGGGAGTGTTCTCAGAAGAAGAGTCCAAACGATTCCCTGAAAGGAAGAAATGGGATCATGCTGTGGATCTTAAAGATGACAATGATCTTCCTCCGAACGCGAAACCGTACCCCTTGTCACCAAAGGAAATGGACACGTTGAAAGATTGGTTAAAAGCCGAGACTGCACTAGGACGTATTAGAGATTCACAATCTCCAGTTGCAGCACCTTTCTTCTTTGTGGCCAAAAAGGATGGCAAACTAAGACCTGTTATGGACTATAGAAGGCTTAACTGAGAAGACGGTTAAAAATGCGTATCCGCTACCGAGATCTCAAGACCTGATTGATGCCCTTACTGGTGCCTACGATGTACTCCAAGATGGATGTACGATGGGGGTACAATAATATTCGGATGAAAGAAGGAGATGAATGGAAGGCAGCTTTCAAAACGCCTTTTGGTCACCACGAACCAACCGTAATGTATTTTGGGTTGACGAACTCTCCAGCAACCTTCCAGACCATGATGAATGAGATATTCAGAGATTTAATAGACGGCAAAACAGTGGTCGTTTATATCGATGACATCTTGGTCTTTACGAATGGAAGTAGAGAGCAACACCAGAAAGTCGTGCGAGAAGTACTCAAACGATTAAAAGAGAACGACCTGTTCTTGAAGCCTGAGAAATGTAGCTTCGAGCAGTCTAAAGTCGAGTTTCTTGGGTTGATTGTGGAAAAGGGCAGTGTGTCTATGGACCCCGTCAAGGTAGAAGGAGTATTGAAATGGCCTGTTCCCAAATGCGTAAAAGAGATACAAGCATTCATGGGCTTTGCCAACTTCTATCCGAAGATTTATACTTGGGTTCTCAGACATTGCCAGACCAATGAATGATTTGCTGAGAAAAGATGCCAAATGGGATTGGACAGAGAGACAGCAAAACGCTTTCGACTGAGTTAAAGAAGCGTTTTACAGAAGCTCCCGTCCTTGTAATGCCAGATGTTGAGAAGAAAATGAAAATAGAAACAGATGCTTCAGATTACGCAACAGGAGCAGTTCTATCTCAACTGATGGAAGATGGCCTATGGCACCCAGTGGCTTATTACTCGAAGTCAATGAATGATGCAGAAAGAAATTATGACATCCATGACAAAGAGTTGTTAGCAATCATTCGTGCGTTGGAAGAGTGGAGGCACTATGTGCAGGGAAAACCCCAACATGTGGAGATCTGGACAGATCACAAGAATCTCGAGTACTTTATGACGAGTCAGAAGTTGACAAGAAGGCAAGCCAGATGGAGTTTGTTCCTGGCGGAGTATGAATTTACGCTCCAACATAAGCCTGGTGTAGTCAATGACAAAGCCGACCGTCTATCTCGGAGAGAAGACCACAGAGGGGGGGTAGAAAACGATAATTCTGACCGCATTTTGTTGAAACCGGAATTTTTCAAGATCAATGCTGCTAAAAGAGGCCAAATTCTCATAGAAGGAGAAAGTTCGCTCATGAAGAAGATAAGAAAGAGCACAGAACGAGAGCCTGAAGTAATGAAAGCGCTAGAAACGCTAAAAGCAGCACCGGTACAATTGCGCAGAGGAATCGAAGAATGGAATGTTGAGGACGGATTGGTGTTATTCCGAGGACTGGTATATGTTCCAAATGATAAAGAGATCCGCCGAGAGATATTGGAGTTGTTTCACGACTCTCCACCGGCTGGACATCCTGGACGTGCCAAAACCTTAGAATTGATTTCCAGAAACTATTGGTGGCCTTCAATGACGAAGTATGTCCATGATTACGTAGACGGTTGCGATCGATGCAAACAAACGAAAGTGTTCCCCAGTAGACCAACGGGACCTTTACAGCCAAATGAAGTTCCAGAAGGACCTTGGCAAACGATCTCATGCGACCTGATAGTGGACTTGCCGAAGAGTGAAGGATGTGACAGTATATTCGTTGTCGTTGATCGATTTTCGAAACAATCACATTTCATTCCCACCACCAAAGACGTAGACTCGAAGGGAATTGCCGAGCTATTTCTAAGAAATGTATGGAAACATCATGGTACACCAAAGAAAGTGATTTCGGATAGAGGAACACAGTTCATCTCGAAGTTTATGGGACAAGTATCGAATAGATTAGGAACGAAATGGTCTGCCTCGACCTCCTATCATCCCAGAACAGACGGACAAACAGAACGTGTAAATCAAGAAGTTGAACAGTACTTGCGCATGTTTGCCTCGTACAGACAGAATGATTGGGTATCTTGGCTGCCAATAGCAGAGTTTTCACACAACAATGCAGTCACAGTAACCGGTCACAGTCCGTTCAAAGTCCTCTACGGATATAATCCTGAATTCACAGTATCACCGAACTCTACATCCCTTATTCCCGCCGCAGATGAGAGAGCAGATCAGATGAGAGAAGCACGAGATGATGCGGAAAACACTCTGAAGATGGTTAACGAACGCATGAAACGCTTCTATGACCGAGGAGTTAAAGACGCACCTCAGTATCAAAAGGGAGACAAGGTCTGGCTAGACGCAAAGAACATCAAACAACGTCGTCCAAGTCAAAAGTTGTCAGATCGTCGTCTTGGGCCCTTTGAAATACTAGAGAAGACCGGTGAAGTGAACTACAAATTGAAATTGCCAGAGAGCTATAAGATTCACCCGGTTTTTCATGTGGAATTGCTTACTCCATATTACGCATCTCAAATGATCCCTCATTCTCAACCCACCCGACCACCTCCAGACATTGTTGATGAACAAGAAGAATTTGTTGTAGAAGAGATATTAGATAGTCGACAATTCCGAGGAAAAGTGCAGTACCGAGTAAAATGGGAAGGATATCCGATAGAAGAATCGACATGGGAACCAGAAGAGAACGTTAAAAACTCCCCGATTTTAATTGCAGATTTCCATAAGAAAAATCCCACGGCTGCTAAATCCAAACGAATTCTTGGATCTATCTTGGACACGGATGCTTTTAAACAATGGAGAGAGAAAAACATTCGACCATCCTACATTCGCGATGACGCTCATCCTAGAGAGGGGGTAATGTCACGAATTCCAAATACGAACCATTATTCTTTCTTGAACACTCGTAAGACACCCGTTAAGCGCCCATCACAAGCGCCCGTCGTTAGCGCTCAGTCAGCGTCTGTACCTATGACGTTCACAAACCCTAACCCGAACTCATCCTTTACATATCCAAACTTCTCTATTCCATTAGCGCCCACTACCTTTATCTCCGACATTCCCGATTTCGACTTCCTTTCACAAGCGATTAGGTCACGTGACTCTAGAATCCCCGAGAACCCTTGCACAGCTGTTACACGTTTCATGACATCATAGTGTAGTTATATTTAGATCATCGTACGATTTCCTTTCCTATTTAATGATTGGCTAGTTAGTTCATTCTCAGATTCAGTCTCAGTTTCAATGTATGTATATAGGTAGCTCGTTGTAGTCAGTAGTTCTTTAGTTCAAACCTCTTTTGTATTAGCTCACTGCTAGCAATCCTAAGACGTCCCTGCTCATTATCTCTTCTTGTTTGATAACCTTCGTTTGAGTCCTAGTCTCCGCCCCTGCGTTAATTCGTTAAAAGGGTTGTGACAGGGGACGTCTTAACCACTAGACTATCCAGCCGTTACAGTTTCCCTCACTGCATCCAATGTGTGGATTACATCATATTCCAACACATTTGCCACACCTCCGTTACCGGGTGGTCATGACGGATGTGCCATTATCAGTCTTTGGCGCCGCAAATGCTCCCAAGGAAGGCTAGCGTTTCTATACCTGCAGTCTTTGGTGGTTCTGGCTTTAGTGCAATGCAGACGGTATCTCGAGTAACATCTTTGAGAAGTCCAGTGTTCCACAGCCCAGTGGTGAAGCAAGTACGTCTATATCAACTCCGGTGTATTTAGCAATGCCGCATCGAGCAATACATTCTCTACAACTCCTGCTGGACCTCCTGTTGTATTTTGGAGTGCCCAACCATGTGCTTTCGCGTTTGGAAATGGGTCAACGAAGCCTGCGGATAGCGCGAAGCCATCACCATTTGCTCCTCCATCAAGCAATATTACTTCTATCTTTTCGTTTGGGAAGAAAGAGAATACCACAGCGCCGTCTTCATCTGGTACCAATGTTTCTACTGCGCCTGCATCATCGGCGCCCGCGTTTGCATTCGGATATTCTGTATTCAATCAACCTTCGACGGGTTCTTCAAATGGGGCAACGCAACAGCAATCGGTCTTTGGAACACCGTCGGCACCTACGCCTAGTCCGTTCGGTTTCGGCAGTGGGACTGGGACTGGAAGCAGCACATTCATTTTCGGAGGCCAACCAGGAGGCCAAAACCAACAGCAATGACTCGTGCTAACGAGTCCCTGGAAGAGAGAGGGAAGAGAACTTGCATGTGAGAGAAAATCGCAAGTCGCATCTGTGTATTTCGGGTGCGGACAGACTACGGGATAGACTAGAGTACATGCAATGTATGCTATGACGGAAATCAGTACATCAGTCCAAAACCAAAGATCCGAGGGTGAACCGTGAGGAGGCTACGATGACCGTCCAAACACGATAGGACGAAGGACGCGTTGAGAGCCAACGAAGCGAGCATCGGGGCAGGAAGAGGGCGACGGACGCAACCCAAACGAGGAGGATGACAGACGAGACAGAGAAGACGCAAAACTACAAATCCTGGATGCTGCTGCTTGAAGAGCGAGCAAGAAAAGGAGATGACTTGGGTCCAAGGAGCTCTGCATGGAGAGGTGCAACGTGCTCCAATAGACGCGAAGGAAGGAATCTGAGGACCAGCGACGCATGACTTTGACTATGTGCAAAGGCATGTTGCGGATCAAAAGTTTAGTTGTCCTGCTAATGCGGAAACAATGGCCTGAGATGCGAGGCAGGCCATGCACCACACAGACAGAGTTGCAGACCAGAAGGAACTTGCGCTTGGTGAGGGAAACGAGCCTACCCCTGCCAGCGTCATAAGAAAAAAGGTGAGTAGAGGTGGGGGCCTCGAGAACGACAGGGCTTGCCGCAAAGTCGGTACAAAGAGAAGCAATGGGATCTGGGCCGCCAGATGTCCTCCCCATTCTTGCCACCTCGGTCCAGGGGAGGTGGCACATCAGGGATTCGCCGGAGGACGAGACCGCGAAGGGAGGAGGAGTGGGAAATTTTGAGAGAGAAGTAGCATTGAGAGGTGCACCGGTGAGGAGTAACTCGCCTAAACGTCCATGTCCTCAGAAAACGGTGTTGGCACAAGCAAGCACACATGCATGATTTGCAAAGGGGGGTAGAAGCATCAAGAGAGGCACCAAGAGAGGCATCAAGAGAGGTATCATGAATGGTTCGCCGGTCTGTAAAGCATGCCACCGGCCAATTCATTGATGACTTAGATTTTCGGGGATCTTATATTAGAACCGGTAAACTTGCGAAGCAGCCCGTACCCTTCAATCATGCCCGTCATCTTTGCACATACCGCGAGGCAGATGAATTGACCGTAGCCAGCATGATTTGTGGTGCTCTGTCTGCCAAGGCTGAGCCATGCCTTGGAACGATCGCGCTGCCATCTTCCTGAGCGTGTTAGCGGCAAGTACCGTTAGTATGCCCTCTGGCGAACTAGCGGTAGCATTGGGTGTCATACAGTCTGGATTTCAGCGGGTCATTTCACTTGAACAAATTCAAATTTAGGTTCGGTGCCAGGCGTAGGTTGACATGGAACGAAAATGTACACTCAGTATTATTACAATTGGATCATCTGCAAGTAGGGATAGAAGCATTGATTTAGCAACGACGAGGCACAGACAAGGCCAAGAACTCACGCATCTCGGCAATTTGACCAGTGTTCTCCATGAGCCATGCGACTCAAATCAATCTCTTGCCCACTGGGTATCACAAATACGGTCCCAGGAGAATAAAATGGTCGGTGTCGGGAAGGGGGTGGTACCCAGAAAAGAAGACGACGATCGGCTCCCACCATCCATCCATCTTTCAGCAAGACAGGGATTGAATTAAGATCATGATGAGACGTGCCCTCGAGCAGCTCAGCAGGGTTTTGCAGTGCATGCTCCAAGCTTGATGCGAAGCAAATGACGCGATTGTTCCAAGTACTGATGGTCTCCTGTTTGCGAAGTGTGGTGGGATGTCTATCCAAAGAGAATGCAGAGGAATGGATCTCAGTGTGCTCCTGAAATTGCTGCTCTGTCGCTGCATCCCACAGCCGGACAGTGGAATCCTTTGAACCGGACACAATGCGAGTGCCATCAGGGGAGAACGAAACTGAGTAAACCGAACGAGTGTGCCCTCGGAAGGGCTCACCCAATGGCTCCCCCGTCGCCGCATTCCACAAACGGACAGTGGAATCATGTGAGCCAGACACGATGCGAGTGCCATCGAACGAGAATGAGATTGACAAAACCGAATCGGTGTGCCCTCGGAAGGGCTCACCCAATGGCAGCCCAGTTGCTGCATCCCACAGCCGGACAGTTGAATCCTTTGAACCAGACACGATGCGAGTGCCATCGGGCGAGAACACAACTGAGTAAACAGAACTGGTGTGCCCTCGGAAGGGCTCACCCAATGGCAGCCCTGTCGCTACATCCCACAGCCGGACAGTGGAATCCTGTGAACCAGACGCGATGCGAGTGCTATCGGGCGAGAACGAGACGGACCAAACTGGATGAGTGTGCCCTTGGAAGGGCTCACCAAATGGCCTTCCCGTCGCTACATCCCACAGTCGGACAGTGGAATCCTCTGAACCAGACACGATGCGAGTGCCATCAGGGGAGAAAGAGACTGACTGAACCGAATAAGTGTGCCCTCGGAAGGGCTCACCCAATGGAAGCCCCGTTGCTGCATCCCACAACCGGACAGTGCAATCCTTTGAACCAGACACGATGCGAGTGCCGTCGGGGGAGAAACAGACTGACCAAACCGCACCGGTGTGCCCTCGGAAGGGCTCACCCAATGGCTCTCCCGTCATTGCATCCCACAGCCGGATAGTGCAATCCTCTGAACCAGACACGATGCGAGTGCCGTCGGGGGAGAACGAGACTGACCAAACCCAATCAGTGTGTCCACTGATCACGGTCTGAATAGCCGTCCAGTTCACAAAACGTCCATGTATCAGATGAAGAGTGTTCGGAAACCTTGCAGTAAACTTTGTAGCTATCGTGGAGTTGATGGGCGAAAATGGTAGCGCTGATACATACAGATGCGGCGTGCTGTGCAAAATCATCCCACCAAAGACTTGGACGAATCTCTGCACATCCTTAGCGGTGGACAAGAGATTTTCATATCCGAATTGGCCCTGTGTTTGCGCGTAAGAACTTCGCCTGACACCACCAGGGGACTCTGTTCTCACCTTCAGCCACTGAGTAATGAATGGAAGCATAACAACTGCAACGCTGAGTGCATTGAGGAGGCCGAGTGCTTCAATCCAGAAGAGTAGCCGTTCGTTGTCGAAAAACGACCCTATTTCCTGTGCGAGCTCCGTGCCGAAGTCCGTTGCTCGTACATGCGTAGCCCAAAATCGACAGGAATATGATAGATGCGAGGGAATGCATGTTGCCACTCGATGCGGCAGCCCAATGTCCTTGCTATTAAGGAAGTACGAGGACTTTAAATCGCACATATTGAAGCGAAGGTCGTCTTCCATCACTCGAAGCGACGCAAAAGCAAGGTCACGTTGCGTGTTCGACATCTCCACGAAAAAGTCTCCGCTGGATGATTTGTCTGTCAGGAATTCGCAGAATGACGCGTGAAGGGGTCGGATGGGGCTAGATGAGTTGGTGGTGCCGCTCAGCAGGGACCCCATATGTTCTACCACGACTTGCACGTCATAATGCTCGCTTTGGTCTGGAAAACGGCGCCGCATGGCATTCAGGGCATCTAAATGGAGGGGTTCGGCTGAGCCAAGTATTTGTCCCATCACCGAATGAAATCTTGCTAGCGCTCGCTGATAACCGGCTTCTGTGGTATGTCTGTCCTTCCGCATATTTTCTCCTAAAATGAACCTATACATGCCATACAACAAGTTTTTCCGCTCTCCATGATCATAGGACACGACAGCATTGAAGCGATCGATTGCGCGTGAGCCAGGAGTGATTTCTTGGATGTATTTGCATGCAAGACGCGCCCACTCGAATAGTCCACCAGCTTTGTCAGCGAGGTCTCCAAACTCTGTGTGCCCAAGATCAGACACCTTTTTCAGCTCGTGAGACACAAAAGTATGGATGTCTCTCTTCGAAACTTCCTCTGAAATGTCGTCCATGGATAACCGTTGAATATGTGGAGCATCCCGAAATTCAGAATCGATATCATGAAGTGGGCGAGAGGTGACGAGAATCCGAAAGTTGGATGGGAGTTCGGTGATCCGAGGAAGACCTTCGATCTCCAATGTATTGGCAAGTATGCGGAGAAGGTCATCCCGCGTCTCCCTTCCGCCGCTCTCATCCAGCGCTTCAATCACAATTAAGACAGGCCCGACACTCGACCCAGATAACTTCTTTAGCGGTTCTATAAACAGCTTGCGCCACTGCTGGATGATATCTGTGGTATTCTTGAGCGCATTTACATTTTTGACTGTGTCTGCCAATGCTCGTCTCATCTCCGGATCACGGTCAGCGAGGTCGTGAGCGATGGTGGAGAAGACTTTTTCATGACGCTTGTCCGCTTTAAGGTCCCGGTCGAAGCAGAAACACGAACCAAGCCCTCCCAAGTCGTTGAACCAGTTGGCGATTGTGTGAGCGATGGCTGATTTCCCCGTGCCTGCAGGGCCAGATAGCCACAGCACACGCTGAGCAGCATCTCCGTTGTCGTTGATCCATTCAGTGATCTGGGAGAGAATGTCCGTCCGTGTCCCTGGTAGGCATTGTTTCGTGGTATCTAGTCCCGCGCCCGTTGTGTAAGGCATACCGCTGAGATCCAGTTTGTCACCTAGTTCGTCAGCTGAAAGTGTATGAGTAGATGCAAAGTCAGGAGCACGTTCAAATCCTTACTCGTACACCGGACGAGATCGGCTACGTCCCGAATAGCTTGGTCCCGAAATTGTTGCATAAGCTCATCCAAAACCTTGTTGTACCGTATAATCAGATCATCCGTCTCCGAGACGGCATTTTTCCCGTGTCTCTTCCCTGTGACAATAGTATAAGATTCATATCATAAAAGTGCAATAGCTCGATGACTCACAATAGCTCCTTTTCTCCGAGTAATCCCTGATGAAACATGCGCACTCTTGAGTCTGCTGGGCGATCCGTCCAGCGATACCACGCTTGGATGAGATCCGGCCAAGAGTGTCATCTTGTGACATGAAGCGGTAAACTTCTTCTAATTTCTTGAGAAGAGATTGTACTGATTGGTCGTGTTCCGTTTGAGCGAGAATAATCTGCATAGAATCAACAACTGCTGAGTAGGAGGGCGAAACTAAACGTACTTTAGATGCACCAGACAGCACACCAAGCACCATCTTCGCGTAAGGATGTACCTATGCAACTTGATTAGCTCGCTTCCAACATAGGAGAGTGGCCCATACATTCGCAAGATAATCAATGACAGTGTCAAAAATTCTGAGTGGTTGAAGATATATGGTCTGGGAATTGTCTGCGGCATCGAGATCTTTTTGGCCATCCTTGGCTGCGGATGCCACAGAAGTGACATGTCCCCCGAGTAGTCTCATACTTTCCATGCCTTCACGGGCACCCCGAAGTTCAGCATCAACTAATTGGGGATCAGGAATTTCTTCCACGCCAGGAGGCCCGGGGGCGTCGAGAACCTGCACGACCACCCGAATAATTAGAGATGAAAAGCAGATCGTTTGGCCCAACTACCTTCAAGGCAGGTTCTCCAGACGCTCCTTGGTTCACACAGCCACTGAGATTATCAGATGTGGCTGGCTTGTCACCATCGATATCGGAACGATGCACATGCGACGCATCCTAGGTGGACCTCAGGCAAGTTCAAGATCAAAATAACGACTACCTACCTCAATATTCTGATTCGATGAAGCACCTCCATGATCGATGTTTTGGACAGTAGGGGTTTGGTGGCGGGAACGCTTGAAACGTTTCTGCACAATATTAGCTATATTCTAACTCCCTGAGCATTCAGGTCGACGTACAGAAACTTTTTTAGTCACATTGTTCTTAAATTTCCGCAAGGCTTGACGAAATCCGCTACGGGGCTGGAGGATGCGTCAGAGGCGGCGACGATATTATTAGCGCGCGTCGACAGTGATTTCATGCGGGCATACCAAGCTCTCACCAGCAGATGCTTCTCTGGATCCAGGGGAGGCCTCTGGAAGATGTTTCGGCCTATGGTCTTCGCTCATTGTGAACAGTCAAAGATTGGGAACAGCTTGAGGGAAATGGATACAAGGATTAGAGGGAGGAGATAGTACTCGGTAGAACCAAAATGCAACAAGCACCCGAATACCCTTGACCGCAAGCCTCGAGGCAGTGCTATTCATTCAGCCACGTTCATTGAAGTTATAGTAATTGGGCATTGTACTAGAAGGAGCGATGACTGGGTGGTGCAAGCGCTAGTACCGAAACTTCGGCATCGTTCATCATGCAACAAGCTTCTTGATTCATAGTCACTAGGTGCGGGTAAGTTACTTACGAAATACATACAGTAGCCTGGGGCGCAACGATAGCTATCGAACAATCATATCAGGCTGAACTTGTATGAAAGCGGCAGGAGTGAGAGTCAGCGCTAGCTTCGGCTAAGCATCTAATATGGTAAACCGACTCAACTCCCGAAACCCATCTGATCAAAGACCTGCCTCTCCCTATAGGGCCTCCTCCTTAAGAGGTACAACAGTACCCTCGCAAGCAACCCCACGGCCTCAGCTCCAGTTGTCAGCCTATTCCTCGTACTATACTCCACAAATAGTGCAGCAACCTGTCCCGAATTCATTTTCTTTTGATCCCACGCCTCCACAGCCGCTCTGCTTCCACATCCACCAATCCTTCTCTGCGCCTACAGCATCAAGCGCGGAAGCTGGCAAATCGGCACCATTCCCCTTCACAAAACTCAGTGTACTACCTTCCTCGGCGCCAACATCCATATCGGCACAAGCTAACCCACCGTCGATATTTGGGGCACTTTTAATCAACGCTACCCGGCTTCTGCTCCATGAGTTCGCACCTGTCCCGCTGAAGTTTGACTTTGGCAAGAAACCTGCTAGCACGATCCCCAAGCCTGCTGCTACATTACAACTGCTGACGACGCCGCAAAACAGACTAGCCCGTTCTCGGCGACTACTCTCCAATTCAGTTCCATGGGATCTAGTTCACCGTAGAAGTTCCCGTTCGGTCACGTCGGCATCAGTATTTGATTCTGGTAGCATTAATGCCACTGCTGCATCAAAACCTACTGTGACCTCGGAAGCGCCCAAGCCCGAAGGAGCAGGGACTGAACCGCCCAACTCCGGTAGTTCAGCCTATCTGGCTTTACAGGTGCTTCATTGGCACCCAAGTCGACGCCAAACTTTGGAGCACCGTCGGGTTTGCCACAGCTCCGTCGTCGAGTGGTGATGCAAAGAAGATGGATGCTCTATTATGAATCTTTGGCGCCGCAAGGCTACCAAGGAAGATATATAGAAGCAAGGTTGGCGCTTCTACACCTGCAGTCTTCGGTGGTTTCGGCTTTGGTGCAGATGCAAACAGCGTCGCGAGTAAAATCTTTGACAAGTCCAGTGCTTCATAACCCAGTGGTGATGCAAGCACGTCTACGTCGACTCCCAAGAGTGTATTTGGCAATGCCACGTCGAACAATATATTCTCTATAACTCCTGCTGGATCTACTGTTGTATTTGATAGTGCCCAACTGGGTGCTTTTACGTTTGGCAATGGGTCAACCAAGCCTGAGATAGCGCGAAGCCATCACCATGTGCTCCTCCATCATGCGATACCACTTCTTCTATCTTTTCATTTGGGAAAGAAGGAAGACACTGCGGCACCTTCTTTATCCAGCACTAATACTCTCACTGCGCCTGCATCATTGACGCCCGCGTTTGCATTTGGATCTTTTGTGTTCAGTTAACCTTCGACGGATACTTCAAATGGGCCGACGCAACAGCAATCGATCTTTGGAACACCGTCGGCCTAATGCGTTTGGTTTCGGCAGTGGGACTAGGACTGAGACTAGAAGCAGTACGTTCATTTCTGGAGGTCCACCCGGAGGCCAAAACCAGGAGCCATCTCTCATGCTAACGAGTCTCAGGAAGAGATGGGGAAGGGATCCTGCATACGAGAGAAAATGCGCAAGTTGTCGCACCTGCGTGTTTCGGGTGCAGACAGACTACGGGATAGACTAAGGTACATGCAGTGTATGCTATGAGGGAAATCAGTACATCAGTCCAAAACCAAAGATCCGAGGGAACCGTGAGGAGGCCATGAAGACCATTCAAAAACGACAGGACGAAAGACGCGTTGAGAGCCAACGAAACGGGTACCAGTACAGGAAGAGGGCGACGGACGCAACCCAAACGAAGAGGACGACGGACGGGACAGAAACGACGGAAGCTTGAATGCTGCTGCGTGAAGAACAAGCAAAAGGGAGAGATAACTTGGGTCCAAGGAGCTCTGCAATGAGAGGTGCAATGTCCTCCGATAGACACGAAGGAATCCGAGGACCAGCGGCCCATGACTTTGACGATGTGCGGAGGCGTGTTGCGGAGAAGAACTTCAGTTGTCCCACTAATGCGGAAACGATGGCCTAAGATGCGAGGCAGGCCATGCACCGCCCAGACAGAGTTGCAGACCAGAAGGAACTTGTGCTTGGTGAGGGAAACGAGCCTGTCCCTGCCAGCGTCATAAGCAAAAAGGCGAGTAGAGGTGGGGGCCATGAGAACTGTAGGGCTTGCTGCGAAGTGGGTTAAAAAGAGAGCTGGGCCGCTATATGTCCTCCCCTTTCTTCTTTGCCACCTTGGTTTAGAGGTGGCACATTAGGGATTCGCTGGAGAACGAGAGACTGTGAAGGGAGGGAGTGGGGAAAATTTTGGGAGAGAAGTGAGATTGAGAGTTGGGGAGGAACTCACCCAAACGTTCATGTCCCCAGAAAACGATATTGGCATAGGCGAGCACACATGCATGAAGAGGGGTAGAGACATCAGCGTCATCGACCTGTGATCTTCGCTCATTGCGAACAGTTAAAGATTGGGATCAGCCTGAGGGAGATGGAAGTAAGAATTAGAGGGAGTTAACAAGCACCGCCTTGACCACAAGCCCTGAGGCAGCGCTAATCGTTCAGCCACGCTATAATTGGGCATTGCAGGAACGTGGGTCGCGACTCGTGCAAGCGCAAGCGAAAGGTATCGTTCATCATGCACCAAACTTGATTCATAGGTGCGAGTAAGTTACTGTGAAAAACATACAAATGTATGAGCACAACGAAAGCCACCACAATGCCATCGTCAGGCTGAACTTGAGCCGAAAGATTTCTGATTGAAAGAATAAGATCCACGGGCGGCAAGTGGAGCGACTACATTTGTGTACAACGCGTACCTCAGTGCGCGAACGTTAAAGCACCGAGGGCTCACTGAGATCTACCGAGGGCTCTGAAGAAATGATGTACTGCAGAACTGACCGTCATCGACGCACCCGACGATGTGCTCAAAAGGCACATGTGTAAACTGAGCCAAACAATCCTTCTGATTCATGACAAGCCGCTTATCGAGCCTTCTCCAGGCATCACACCGAACACGAAGATATTTTCATAGCTTTCTTGCCACACATGCGGAAAACTACCAACGCGCGAGTGAAAAGCTATTCGCCGATGCAGAGCGGGAGGAAGTAGAAGAAGCTCAAAGCCCTAAACCAAACATTTCCAATATTCCTCAACTACAGAGCCAGGATGAAAACTGGACAGGCGAAGAATCTATACAGGACGCTGTACTGCGCATGCTCGTCGACAAGTACAAGCCTATGCGCTCGGGGCCTATCAGGACAGCTGACATGAAGCTGAAGGAGGCACCGCCAAAGGTACACACAGATGCATATGTCGTCGAACGGCCTGCACAAGCGTGGCAGAAACTTGCAAATAAACCTTTACTTCCTTCTATAGATGGTCATAAGCCATGGCATACTACTTACAAGGCCCCTTCTCATGCGTCTGCGTCCATCAAGCTTGGCAATTTCACACCTACATCCGCACGCACACCCGGCGTCCATGCTGTGGTTGACGAACGTACTAGAAAGACAGAGAGGGAACTTGCCAGACGAAAGGAGCAAGCAGGACGACTGACAAGAGCTAGAGAGTCAACATTGGATTATCGCTTGGGCCTGAAGAACGGCGAGGGGCAACACGCTGCTCGTCGGAACCCTGTCAGTATGAGGGGGTGGCAGGCCTTAATAGAGGACAAGATACAGGTTGGCTCCGTCACCCACTCGGAATTATTTTGTACTTACATCTCAAGATAGAAAGCTCGAGCTACCGGACATTTCGACAAAATCAAAGGGCGAGGTCAGCCTATAGTTAGATTAAGCGACGAGCACAACCCTTTCATTGCGAGAGAGGAGTTCCTCATGAACCGGATTGTCCAAAGGAACGGGGCAGCTCCACCATGGGTCGAGGTCCAAATCGGTGGGTGACTTATACCATATCGGTGAGATCTTCAAGTTTACCACTATAACCTAATATCACAGAGCTCGAGACTGCAGTGAACTCATTTCGTGATGTCCTGCGGCAGTCGTGGACAAGGCGTGCAATTCGGACTTTAACAATATTGCAACCAGCGGCTATGTTACCTTCATTATCGCTGGGCAGCGTGACATCATTACGCGACCGTGAGTGGGAAGAACGAGAGCGCTCTTACCATGATACAGCCGTTGCCGAATTGAATTCTTTGGTGCGGAAATACAATGCCCTTGCGCCATATTCTGTGCGCCGCCCATATTATTCTCGAGAGGCCGAATTAGCCAAGGCGTATCAGGATTGTGGGGATGACATTCTGCGTGGGATATCAGAGAGAAGAAGAGAGAGATATGGCGAATCGGGTGCCTCACCACCATCTGAAGTCGAGTCTTCTGTGAACGTCGATACTTCCACGGCCTACCCTTTGAGGTTTCGAGATATCATCCGTCGGTGGTTCATAAAGCTGCGAGATAGATTCATCAACGTATCCTGAACAGCACCGCTGGCACGGCTGATCATATACATATGCATTTTCTCGTGCCTAGATGAAGCTCAAGGGCCAAGGCACGCTCTATATCTATTCTAGATTCCTCAATTGTAGCTAACAGTCCGTACATGCATTTGTGTTCTTGTCCTTGTGTTTGTACTGGAGATCCAGGAAATCCAGGAGTGCCGCTTGCCATAGCCGATTGTGTTCTGATGCCGCGGAGGCATCCATGTGCATGAGCGTTGTTCTTTCAAATCCCAGCGCTCAGCGTCCATGACTATCGTTACGACGATGAATACATATAAAAACGACGACAACAATGAGTAGTATGATTGAATAAATCGATTCATGCAGTTTACGTGAATCCGGCATCCCGGACTTAACTCGGCAGCAAGGGACAAGAAGAAACGAGGCGTTTGGAAATTCCCTGGGCTGCCTCGTGCCTCGCCTTTTCCGGAGGTCGTTGACCGGACGTCTAGTCTATAAAATCCCACCCTTTTGTCTATTTAATTCTCCCATCCTTGCAAGCGTTGTATTCTTCCATACCTACCTTCCCTCCTACATATCCCGCCCACCGTCGTCGACACCATGGCCATCTACGAGGAGTACGCATCGCTCCCTATTAGCGGCGATATTACGGTAGATTTTTCGCTTTTTTCCCAGTGCCGAACAAAGTCTAACGATACTTTTTGGTAGCCTGGCGATATCGTCGCCGTTAACCACGACCGCTACGGTCGTCAAGAGGGCCTCGTCGTTGGCTCTCGTGTCGACTTCGCTGTAAGCCCCGACTCTACAATAAAAATGCATCATAGCTCATCCCACCTCACAGGGCCGACAAATCCTCGAAGTCCAACTCGAAACCTCAAATGAAATCTACCAAGCATGGTACAGCTGGCACATTTCTCACCCCAAATCCACTATCTAACGCAACACAAACCACAGGTACCCCACCGTTACCCGCGTCAGGAGAACAGTCTCCTACACCCGACCTGTCATCGCAAAACAGCGCACTATTGAGCGCCGAATCTACTGGTGATCGTATTTCACCCGGCCCCATTTATCTCCTTGATTTGGACTGTCAAATTTTGTATAAGTATCTACCCCCGGCCAAATCGACATGGTCATGGCTCTTGGTTCTTGCTTCGGTCATGGGGCGACGCTCAATACGGTACATAGCTCGCGGGGGCCACTGGTGGACGCGATGCTGGGCATGGCGGAGGTTGCTTTTTTTATTCAATTGATGGATTTACGATGATGACTAGAGGTGTTTTGATATCAGGACATTAGGTCACACATACTTTGGATGATCGTGACAAGAAATGGCATCACCTTGCATAGATCAACGTTTACCGCTGTCTTCTCACAATCTGATTTCTGTAAGCGCAGATATGGCAGGGTGTATTCTACTAATGACATCGTGTGACGTGGCGGCAATTGAGGGTCGTGCGAGAAATCAGGAAACTCATTGTGCATATCTCGCTATTGTCCAGTGCGTATTATTAGGGATGGATATGCATTGTTAGATAACATGAGTCTAGTCGACGAGGAGTACCAACACACATGGCTAAGTAAGTTAGAGGAGATCCCAACATGTGGCAGGCTAGGCTATGCTAAAGATACAGGAGCATAATAAACAAGTTATATGATAATATGGGGGTTACAGAAAAGCGGTCATGCTTTCTGGTCGACAACAGGTGAGGGATGTGTAAGTTGAGGGGATTTGGGATGGCGAGATCCCGGTGGACGAGCGGTGAGGGATGAAGACGAAGATGACGTACGCTGATGCATGATGTCTGGTGCTGATGCCCAGAGTGAGGAAGACGAGTTGGTAGATGCGCTTGACAGAGAAACCTGCGACATATTTGCTTTCAAAGGGACAACGCTTCCGTTCATTATAGACGGAGTCGATGCAGATAGAGATTCTCGGTCCTGTCGCGCAGCCGAAACACTTCTTCTCCCAGCCACTACACTCCTCACAACTCTCGGACCCATCACACCTCTTCCCCTACTCTCTACAACATCCCCATTCAAGCTTGCAACCGATGTCGTTGACCCGTTCACGCGCGGCTTGAGTGTCTCCTCTGAGCTTCGTGGTGAGTTGTGATGTGGGTAAATGCCAGGGCGCGACTGTACCACGCGCTCGTAGTAGAGCATAAACGCCCCAGAACCCTCCTGCACCACTGTCTCTATTCCGCATTCCTTCACTGAGTCGTCGCTGATCCGTAGCCATCCCCGGCCATGACGGTACATGGAGTCTACGGCTTCATCGTCGTCGCGCACGGGCCCATAGCGTTGGCACTTTTCACAGTCGCAGCCAAGTGGGTCGGCGAGTCTTGGTGGTGCGAAGCGCCGTGACCCGTAGGATACAGGTCGGGGTTTGCGCCGGTAGCAAACGTAGTGACCGAAGGAATGCTGACCATAGTGACACACAACAGCAGAAAGACGGTATATGATTCTTTGCACAGCATATGTTGCCGGCGTGGGAGTTGTGGAACGAGGGAGTAGGGGCGGTTGTGACGAGATGGGAACAGAAGGTTTGGTGGAGAGGTTGCCAGAAGTCGTGAATGGTGTGAGGTCTAGGAATTCGGGAAACAGAATGCGAACTGTGTTCTTAGCAGCATAATGGCCGTAGCTGAGGGATCGATTGAGATGCAGTGCGAGAACTTGAGGTGGCTGTAGGACGTCTTAGATACTCGGGGGGCATATAAAAAGCTCAGACTTACTCTTGCGATCATAGCTTGCTTTGTCGATGCTCTGCTGAACACTTTCTCCATCTTGACACCCTTGACGTCCTCTTCCAGTCGACCATGATCTAAAGCAGACTGTACCCTGAGTTCTAGTTTTCTAGCGTCCTTCACTCGCTTCTTCTTCGATATAGAGGCGGTAGGGTCTGCGTTCACTGCTGCTGCCAACCGGTCTGCTTCTTGCCTTAGCTTCTGATGCGTGGCCTTCATCGAACATTTGCGACATATACAGTCATTCAGCATCTCAAGCTTAGTGTACTCTGCAAGACAATCCTCCAAGTGACAGCTGGCCTGTGTGCGAGTTGAAGTATATTAATGACCAAATCAAGAAACACATACAACATATCGAGGCACAGCAAGTTGCCAGCTGTCGAAAGCAAAGTGCATGACGGCTTCTGTGTAACCGCACTCAACGCAGCTGCGCCTGTTTGCTGTGAGTCCGTCGAACACACTCTTCCCAATCTCCTTGTTAATGTCATTGCGGACTTGAGAGAGTCCACCTAGACCACGATCCCGTTGGCCTTCATTATCGACTGCAGCAACTTCCTTCTTGATGCATTCGGAGACAAGTTGAAATAACTCCTGTGCATCTTGATGTTCTCGAGAGGAAAAGAGGGAGTTGTGTCTGCTTCTGGAGTGATTTACGAGGGTGGTGATCATGTCGAGTGGACGGATTGAATGATAAGCGGTGCGCGGTGTGTTGAGATCTACAGATATGGCTGTCAGATACGTAGCTGTAGTGCTGTACAATGACACGCACCTTGGAGCAAAGCTAAGAGGGCGTCTACGACAGGTGATGGCACATCAAGTTGAATGGCTTTGGCTTGCGTGTACGAGAGATAAGGGTGTAAATAGGACAAGGAGGCCATAGCCTAATTGCACTAGCGTGAATGGGATGATGACGGTTTGGACTGAGTACCTTACCTGCATAGTTGAGTTCATGAAACAGTACGTTCCGGATATATTGACAAGACCGGGGTAATAGCCATCATGGACATCATTTTTGTGCTCTAGAACTGATGTCTAGCAACAATTGGAGTATCACATGGGAAGAAGTACATACGTGGTCTCGCATGTCCGTTCAGCTCGATCTGTTCACTACGAGTGCGTAACACTTTCTTCTTGAGTTTTTTAGTTTCTTGTTGGGTCCCGGAGGATGACGACCAGTTCCATGGAAAGCTGAATGAAAAACTCTCAAACACCATAGTTAGCCACCAGGTGGCTGATGACGATCCAAGGCTATTAAGCACTGCTTGGACGGAGAGCAGGACAATAAGCGGGAATAAAACGAAAACGGCAAGCGGGGTTATTTGAAGAAACAACGGGTCTTTGAATAAGGCGAGAGACCAAGAACGAAATTCGTCTTGAATGTTCATGGGGGGGCTTAACTTTACGCTGCTCTCCAAGACATGAGCGACGCTGGCGATGCGGCAGCTCGGGGAACACAAACCTTTATGTTGTTGACATGGTCGTTCGTTCGTATCTAATACAGCCACGCAATGAAACCAAACACATGGCTACCTGGCGCAATGGTAGCGCGTTTGGCTTCGATTGCCAGCGGCACCAAAAGGTTGCAGGTTCGAGTCCTGCGGTGGTCACTTCATTTTTGTTGCCAAGAAATAAAGTTACAAATATTTTTACATCTTCTTCTTCTTACTCCTCGTAACACTCGTTCCTATGGAACTCACACGGCCACCTTCCTATAGCTATACCCTCCCCAGACATCACTCGCCTCCCCTTTTGCTCCCCCTCATCTAAAATAATTACACACTGCTCATCCGTTCCTTCATCCACGTAATGCCACTTCCCACATACGCCATCGCCAAACGGGTGTGGGAACAGGTCGTCGTCTTCGGGCTCCGAAGGATCTGCAAGAAACGGGTGGTATAGTGCTCCCCGCGGAGTAATGCGCCGTGTTGACTCGGGATGCATTACCTCCGCGAGAAGAGAAAGCGCAGCTTCGACGTCGGCTCGGTGTGAATCAGCTGTTGGGGGTGTTGGTGTACTCGCACGCGTGGGGGTGGTGGAGCGTGACCGAGAGGAACCAGTCTGTCTGAAGCTGTATGATGAAGAAGATGACGGAGGTGGATAGTTGCGTCCTCCAGGGGAATGTGTATCGTAGTTATTGTAGGGATAATATCGAGAGTCTGGCGTACAAGGTTTGAATATGTTAGGATTTTGTTTTTCAACGAACTCGCGCCAGCTTATGCCCTCTTGCGATATTGAAGGCACATTTGTCGCAAATGTTCGACCTGTACAGTACTCGTTAGCTCAAAAATTTAAATTGAACACGATAGTTACTATGCAGGATCGCAGTTTTCTCCATTTTCTGTCGTCCGATAATAGTAGCTATTTCCATGAGAGCTTCTATATCATCACTGGACTGTAGAAGAGGGAATTTTCCCGTCAGGAAGAAAAGAAGGATCATGCCAGCAGACCAAACATCAATGGCTGGGCACCGCGCGTTCAGCCAGCGCGTTGGACTAAAAATGACATGCCGTACCACCGGTTTGCTGACTGCACTTTAGAAGAACTTCAGGGGCCCGGAAGCCTCTCGTGCCTGCCCTGTTTGCTTTCGACGGTGCTCTGGTTTGCAGGGTCAGCCGACGAACTACTTGCGGAAGAAAGCTCACCTCGTATCTTTGTCAGGATAACCAACGCGATCGCTTGGCCACGAGCTTTTCTGTCGGGCTTCCCTCTGCATCTTCTTCAGGAGGTCGACATCATAGTCATTCCGACCTCTTATCTTGCCGTGAGGATGCTCCCGCGTGGCAGAGGTATGTAAGCATGCACCGTGCGCGGGCGCAGATCCATCCATTCTCTGAAAATATTGTGTTATGGGATATACCTGAACCGCATGTCTCACTGCTCACACTTGCGAGCCCAAAATCGCACAGGGCACCTATGCCTGTTCGAGGATCATACAAAAAGTTGGCGGGTTTAACGTCCCGATGTATGATACCCCTGGCATGAATATCGCGCAACGCACGGAACATACATCGAAAGTATGCTTTGATACCAGCCATAGACAGATCTTTGTAGAATTCCTGATCTAATATTAAAGCGTCTTCCATATGTGAACCGGTGTACCCACTCGGAAATCCTCGTTGCGGGTGTATGGCATAATAGCGACCACCTGATCCTGGTGTCGGAATGCGGTGATAAGCTGGGACGTATGACGGCACCCCCTGCAGTCTTCCATGATCGAGATCTCATTTCGTATTCGTTCTGGATTGCTTGTGACATAGATTCGTTTGATGGCGACAAAGACTTTGATACCAGGAGGATAAGGAGCTGATTGGTAATGTGCAGAGGATATAGGAGGATGGCAACCATGCCACGCAGTGTTGTCCCATTTATAATGATAAGCCAAATCTATGGCCTTGTATACGGAGGAGAATGTCCCTGTGCCAAGGCGGTCGACGATGGTGTAGTCTTCTGATAACGACGGAACGGCGTTGTTGAGATTGGCAATTTCTAGTTGGATCTCTTGTTGTTCTTCCGGTGGTTTGAGGTACAATGTCTTTTCTTCGTCCGTCTCGCCATCCGCGTCAGCATCTTCATCAGGGTCATCGTCGTCGAGAGTGCCCATATCGTGCGGAGCTTCAAAGTTCATATCATCAGCACTCTCCATGCTCTCGTCGAGATCTATGACCGGGAGCTCGTCTGGGTGACTTGGACGCTTTCGCTTGATAGTAGAGGGCGCAATGCCTTGTTTTGAATAAAGGCGTGAAAGATGATTGTGATATTCGACCATCTCTGGCCTTTCGAGGCCATTGTGGCCATCTTCGGAGGTGGGGGTGAAGGCACCGTTTGTATTCTGTGCTGAGACATACTCCTCGTGGTAAGCTTTGTTACGAACATCAGAAGAACCGACTTCAAGAGGATTAGATGAATGCTGAGAGAGTAGCATGGTTGCCATGGCGCGTCTGGCCGATGTGAGTAATGACCAGCCTGTCTAGGCGTTGTGGTAAGTAGAAAGTATGTTTAAGCTGCAAGCCTCGTCGCGACAAACGCGACGGGGTCACGTGAGCTAGATAAGCACAAGATAAACGATAAAAAATGACCACCGCAGGACTCGAACCTGCAACCTTTTGGTGCCGCTGGCGATCGAAGCCAAACGCGCTACCATTGCGCTAGGTAGCCATGACGTCTTTCTGTTCTCAACCAATCTGTATAGAAGGACATATCCAAATTGGCTACTTACTGCTCAGGCGAACTCCAGCTGTGGCAACAACATCTCTATCATGGCGCTCGATTGGACGATGCTGGATGCGAGACACCAACCTATACCCCTGGGTGATGAGACCACCATCATGTCCATAGATCATGATTCTCAAGTGGAGTTCTCCTTGACCATACCCGACGCGCCACCTTCGGGTGCTGCTGCCACCGGGGGCAATGGTGGGGTGAAGATGATGAAGGAGAGAGGAAAACTCTGGCTGACGAACAAACGAGTATGTTCATCTCTCCCTCCCAACATCAATGTCTCTAAAATCGATCTAATTTCGATGTGCACTAGCTCATCTTCACAGCACCCAAAGAGGGAAAGACCAAGCCGTCATTCGAATCGTTATCGGTACCGCTGGACGCAATCCTATCTAGCAAATTCGAACAACCCTACTTCGGCGCTAACTTCGTAGTGCTTGATCTCAAGCCCTCGCCAGGTGGTGGGCTTACAGATGGTACGAGCGTCGAGATCCGATTTTATGACAGGGGGTTGTTTGAGTTCGTGAGCGTTTTGGAGAAGACGCGCGAAAGAGTCGTTTACATGAAGAGACAGGCGGCCATGGAGGACGACGAGAACTTGCGTGAGTACTCATTCCAAATGGCATCGACCTCTCTAATGTGCTTGTGATGAATAGCTGCGTATACGTCATCCGGCTCCGCACCCGGAGCTTCGAATTCATATACGGATACCCCGCCTGGATATGTTGCTTGAAATCATTTTATTGACCCAGCATTATACTCTGTATCAACGACATCGGACTTTGCAAGGAATGTAATATGTGTACATTTTTCTACCGAACTTTCAGCCTTATCGTCCGTGCATGCTAGGTGTTATAATATTAATGTGTTGTTTGCAATATTTGCTGACAGTGGCATCCCCTTAAACTTTCAGTGATCTATAATCTACGCTGAGGTTCGCGGCTATTTTTGGGCAACTTTGAAGTCACGGGTAATTATCCCGCTGGCTGTCATCATAGGCGGCTAGAACACTGTCACGACTCGCGATGCCACAAGAACGCTTAGGTATCTATGCTGCAACGAGCAGCCAGTCTCAGATGGGCTGTCCCGTGGGATCAAAAGCATCCTTGATGTTTTATGTTTTGAAGGTCTATCATGTTACCAGTGACCTCCGCAGAACATCAATGGTCACAGTATGGCCTGTTGCGTGTTGATCGCATGAACCTGCCTTTCGTGTGTCTTGTGTTATATATTTGACACTAAATCCTGGTAGCTCGAGTTCCTCGACTTACCGTGAAAATCATTTCGATGAGGATTCTCGACCTTGCAGTTTTTCCTTCGGGACGGGGGGCCCTATTCTCGTCATCTGATTCGTCTGCCGTACTATAAAGAGGTATGTAGTAGTTAACTATATATATGTGCATTGAAGTCGGTTAAGATATTCCCACTAGGGCGGGGAACTGCTGGGAAATGCCATATGCTGAATTTAAACCAGGACCTAAAGTTCATTCATTATCGTCCAAGTGATCATGCCACCATTTGACATGTTCAGAGTCTCAATGTCAGTCTATGAACACACGAGATGAACGCGCCGACCGGATGTATTTGTCGGCCGGTGTACAGCGATTCAAGTGGGTGTCGAAATATGGATCGTACCTGAAATGATGACCATGAGAGCCAGATAGCATTATGACGAACCATATCGAGGTTAATTCTTGTACGGGATTTATGCCAATTCCCTTGTAATTGAAGGCATAGGTTTTAACTGGACAGCCTGCATCAGCTGTGGCGACGAATCGAAGACGTGGACAGATCATTTAATATGACTTGCAAAAGTGGACCAAGTTAACACACTACATCATGAATGTCACCAATCCCACCGCCCCACAGAACGTACTCCCTCCATTCAATGCATACATCATGATTGGGCCAGTGGTGCTGGGTGCGCTCGTTAATGCCTGCATCTTCGGCGGTCTCGTCATTCAGACTTATGTCTATTATGCAAATTTCCCCAACGATCATCGAGTGATGAAGCTCACGGTCAGTGACCCTAGTATGTGAATTTATAACACGAGTCGCTGACTGAACACCATGTTTCCAGGTAGCAGCCATCCTGTAAGTGGCTTATGTAGCCTTTCTCCCTGCTCTACCCGAGCCAATCAAACTGTACAGCGCATCGCAGATTGCACACGTGATTTGTGTATCAGCGACACTATGGAAAGCTGCTGTCAGTGGCTACGGCAACCCTCTGACGCTGTTGGTCTTCCCGCAGGGAGCAGACGCAGCTATCCTCTTCACTGCAATTACAGGGGCACTGGTAGAGGTAAGATCATTCATCGAATTTGATGGAGATTCTGACCAGCATGTATGTAGTCATCCTTCGTGTTTCGGTTGTGGAAGCTTTCGAAAACACTCACTCTGCCCCTTGTCTCGCTGGCACTCTGTTTATTAGCTCAGTCTATTGCGCTTGTGATGACAGTGAAAGCTTTCGCCATGACAAACCTTGTGACATTCGAAATTGATGAAAACAGACTGATCACGCTTTCGCTCACCTCGCGTCTGGTTTGTGAGTTGACACTTACCCTGTCCATGGTGTGGTACCTGAGGAAGCAACGATCATCGACATTTTTAAGGCACGTTACATTACTTCCAATTCGTTCCGTCGTAATGATTTACAGGACGACGACGATAATTGACCGTTTGGTTCTGTGGACTCTCGGTAACCACTCTGCACTTTCTGGCAGATACGACTCATCCTTTCAATCACTTCGCAGAAACTGGCCTTATAACTAGGTATGTGGCAAGACCATCCTGGCATGTTGGGGCTGATGTTATGTTGAGCCTGGTTGTAGTCTTTATCATGGGCTTCGTAAGAGATCCTTTCCCAGATGTACAGTACTGCACTGATTGTGAAAGAGTAGTTCCTGGCAATGAAGCAGAATTGTGAGTGAATCGGGATATCTCTCCTTCGTCGCAAAGTGAACATTTCCAGACATATGGGTTTCGATATATGCAAACCTTGCTACTGGTCTGTGTCCGCAAAATGCACATATTCGAAACACTTACCTAGTTTTTGGGTCTCAGTGAATGCGAACTCGTTACTTGCATCGTGAGCTTTCTTCACTGATTTGGTGACGCACTCACGCGGTTGTAGGCTAAACGGCAGAATAATCCTCCGAAGCGTGCCGAAGACAAGTTTAAACATGAACACTCTGAGTAGTTCATCTGGTGGGCGTAGCCGCAAAACCGAGGTTCGTAGATGTGGTGTGTCGCCTTGCGATGTGGCTTACTGAAGTCGTGCAAAGTCTGTGGTGATCAACGTCACGCAGACAGTTGGAAGTGTTCCAGGTGTTTTCAAATACGATGAAGGTGAAGTTTAGGTTCGAGAAACTAGAGTAGTGACGACAACGGCAATTCATGCGTTATATGATGAAGCTACCAACCAACTTCCATTCGCTGATTTGGATGCACACACAGGAATGCCGATAAATGTAGGCGAAGAGCCAAATGATATTATTCTCTTTCAAGGAGTCAACGCCGCATTGTTGCAGGCGTTCTCCCCATTCAAGTTATCTGATGTGACAACTGACTGCATGAGACGTTAGTCTCCAGCAGCTGACTCGTGTTTAATTATGATATAAGATGGTGTTGTTTCGGTCAAAAGATGTCTACATTACAAGGTAATAAAATCTTGGTAGCTCGAGTTGTCAAACTCGCCACCAATATCACTTCAATGAGTATCGGTGGCTACTCGGTCTCGAGACTTGGCCGTTGGGTCGGTTACTCAAGATATATACACTAGCCTAAGGAACCAGGACAAGCCGCTACTTAAGGCTTGTCTGTTGTGGTCAAAGTGATCCGCATCCGTCATGCTCTAGAGCAAGAGTCTTAATGTCAGTATATATAAACGAGACGAGCACACAGAAAAAACGGGTTCACTGACCAGAGTACGACGAGCACGGTGAGTGCTGAAAAACGTCAGTGGATTGATAACCATGAGTCGCCAGACAATATTATTACTGAACTAGAATCTAGACCATCTACCTTCCGTTGCACTCGGCGGCGCAATTTCAAACTAGGCACCGGCGTTGCCGACTATTTACCTTGCTCCGGTTGATTCCCGTGCTTCAACCAAATTTTCTCATCCTCGATTTTATTCAGGAATACAAGGCTGTTGTACTATAGTGCTACGGTCCCAGAAAACATGCTAGAAAAATAGGAAATAGAACACGCTTCGAGATACAAGTACAACTATGAGTGCAGTTGCAGGCACTGTACCTGTTTTAGGCTTTCGAACCACTCGCGTCATTCTCTCGGTGAATTTTATTTATTTTCCGGTTGATTTGTGTCGTCGTCGACGTGCAGGCGTTTTTAGTTAGTATTGTGGTGGACCGCACCGAGCCTCATAATGATTACGCTTTTGGAAAGTATCATGATCTTGGATTTTCCAATGACGCACGCTGAACTCGATCTCCGCGATGAAACCGTTGAGAGCGGTATTGGTGTGGATGGGATCAATAAGGTTGCCTTGATAGAAGACAGGGAGGGGTGCTGCTTGAAAATTGTATTTGATGCTATCAAAGTTCAGTGCAAATTCGTCCGGGATGGGCCAGTTTGCGATTTCGTTGTCCATCCGTGGAGCTTCTTCCACAGCTTGTCCATCAGGGGAGTGAGGTACGGCGTTTTTAAGTTGTCATGTATGTTGATAACCGTATGCACGTACCCTTAAGGTGAATACGTTCCTTACAAAACGTACCATTGTCCCTGTCACATCATCGACAATCATACTCATACGTTGATCTGTGGTGGCGACTTGGTGTTGCAACGAAGTATGTCGTCTCTAGGGTTAAACTTGTGTGTATGTCTTTCGGTTTCTTTCTGTGCGCTTGTTAGACAACGGAAATCAGAACGTAACAACACAGCATGAGTGGACAACATCGCCGGCGGTATCAGTGGACCCAGTTATCACACCGGAGGACATTCGTAGTGCATCCATGAATGATGTGCACCTCTCTCCTGTGAAAGGTGCCAATATGCATATGAAACACCGTCAGATTATCAGACTCAGATAACTACTTGTGCGATTTTACGTTGATTGGTCTAACGTCTACGCAGCGTCAATCGTCTTATACATCATGATTCTTCGAGGGTAGAGTATGTTTTGTTTTCGATATCTCAGTCTGAGGCTCCCTATCATATTTTAATCACGTGCCAGAAATGGAGAACGTAATAGTGCTTACGGTTCTTCGAAACGGAAGTTGTAGGAAATATCGAAAGCGTCAGCGATCTCCTCCATAGGGCCCGACCTGGAGTATTGAAGGCGGCGGCTTGCGACGCGGTTTACTGTTCCTTGTTCAGTGCCAAGTGGTCACCGTGCTTCAGTTTGCGATAACCATCAAGTCAGGTGATTCAACAAATTATTTTTCTTCACACGGACTATTGCTTACGTTGGCTGACATCTGAACATGACCTTGCGGAGCAAGGTCACTCTTGGCGTCGAGTGGAAGAAATGAACAGGTGATTTAATACGGGTCGGCAAAGTGGACGGGATACCACCTCGCATCATGGATGCTACCGATTCTAGCACCTCCTTGTCTTTTGAAGTCGCAGCATTCAATGCGTCCATCATCGTTGGACCGGTGGTGTTGGGCACACTTGTTGACACCTGCCTCTTTGGCTGTCTCGTCGTCCAGACTTATGTGTATTGTGCAAATTTTGCCAACGACCATCGAGCGATTAAGTTCACGGTCAGTGAAACTGACATGAGCATGAGACACGAATCACTGACTTGATATGATCTTCCCAGGTAGCACTGTAGCAGCAGTCTTGTAAGTGGCTTATACATCATCGCTCCCTGTCCAGACCAGCCAAAGTATACAGCGCAACACAAATTGCACATGTAATGTGTGTATCGGCGACATTGTGGAACACTGCTGTCAGCGCATACGACGACCCTTCGAAACTTCAGATACCCTTTCAGCTTTGTCGTCCATGCATACTAGGTGTTATAATTATCAATCAATTCATTATCACGACTCGCGATGCCAAGCGAACACAATCTCAGAATGGCTGTTCCATGGGATTGAAAGCATCCATGATTCCGAGGACCATCACGTCATCAGTGACCTCCGCAGAAGATTCATAGTTACGGCATGGCCTGTTTGTTATCAAATAATGTTTGATACCAAATCATGGTAGCTCGGGATCTTCAACTCCCCATGAAAATTACTTCGACGGGGATTCTCGGCCTGGGAGTCGGTTTGTTTTTTTATAATTCCCTAGGTTTGGCGGCCCTATTGGCGGATACGTCTCGTCATCTGGTTCGTCTGAAAGAGGTATGTAGTGAACTATGTATATTATAATATGCCTTGAGGTCGGTTATTCAAGATATTCCCACTAGCGCGGGGAACTGTTAGGAACTGCCACCAGCCTGGAAGTAGTAGGACATTTCATATATTAAATTTGAACCATGGCCCAAAGATTTAAGTCCGTTCATATTCATATTGTCCAAGTGATCAGGCCATCTGACATGCACAGAATGTTGATGTCAGTCTATGAATAAACGAGATAAACACGCGGCCGAACAGATGAATTCGTCGGCCGATCATGATGTACAACGAGAAGTTCAAGTGGGTGCTGAAACATGGATCGTACCTGAAGTGATGACTATTAGACGCCAGACAGTACAATCTCCGAACTCAATTCTTGCACAAGTTTTACGTCAAACCTTCGTGATGGAGGCATAGCCTGTATCAACTGTGGCGATGAATAGAAGACGTAGACAGGTCATTTAATACGGCTTGTAAAGTGGACCGAGTTAACGCACTACATCATGAATGTCACCGATCCCAGCACCCTAGTAACTGCCTCAGGGAACGTACTCCCTCCATTCAATGTATACACCATGATTGGGCCAGTAGTGCTGGGCGCGCTCGTTAACGCCTGCCTCTTCGGCGGTCTCGTCGTTCAGACTTATGTCTATTATGCAAATTTCCCCAACGATCACCCAGTGATGAAGCTCACGGTCAGTGATCCTAGTATGTGGATTTAGAACACGAGTCGCTGACTGGACGCCATGTTTTCAGGTAGCAGCCATCCTGTAAGTGGCTTATGTAGCCTTTCTCCCTGCTCTACCCGAGCCAATCAAATTGTAAAGTGCATCGCAGATTGCACATCTGATTTGTGTATCAGCGACATTGTGGAATGTTGTTGTCAACGGCTACGGCAACCCTCTGACACTGTTGATCTTCCCGCTGGGAGCAGACGCGACCATCCTCTTCACTGCAATTACAGGGGCACTGGTAGAGGTAAGATCATTCATCGAATTTGATGGAGATTCTGACCAGCATGTATGTAGTCATCCTTCGCGTTTCGGCTGTGGAAGCTTTCGAAAACACTTACTCTGCCCCTTATCTCGCTGGCACTCTGTTTATTAGCTCAGTCTATCGCGCTCGCGATGGCAGCGAAAGCTTTCGCTATGACAAACCTTGTGACATTCGAAACCGACGAAAACAGACTCATCATACTTGCGCTCACCTCGCGTCTGGTCTGTGAGTTGACACTTACCCTGTCCATGGTGTGGTACCTGAGGAAGCAACGGTCGTCGACATTTTCAAGGTACGTTACATTACTTCCAATTCGTTCCGTCGTAATGATTTACAGGACAACGACCAAAATTGACCGTTTGGTTCTGTGGACTCTCGGTAAGTACTGTGCACTTTGTGGCAGATGACTCATCTTTTCAACCACCTCGCAGAAACTGGCCTTATAACTAGGTATGTGGCAAGACCTTCCTGGCGTGTTGGGGCTAATGTTATCTCGAGCCTGGTCGTGGTCTTTGTCATGAGCTTCGTAAGAGATCCATTCCCAGATGTACAGTACTGGACTGATTGCGAAAGAGTAGTTCCTAGCAACGAAGCAGAATTGTGAGTGAACCAGGATATCTCTCCTTCGTCGCAAAGTGAACATTTCCCAGACATATGGATTGGAATATATGCAAACCTTGCAACTGGTCTGTGTCCGCAAAATGCACATATTCGAAAACGCTTACTGAGTCTTTGCGTCTTAGTCAATGCGAACTCGTTGCTTGCATCGTGAGCTTTCTTGACTGGTCATTTGGTGACGCGCTCACGCGACTGTAGGTTAAACGGCAGATTAATCATCCGAAGCGTGCCAAACGACAGTTTAAACATGAATACTCTGAGTAGTTCATCTGGTGGGCGTAGCCGCAGAACTCAGGTTCGTAGATGGGTCGCCTTGCAATGTGGTTTACTGAAGTCGTCCGAAGTCTGTTGTGATCAACGTCACGCAGACAATCGGAAGCGCTCCAGGTATTTTCAAATACGATGAAGGCGAAGTTTAGGTTCGAGAAACTGGGGTAGTGACTACAACGACAATTTATGCGTTATATGATGAAGCTATTAACCAACTACCATTCGCTGATTCGGATGCACGCACGGGAACATCGAGAAACGTAGAGCCAAATGATAATTTTCTTTCAAGGAGTCCTCCAAAATCCTGGTAGCTCGAGTTGCCCAACTCACCACGAATATCATTTCAATGAGTGTCAACTGCTCGGTCTCAAGCCTTGGCCGTCGGGTCGGCTATTCAAGATGTACCCGTTAGCTTAAGGAACCAGGACAAGCTGCTACTTAAGGCTCGTCTGTTACGGTCAAAAGTGATCCGCATCCGTCATGCTCTAGAGCAAGAATCTTAATATCAGTATATATAAACGCGACGAGCACACAGACAAAACAGGTTTACTGACCAGAGTACGACAAGCACGGTGAGTGCTGAATAATGTCAGTGGATTGATAACCACGAGTCGCCAGACAATATTATTACTGAACTAGAATCTAGACCATTTACCTTCCGTTGCACTCGGCGGCGTAACTTCAAAGTCGCTTGCATCAACTCTTGGCGTCGAGTGAAAGAGATGGACGGGTGATTTAATACGGGTCGGGAAAGTGGACTGGATACCACCTCACATCATGGATGCTACCGCTTCTAGCACCTCCTTGTCTTTTGAAGTCGCAGCATTCAATGCATCCATCATTGTTGGACCGGTGGTGTTGGGCACACTTGTTGACACCTGCCTCTTTGGCTGTCTCGTCGTCCAGACTTATGTGTATTATGCGAATTTTGCCAACGACCATCGAGCGATTAAGTTCACGGTCAGTGAAACTGGCATGAGCATGAGACACGAATCACTGACCTGATGTAATCTTCCCAGGTAGCAGCAGTCTTGTAAGTGGCTTATATATCATCACTCCCTGTCCAGACCAGCCAAATTATTATATAGCGCAACACAAATTGCACATGTAATGTGTGTATCGGCGACACTGTGGAACACTACTGTCAGCGCATACGACGACCCTTCGGAACTTCAGATACTCCCATTGGCAGCAGCCGCGACTATCCTCTTCACTGGAATTACAGGGGCACTCGTTGAAGTAGGATTCCTCGTCGAATTTGATGGTGATACTCACCTGCACGTAGTCGTACTTTGCTTTTCGACTATGGAAGGTTTCGAAAAAACTTCTTCTTCCCTTTCTCTCCCTGGTACTCTGCACAATAGCTCAGGCTATCTCACTCGTGATCACGGTGCAAGCTTTCAAAACGACAAGCATTGCGGTATTCGAAATCGATCAAAACATGTCGATCACGCTTGCGCTCACGTCGCGTGTGCTCTGTGACCTGATACTTACCCTGTCCATGGCGTGGTACTTGAAGAAGCAGCGGTCGCAATATCCAAGGCAAGCCACATTACTTCCAATTCGTGCCGCTGTAATCATTTTGCAGGACGACAAACATGATTGACCGTTTGGTTCTGTGGACTATTGGTGAGCACTGTGCTCAATTTTCCAGATGTGACTTACATCTAATCGATCACTGTGTAGAAACCGGGCTGATAACCAGGTACGAGGAAAGACGACGATTCTGGCGTGTTTAGACTGAAGTTATGTTGAGCTTGGTCGCGGTACTTGTCATGAGCTTCGTAAGAGATCCTTTCTCGGACACGCAGTACTAAACTGATTGTGAAATAATGTGCAGTTCCTAGCAATGAAGCAGAATTGTGAGTGAACAAAGATCTCTATCCTTCGCCACGAACTAAATTTCACGCAGACATATGGGTTGGATTATATGCGATCCTTGCGAGCGGTCTGTGCCCGAACAATGTATATATTCGAAATACTCACCTAGGCCTTGCCCCGCAGTGAATGGAAACTCGTTGCTGGCATCGTGAGTCAGTCTCATTCATTTGGCGACATCGTGACGAGTTCAGGCTTTTGCAGGCTAAATGGCAGATTAATCTTTCGAAGTGTGACGAACCAAAACTTACGCATGAGCATTCTGAGTGGTCCAGGTGGTGGGCATAACAAACAACAAGTTCGTAAATGTATCATCTTGTAATGCAGTGTACTGAAGTCACATGGAGCCTGTTGTGATCAATGTCACCCAGACAGTCAGAGGTTCTCCAGAGATTTTCAAACACGATGAGGAGGAGGTTTACGATAAACCGCTGGATATTGAATGATAGCGGCTCATGCGTAGCATGATGAAGTGAGTTACTTCTCTGGTGAAGATCGAAACCCTTCTGAAAGCACAAGGCTTTAGTACTCAAGTCTCCAGGTCGAAAGGCTGACCCGTAATTGCATCATGATAGTCGATAAAGCGTGGGCTGTAACATATATAAGCATCGTGTTATGGCCGAAAAGTTGTTAGAACATTCGTGAACGTCAAGAAGTTGACTGGCAAAATTAATTGGAATTTGGAAGCCAAATAAGGAAATTTAAGTGAAGCGCCACAACTTAGGAATCAATTAATCACTTGACATGTATCTAGGGCTACGTCACTCTCTTCTGACATAATATCGGATACGGAAAATGAATGCTTTACCGGTTTCTCTATCCCGGCCTGACATTCCCCAATACTACTATATAGTAAGTGGGACGCGTCTCGTACACAAGCAGGCGCGTATGCACACTGGATTTTTCAAGGATGATAATAAATTCATAGGCAAACGGTCACACCGTGGGCAGTGTCAAGGAAGACACAAATGCAACATAGTATGTATGTTTCATTCATAACAAATGCGATTCAAAGGTCCAGGCTCCATGGCGAGATACGAGATATCTATGTAAGATAAGCCGAGCGCCATGGTGGGATACGATCTATCAGCTACGTCCAGCGTGCGATAAAGATGTGCAATAAAGATAACCCAATAAGCATATAGAAGATGCACTAAGCAAGAACGAAGGGAGGAAAACAAGTCAAAAATAGGAAATATTCGAAAGGAATGCAAGTAATAGAATGAACCTAGTGTCTTTAATCATAGAGAGAAGTGGTTTCAAGAATTGGAGACAACACTAGAGTACGGAAAAATTAGTAGCAGCGATAGATGCAGGGAAAGAGGGACATACATATTCCTAGGTCGCGTTCTTGGCAGGGACAATATACCCATGGACAATTTTGATCAACCCTTGGAGACAGAAATCGTACCCTCCATGCTCAGCATGCGCCCTGCTAGCAAGCAATGGCTTGCACCCCTTCTGGTGCCGACCCACAGAATCAACCCTCGACAACGATCTTTTGCAGTAGGGGCATTGGTAGGACATCTCAAAGTGGACGCTTTCGATGTGACGGCTCAAATGTATCATTACCCCTATGTCCGAGCAATCTTCGAATTGGCAGGGAGTGCGTTTCTTCACACCATGCCAACACCATAGGTGGTCTTCGATCCGGATCTTGTCCATCTCTACGAACAGACCACATGGCTGGTCAGTCCAATCGCATGAGCGTACGCAGATCAGTTCTGATGAGGGCTCCTTCGTAACGTTGTCGGACGCGCTGGGGTAGGAATCATCCAGTTCCATCACCCCAAATCTCCTCGTCCGAAGGGGATTGCCGTGGGGATCATGGGACCTGCGGCTACTGATGTTGACCGGCTTTGGGTCATGAACAGGCATGACCATGACTGTGGCACTGGGGTCCGCTAGCGTGTACGGGCCAAACTTCCCCTGGCTGATGACATTGTCCTCGGCGTTCTGGCGTCTGCGCTTGCGGGTTGTTGGTAGAACAGACAAACTTGAACTACTGTCCACGGATATAAAGGTCTCGCGGGATTTACGCTTGCGAGGCTTTTCAGAAGCCGTCTCGTCGAGAGCAGAGGAAGAAGGCTCTACACTTGAGCCCGCACTAGATACCGTCTGCAAGGGAGCATCTTCAACTTGACCTTGAGGGAATGTCGCGGTGGGGTAATATGTGTTGGATGGACCCGCGATGGTCTGAGGTTGCTGGTAAGGGTAGGAGGGTGCGGGATTATATCCATATTGGGGCCATGCGTGGCCCTGCAGCGGTGCTTGAACTTCTACAGAAGGCTGCGAATAATACGCACCACCAGGATGATATTCATACTGGGGCAATGCGGGGCCTTGCGGTGTGGCAGAGGGCTGCGTATGATGTGCACCTGGAGGCCCGTTCATGAAATAACCATGGCCATATTCATGCTGGGGCCACGCGTCGCCTTGGGGGGGCGCTTGCGGGACAACATTGGGCTGCGGAGGGTAGTAAAGCGTGGGATCATTGTGGGGTAACTGGGGAAGATCAGCCACTGGGGTCGTGAAATTCTCCAATGTCGGAAACGACGCCTGAGGATATTGAACATATTGTAAATCGGCCGAAGTCCTGGAGAAACAAATAAGTAACGATGGGGACTCTGTTGGAGTGTCACGTACCCTTCAAGTTGTTGCGGCGCTGCTACTTCATCATAGTTTGATCTGTGGTTGGATGTGAGTTGCTTGGCCCAGGTAGGCTAATTAAATCAACTTACCCATTAACGTTAGCATCGGCTTGGCCTGCCAGCGCGTTTTCGTCAAAGGCACGTAATTCCTCGCTGTTATTAAACAATCTGTCAAAGGCCGTGAGTTTGAGTAAGTGATTTGAAGGGGCTAGATGCACGTACTCATCCAACTGGGCGCGCAGTTCGGGGGATAATTCATCACTTTGGCTTTGGTAAGCCGCGACCAAGTTAGCTACGTCTTCTTGGGTAAGCTGAATAAAATCTAGGTCGCCAGGGAGCGACTGGTGGTCATTTGAAATAGGCATAGACTCGCTAAGAAAACGATGAGATGAAGTCCGCCATTGAACTCAAGATTGAAGACCAACCTATCGATTTGCGTTTGAAGGGAGTGAAATGAGGAACTAGATGTGAAAGCTATCGTTAGCATGTAAAGATATCGAACTGAGATGTGAGTAGACTCACATAGACATATCGATGAATCAAATAAATGAAGTGGCTAAGATGACAAGACGAAGTTGAAAAAATAGAGCAGTAATGAGAGAAGTGGACGAGGTAACAACGGGAGGTTTTTATAACTTGCGACAGGGCAGCAAAGCGGTAGACAAAGGATGGCCTGTGGACATGCATTGAAGCCATCGATTTAGCATTATGCCCCGACAACATATCGGAAAAAGGGAAGCGTCTGTGGATACTTCCATATAGGAAATGCTCCTGTGTGCTTGTGAATTCGATTTAGAATACACTGCTTTGTAGCATCACACACAGTCCACAAGATCACAAAGGTCACTTACCCTTGGTAAACGTGGAATGTGACAATCAAAGTACCGGTGGTTATTCACCAGAGGATCACATTACATATGGAGCAGTACAACTCCGATAAGGTTCCCAGGATGTGAACAACGGCATTCTTAAGGAGTAGTGTCACGGCACACTCGACCACCACCATGAACTTTGGCAGCGGTACCTGCTTAAGACAGCAGCCAGCAAACTCGAGCACGAGCGGGCAGTTGTATAGCTTAAAGTTGTCCAGTATATAGACACACGATTATGATGCAAGATGAGGGTAGCATTCTCTGTGCTGAACCATCCGTCAACAGTTATACTGTGAGGAAAAACAAGATAGATTACATATCGGTTTGAGATAGCCATATCAACAATCCAGGGTTATGATAAATTTTGTACGATGTATAGAGCTGCACGCCTCACGCAAGAGTTGTATTGATATTAGAATTCGCCATAGCCCTCAGTTAGTATGTCAGAAGGGAAGATGAGCGTTGTTTTTGTCTGTTGTGCAAAGGCTTCTAGGAGTTTCCTTATTCGGACACTTCCCCGCACTTTGCAAAGTTACTTTGATGCTGATCTAAATCGAGGACATCTGCTCCGCTCTCGACATGCACCAGTGTCTTTGCGTAGGTGAGATCCTGGAAGTGATTTTTTATTTTGTATTCAACGATAGACGACAACGTTTCTGCTCACATTTACTGCCTGATCTCATACCATCACCGGAAACTCAAGATCGACGTTCCACCTTCCGACTTGCACTCACCTGCCGTGCATTTCGAGATTTAGCATTGAATGTTCTTTATTCTCATCTGAGAAACTTATGGCCTCTTATTATCTCATCTAGACCTTCAACGCTCCATCCTGATACATTCCGTCCGTTGGTCCTCGCTTCCCGCGTACAGATTCTATCCCAACCACGTCAGGATGGCAATGCATATCTATCCCTTCTTGTATGTGCTCAAAAGTAAGTACCTCTTTTCCCAAACTTACGATTCCTCGCATGAAGCGATTGTTCTCTCACCTGTATCCCAGTTCTCAAACTTCTCTTACTACCCACAGTTGAGATCCTCGCCCTTGACTTCTCATCAGACGGTGGACCGGCCTGCCGCACTGCTCTCTGAGAGGAGGAACAAGGACGATGCTGATGAGTCCAAGTGCTACTGCTCCCGTGCGCTACACACGTACTGTCCGACGTCATCAGCTGTTTCTTCACGACTGTATATACCGCGTTTTTGCTCCTTGATGCAACTTCTCTTAACAAGTCACAATATCCTGACTCTGTCATCAACGTCACCTTGGGTTCCGGTATCACTCCGTACCGCGCAGCGCTATCAAAGTACTACAATGTCTCGAGGGCGGCCGCCATCCACTTGAGTACTTTACTTGCGCAAGAAATTCAGGAGGAAAGCTTTCCAGGTCAGAGCGAATATCGCACCTGGGATTTTCCCTTCTGAAATGACAAGCCAGTCGAGGTTTTGTTAATCTTTCTAGCTAATGATTGATAATCTTAGCTGGTAGCTCTGGTGAACTCGATAAGTCGCGGATTCTGGTAGGTGAGGTTGGGCGTGACGAAGATTTCGTACACGCTGCTTTGTTGCTGGCTTGCAACCAGTATGCATCATGATTTGGACGGTACGTTGATCGTGCCATTACCCGGTTTGTTATATTCACTCAATACTTGTCTGCAAGACCCTTGCCATCGATGGCGGGTATCTCCGAACACACTTGAATCACGCTTCCGTTTGCATTCTCTGACCTTCGCATGTATCATTATTCTCAAGCGCCCTTATATCGAATGCCAAATTATAGTCCCATTGCATGCAAAAGAACTTTAATACTTGATATGACACAATAATATTGTAACGGTAAGGGAGGGGTTATCACGGCGGTGTAGTGATTAAGTCAAGCACTGCATGTATGTCCTATTAATAGATAAATTACACTTTCCGCAATATAAAAATGTCGATTAGGCTTGTCGGTACTGTCAACTTAAATATCCCTCCTCTGATCTTCCTATGACCGGGGTATGATGGAATCCTCTCGGACGTTGCCATAGTACATTGCTCGTGGCACCGAGCGGGGATTCTCCAATGCGGCGCTGGCAGTAGCCCAAGATGTTAAGTTCTTGAGTGACGATAGCGTTGGAGTAGCTACTCTGCGAGGATGAGGGCGTGGTATATCATGGCCTTCCCGCGGACTGGCTTCGTCTGGCATGCAACTAGGTGGGGGTGGCGATGTCACTGAGCCCGACACCGTCTGGCTCGTAGCGAAGCTGAAGTTTCTCATCGTCCTGCTGAGGGTCTGCAATACTGACCCGCCGCCGGTGCTGGGTTCAGCATGTGTACGTTGTTCGACCTGGTTCATGTACGTTGAATGAATAGATGAGTCTGAGAGACCCCGTCTACGCAGGGTACGCTCGAGGAGGGGGCCAGGGATATCATCCGCTTCGCCATGTTCTGGACTAGTGTCAGCGTCAATCTCGCGTGACAAGTGTAAATTGCTCCGTTTGTGCGCGAGAGATCTGTCAATGGTCGTGGTACCGCTCTGCGAGGACTCATCTGGTTTGAAGAATGTGGAACGGACACGGCGAGGAGCAGGGGGAAGAACTACCCATGGGTCCGCTGCATCATTTGGGTGGGGTGCACCTGCGAAGATGCCCATGACGCTGCGTACATTTGAGGTTGACGCAGGAGGACGAGGAATAGTATCAACGTGGGACATCGGGCCAAACGGATGTGCTTCGTTTGTAGGATGAGCCGAGAATGTGCTTGTTACAGACTTGCCAACGCCAGCCCCCGAGAATTCGACGTTGACTATAGTAGCGGATGCAGCAAGCGCCGGGCCCAGCTTTGGCACTGGACGTGGCTGATGAATGACTCCACGACCAGGTCTAGGGGGTGATTGAGAAGGGTGAGTGCTCGACTCGCTTAATGATGAGCCGAAGAGCTTCGAGAATGGGGTCATCCAACTTGAGCCCGGTCCAGACGCCTTACTCTCTCTCTCCATCGCTTCAGCCTTTGCAGGGTCCAGTGCCATCTCACTAACCCTCTGTGCTATAGAAGGCTCTAGAATGACATCATTCAGCGTGACACGTAGCTGCCCAAGTTCCTCAAACACGTCCTTAAAAAACTTGAACAGCCCACGCAGATCCTTCCGGGTGCACATGAGCGTGGCCTTCTCATCCTCCAGCAGTATGCGGTACTGTGCACGCAGCTGAGTGATCTCCGAGAGGATGCTGCTTACTGTTGCACGTGATAGATGCTTAACGTCCGCGCCACGCAGATGCTGGCGTTTTAAGCGGTTTGTCAGAGTCAGCGCATCCGCCTGCGACATGCGCAACAGGAGTGACATTATCCGTTCTAGGAGAGCAGAGAGGTGTGAGGGTTGCCCATCCTGAAAGGAGGACGTATCCGATCGGCCATCATGAGGAAAAGACGATACAAGCTCGTTGAGAGACGGCATTGGATGCAACCCTAGCCATGGGTCTGTCTGCACCGCCTTGGAATACTGATTAGGATTGGTGAGCAACGAGTGATGATCCAGGTCGGACTCCTCCACGTCGGAGCTGAAGTGAGAAGATGGGTATTGTGGGCGGAGACTGGTATACTTCGTTTCTGAGGGAACCATTGACTCTGCTGGGGAAAGTGGACGTTGGCTGGTCTCAGGCGTGAGGGGCTCCTTGGGAGCCGGTAAGATATCGGCTGTACTTGTGAAGGAGATACACTTACAAACACACGACGAACCCTTGGCTCCGAGCTTGATGGACGTTTGACAGAGTTTAGTAGCTGAGTCAATTGTAAATGGATAGAAATTTGAATCAGTATATATTCTCGTACCGAATCTCGAATAAATGACGATGGGCCACTTCCCGTCCGTGAGTGTCTCGAAGGCGTATCCACTAATTACAACACCGTAAGTTACCGCGCATTGGACTTTGACATAAAATGCGGACCTCGTATTGGAGGTGAGAAGTTGATGTTCTGCTCCACTTGTGACTGTAGCGCTTGAATGTCTTCTCTTGACTCGGTAAGAAGCTTATGGAGTTCCTTATTGTCGGCTTTAAGGACCTCATTGTCAGAGACTAGCGACTCTAGCACTTTCATAACCTCCGAGTCCTCGGTTATCACCGAGCTAGTGTGCTGAGGATGGTCATTGGGGATTCGCTACATACGTGTGCGCATGACCCTTACCGTGTGGTGAAGATCTTCTAGGCGAGAGCGGACATCTCGTAGTAGAGATTCTGACGATTCTAATCGTTGCAAGCGTCGAAGTTCGAGATCAGCTTGCAATCGACGAACCTCAGCTCGTAGCTTATCTGTATCACGGGAAAATGGTTAGCAAAACCTGATCCAGAGACAATGAGAAAAGACTACCAGTACGATCCTTGAGAGCAGCAATATGTGCTTCTGCAGTCTTTGCCTTCTGTGCCTCACTGTCTTGCTCTTGTCGAAGGTCATCATTCTCTTGGAGAGCAGCAGCTAGTCGAGATTCAATCCCTACAGTACGTGCTTGGTATGCAGTCAGGCGCGTCACCGACGTCCGAGCTTCCTGTAGTTCCAGGAGTGCAGTATTGTGTGATGCCTCAGCTACTTCACTGTTCAATAACGCTTGCGTTAGCCGCTAGAATTGAAGCGTTAATACGACCCATATTATAAGGAAGACTCCAACCTTCTCCAGGACGGCATTATCTTTCACCAGCTGGGCCACAGGCGAATTGACTTCACCATGCATGTCTTGAAGTGGCTCATCCGCGAGATCAGCTGAGGCACCGCGCGGCGTGTGCACATTAGCCTGATACAAAATAAGCTACGAAGGCATGCTGTGATCGGGGCTTTACCTACCTCGTGTTGACGGACGTATGCCTCATGCCGCTGCAGTAGAGCAGAGCCAACCTCTGTGTAGAAGTTTACGGACTGCTCGTATTGGAGACGACACAAAGACATACCTGCGCTGAGATGCAACCGTTTCTCGAGCTTCTCCTTCGAGTCCAGCCAACTCTTCGTCGCTTGACACTCGGTGCTACCACAACAACAGCATGCGCTCTGCTGGAACTCCGAGGATGATACTTGGGAGAGATTCATTAAGGCTAGAGTTAGGTCGTCGATGTTACTATTGGCATGGTAAAGGCTGCTTGCGTCCACTGTATCTGGGGTAGCCGGACAGTAGTCCGGAACAGACTCATCGTGCATATCGAGTCCAGTCGATTGTTGTAAAAGAATAGGTGGTCGTGAGGCTCAACAGGAAAGACGGGAATATATAGTATGCAGTAAGTAATAGGGTAATGAACAAGGTGACACTGCTCAGAATGGCAACAACATTTAGACTTATAGATGTCGTGGGAATGCTACCTTACTGGGCGAATCTTAAATTGATGTGATCTGCCAGGCTGGAGGGCACGCCGACAGAGTGAGGTCAAAAATGTGAAGAGACCGGTGCAAAACTGCGCTGCAAGGGTAGCAAAATCATAATGATATATATTCAATCGTATGTGTACCCTACGTCGTGGAATGACATGGCATTAGCAGTAATAGTACTAGCAATCATTGTATAATTATATAAGTATGTGCGGAAGACAAGACCTGAAACGATGCAAGTTAGAAGTACAATATATGCTCTATACACGACGCCCATGAAGAAAACGCAGTATGCTGAAAAGATTATTCCAAACCAACTATTTTTAGAACCAGGTCAGATATCCAAGCAGCAATCTTCGACCAATGACTGCGATTGGGAGCCAAGAACTGGAAGCTTGTTGTGAGGCCGTCCATACCCAACTCTTCCAATTTCTGCTTCAGGCTTTGCGCTGGATTGCCTTCATCCACTGTGCTGAGCGTGGATACAGACATCGAGTGTATCGATCCCAGGCGCAGTGAATCTTGTGCATTGCGGAAGATGCTCGTCACAGCTCTAATGATTGCAGCATTCGAAGAATTGGCGAAAGCATCTTTGATCCTGTCCTGCAGGATGTCATAGCTTTCAAAGAACTATCAGTACGAGAAAATTGATCAAGAATTAGGACTTGCATAATTGAAACTGATTCGGGGTGTGTAACCCCGATATCTGCCAGCAAGTTATACAAGATTTCGGTCTCGGCATCGTCACCTTGTGCAGTAGTCAACAACGTGCTCGCAAACGAGACGGTGAGAAGTGCGGATGTGCTGTCCGTCAGAGACAGCAGTTCGACGGAAACGCGAGGAACGAGACGAGAGCGAGAGGAGTTAGGTGCTGGTAAAAACTCTTCTCCCTTACAGTCTTGTAGGAGTTGTACGTAAGCCTCGTGTGTCGTGCAGAAGGGGAGCAAGGCGATGAAGTAGCCAAGCGCATCTGGACACAGGCCTGAAGCGGAGCCATCCTCATTTTGGCTATCACACCGCGTGGTGACTGACAGCAAACTCCGCAGAACGAGCTCGGCAGAGGATCTGAGGTGATTGTGACGGACACCCTTGAAGATAATGGCAGCGAGTGTGAAGGAAAAACTGGAGTCGAAAGAAAGGCAGAGCAAGTGATCAAGTTGGCAGACAGTGTCTTCCAGTGAAACCCGACCGTCCAGTAGTACATTGGGTATCGAACTGCCTTCAAAGGCACCGTGCTTTTCCAGCGTCTCGACTGTCGCACGCATGAGCTCAGCAGCGTCTGAATAAAACGCAGTGTAGCTGGATTGTAGCAAAGCGACAGCCAACCAGAAAATCTGGCAGAGATACCGGGAACCTTCAGTTAGGGAAGGTACTACTTTGCAAATGCACCGCAGCATGCAGACCACCGCCATCGTGTCGGACTCTGTGGACTGTCCCAGCGCGTTCTTGAACGCCACCAGCATTTGATACACTAGATCATCGTCAACATCGGAAGTTGCAAGAGTGCCCAGGACGAGGAAGGCGCGTGACTGAATGGCCGCAGGTAACTGGAAAGCAGTTGATGTCGCTAGACTCATCCACCGTGCGCGCCAGATATTGAGCAGGCCTAACACATTGTTTTGAGCAATCTACAATGTCAAACATGAAACTCACCTCTTGAGCCGGACGTCACCTCCATCACTCGGACAAGTAAACGAGTCAAAGATTCTTGAGAGTCAATCATTGCTTTGTCATTTGGAGGATCGTAATTGCAATATTCGCTGGTGCACGACTGGCGAGTGAGACCGAACAGTGTAAGGTTCTCCACTTTGATGAACTCGTCGATCAGAAGGCGCAATTCAGGTGCGCTAGCATCCTCAGCTCGCATAAGGTATACAGACTGAAGGAAGTTCATGATTACGCCATATAGTGACTTGCGAACTAACGTCTGTCCTGTGCCCGCGATGAGCGTAACGACATGGAAGACGTCAGGGATGTATAGTTGATCATATGCTGCTTGTTTTGAGTGGTTGCTCGCTACAAGCGCGAAACGAGCGAGGGTGGCAATCTCGTTCCAGTGGACGTTATCTGGCAGCGTCTTGGACGGTTTAAGGGAAGTTTTTCCAAGAGCTTTCCTTAACTTTGAGAAAATTCTTCCCCTGACGTTGATGGACGATAAGGCAGCAGTCGACCTTGCGATGGTCTCACATCTTCGGGACCCTATGCCGCCGTCAGACGCAGCACGGATGAGCTCTTCGAGAACTATGTAGACGAGAGTCGAATCCTGACGGCCGATTTCTACCCAGATGTGTTTGTGTATCATGGAATTTATCTATGATCCATTTAGTACTCAGGGGCACTGTAGCGACTCGATCTGGACTTGCCTCTAAGTCTGAGATGGTGAGGTCAATCATGGAACGAATGCAGTCTCGCAGCCTTGCTCCCGAGTGCTCGTACAATGAACTAGTTGGATTGCAGAAATTTGCGAGGTTCTTCACCCAAGGGCTCATATACTGCAAGCACGTGATACGTTGAGCAGCGGAGGCCTTGTCCATGCCAGCGGATATGACAGAGATGAAATCGAGTGTGAGTTTAGGTGCAAAGCCAGCTAGGCGGTCACTCAGTCCAATGACAAATGTAGATATGTCTCCAGGTATAATTCCCGCTATGTTGAATCAGAACGCTTGCATTGGATAATTCAAGGAATTACTCACCTTTCGACACGATGATGGGGTTCTTATCATAATTTAGATATGAACAGAGAGCGCCTAAAAGGTCATAGGCAGCTCCGCGAAGTCCCTCATCTTCCGAGTCGATGTTGAGCATGCCTACATGAAGTAGCGTTGCGGAGATATTGGAGAACCTGGGGAACCTATCCATACGGAAATAGCGCGTGTCCCTCAGTTGACTTTTGGCGGTACGAATGGACTAAAATATCGAGTAAATTAATCGTCGAAGACGTTTTGTAACAACCATCTTGATCTCACCTTGACGATGCTATCACGCTGTGGTGAGGAAAAGTAGGACGTTACACCTTGCTTGCTTCTGCGGATGATGAATTCATAGGGATCGAGGCCAGTAGATACGTTGTAGACGTCGCTAACATCAGCAAGAGAGATAATCTCCGTCGACTTGCAGTTTAAGTTCGGAGAGATGACAGCTGCACGGATCTATGATGCGCAAATTAGTTGACGCCTCCTACAGTTAAAGTGGTGATGACATACGGAAGTAACCCGGACATGAGTGTCCGCAACCTCCATGGTCACTGGCATGCGCATCTCATGGGCTTGCCTCATGGTGACTTCCGTATAGCCGATGATAGCTTCCTCCTCCAGAGAGGCTGGCGAGGTGATGAGAGAAAGAATCTTTTATACAAACATATCTTTGCTTACTTGGATATCGCAGTGCTGTAAGACTTTCTTGTGGGACATACTGCAAGAGATCTGCAACTGACGAGCAGGCCCTTACCCCACTCGAGAGCATGGTTCCTAGATAAAAAGGTTCGTGGGCTCGTCAAAAGAGGGTGAAATTGTCCCCACCTGACGAAATGTTATACATCCGCCTCAGATACTTCTGGGTGAGCGAATTAGGGTTCAAGATATAGGAAGTTAAAAAACGAAGTCTGATGTCAATCGGAATGAGTTGCGAGCAGGTGGTTAGCCATTGCGCCGGTATCTCAGAAGTCGAAGTGAACGAGGTACAATCTAAGACGACTTCAAACTTCCGGTCCTCGTAAGCGGGTGACAGCAATGTCTATTGCGCAGATATCTTCAGCATGGCCTGAATAAAGCATTTATAAAGTCGCGCACCTTCAGGCTGTGGTACATCAACAACTCGATGTCCAGAGCTTCGACATCGATCTGGCAAACTCGCAGAACAAACACAGCAGGTAAGTCCTGTATCGGCGTCAGCAATTATGGGAAGAAGGGATATATAAGACTGACAAGAGGAACGTCGGCCGCTACGAAGATATCCTGGACAGACTCGATGCTGCGATGGGCACAGCGATTCATCAGGTCAATAAATTCCCGGTGCTCGGTCCTAGGAAGTTTTGAGAAACGAGGAACCTCGGGAACTTCTTGCAGTTCGACAAGTAAATTACAGAGGTGCTCCCATGCACGCTTTGCATTAGCAGTTGATACATCTTCTTCTCCAGAGGCATTGATTTTGGCGTAGCTGAGTAACTCTTTGCCGATCTTGTCCGCATGCTTGTCCAAAAAGCGATGAAGAACGATTGTGTCGGTGTCATCGGCTGTCGTGCCCAACCACTCGGTAGACTCCTCGTCGACAGCAGTAGAGGAGAATTTCTATGAATGGTAAGGCTCTTGAAATGATCAGTAAGTTGTGGGACTGACATTGACTTCACTCAGATAACGCGTAACGCTCTTGATGTTCACGCCCAAGAAATCGTTCAAGCAAAGCATGTGAGCCTCCTTCGCGAATAACATGTTGTTGGCGAGGTTCTGCATGACCTTTGCTATTACCATTAAGCCCCGGCGGATGACCCCGCCATCATCTCTGGGCACTGTAACATCAACAATCTCCGGAGCGACGATCGCGGGAGAAATGAATCTGCACAGAAATTTAGCACCGCTTGGCTTGCTGGGATGAATGAACTGACCGAAGAAATATGAATGCACCAAGGGCAGCGAACTTCGATTCTGGCCAAACTTGATAACTAAAATTTCATCAGCCATCACTCGCGCTTCGAGAAGGTAAAACCGCTTACACTGATTTCGCAAGGTGAGCGCAAACTTCTCGAATCATCCTGAAAGCGACGTTAGCAGACAGCAGACCCATAGTTGTGTGGTCACGCACGGTGGCAGGGCAGGGACCGAGGAAGTAATGATGTCGAGGAAAGACAGGGCAACCAGCTCGACATTCCTCTGATTTTGTTCAAGCTTGTCTCGGTTAGCCTTGGCGGGGTCTAGATCATATGCATGACCTGCGGGCATAGACGTCATAGTCTTGATGAGAGGGACGATTAGACCTCGCAAATAGTTGTATCCGTGTATCCGCGCAAATGCTGAGAGGAATCGTGTGCACGTCGAGTTCCCTCGAAAAAGTTCCGCCTCGCTTGCTGTGGAGCTCTGTGAGTGGTCAGTTCTGAAGCGCTAACGATTGACTTACAGGTGTGAGCTATTTCTCGGTCAATCATTGTTTTCAACAAGGCAACGAGTGACGCTCTCGTGTCGAATATATTCATTAGCACGGAGATCATCATGTCGACCTCATTGGCAGGACAACACTCGCATATTACCATCGCAAGCACCATCTAGAAAGGTCATTAATACTGATCTTGATACGAGAAAGATAAACCCTACGTCCGATCCTTTGACAAGCTAGATATGTGAGTTAGCTGTGCTTTGAAGAAGATGAAGGGACGAGAACACACCTCTCGCAGTTGATCTCGGCGTGCTTGCAATTCAGGATTTCCTTGCGCCTCGAACTTGGTGCCTTGTCCAAGTACTCGAGCAAAGACGTTGACAAAGATAGTGCGCTTCCTCATATCGCTATCATATGCAGAAGCAATGCAGTGTTTGAGAGCGTTCTCCGAGTTTGAGGTGACAAGGTGCGAGAGGCCTGTAATGACCAAATCACGAATGTCGGCCTCTCTCTGGGAAACTTGCATCTTCTGAAAAATATCAACTACTGAAGAACCGGAACAAAACCATGGAAATCTACCTTCTGCAGAGACGGGACGTCTGAAGTACTGTCGGGCACCTTCAAATTGATTAGTCTCGTTCCCAAATTGATATTACGAACGGCTTACTATGGGGTCGGACTGGCATATGTCCAAAGCTCTCAGCAAACCATGGGAGTATCGGATGAATAAACGTGATACGACGTGGCCGGAATCATCGCTATCATTGGAATTATTATCGATCGGCTGGAGTTTTAAGCGTTCAAGGAGCTTGACGACTGTGCGAAGAGACGCGAAGTTCAACTCGTACTGAAATTGGATAGCTTCGGGGTCGGTGTTCTGAGATATTTGAGTGATAGTCTGTAACCCAGAGTTGGATGGACGTACCAATGTTGGATCCTGGAACCAATCCATCACGATATCAATGATACGATTGCGCGATAGGTCGTCCTTACGCAAGGTCAACGTGTCCGTCCGGTGGCAGATGCTATCGCAGAGGGCGCAAAATTTGACCCGAATCCGGTACGACACTGGATCGCTGAAACGTGAGATAAATCCGACGAGGATATGCAAGATCGACCCGAGATCAATACTGAGAGCTTCATCGGGTGGCATTTGTGCATTCTCGACAAGTGATTTCAAGACCGAAATCAACTATAGATAACGATTAGCTCTGATGACAATTGCCCGTCACGAACTCATACCTGATCCAAGAATAATCCGTATTCATCCTTGAACTCCACACCTGCTCCAGCCGTAATGTTCCGCGTGATACTGGCAGAATGACTTCGTCAGACTTGCAAGAATAATGCCATGGAAATGTACCCACTCGTCAAGATGTCTGAACAGCTTTGAAAAGAGACGAGGGCTAAGTTCCGACCCAAGAGCTTCACGTGCAACCTCCCGAACGCGAACGGCGTCGTCAATAAGGGCACCGGTCAGGAACTCGATGAAAATAGCAACGAGGTCTGCCGGGTCTCTCAGCGAACGCATGTCATCAAGCAAAAACTCAGGAGAGATCGCAGCAGTAAGGGCACCATGGTCGTGCTTTTCTTGTACGGTGACACCACCGAAAGCGGCTAGGAACAACGTGAGATTTCTCCATTGGAAGAATTTATCCTGTGCGAATGTCAGCTCTACAAATGCAAATACCTCGGAGGCGAAAATACCTCGAGAGACATGAGCTGCTCGTGCTTGCTCAAATGAGAATCGTCGAAGGCTGCTGCTGCTGCCAGGGAATTCTGCCCGATAAACTCTGAGAGCGCACTCCATCTATAAAAGCACTCCTCCCAAACAGCGATGTTGATGGGCGAGGAGTTCGCGACCAAACGCAAGAGCTTTCTGACACGTTTCTGCTCTCTGACACGTCCTGCAACAAAAATTACAACGAGGGCGAATTGAAAGTGAATAACACGCACCAACGATGATGACGCTGGGATCACCGAGCTGTTCGTATATCGGGTTTCGCTTCGAGCGTTCTTCCTCAGTAAGGCCGTGGTTGACAGGAGCTCCAGGTTGCCGCTCAGCTTGTGCGATGAGACGAAGACCTTGGGCAGCAAGTTGCGAGACATCACTGCTGACTGATGTAAGGGATACTAAGAAGGCGATCTCACACATCGCGAAGGCTGGCACACGGTCCTTGTCGAATTGCATGCCATGAGCATGGTTATCCTGCATAAGAACATCTGCAAGGTGGTCATATGAACGAAAGACGACTCACCTCGCTCTTCCTATGGTAACATTCGACGAGCTGATGAGCGACATGTATCCACAGCCTCTGGCTGTCAGGATCGAGCCTAGTCAGCAGCAACCTCTTTGCGATGCACATTAACGACATCGGCCTACAAATACATGTCAGCAAATCGTGAAATGCCAGCAAAACATTATACCAACATCGCGTTTTTCATCCACCTTTCAATCATCTTGTAGTAAGGGTCAGTCGGAGGCATCTTGAAGAAGATATCTGTGAGATGCTGGTGCGACGTCGCGGCCGATATTTTGACGGCTGTATCAGTATCTGAGTCGCGGACTCGTGAAGAGATCGAATCCCAGCCTTCCACATCTGTGTCTTCGATGTTAGCGATATAGTAATCTGGCGATGCCCGCAACAGTGCAAGAATGGAAAGGAGCATGAGGTCTTTGTCGATCAGCGTTTCGGACGTGAAGCGCTTGGCCTTGGGCCGAGACGCTGCACGACGAATAGCCCCATTACTGTCGTATTCGCTGAGCCGCATAGAAGCAGTCTGTACGCCAAGGCGATTAGCACACCAAGCAGTTGCAATATCGCGGGTACACATTTACCTTGTAGATGCATCTCAAGCGCGGTGAGATAGCGAACTGGAGTTTCTCCAAGGATTGCTGCCAAGGAACACGGGGTGCCTACAAAAAGGGTCAGAAAACGCAGAGGCGTTGCTATATTCCTAGTACATACCTCTATTGACAAGGTAGTAGCAGCCTTGATAGCACAAATCTTCACTGCATCGGACCGCTCAGGCTCCAGGCAATCCAAGAACAACGTTATCGATTCATCTTCCGGTAGGAAACGGAATACAGCGACAAGTGCCTCAGCATAGGTGGCGACGTCGATTTCATCAAAGGAGTCCCAGAATGGCTTCTGCCCGGGTGACTTCTGCAAGGTCGACTACAAAGAGTTAGCAATGGAACAGAATGGATTACAAAATGTCACCATCACCTTGATTTCATGCGAGATGTCTGCCGCAATATGTCTGAGGGGCATTTCGCCATCGGGCGATATCCGAAATCCAGCTCTGCACATGTCAATCGCACACACGAAAGAGACATCGGAGAGTTTTGAATTCGTGTTCGAATGCCTGAGTAGGTCCTCTACGAAACGGATATCCTTTGTGAAACAGTAAGATCAGGTTATACATCACCTCACGTCAAATTCACCTTCCTGTGGCTGGATTTGTGAGTAGGGAAGTTTGAGGAACGACTCTCGACATCGATCTGATAATCTGGCGACAGGCGCTCAGCAGCGAGACAAGCAAGGACGGTCAACGTCGGCCAAAGCGCACGCTCCCGACCGGGTTCGTTCGCGGAGTGCAGGAGGTCGAAGACGCGCTCTGGTGCGCCCTCGAGTCTCCCTCTTGATCTCACTGCCTCATTGTACTCCTGCGGGCACATCTCAATCCAATTCCAGATTGCCATACGTAATGGGATGGCAACCGCTGTCTGAGCTTGCCGTTTCATGTTCACAAGAAGAGACGAAAGCACATGCAGAACTTGGACGAGTCGCGTTCTGTCCATCGCGCTATGTGTCATGAGCTGCAAATCGATTGTATCGGGGTTGTCCTCCGTTGTGTTGGCGAGAACGTGGATCTTTTGGCGTATTCTGTGGAAGACAACTAACCAGTTTGACGCGGATAGGTGATAAACGATTCGTCCTGCAAACTTGCTGATAAGAAGATTCAGTGCAAGTGCGGATTTCACAAGCGCCATATGAGTTCTCTCGAACTGGAACGTGCGGCCTAGCTGCCAGTGCCCTGAGGTTGCACTGGCAGCTGATTGGAATGACGCAGATGAATTCCTGAGCTTCAGGATCGGCTTCGTTCCATGAGATATGTGAGGAGGTAGTAAAGGGCCATTGTTTCCCGCGTAATCGTCGAATGCCGATGACTCCGTCGGTAAATCCACCGACTCGAAATCGTGCAATGACGCGTCAGGGGCCAGGTTTGAAGATGACATGAGTCGAGCTTCCGGCGCTGCTGTCTGACGGAGGTAGAGAACCATCACACTCAGTATATAACGTGCACAATTGTCGTCCAGAGGATAAGCCTCTGTCCATGGAGGTGGTGTAGATGAGGAGAACTCAGTGGAAGCTTGCCGAGTCTTCTTGCCGTGCTGACTCGAAGAGGGCATTGGCGATTCAACATGACCAGGAGCCTGGCTGCCATTCTGGGGTTTGGGCCCGCGACAGGAATGCGTATCGTCCTGTTCGTGTCGGTGATTCCATCTCGATGTCATGCATACCGACAAAATCTTCAAGATAAACAGTTGAGATTGTAATGCTTCAGTGGTCATTTGTCCGTCTGCATCAACTTGCTGTAATAACGCGCATATAAGCATCCACCCCACGCCAGAAGTCGTAAAAGTACCTTTGCGAGTCGTTCGAGCAGTTCGCTTAGCGACCAAGCTATTATGTCTAACGAGTCGTGCGCGATCTCCACCAACGCGCATACTGCTCTCTGCGTCGCAGGATCCGACTCGACAATATCCAAAGAAAGGCCAGAATGGATGGGTAGCTTTTGCGTAATATGACAAGTCAGAGTTGATCGAATAGTCCAGGTAGATGAGTACCTACTTTATTCTTTATTCTGGTGTTTATGAGGGCTTGTACTACCATCTTCTGTTGCGGAGTAGTAGACGCGCCCGAGTAAGCTATGGAAGGTGGATGGATTGGCCCGCCGTTTCCTGTGAGAATATGGTGAGAGTCGTTGCTTCTATGGGCTCTATTTGAGCTCTGAGCTGGATTTCCATGCTCTGCTGAAACAGATAGACGGCGGATAGGCATGGCTTGAATATGCCCACCGCCAGTACTAAGTTAAAGCAGTTTTTGTTTGGTGTGAGCTGTGTTTTGAAATTGCTACCCACTCGTTGCAGTGCGACCAAAAGTTCCGGTGGGATTACGTAAGGCTCAGGAATGAAAATCATGTATCATTACATTGTATGCCATAATGCCGCATGGATTCACAGGCAACTTGTCATGCAGAGTTTAGTACGTACTAAGTCTATGAATATTCAGAACATAGTCTAGGCTGTTGCGGTAGGGTAAATTTCCTCGGTGAGACAGGTCACTGAACGAGACACGAGGTACCACCGCGGTGATACGGTACAAGTAGTACCCGAGACTCATCTAAGTATGATCTGGCGCCGAAGCTGATTGCCCCAAATCTTGGCGACACAGCAATGCACTATAACTGTGAGTTGCGAAACCTAAGTTACGAATGACATGGTGCAAGAGTCGCCATTTGTAGTGCTGTAGATAGGATGCGACAGCATTTTCCAACCAGACTCTCCACAAGTGGCGGCCTAGTAGCGATTCGACGAAAAGCCATGATTCGCCAGAGATAAAGAGTCCGAACTAAAGCAGTTGTGGGATCAGATGCAGAACACAATCCCATTGAGTTCTTCCTATGTAAATGGACAGGAAGTGCACTGTAAGGTAACATCATGAGGGCACAAGGGTCCAGAAAAAACGAGGGTACATATCAGGAGAACACGCTTGTTGATCCACTAGTAATCGAGGGACTTTGGGCGCCTATCAGGAACACCGCCACGAAAGCATAAATATGGACCCACATTAACTTCCGAAAGACAGACTGAATCAGCTTCACAGAAAGGTAAAGAGGGGCCGGACTAACGTTTTTCTTGAACATTTTTCATTGTTCGAGGTGGCCATTGTTGCCTAGATTAGGTGAGCGCAACGTATGCTGTGCCTAGCAAGATGCCATCACTGCTACTGACGACTTGATGAGATGTAAAACAACTTGAAAGAGTAGGCTGCAGGTACGTACGATCCTTGGAGCCATGCACGGATGAGTCGAATAATGGGCATCTGGTGTGCTCGACCCAAGATACGATCGGTCTAAGGTCCACGATCATCAGCGAAAATGAGTCTCAAAACACTAAATTGTACTCCGCTCTACCATTATACTGGCCCAAGTTGATCAGACAGCTACTACTAGTACAATCCTTACTCTGCCACGAGACTTCTAGTACGTCCGATTTCTCTATTCTCATCGACGTGCTCGACGCACTCCCAGCTGCCATCTATCTTACAAGACACTAAAACAATCTTTGTTGCATTTCGTCTTGCATTGCATCGCTATCAATCAGTCTTATTTTCTATTTCTATTGCTCTCTTGCAGTCGTTTTTTACTCGCTTTTTCTTTTACATTTTTTCAGAGCGCACCTGCCCTGCTATCCACCTTTTGTCCACAGTTCACAGTTTCCAACTTTCATCCTTTGATCTCCCTCTCGTCGTAATTGTGCGCGATTTCCTGTTTGTTGTTTCAGACTTAACTTACCTCCCGATTAACGTCCAGATATGTCTCGTCTTGACTTTCACGACTTTAGCTATCCTCCTGGTGTGGCATACTCTCGTTCAGCCGCAGAAATCGACCACCACATGTCCAACCACCACCCTTCCAACTCTCCCACTCATCCTGTGCCAGGAGATCGACGCATGCCCAACGGATTAGGTGTCTATCTTCCCAACACGAGCAGTTCGGCATTAATACCCCGCTCTATTGGTATTCAGCCAGACAAGGAATACAACAGTATTGGAATAATCCCAGAAGCATTTCAAGTCGCTCCAAATAGACACACATCTACCCAACACCTCTCATCTTCTAACCACCACCGTCCTCCTCCCGTCCCCCACAGCAGCTCGCCCGCCGCTCTCTCTATAAATACCAATTACTACAACGCCCCCTCCGACGCTGAGCGTGAAGGGTATCTCCATCGCCAGCTTCAATCGTTCGCACCGTCCAGCGATCTCTCTCTGCCCGCCAACTCCAACTCCGGCCCAAACGTACTACGTTCTACTCTCTGGTGGGGCGAACTCGAACCCTGGATGGACGAAGAATACGCAAAACAGGTTTGTGCTCTGATGGGTTGGGACCCAGTCACCGTCAAAGTTCCAAACGCCGGCCCAGAAGCCGCCGCCCCTCAACCAACCAATAACTCTGGTTACTGCTATCTCACGTTCCCCTCACCAGCTATCGCTTCTGCTGTTCTCAATCAAGTGAACGGCGGGAGTGCGCAGCCAGTCACGATGCCAAACTCAAACAAGCCCTTTGTCCTTAACTGGGCTTCTTCTGTTCCTACCGGTCCAATTGCGCCTTCTTTCCAAACAGCTGGTGTAATTGTTCCTACGGCACAACCGCAGTTCCCGAAAGAGTACAGCATATTTGTTGGTGATCTTGCGCCAGAAACATCCAATTCAGATCTCGTGGCCGTGTTTCGGAACCCTGTTCTTGGCCTACGGAATGATCGTGAGCCCAAGTTCATTCGACCGTTCTTGAGTTGCAAGAGTGCCAAGATCATGCTCGATCCTGTAACTGGCATATCGCGAGGGTATGGCTTTGTACGGTGAGTCTGTCGTGCAACGAGACGAACAAACTCATAATCCCCTTCGCACACAGATTTACCGAGGAAACGGACCAACAGCGTGCATTGATTGAGATGCATGGCCTGTACTGCCTTTCACGCCCAAGTCAGTCATCTTCGTATCCTACTTCGGGCAAGTTAACAACGTGATTCTTTTTCCAGTGCGAATATCTCCTGCCACGGCCAAATTCAAGCCGCCTCCTATGCCGACAGATCTTCCCCAAATTCAGTTTCCTGGTTCCCCTACTTCTGATCAGCGGCCAAACCCAGTGACTGTAGCCCTCCCGCTCGGTGGTCAGCCAAGGAGCGTCTCTGCACCTATGGCAGCCTCGACGAGCGCTGGAACTTCATCTTCGTTGGCCAGCGTACCCGTCGGTCCCTCCGCTTCCAGCTCAACGTTAAGCGGCTCGAGCTCTATACCTTCCCTTGGATCTGAGGTCAGTACAACCGCGTCTTCAGGAGCCTTGTCTTCGATGTCGTCGGATGAGATGCTTGGTCTCTCCGCCAATGTCCTTGCCCTCGCCCACCAGTATGCCAACGGTGGCTCCAATAATAACACCAAAGGCATCGTTCCCTCTGGTTCGGTGCATGACTCACAAGATCATTCCGCGGCACCGCGGTACATCGTCTCCGAAGAGTCGTGGAAACACCACGCCCAAGCGCGTGCTATCCTTGGCAATCTCATTGGACCAAATGGCGAGCAGCTCACTTCTACCGACCCCTATAACACGACTGTTTTCGTCGGTGGGTTGTCGCCTTTGATTTCTGAAGAGACCTTGCGGACGTTCTTTACTCCGTTCGGCGAGATTCACTACGTGAGAAGCTTCGCTTTTGCGTTGTTGGTGGGACGCTAATGTAGCGGTATCTGTACAGGTGAAGGTGCCCGTCGGCAAACATTGTGGCTTTGTTCAGTTCGTGCGGAAGGCTGATGCAGAACGGGCTATCGAGAAGATGCAGGGCTTTCCTATCGGGGGGAGTAGAATTCGGTTGAGCTGGGGTAGAAGTCAATGTGCGTCGTCGTGTGTTGTGACACGTCCAACTGATTAATAGTGATATTGTAGATAAAGCTGCGCAAGCTGCTGCGCAGGCAGCCCAGGCCGCCGCACTTCAGGCTCAGTTCCATGCTCAGGTGACATCTGCGCAGCAGGCTCCTCAGAGTCAGATGACGCCAGAACAGGCGATTCAACTCTTGCAAAGGCTTGGTCTATCAGGCCAAGGTCAAACGGGCGGTGGAAGTGATGGATCGAACTGCAATTACGTCGAGGCTGCGAAAAGCAGTGGATATTCTGAGGAAAAACTAAGATCGCTCATCATGAACCAGCCACTCTCTGATAGTCAACTGCCGTACGATGTGTATCCAGGGGGGTCCGGACCACGCCCACCATCAAACATGAGTTCTGTGGAACACCATAGATCACATCTCACGTCCTCGTTCTCTCCTTTCTCCCCGGACCCGAATATGTACACGCGGAGAGGTTCAGACAGCTACGATCTGCTGCCCCATTCCATGAACCACGCGTCGCGCTATGACAGCATCATGGAGTTCAAGGCTGCGACTGCCAATTCCAATGAGAGACCCGTTCCCCCTGTACGTACGCCAAGTGGGTCCCAACGATATGTTCCGTTCCTGGATGGCTCTGCCAAGGCGTTTGAGGGTGGGCGTTGCATGACGCGCCAAGAACCAATCTCTCGGCCGAACTCCAGTCAGACATCATCACAAGGACGCTCGAGTCAATACGATGTGCAGGAACACGATCCCATCCACGATCTCAATGGCACGCTTGCAAGCCTGGATCTGGACCAGCATCACACGCATCTGTCGTCGTCGTCGTCTTGAGTAACGTTGCTCAGAACGTTCCTCGCCCCCACCACGCGCCTCAATTCAAATGCCTCCTTTTTGATTTCGCTGCTCAATTTCATCTCCTTGTTTCGTTTTGTTTGTCTGTTTGCCTTGGACCACGACACACTATTACATTGGATCATGAGCTGGGTTATGCTCCTATTGTCGGTTACCCGTTATTCGCTCTCGAGATGTGCCTCTCACGATTTGTTTCAATCCCCTCTGCTACCCTCTCCTCCTCCGTCTCCATCTGTTTTTGATCTGTCTTTATTACGCTTGAGTTTGTGAAAGAATTAAATGAAAGAATGAAGCCTACATACATCCTGTCTAAAGTTGTACCAGCCAACAAATTTTACAGTAGTACCCACTTCAGTTACTACCTTTACCTGTCTGTCTTATACTGCTATGCACTTGGAAGTAATTGTTCAAGCAGGATCCTGCACGCATACGTTAAATCATTAAGGCATATCAACGATCCTACAAAACGGAAAGTAAGGAAGACAAAAGGCGTCGAGTCATGAACAAACAGGGCAAATAAGATATCCGTGAAGATACATGGATAGATAGAGCAACAGATTGGGTACCGTCCATTAGAAACAAGATAAGGATAAGTAGAAGATCATACATCTGCGATGCTCGCTAGAAGACCTGCACGACCTGTGCCGGTAAGGGACTCGCCTACTTCGTCACGTAGTCCGGAGCCAGATGCCTCAGCATTACTGCTGGAGCCCAGTCTACCAACAACGTCGCTTTGGAGTTGCATAGGAACGAAAACGACCTTGGTGTTACCAGATTTGGCCATCTGCTGTAGAGCCTCCAGCTGACGGATTTGCATAGCAGCTGGTGATGCGAGAATATCGGCTGCTTGGCGCATAAGGCGAGCAGAATCAACTTCTGCGCGGGCTGCAATGACCTTGGACTCTCCAATACGCTTCTGCTGCGCAGCAGAAGACAGAGAAGCAGAGACTTCGGGGCTGAAAATGATATCCTTGATCAAGATACCTTCAATGGCAACACCCCATTTGTCGGCAACGTCGCCGACAATCTCGGCAATCTCAAAGGCAATGGCCTCGCGCTCAGTTACGACACTTTGAACTGCGCGGGCACCGACAACGTGCCTTAGGGTGGTCTGAGCACGTTCGATAAGTGCCTGGCGTAGGTCAGTGATGCCAAAGGCAGCACGATAAGGGTTAACAATCTGGAAGTAGATGACAGAGTCACTAGACGATGCCACAATGATTTGAGTAATGAAGGTGAGATATGAATATTAAATTAGCGCACATTTCGACATTAACATTATCGCGAGTGATGACGGTTTGCCTGCCAATGGCGCTGATTTGAATCTTGACGTCGACAATACGCAAGTCTTCCGTGCAGACATTGACTTGTACGAGACCAGGGTCGACCGACTTGTAGAAGTGGCCGAACCGTGTGACCAGACCAACGGAACCTTGAATCCTAGTCAGAACACGATTTGAACATTGAAGAGTGCAGTAAATACCTTGCTGCACATTTCTGAATGGGTTTGGGAGAGGGCAACAGGGAATAGCACCGCAGAACCCAACACAGGTGCCAAGACCTTGCAAGAATGACCCATAGAAACCATGAGTAACCTATGCTAATGTGAGAAGAGAGAGATATCACATAAACGAGCAAACGTACCTCTCCAGTACCGAGGTCTTGTGCATACGAGGGCTAAACAAGAGCTGTCAGATATCATGATCTAGATTGCCAAAGATACGGTGTGACTAACCTGCATCTCGCTGCGTTTCAAAGGCTGGACGTTGATCATATGGTTCTTTCCAGCAGATTCTGGTCCATTCCTCCTCGATGCAAACTCATCTGTAACTTCAGACATGGTGAGAATGGGTTCAGCGCAATATTGGGCTGAAACAGACTGTCGACTTACCATGAGGGGCGTCATGGTCAACTACGTTCCCACGGGAAGAGCTGCCAGTAGGAGATGGCACACGGTCCTTGCGATCTTCGTCGCTCGACATTAATGTTAGGAGAAGATGACAAACTGTTGGGCGAGATTTTAAGGGTCTTCAAGTTCAATAGGCGCGACTTGGAGGAGTAAGACAAGGCGGGGTTCACAGGAACTCAGATGTGTAAATTATAAGACTTGTTGCGCATGGTTACTAACTTAGGCTTTAAGTACGTACACGGACGTCACAATACAGTCCTCCATAGTACTGTAACTATAAGCAACGATATCCAATGGCACATAAGGTGGACAGTTCAAGTCGCATGACTTGCTGGACAGACACACACATAGTATATATATAGATATCTGCGCAGTAACGGTCCACGAGAGATTCCGCCGGAACTTGTCACCCATCGGAGGCTGAGTACTGAACGTTAAACGAGCACAGCTCAACCATTACCGGTATTACTATCGTGACTGCATACTCAGGGAAGTCACTCTTAGAGTCTCCTGGTACTGTTCCCTTGTCTTTGTTAGGCACTGGCAAGAAACGACTGAGTTTGAATTTATCGAGCAGCTTGAGGTCCGAGTCCGACAATCGACTACAGACTTTTGAAGAGCGTCTAGATTTCTAGCATCTATGACAAGTACAGACAGAAAATATTGGCTTATGAAAGCCGAGCCAGATTCTCGTGTAGTGAAGGGCAAAGATGTCAAGGTGTGTGTTTTATTCCAAGAGGTGTTACAGAAACGCGAGCGCTCAATATAGCCCACTATCTTGCGCGCATGCTATAGTTCAGCGTGGATGATTTTGAAGCTGCAAGGACGACGCCGTGGGAAGGAGTGCGGAACTTCGAAGCGCGTAACCTGATGAAGGAAATGTCCATTGGAGACAAGGTATGTATCCTCTGGCCCCAATTTGATCTTTCATCAAGCTCGTCAGAAAGATATTATTCTATCATTCGAACTGTAAAAGTCCTGGTCAGTGAGTGATCAGTCTTGCGAACTTTACCTTAATGTGTTATACACTGTACAGGCATCGCTGGGTTTGCTGAGGTTTGCTGGCCAATATTTTCTTTCTTGCCTCCTATACTTATTCCTCCTCATAGGTGTCGAAGGAAGCGTACCCCGATTGTATGTCCTAGAAATAAAACATCCAAAATATCTTTCTGATAGGCTCACACTTATTTTATAGACACGGCCTGGGATAGGTTCGATTAACATGAATTTCACCAAGCATTTGCCACACTGACGTTACTGTCCTTTAGTTCTCACCCCTACTTCGATCCGGTAAATTTGATACAAATTATTTTCGTGCCAGTATTAACCGTACCTTTATTAAGAAAACTAAACGAGATGATCCGAAGTGGTTTATGATAGATGCCACATTCCTCTCTCGCGCTGAACATTTTGTCCCGCTGTCCCTCCTCCGTCACATTGCAGAATCGGCGGAATCGGACCCACCAGATGAATTTGCGTATATAGGCACGGATGGAGTGAAAGCTGTGAAAGGTACCGAGACTTCTGATTTCACTCAACTGCCCAAGAATGGCTCACAATGTACCTCTCTATAGCGATGCCCCTGGTCACACGTGGACGTTTGAGCGTTCAGCGGGTCAGTCAGGAATGTTGGGGGGGTCATCCAGATGATGTCAGAAAAAGGTGGTTGGGAGGTGATGTCATTCGGGAAGAAAAAACCAAGTACATCAAAACGCCCGAGACAAGCTGCTACGAAGAATTCTAGGGCAAAGACAAATCCAACGAACGACAACGGTGGTAGCGAAGTCAAGGCAAAAGTTGATGCGAGTGAAGAACCCGATGTAAAACCAAAGAAAGGCAAGAAAAGGAAGGCATCTGATGTTGATGTTGGAACCCAGGAGGTACCTCACCGACGCTCCGTTCGGACTAGGAAGGAGGATTGATAGATGTCTACGATTATGCTGTACTTGTCACTTTGGTCTTTGCTGTAGATCAGCTGCGGGCACAGCGAGGTACAGTCCTCTGTCAATTCTATTGTTTGCCTTGTCGGCGCGCTATTGTGCCAGCGGCGCCATTTATGCTATTCATTTCGGTGATCTGCACGACTATTCCTACTATTCCCTGTCCATGTTCTGGAATAGTATCGCAGAACGGCAACTCGTGATCAGATACAGGAATTTGAATGGGAACGCTGAGGTCATCCACTACAGCTTTGCCATGATCCGTCGTATTTACTACGACCGATGTCATTGATTAGCTCACGCCTCTGCAATTTCGCTCCTGTCAATTGAATTGAGGAAACAGCACATGTGCAATATCTATTCCTAACGTCATGTATAAGGACGAGTAATTACATTTTCGAAATCACATCACGCCAGAGTGGGAAGAGTTAACTACATAATAGAACGTACCAGACGCTTAAGCAGGGCTGCATGACTTCAAGTTCGGATAGTTAATAGAACGTTGACAAGACCCCACGCTGGATCCGACATGCGTGTTATTTAAAAACATCAATCAATATTCAGGGAAGGACATGGCCAAGCTAAGTGCGCATTGCTCAAAGATTGCGACAAGGATCGACAAGGCATCATTTGTATTGACATTCTCTGTAGCATGACACTGAGCTCCAAGCCCGTGGCAACTATTACGCTTTAGCTCTCCTGTTTCTTGATCAAGATATCTCGCTAATGCACTCCAACACCTCGTTCCACTTGGATTGTCGTATATTTCGGTCGAGACACCAGATCCCGAGCTCGACTTTGATCTCCCTCACATGGCAAACCGTGACCGCGACTTGCCATGGTTGTTCGATCGGAGAGCATCCAACACAAAAGTTGGTGATATTTGTGTTGCAAACCCTGCCTGCCGGCTTCTCAGTCGTAGGTGGATTTACATTCGTAGCGTCGAATGCCAAACCAAGCTTCGGGACAGGATGACAGTGAGGCCACAAGGCCAATCTTGGGTCGCGTCTGCCAAAAATTTTGCGTTCCAAGATCAAGGCACCGGAGGCGTGGTCAGTATTTGATTATGCAACCAAGCGCACTATCGATATGCAAAACGATGCGAGGGAAAGCACTTGGAGACCGGAAAAGTGCGTGAGGGGATCGAATGTATCGAGGCTGAATGCATAAGCGACATCGTCTGATGTCTTGGGTCTATTCAGTCTGATACACTCCAGGCCATCCCAAAGTAGAAGATCGTCCAACTTGCGTAGGGTACATCCGATGACCACAGTTTCAGGTGTCCAGAACCACAGCTCCAGCGATCTGCATTGAACAACCCAACTTTCTACGGTTTCTCTGGCCAAGGTCGAAGGGATTAATGATCGGATGACTAATTTGTCCAGGCAAGAGTTACGAAGTTGAAGCTCGCCGTCATCCAAACAGTGACATCTAGTCGTCGGAGGCCAACAAGGCAAGATAGAGGACAACACTTCGCCGCTGAGCAAGACATCCGCAGCTACGAGGGCTCAGAGGGAGCAGGCTCAGTAACTTGAGGAGGCATGGTAGGTAGTGCGATGTCCTCCAGGTGTAGTGGATGCCTGACGAGGTTAGGGCCCCGGAGATAACGCATAAATGAATGGAGATTACGACGACATGGTCCACATGAGAGCGCTCGGTGGTTTGGCACCAACAGCTTTGACTGTAGAGAAAAATCCATTATGGCATGAATGAACTTCGCATCTATACATCCAAAAACATCTGAATATCCCAGAACGCGCACCCGGAATAGGTATCACTCAAAGACTAACCAAACTTTTGTGGTTACAGGTCCTCATGTGATCTGACAGACACCTTTCTCTCTTAAGGCTAAAGATGTTTGTTAGACTGGTCCGACTCCAGTGGTAGTCATGAGCCTACCTTATCCTGCTTTTCCCCTTGAAGTTACATATATCCCTTGGCTGCTTGTTCCAGTTGTTGCGTGCCGACACCTTGATATGTATGTCTATTCAATGTGGAAGATCATAAGTACTTACACGTCATTGATACACCACTACTAGTGGATTGACTACATTTCATTAAACTTGCACAAAGAATTGAAATGTCAAAGCTCTGTCCTACATAATCTCTCTCTCAATGGACAAAAATGAATACAAAAAAAATTATGTGAAAGCTAAGGCCTTGTTGGAAAATTATTTGCGGACTTACCTAAGCCTCAGTTCGTGAAGCTGAAGCGCAGCACACTGCCGAAGGAGCGAGTGACTTTCGTTGAATATCCATGATAGTGATCAAGTATACATACTGAGTAGTCAATAAGTAGTAAGTAAAAAAGAATTCAAAAACTAGACGCTGCGCAATTGATTTTGGTAGACTCCGTCAGAAGTCGACTTGGGTTTGGGTTAAAAAGGACCAAAATAAATCACATGGCTGGCTTTCCCATCTGAGCTGTCACTCTCCGCGTGCACGTCCGCTGGCTGCTGTAGTACAGCGTGCGTTGCGTCGCGTCTTTATTGATCTTCCAAGCGATTAACCATCTAGAGTCTGAACTGCGATTCTTCATGTCTTTTCTTACTTTCTTCATCAAACCTTTGGCTTATATCTCTTTTCCTGTCATCATCCTTCGAACAATCGCCTCAACTTCTCCCGTTGGGCGTTATTATGCTCAACTCACTATTTACCTTGGGACGCTGGCAGTAGTCTCAACATGGGGAGTCTTTGTCGCAGTCGGAATGACATTGATGGGTTGCAGGCATGACGTCAACTATGTCGTTGCCCGGTCGTTCTATGCTGTTGCTAGTCGCGTTTTGGATATCCAAATAGAGGTCGAGGGCGAGGAGCATCTGCAGACATGTCCTGTGGTCATGGTAGGCAATCATCAGAGCATGCTTGATATTTTGTATTTGGGAAGGTATGTATTATTTACTGAAGAAGTTTACCATGAGTGGTGTGAAACTGACTTAATTCATATTCTGTTCCGCATGGTGCTTGCAGGATGTTCCCTAGGAAAGCGTCCATTATGGCTAAGAAGGAGCTCCAATGGTCGCCTCTGGGTCCTTGGATGTTCATGTCGGGTGCCGTGTTCGTAGATCGTGGAGATAGTGCAAAAGCACACGGATCGCTCGCAGCTGCTGGAGATGAGATGAAAACGAAGGGCATCTCGTTGATGATGTATCCTGAGGGTACACGGCACTGCGAGGAAATACCGTCGTTACTGCCTTTCAAGAAGGGTGCTTTCCATCTTGCTGTCCAAGCTGGGATACCCGTTACACCTGTCGTTTGTGAGAATTATTGGAGAATTTATCGCAAGGGCGTGTTCGGGTCAGGCACCATCAGGGTCCGAGGTCAGTAGGCAATTCTGCGGCACTTGACTCGTTTCAATCATCTCCGTTCAATTTCACTGATTTGAACACTCGTTTTACAGTTCTCCCACCAATTTCAACCGCGGGACTCTCTGTATCAGACGTCCCTGAATTGACTACGTTAGTTCGAGATCAGATGTTGGCGACTTTACGTGAAATTTCTGTCAAAGTCACCTCAGAAGAAGACATGAAACCAGCCGAACAACCAGGAATGCAAGCTGACTCAACACCTGTCGAAGAACCGGATCCCATACCGGCTACCCCTGTCCAGGTTGCGTCCGATGAAGTTCCGGACGTGCCAAGCGACGAGGATGGCAGTGAGACTCCGAGTGTTGACACTTCATTGTCTCGGTCGTTGAGGCAAGAAGGAAGCGCCAGCGAATATGGAACGGAGACAGACGATGAGGGGATGGTAGTTGTCGGCAGACAGCATCACTACTAACTTAAATTGGCTGCTGAATAGATAGGTAATATGGCTGGCTTCTGGAACACTTCCAGTGCATGATACCATTCTTGACACCATTATATACTCGTACATAATATGTTGGGATTTCGGACCGACTCTGATATACCATTGAATGTTTGTTTTATGATTCAACCAAGGTTTAACCCCACAAGGACCATGGGTTTCCCCGCACTAATTATAGTGTTTGTCGCGCAGGCCTGCTTCGAACAAGCGCCGATTACCTAAAATGTAAAGAAAAGATTTCGCGTCGCGTCAGACTCTCATCCTTCCCAGAAGTTCCCCGTGTTTGATAATTGACATGTCCATTTTGCCTGCAGGATTGGTATTATGAACGGATAGTTACTAGCTCAAAAATGATTCAACATGCATTCTTGGCTTAGCTTGGTTTGGCTAATTCGAATTCTATAACGTCAGCTCGAGCCGCGGTGCGAAATTTTGAAATAATATTCAGGTCATCGGAGCTGCTTCTCTCATTCGTCCACAATTGCGAACCCCAGTTGCCCGACTTTCGCTCGGGTAATAGCTTGTTTCCCAGCTGTTACTCATAAGAAGAGTGTTTTGGGGTTTGCTATATAATCTAAACTTTGAAACAGTTGCCTTTAAGACCGCTCTCCTTTCCTCTCCTGCATCTCCCCTCTTATACCCCGTCTCTAGTGCTTGCGTGCAGTTCAGATATGACCGCCACTAAAGTTCTTCCAGGTAATGGCATTCACCACGTTGGTTATAACGGAGCTGAACTGACAATAATGTTTCAGAATGCTGGGGTCACCGAGGGGTAAGTCGAACTAGGTCGAGTCATGCGCAGTATCACTCGACACTAAGCCACTGCCCGTAGGCTTCAGCAGCTTTTCCAGAGAACACCCTCGCAAGCTTTGAAGCCGCCATCAATGATGGGGCAGACGGCATCGAGAGCGGTAATTAATAACCCTGGCCTGTATTGGTCTCCATAACCTGTATCCCAGACGTCCATGTGTCGTTGGATGGTGTTGTCGTAATGTTCCATGACCCAGGTGTGTTGAATAGTTGCCTCTTTTTCCGATTGGCTCATCTGATGCTGCGTGCGTTCTACAGACCTGGAGAGGACCACAGGATCAAAAGGTGGTTAGCTTACATTCTAATGCACGTTCGTGGTTTGACCAACGAATCTAGGCTTAATTAGGGAACGGCATTGGTACGGCGAAGATGGAATGGAAAACCTCCGTACTGTCAAGCTGCCTCAACAATGTATCCCCACGTTCGTGCAGACCATCGCTCTTTTGATGAAAGTAGGTGCCTATGCGTTTATCTAATCGGTTTACCCACGTTCTTTGTAGCCCGAGAACCAGCACGTCAAGTTTAACGTTGATGTCAAGGTTCAGAATGATCCTGACCGCCTCTTCTCGCTTATGCATGATGTTATCTCAACGCAACCTGATTGGCAGACGAAGTTGGCTCCCCGTATTTTGCTGGGCCTTTGGCATCCGCGTTTCGTGGCTTTTGCGAAAGCGAGATTACCATATTGCAGGCGCTCACATATTGGTGGGAGCCTTTCGATTGCGCGGAAATATTTCTGGGATGGTGTGGAGGTGTTTTCAATGGCGTTTGCCTCTTTGACCACCTATGATGGCCAGAAGTAAGTTTTATTATTTGGTGTCTGCGTGGCGGTGCCATGACGGCATCGCAAAGGTTCCGGAATGAGTGCAAGGCTGCGGGCAAGAAAATTATGGTTTGGACAGTAAATGAGCCGGAGCACATGATGGAGGTAAGTGGCTTTATTCTTATACTGCCACGTCTAGTCTCAATTTCTGATCCAGGCCGTACGATGGGGCATTGACGTCATTCTCACGGACGTGACGAAGAAGTGGCTCGAGCTGCGTGCCGCTCTTCAAGGTAAGGGACTCATCTACGTGGCGTGGGCAAGTTATTCAACGTGCTATTAGTCGATTACGACTCTATCCTGTCCCAGTATAGCCGATGGTTCCTCTGGACGACCTGGAAGTTTTATTTTCCCTCCATGTTGACGAACAGAGTCGCAAGAACATACCTCGAAGGTGCTGCGGGTCCATTTGACAATTTTGCACAACCCGAGGCGTCTGTGGCTGTAGTAACATGACGGATTGTTGGAGTGATTGCATTGTTTTACCATTGACGATTTTTCTAGATGTCTGGGCCTTAATGTTTTTGTTACATGTCTACTACTGGTTATTTGAGCTGGAGGGTATAGAAGTAGATATCCGGTGATGCATTGTTACATTGACTTTGTGTCTGCTGTCGTGCAGCAGTCTTAGTAGTGGTAGGGAGAACAAATGGAAATGTTTGGTTTATGGAATAGCTTTTGGATCGAAGCCCCAAAGGGGCGACCGGACCTGATATCGGTCCTAACTCGTTCAAGAGACAGCCGAAGTGAGCTGCAATTCCCATGGAAGTAGAGCGACGCAGCAAAATGGAAATCGGATCCTAAATTGTAGGAGCCGTAGAGCGACACTTCGAGGTGAGGAGAGCAGCATTGGAAATCAGAGGTGGCAACTTGAAGACATCTTCGTGGCAATGTTGCACTTGCGGGCATCCGCCTGAGGAAGTGAGATATCCACGTGAGCAAAATGTGGGCCTCCGCGTGGGCGAGTGTCAAGAGCAATAGTAAGAGGGATAAGGTTAAAAAAACCAATATGCAGGGCGGCGGCCTACTCTACATCAAGGTGGGTGAGCAGATAGTTCCCTCCTACTCAGATGGGCGAGAAACTCGACGAGAGTTTGTGACGACAAATTTCCTGCATAAGAGGGCGGCGAGGAAGCGTTTTCAGATGCCCTCTCAGCTAGCTTTCCCGGTGGACTTGTCTTCATTGCATGCGGATGCATACCAGGATCTAGATCCTCTGAGCCCCCCGAGTTCCCAAGTAGCCAAAGATAACCTAGAAGATAGAAATCAGGCAAATAAAAATTTAGAGAGTCACCTAGGGTCACGAAATTTCCGGAGAAAGGAAGTGAGCCTGCTGGAGCGTTGGCGCGGGCACTAGTGCGGAGACAACCACGTACTATTGGTTGCTATTGGTTACGGACCTTACGGACCCATCGTGATGGTCAAACCCCACAACCCTAGCGAAAAAGTAGCAATAGCATGACTCATGAGCGCCTCTGTTTGGTGTTCATGATAACAAATAAAAGCGGGTAAGTGAATTTTTCAAATTGATATGAAGATAGTCGTAATCGATTGGAGTAAGTATCGTAAGTTGGTAGCTAGCATGCTTATTCACGTCAAATGACATATGTTGCTGTGTCGATAACACAAGTAAGAGTACTCGTCGGCAAGATGTCGGAGTAAATTCCGAATGATCATGTGCCGAGTCGCCGAAGTTCAAAGATTACAAAAAAAACACAATATCTAATCGAAGTTATTCGAAGTATTCGAAGCTTAAGGCTCTTACTCAATTCGTTGTGGATTCTGAGTTATCGCACTCCAGAGTTTTCCTTTGTGGCAGTCTCTCCGCAAGTCCGCGACAGAGAAACAGCACTTTATTTCGTCCCCCATGCTTAAAAAAAATAAACTGTCAAGTATTGAATACATAGCGTCAATTGTGACTCGACGGACCATAATTGGCGAATGAACACGCGGCCGAGGGTAACCGGTATACCGTTTGCGCCATGTTTGCCCCTCTTCCTACTTCTCACTTCTCACCCGTCCCTATCCTATTTATCTTTCTAGTTACCCGAAGTCATGAACTTATCAAACCACCACCATCAATCTCGCAGAACGTACAGAAAGCGTTCCTCAGTTTCAAGAATGTCGTCCGACACAGTACACACTCTCCCTGAGTACTCGGCTCCGCTCAATTGGAGTAAAACATCCAATTCGGCGTTCTATACAGGAAACGAGTCGGATAGACCGCCTGACTACCCTGATAGTGAGGAGGCAGACGCAGACACTGAGGAGCAAGCTGTTGCCTTCCCTCCACAACGTTGTCAACTCAATTCACCACGACGCACAGCACCTTACACACGTAGACGAAAACGCCAGTCAGTCTCTGTCCCAGCAGCCGACCCATTCCTCGACTCGCTGCTTGAACGCAGTGTACATGCACTTGAGATGTCAAATGTACTCATGCAGAGCTCAATCTCCACTCAATGCAGTCTTTCGGCCTTGCTTTCATCCGAGGTAGCACCAGACCGTTCTCTCGAGGTTCGCGCGAGGAACCTTTCAACTCGAATCAGATTGAACAGCGGTGTCCATGGCACATGGATGGCACATCTCGAAGAGATATCGAAAGGTGTGGATGGTCTGTTTAACGAAGAGGTTAGAGACATCGGTCCAGTCATGCCGGACGAGCCCGCGATTAGCCAGAGTCTTCCCACATCAAATATCAGGGATTTGCGGAATAGGAGGAGACCGTCACTACTGGAGCTCAACGGCTCATGCTCGAGCGCTTCACAGCTTCAATTCTCGCTTCCGAAACGTGATTTCCTCGTTGCACCTGCCCCTAGGGCACTCACCCAGTATGTCGAATCAACAGCTGATCCAGGCATGATAATTTTGCCCTCCACCTTGGGGTTACGGGCCTCTGCTTCATCGCACTCAACTGATTGGCAGGATCACACCTTGGTCAGACAGCCGGAGCTTCAGTCCTCACAGTCTTTACCTGTGTTATCGGGACAGCCTCTGGAAATTCCCACTCCAGCGTACAGTCTCCTCTCCAATATAGTGATGCGCTCAGAGTCAGCCACACCTCCACCAACTGATACATCGTCCCCTCGTACCTTCATACCACGGCGTGGTTCAACGAGCACATGCAGCACTGAACGAGGATCGAGATTTTCCAAGTCCCCTTGCTCACTCCAATTATCCCCTGATCGCAATTGCAATCGCAAGCCAGAGTCTGCATCCCGATCTCACTCCACGACGCCTAGACGACCCGTAACCCCTCTTCCCCGCGTAATGACTCCACCCATCGAGGAGCTTTCTCCTGCTTCATCAGATTCATCAGATCACCCTACTGGCTACCGCACCGTTCAGTCTCTCCGCAAAATCCTTGATGAACAGTCACCCTCCACCTCCCTCAACTCTCCCCCTCGAAAAGATCGTAAACAAAGTCGGTCGCCCAATTTCATGCCTGTCACTCCCGTCCCCGCCCCGGTTGCTGGTACATCCACTGCGACTGCCTCTATATCCCGTCTTTTCACGAAGAGCAGACATTCATCCTCTACGCGTCCTCCTTCCCCACCTACACATTCATCCTTGAAGGCGCCCTCTGTGCCCCCAACACCTCGTTCATCGCCAAGTATAGGCAGCCTCTCGGATATGTTTGGAAACGGCGTGGCCAAAGCCCTCAGGAGTAATCCCCCCTCAGGCTTGTCAACGCCTAAGCGCATCAGCTTTGCGGAGCTCCCAGAGTCGTATGCAAGCTCACGTCCAGGATCTTCTAAAATCTCGGACAAGCGGAAGAACAGGAGCAGAAAGCGCAAGGGGAAAGACGAAGAAGAGGGGGAGACACTTGGGTGGTTTGAGAGGTTGTTCATTGGAGGGCCTATGAGCACGAATTCTGCACGGACCGATGATCGTATGGAGGAACGCATTTCACGAGGGTGGGGGAGTCGACCTGGAGGCGGGACGTTAGATGATTGGGCGGTATAAAGTCAATATTGGTCGGAATCGGGGGGATCAGTTATGGAAGTGTATATGAACATGTTTTTATCTCCTTTTTGCTTTACTTTTCGCGACGATGGTCTTGTCATGATTTTTGTACGTATTTTTATGACACGCTCACTGATCTTACTTATATACCGCACACTGCTAGTGTTCACATTGTCCATGCATGTACTTCAAGTGACTGAGCACTGTACCCTTGAAATGTCTCAATATCACACGCTGATTGAAGTGATCGATCATAAGAGAAGTTGGCATAGAGCGTAACAAAAAGAATACATAAGGCATATAGTAGCAGAATATTGGCATAGATCGTCCGTATCGGCAGCCCAACGAGAAAAGTAACGTACAATGCTTATCGTCAATTCCCAACCCAATACCACTGATGGATGGATGCCCCGAATCGCTACAAGAGGGCCCGTCCGTAGGTGACGACAAGGCCACCGATAATCCCCGCAAATGCCATCTGAAGAAACCCATGACCGGCGGATCGCAAGTTCTCTTGAATCGCCATCCCACCAGGAATACTGTACATCGACTGATCAAAGGTCGCATTGCGCTGACCCACAGTATTATAGAACGGTGCATTCTGCGTGACCGGAGCTACTGTGTCACTTTTGGAGTCGCTAAAGTCCGTCGTCGTGCCCTGGGCAAAGGCGCCTGGCATACGTTGGGAATGTACTGCGTACTGGAGGTCTTCCTCACGATCACTGAGAATGACCCACACCGTCTCTCGCGATTTCTCGCGTGGGATTTTGGCGAGGTGTGCGGGAGGGGCTGTCATCACGCTCAAGAGTTTCCCCTCGCGTTGTGCAGTCCGTTGGACTTTTGGGACGTCTTGACGCGGGACGCGGTACACGCTGTACAATGGCGTGCCTGCACGGAGGGCCGTGTTAAGGCTTATATCGGTGATAGGCGACTGCGAGAATGGGGACCATTCGCGGGGAGGCGGCGAGCGAGAGCAGCCCGATATGTAGGTATCAAACTGCGGTTCAGGGGATTCTTCCTTGATGGAAAAGTTGGGATAATAGTCCAAAGAGTCCGAACTATCGGCCCAGTCGTCGCCTGGATAGCCAGGACTAGGAGAATGTTCCATAGGGAAGGGCGAGATGTTTTCCTTTCCTGGCCCTTCATCGGACAGAGGCTCTGTAGGTGTGAGGGACACAGTGCGGTGAGCCTTCTCATGTGGTCTCTCGCGCGGTGGCGAGACCCAATTAGGGTTTCGCCAGTGCCAGCGGTCGCCAGGTGGAACCTGGAAGCCGTGGAACTCGTATGTAGGTGGGGGGGTGTCGGGGGATAAATGAAGGTGCGATTTACTCTCAGCAGGCCCAGGGCAGATGAACATGTTGTTCTTTCGTGTGTGGCCTGCCATAGTCGACCCGCACCTGTGACACATGGGACGCTTCCTTCGCGATGTGTTCTGAGCAAAAACCATTGATGTACAGCGTGTTTTTAAGTGAAGATTGGTCTTCTGTTCATCATGTCGAGTAAACAATAGAACGGAAAGCGGTTGCGTTAAATGCAGGCAGGTCCGACCATAATGAGAATGTTGAATAGATGTGAAGAGGGTACATGACTCACCGGCTGCTGTGTGATTGTTTTGTTGGCAGCGGGGTACTACAGTCCCACTCCTGAGCTTATAAAAAGTTCGCCCAGTAGCAAGCCCTGCATAACATGACGTTTTGCTGGTTGTTCGCAGAACAAGTCCTTGAATTCGATATAAAGGTCGCGCTGGAGACAGGAGTAGAAGCTCACCGGCGGATGGCAACCTGCAGAAGGCGTCGCATGCCCTTGTTGAATATTTGTTCAAGTGTACAAGCAAGTCCTTGTACTTTTCATGCACGCCATGTACAAGCATGTACAACATGCCAAAATACACGCCCAGAAAGTACAACACATTTACCAACCTCACCATGTCGACATCATTACAATATTCGGATGTTGTATTCTGGGTTGTTGATCAGGAGAAGACCTCCATGGCGATTGCAAGAATACAAAATATGGATCATATCTAAATAACAAACATTCTGAGCAAAGCCGTTGCTGCATGCAAATGGACACAATGGACCTCAGGGCACAGATATTGCGACTACGCTTTCCCCATCTATCCTCCCGATGTACCTCGACTGACAAAGCTCGTATGGGCACCTATGAGGTAGACGTCTGGCTCGAGGTTCTGCTTCTTTAGTGATGACTTGATATGGACCTCCCCCGCCTAGGAGTCTGAGCTGCAGCCACGGCATCCTAACGAATAGAGGTCAGTCGCAGACGAAAAACATAAATTCAAACACTCACCACAATGTACGCATTCGACAACCGTACCTGACCGTACCTGTGCTTTGGGCACGCGACAGATACATGTGGAGCCTTGATAGTTCATATCCTGGAAAAATGAGTTGAGCAATGTCTCGGCGAATTGAGAGGTGAGTAATACCTTGGTCTGGATACATCTGAGGCAGCACAATTTCTCATAACCTGTCTTCTTCCATTTGGCTATTAAGCTGAAGCAATTGACGTTCAGTATGTGATAGGGCTTTAGAGACAAGCAACTGACTTCGCATCTGCATATCCTTCCTTCAAGAGCCAGTCATAAAGCTCTTTTGAGATAGCTTCACGCTTGTAATAGAGCTCATAGATGTAACGCGACCTGGTATGTGAGATACGCATGATGGGCCAGAGAGACTCGGCCTTGCGCTTGCCCTCATGAGACTCGTTCTCAGCGTCTCTCATCTTCTTCGCATAATCATCGAGAATCTACGATAATATCAGAATTAGAACAGCCTGCTGATGATCAATGCCTACGCTTTCAATATCTTCATAGCCTTCTGGGGGCTTCTTCGTCCGTGTTGTGCGTATTCTGGGCATCGTTAATCACGACGAGGAGGTGAGGCCGACCCGTGAGAACCTTTCTTAGACACCAATTTCTGACAAAGCATACTTACCATTTTAGGGTCTTTTGTTTCTCGTTGTCCTGACTCGTCGATGTTGTACCTTCTCTGGCTGCGTCTTGTTACTTTTCTGGCGTCGGTGGCCGCTACGAAGCCACGCGTATGTTGCGTCAAAAGAAGTCTTCTCTTTTGATCATTCTTCCGTGGTCTAAGTCTATTCATGGCGTAAAGACTTATTGAAGCTTAGAAGGCCAGTTGCTTGTGTCTTCTTGTATTATGAATATAAGTATCATGGCTGATTATGTATTGCCCCTTGGACATGCAGAGTGTGTGCTTACGTTCTATGGAACAGCTTATCTCTGACTGATGAATGGAGTCTCATTGGTCGGACTTCAGGTCGGCAATGCCGCAAGGGTGCCCTTCATGTCACTCGTCATGATGAATCTTAAATTATTCTTGTTGTAGAAACGAGACTCTTCCAATAGCCGAGTATCGCATGCGTGCTCAGTCCTGAAATCACGGAGATTACGAATGCGGTGAGCACAGACTCTACCTATTGGTTAGACTTATTGCCAATGTTATTATGCATGTCTAGCCTATGGGCACCGCAAATAACGTCCGATATCAAGCTAATATCAAGGTTGCTGTATCTGAACCCTCTGCAAACAAGTAACCACAGTCCGAGTTTCACCGAAACTGGTATCACTGCATTATTCTCCGTCTACCCTTTGAAACCGCTGTTCGTCGCTTCTACATGGAACACAATCACTGGGCTAACGAGAAGTCTTACCCTTGAAAGTACTCGAAGCAGTGCTCTGTGCACTGAGTCTGGTCTCTCGGGTTGATTGGGATACCAGTGACCCACATTGCGCACCACAGCTGCTTCAGTGGAAAATGTGTTAAGAACACATCCACATTCCTTTCGGAACACAGATGCTCCGATTTGGTGTCAGTCTTCTCGTTCTTTACTTGGCTGCGAATAGGGTGTATTACGATTGAAGACCTTGACGGCAGAAATTGGGGCGAGCCAGCGGACTGCCTTTCATCAGTTGCACTCCACGTTGGCTGTCTTGGGCATCCCTCAGGGCCTGCACGGATATATCGCTCGATATTCTGGTCGCGCAGTCTAACCTTTGCATTGCTCACGACTCCACGGGACGTTCGTACACTTTCGTAGTTCTCTTCTTATTATGGCTAGCTGCAAGGCATGGAACATGCGATATATATTGTATCATATCACGAATGCATGCGCTTTGGATGGCTTCCGGACTTCGCCAAACGCACAAAAGAAAATTAGTACCACACGGAGATATGATAATCTGCCTCGTTTATGAAGTACTGTTACCCGCGTTAGTGAACCTTACACTGTTTGTTATGTAAGGCGGTGCCAGACACGATGGGTGTGGGAGGCGCGTTCATGAATGATGAATGCCCAAGGTTACTTCAACAACGTCAACCACTACATCCATCAGACAGTACAACAAGTTCACCCCGACCGCGTTTTAGGAGTTTTCTGCTCTATTTTCTGACGAGCCTGGCATTTTCGACACATTTGTTGGGCACTTATTCGGCTCTACTCTCAACATGCCACTCGTCGTTCCCGCCCTCCGTCTGTTCATGGTTTTTATGAATGTGTATGACACGTACAAGACTCTCAAAATACCGCCTGGACGCAAGGGTGGTCCCCCTAGCATCAAGACAATGACTCAGAGAAAGAGGGACCTCAAGGGGTGTCTTGCAGTTTGGGTTGTTTGGGTAAGGCATCACCACTATGTTATTCATAGTTTACGTAGCATGCTTATGCTGTCGTGCTGTAGTGCTGTCTTGCAGCATATGAAAGAACGTTTGACCGTTTTGTCAGCTTCATCGTACCGTTCTACAGTGAAATCAAGTCAGTTATGCTAGTGTTTCTCTTGCTGACCCGTGCCAAGGTAGGACACCGATAACTTCCCCATACAAGCAAAGCTAACGTCTCATTCACGCAGGGGGCTGAACCTCTCTACTTGCATATTCTGCGCCCACTCATTAAACCATATGTGGACACCCTGGACCCATTGCTTGACTTAGCAAGGGACATTGGAGATTTTCTGTTTGCTCTCTCACAAGTTCCGCTCAATTATGTACTCTCCCTATGCTCGGGTCTGCCATGGCACACAGAAGAAAATGAGTCAGCCGCCGACCTTTCCGAAAATACTTCAGAATCGAGCACGACACGCTCTAGCAGTGACTCTAGCATACCCATTGCGGCTAAAACATATCCTACCGCGGATTCAAATCCCCGGGTTGCGGAAAAGCGCTCAGCCACTGTCCGCAGCGTCTCCGATAATAGGGTGCGACCTAAGTCCCGTCAACCTACTGTTGATTCCTACGAGAGCATGTCGCTCCGCATGCGACATTCCAAGTCGTCCTCGATGACAACTCTCCCACATTATCCCAATAACACAGTTGGTCGTATTCATGCGCGTCCCGCAGTAAGCAATACCAGAACAGCTGCCTATCAAATCTGGCATCCGCCGCCGCCTGCGTACGAAGAGGGACACAGACGAAGCCGTTCATCTATTGGACGATCGGAGACAGTCAATGCATCTACTCCCAATTTGCTGACCCCTCCGCCAGCGGTTTTTGTCAGCGAGCCCACTGACGAAGACTGGAGAGGGTACCCACCTTTCCCTTCAGCATACCCACCGACGCCCTTGACTGCATCTCACTCTCTTGGAGCCACGCCATTCGGACAGGATAATTCCATCCACTCACCTTCTGCCCAGGTCACCGTAATTTCGCCCATTCCGGAGGATACATTAATGAACCACAGCCAGGATTTTGATGTGTCGCTCCCGCAAGCGCATGAGCCCGCGAGCCCCGGCTCTAGCAGCTGCTCGAGCGACGAAAACATCAGCTTACGGGTTCATCCTAGTATAGATGGGTTCCCATCATTCGGCGGTGTAGGTAGCCAGGATGAGAGCGAGGATGCATACATGGATGACGACGATGACTTTGATGTCACCTTACGGACTCCTTATCGCTCATACCCGTCGTCAGTGGCATCCAACGCGTCTTCCTCTGTGGCGAGCCTGCCCAGTGCTTTGACCACCACCGACGCTTCGTCTCTGCGTACCAGCAGCTCATCAGAGTCCACTCGCACCTTTCATTCATCTGATTCGTCGCATTATGCAGGACAAAAACGTCCATACCCGACTGTTACCATGACAAGTCGAACTACGGCTGTTGGCGCTATGCCCAGGAATACCACCATGCGTGGCAAGGCTACTACCACTGCCCCATCCTACGAAAACGACCTTGACTCTGGCCCCAGCGAAACTGACGATGACAGTGATGACAGTGATGGTGAAGACAGTGGAGCCAAGAGGAGAAAAGTTCTCGAGCCTACGCGGCGAACCACGTACCTACGTCCTACTGCCAAGCCCACTACAAACGTCCGGAAGCCTCCATTGACTACCAGAAACTTGCCAGTATCCACTCGTGGGAAAATTAGTGCTCCTGCGCCAAATTCTGGTACTCGCGGTAGTTCACGCATCGCACCCCAGACGGTAGGAGTAGCTTCCCGTGGAGGTACTCTGCGTGGACAGACACGAAGAAGCACATTGAAATTGCCGTCGCAAGACGCTGGGACCTATCCTCGCACGGCGACCGCACGAAACAAGACTTGATGTCGGTTTCATGACTTTCCCAATCTCTTTCTGAGCTCCCCTTTCATCCATACATGAGAACGATTATCATTCACTGTACACAAGACCATGTTGCTACCACAGTACATACACATTCCATTGCATTCAAATCATCGTTTGAGTATCAGAAGTCTTGGTCTTGGCATAGGTCATTTGCTGTGGTCTTACTAGTAGCGTTTGCATTGTTAAAGAGCTCGGCTGATCCCTGCCAATATCCCCTCTGTTGACTTAAACCCTCAGAATCCGTTTCCCACATTCCTTGCAGCGCATTGTATGCATGCCATCGCTAGGATTCAAGCGAATGCAGCCCTCGCACTAACGACAACATTCTCCAACAAGCTAACTCGCTACTCAAACAACAAAATTATTGCCGGCCGGTGTGTCCTCTTTTGCGACCCCCAGTCAAACACCCGAGGTATAAACTATGCATGTTCACTGGTGAAGTAATTCTGAAACTTGCTCGCGGGCAGTCGCCATATATACTATATGATGCATCTAACACCTATCATCAACTGACTCGCACCAACCCTCTTACTCGACGTCCACCCAACGATCATTGCAGCCACGAGGCAAGAGTCATTGCATCATGGTTATTCGAATGTTCGAAACCGATGCCGTCGGTGGAATATCTGACGCCGGCGCCTACATGCACCCACAGACTCGTTGGTGTAAAGTATTTCCCAGCCGCAAAACATTAATCGGTCCACTAGCACAGCATGCCAAGTGGTCTTCTAAGTACGACGTTTAGTAAGGCTGTACAGCGCCGCGGTGCAAGCACCTCGCCGCTTACTAGTTCTCTAAAACGGTCCTGCTGGATATGCGAACATGTTTATTGACGCTGGTAAACACGTTTTTTTCCTGCACGCGCACCCAGTAATAACGTATTCATGCGCTAAGTGCTTGGGTAGCGGGCTGTACGTGGACGAACTTCGTTATAAAACCTTGCGCAGCTCAGATCAAATGGTCCGCATACCCTTGGGTGGCTCACATTTCTTCCCTTTCATATCTCGCGATACCTCATGGACGTCCGTGAAAATGGTCTGGGTCGTGTCATAGGTTGTGAACTCCGGTGTATACCGCCCAGATTTGTAAGTCATTTTAAACTTGAATTTTTTCTCGTTAAGTCTAATAGTTCCTCTCCACAGCTCGAATCATGTTGGGGACTGAAATGGTGCCCCAAATTTCATGCTCGAGGACCAAGCGAATTCGACATCGGGGTTTTAACACCAGATGGAAATTACAACTCCCTAAAGATTGGTGCCAGGCCCCTGGCTATGGAGCGTGGACCTCAGGGTAGCATTGCGAACTTGGAACCGTCTCTACGACTGCCCAGCACCATCCATGATGCTGATGGTCAGCTAGGATTTAGGAGACGCGAACCGCCCTCTTCACCATCCTGGCGCTTCAGCGTGCCCGCGTCTCCAGTCTGTACCGTGCACGAGAGAACACAGGATCAAACTGATTTTACGTGTCCTCATGCCATTCCCGCCGATCCTTCAGTGCCTCTGATTGCGCCTGGAAGGACGGAGGGAACGCTGCCCATACCCATCCCTGGATCAGGAACCATGCAGCCCCTCTCAGAGCCCTATACGTCAGAGCTCTCGTATGCTCTGCTTCCGGGACATTCGTCGCATTCATCGCAGAGCTGTGGTGCCCAAAATGTTGGGACACCCCTACAATTACATTATTTAAGTTCCCGAATTATGCCTGCTGTATCGCAGGATTCAGCTGCCCTGCTGTATGGCGTAGCGCCGGAGAATGACGGCTCTTTAGAGCGCTTGGTCTCAGATCCAGGAGACGCGCAGGCACACTATCTTTCCCCGGACAGCATCAGTGCCCATTCCATACCACAGGTTCATGTCACGACTCCTGCCATGCAAACCGCACAGGCGACTTTGCTGGATTCATGGAACAACCTCGATTTCTCTCCTGCGTCGGCGACCCCGATGACATGTTCAACGTCGTTCAGCGCTGACTCCAGTTTTATTGGAGAGTTCGAACAGCATCATGGTATGGGGGTTGCAACTCCAATGTCGGAATTAACGAGAATGGGCTTGGAAAATTCCTCACGATCCAATGAGCAGTTGGAGGCAGGAATGCCGGACGAGTACTGGCAGCTGCATCACATTCTCTCTTGTTCCTCGCCGATGCATCAGTCGAGAGGGTTATCTCCTATTGATATGAGTGTAGATCAGCTGCCAGGCACCGGTGAAGGAGAGGACACTACATACAATCTTTCCGACACCTTTCTCTTCTCCAGTGCCTTTCATGGTGCCTTCGCTTGCTGACAGCTGCTCAGATAGGCTGTTGTCTGATACATTCATATTTCTGTTTCCGCTATTCCCAAGAACCTGGCAAACATGATGCGCCCTCATGGTGCTGCGCCATGTTGCGTGCATGTTGTTCAACGTGCATGGCTTGCTATACCGCACGCCAGTTCACGAACGCAAGCAAAACAAAACGACCCTACTGCTGAGAACAGTGGTATTGCCAGAAGCGCGGGGGTATATATCCAAGGACATGATACCCATATGTTTTGCTAGTATAATTGTTTTATGAATTAATCAAATATTGTGGTTACTTTGGATTAATTTGGCATGCATGGCGGAAGTCGATATCCTTGCATATTATTGACATCCGAGGTGCCTTGACAGGCCACGCCACACACCTGTAGGCTGCCCAGCCTTGCCCGGCGTCTGCAGCATACCTGCGTGGAAATTTCAAATCCAGCATACCTGACTTCTGGCCACTTATTAGCAAGCAAATATTGTACTTCCATCTCGGCTTATAGACCGGAACCGACCATGTCTCACACACTGCCAGAGCAGTCGGGTGAACTTAATCCTGAAATGCCTCCTCCAGCATATTCTGCCCATCCAGATAACTCGGGACTCTTAGGCCAAGTGCAACGACCAGGCTCTCCTCATGAACGAATACCCGGAGCTTACCCTCACCGCGTCTCATCATTTTTTGGCGCAAATACTACTACACCCTCGTTTACACCACCACCACCACCACATTTTGGGCCCACTCCTTTGTTACACTCTGACCCTACCATAGGGCTGCTGCCATATTATGACCCGCGCTCTCCGTACGCCATTGCAGAAGCGGCGTCGCGCGCACGATGGCGTTTCATCTGTGCTTCTCTGTGGGCGATCGGTATCGTCATGTGGTTGGTCGCAGCTGGTGCGTACAGAGGATTGCGAGATATATAGCCGCCTACTAGTGCGCGTTACTGTAGTAAGTGTGTCCCCATCTTAATTATTGTCTGCTAAGTCGCGGGAAATCCAGCTTTTCCATGTGAATAATATATGAAGCTTATCTTGGCCGGCACGCATATGTTTTTTCCATGTATGACTCGTGGTTTTGTCCATGTTTTACTGTCTTCTTTATACAAAGGCTGATCATCATCTTCGTTGTTTGTAGATGCTCCATGTAAACATAATATATCTTGTACAATACCCATGGCATTTTTACCGCATACTATCTAATATATTTCTTCTCTTTGGCGACGTTTACCCCCGAACACGGACTCACAGCTTTCATACCCAACATGACACACCCCACCCGTGTCTGTACAGTTGGCTGGTGATCCGCGTGATCCACACTAATCTTGTGGAGATCTATGTGGCTGGTTTGACAACCTCGATAAATCGGAGTGTTTACAAAGCGATGTCTACCTAACCCACCACCCAGAAGGAAAGGCATCTTCCTCCATTCATATGGGTTTGCCTAGGAGAGACTAAACCCATCCATGACGCTCCACAGACATACTCTCGATCATATTCATATCACCCTTTTCAACAAAAAGGTAACGCTCACTCGGTTCCCCGGAGCAATGCAGATCCCTGATTCCCTATGTTGATGAACAGTGCTCGAGCTTAACACTTAACCTGTGCGCATTGTTGGACAAAGTTGAATATTAATTTCAACTTTACAGTGAGTGCATCCCGGCGCGTACGGTGTTGATTTAATTCGGCCAAAAGGATTGTGAGCCTGCAAGGACAAGGACAAGACAAGACTCGTGACAGGATGGCCTAGATAATGCCAGCGGGGACGACACTTCATTGTTTACGGCAGCAGGCGCTGTCAAGATAATCATAAATTGCCTTTGTGCATGCGAGACACCTCACGAAATGAATATATAATAGACATGGATGGACATGCGAATGTCTCGGATCCAGAAGATCTACGGTTTTATGTGGTGTCCGACTCTGATACATATGCTCTTGTTTAAATGTTGCAGTTGCTGTATATATCCTTAATATTTCGCGGGCATATATAGAAACAGAGCAAACGCCCGCAATCGCTCCGCTGAGCGCATGGAACAGAATATCCGAATTTTATAATAATAGTTTACGAGGAAATAAAATCGTCACAGTCGACCACATCCGTATGCAGCTAGATTCAAGTTTCGACCCTTTCGTCGAGGGTGGTGTTGCTAAACGACACCCACCTTTCCGAGTCAACCCGACAACGACCTAATCAAGGGAATTACCTCTTGTCCACGACTTGCCTCAACCTCAACAACTTGGAAGTTCTGCTGCTCAACAATGTTTACACAATCATGAGCAGAGTCAACATTGTTAACTGTTCTTCATTCTCCTTTGCCTTCTCTCCCACTCCTCCAGCAACCACGTTGAGGGAGATGGTCTGTGCGTTTGTTGAATGGAGGGTATGTGCGTGCGAAAGAATTAAGGTTAGGGTCTGTGCGTGGGAGAAAGTGTGACTTTCGTGACCCAAATAATTGGTGGTGTTAATTTTTTTCGGTTTGAATTCTGGGTCGGCCCCGCGCGCTTCCTTTTGTTCCTTCACACTTTGACAACCTCGATCGCACCTTCCACGTCGATAACTACAGCGACAAGGCACCCTTCCTCACCGTCCACGGCGACGACCTAATCACTCCGCTCGTCGTCTGTCACCTTTTCGTGCGCTTCATTTGCTGTCGCTTCGTTGCCCGCTTAGTGTTAACCTCTCTTATTTATCTACTCCCACGCGTCGCGCACGTTGACCGCCGTTGCTCATTGCTGTCACGTTCATCGCCGACACTATCCACCCTCTCTCTATCATTCGCAATCACTCATAGCCCATATACACGCCTCTTTGCCAGTTTGTTTTTCGATTGTAGCCATATCAGCAAACACCGTCTCGCGCTACCTCCCACGATCGTCCGTATCACATTCATAACATTATACGGCTGTTGATGTCCAATTTCTAGTCTTAGCCATCCACATACTTGTCTGTAATCACCCCGCATACCATCCTATCAATCTGGCGTCCATAGCTTCCACTCCTCCGCCCATCCAAAGGCTCGAAGAGGACCTCATTAATCGTTCGTTACTCGATTCTCTCGAAGCCCAAGGAGACGCAGAACCCATTCATCCATCTCCGCAACCTGCCATGTCTCACTCAAACTCTAACTCTGGTTCAGGAGCACCATCTCCTGAAGCGCAGTTTCATATCCCACCTATGAATAGGCCCGATTCCCCTAGCAATATCGATTTCAATGCCAACCACGAGAATGATCGTATACTCCGCAATTCCCTTCTTCAGCAACACATTGATGATAATCATCATCGAAATTCGGAGTCAATGTTCTCTCATGGCGGAGTTCAATCCATGTATAACACATCCAATAATTTCCATCTCCTCCCGGAGTACCTTCCAGACGACATCTCCCTTAAGCAGGGTCTCGCAGGGAGTAAGTCTCCAAACGACTTTGGCGCTGGGTCGTTAAGGTCGTCTTTGAGCGCTTATAATGGAATCAGCGGTGGCAACGCTTCCAGTACTGGTGCCACCGGCTCATATCGCCTTCGTCAACCAGACAGTCTCCCCTCACAATCTTATTCAAACACGAACGAGATATTTGGGTCCCATCAGCCCTTAAATTTGCAGCACCAACTCTCTCAGCAATCTCAGCAGAGTGCTTCTAGGTCTGCCGCATTCGAGTCACGTAGCGGGTATGACTTCGGAACCAGCTCTCCGCTAGGAGGCGTAAAGGTTCCTCAACAATTTTCTTCCTTGGACCCGTTCCTCCAAGCGCATTCCTCCAAGGGCCAACAACAATCACAGGTCCACGACGCTTATCATCCATTGTCGCACAGTAACTCCGGTTCTCAGATGCCTTACCTGAATGGCATGCACCTCCAAAGCCAGACGCCTTACGGTCCCCACTTACAGTCTAACGGTGGCGCTGCAGGAGTGCCAGCAAGCAATGCAAGGCCCATGGGTAGCGTTGGGCAGATGAATTTAAACGTCGAGTCGCAGAGTGTCAATAGTGGACTGCCAGAAGAGATCTCGACCATTTTTGTGGTTGGATTTCCTGATGATATGCAGGTATGTGCTGAGCCATTTGTAATGTCCCGCAACTTCTGACAACTTGTGTAGGAGCGTGAGTTCCAGAATATGTTTACGTTCTCTTCCGGCTTTGAAGCTGCGACCCTCAAGATCCCAAACAAAGAGTATACAGCATACGGGTCGGTCGGTGGAACGACTTCGACTACTCCATCTGGTCTCCCTCTTCGTGGAGGTGCCTATGCCGGTTATTTAGGCGCCGGTTCTAATGATCCTTACAATATCGTCACCGTCAATCAAGGAGGGGTTGTGATCGACAATGGACGAGATGGCCCAACGACCTCCTGGCCACCCCTTGCCATGCCGCTAGACGAGCCTTCGCACTTCCAAGTGGGCCAAGGACTAGGTGGCCAGCCACCCCGAAAGCAGATCATAGGCTTTGCCAAGTTTCGCACTCGTCAGGAGGCGCTTGAGGCAAGAGACCTGCTTCAAGGCCGCCGCGTCGACATCGAGAAAGGTGCAATCCTGAAAGCCGAAATGGCGAAGAAGAACTTGCATACCAAGCGAGGTGTTGGCATGGGTGCTACGACATCTGGAGGTGGCGGAAGTGTTTCTCTTGGTAGTGGTATGGGGAACATCGGAGGCTTGAATGGAAGCGGAAGCATGGGCTCGCTTAGCGGTCTTGGAAGTAATGCTGATATAATCGCTAATCTCGCCGGCCTGAGTCTCAACAACAATCTCAATTTGAACAATCTGGCTGCGCTTACTGGCAACAATTCTGATATTCTCTCCCCGCGCGAGAGGGAGTTAAACTCAGTGGGGCTGGGCGGGTCTGGCTGGCGCGAGGGGAGGCTCGGGGACAGCAGCGAGGATGAGCGGGAGAACAACATCCGTGACAGGCGCAGGGAGGCGCTTGGCCTCGGACTCGGTTTGATGCGAGGTGCTCGTGAACGCGCTCAGGCTGATGAAGAAGAGAGGGTCAGGCGTAGCAAGGACCTCAAGCAGTTCCAGACTGACGCTTCTCGAATGTTGCCGGGAAATACTCCCGCTTTTGAAGCCTTCCATTCGGTTTCCGCCCCCACTTTATCCCGTCATTCTCAGAGTAGTCTCCTTTCTCCTACGGGTGGGTCGATCTCCATTTCTGGACTGACTGAAGGTGGAAGCAGTGGTCACAGCCCGCTTATGGGAAATGGATATGGTAACATCATCGCTCAGACTGGTCGGGATGGCTCCAGCAATATAACTCCTGACCACAATGGTCTTCGCGAGTCCCGCAGTATCGGACCTTGGGATGCGCCTTCTCCGCGTGAGAGGGAGGCATCCGGTATTCCGCAAACCCTTTCGTCACTGTATGCAGCTCGGAAGTCCTCTATGATGCCAGTTCGACCTCCATCCCCTCAGGACGAGTCTCCCCCTCTTTCTCACGCAGCCTTCTCACCAAGCGATGAGGACGATATGATGCTTCCACCGCACCGTTCTGGCGCGTTGCGCTCGCTTTATCCCCTATCTTCCCAGTTGGAAGAGTCTTTACATCTGCAGAGCCAGTCTCAAACGATGGCACCTGGCAGCGCTACGTCAAGCTCCGCTGGAGGGTTTGAGGGTGACAGGCCGGTCCTCCTTGCAGTCAGCACCAGTGCACAACCGAGTTCGGGCAGTGCTAGTATCGGCTCACCTCAGCTTCCATCGCCTGCTTCCCAGTCGGGATCTGCAAGTTCGTCTGCTGGAATGAATGGAGGGGGTAGTGCAACCAGTGCGGGGAACGCTGTCGGTGCGGGCCCTAGGAATGTCGTTGTCGACCAGAACCCACCTATCAATACATTGTACGTGGGCAACCTTCCGACAGGGTCCGTTGGCAGTGGTTATCCTGCTGGATTTCTGGAGGATAGCCTGAGGGAACTTTTCTCTCGGCGCCCGGGGTATAGGAAGTTATGCTTTAGACAAAAAAGCAACGGTCCAATGTGCTTCGTTGAGGTAAGTGATTGTACTTGTGGTCACGGTACAATGCTCATTCAAGACCTGCGCAGTTCGACGATGTGCATTTTGCCACGAAAGCTCTCAATGAACTGTATGGTAATACCCTCGGTAGCATCGTCAAGAATGGCGGTATCCGCTTGTCATACAGCAAGAACCCATTGGGCGTACGCACACCAACTAGCGCTGGTACCGGTGCATCCTTGGTTCAACAGCAACAAGGCAACGTTCACTCTGGTGTTGCATCGCCCTTTCCCCCTGAGTCATTCCAAGTTCGCCACCCATTCGATGTCGATGCGTCTATAGGGATAAGGCGCGATAGCTCGAACACCGCATCTCTATCCGGGGCGTATGGCTACTCAAGATCACCGCCCCCTCCACGGTTCTTCTCTCCACCTCCGTCATCCACGAACTTCGGTATGGCACCCGCGCCGCCTGTTAGCAATGCGAACGCCTTCCCTCGTGGCTCGCAAGCCTTTGGGCTACCTTCACCTACTGGTGCACCTTCAACCTTTTCGCCATTCGGTCTACCACCTTTGTCACCTCGTTCGCGCGCGAATGGTCTCCCTCCATCGCATGCCTTGATACCCGATCAGAGCTCAGAAGGTTCCCTGGCTCATGATCACCCGCAGCATTTCCCGCATCGCGCTTTGTCGCCTTCATCGACCACACTAGAGGCCGCTAGGGCCGGTTAAAGGGACGAACTTAAATTCCCTCGTATTCTCACAGTCCGCATGCAAGCATCTACAGCACAAATCTGCAAGTTATATATATATCTGTACTTACCACTCCACGACATGATTGACATCTCTCCACTTCTCATTGATCGCATGGTTTTCCCCAGAACCCACTTTTTGGACTGTCAACTTCGCCGTCGCCTCCAATTTTTATTTTTCCCTGTTTCGCAACCATTAATCGCAATCCTCCATCCTACATACTCACAATCGGGCTGTTTTCTTCTTCGTCTGCGTTCGTATCATTCGCTCCCACAGATTCAACTATCCTATTGCTCGCACGTCATCCTGCTGATATCTCTACTATACTAGTTTACCACTTGTTGTTTTAGGTACCTTCGAGTTCTTGTCCTCGTGTTGACTCGGTGGCTTGCATTTCGTGTTCATCTCATATATTTCGATTCTGCATACCACCTGTTTTCTGAACTTCGGGTTACCACCCAGCATTTTCTCGACATTCCCATCTACACGCGTTTCATACGCACGTTATGTATACTACTCTACTGTGAATGGTTTGATGCTGCTGGACCGTCAATGAAATATAATTCGTCTCAAGTGGCCCATGCGGATTTATGTTCTGGTTTGGACCGACTACTCGAGAATGAATATCTGACTCAAACCCAGTGACTACAACTACATTTTACCACATCAGGACCGCTGCGCAATAGACTGGATCAGAGTGAGTGTGTTACGCCTGGACCTTGACTACGTTACAAAGAATGATCATCTAGCACTCTATGATGGATGCCGATTTCGACGAAACATATGTTCTACTTCTCCTCGCAGACTCTAATCTACCTACGGGCTCATTCGTCGCGTCTGCTGGGTTCGAGTCCTACGGAACACATGGATTCCTCTCTATTTCATCCGCGTCAAGCGCGGGGAAGGGAAGAGCAGCTACAGCGGGCACAGTCGACTTCATTCAAGACAGCCTGCATACCTACGCCCGAAGCGCTCTTCCGTTTGTTTCGGATGCCTATTGCATAGTAGATGCATTGAAAGATCTCAAGGGCAAGCCAGAGATCGAACATGACGTTACAATCAAGAAATTGCTAGAGCTGGACGGGCTGTACGAAACTATGACACTCAATCATGTGGCCAAGCGCGCCTCAAAAGCTCAGGGGGTAGCACTCCTCACACTGTACGCAAAAGGGTTTGCTTGCCCTTCAGGCCCCGGTGATGAAGACCATCTCTCAAAGAGCTTGACCGTCCTTATCGATCGTCTGAAACTGATGGTTCGCGGAGAAGAGACGCATGGTCATCTGCCTGTGTGCTGGGGCGTGCTGACCGGTGCTCTTGGGATATCACTTCGTATGTTTGATGTTCGAATCCTCGATTTAAATTATGATTGTTTTTTAGTGCGAGCTCAGCACCTTTTTCTGTTTCTCCATGCACGTTCAGTTCTCTCCTCAGCGGTTCGCCTGAATACGATAGGACCCTACAGTTCACAGCAGCTTTTGCTTCACTCAGTGAGACCCCTGGTCGAGGCGGAAGTGTCACAGAATAAGGACTTGCGTACTGGGATTTTCATGGACATGCATCACAACGATGCAGATAATCGGCCTGCTACGACATGGCCCCTTGGCGAAATACTCGCTGTTCGACATGATTTACAGCACTCGAGAATATTCAATAGTTGATCAGAACTGTAGTACGTCACTTTTTAATATCTTGATGGAAGATGAATTTCCCCTACACCACTATCCTGCGTAATTGTGCATAACTGAGCGGAGCAGGGAGAAAGGGCAGTGCAGAGACTGCGATATTTTAGCTCTGTCTGGGCACATGTTGAAAGAGCACTTTGCACCCGTAAACTCTCTCTCGCTGTGAGCCCCCCTCCTCAGTTGACGATAGTACATACAAGCCACGCGTCATTCGGACGAGGTAGATCCATCATTCCAGCGATGGTTGTTGATGTCCTCTTCTTACTAGGATTTCGCAGTTGCTCCATTACTCAAGCATCAGTGAAGTTTGTCCTGGAGTAACCCAACTTAGCAGTCGACTATGTAAGAGTTGTATCATGCACCACAGAACTCAGTGAATGACTTCGTGTACGTGGATTCTATGGTTCGTGCCGCATTCCCTGGTGATTAATAACCAGTATTTTCCATAGAGCCAAAGCATATCATGCGACCTAGAAGGAACAACGGCTCTGCTGTGGACTATCAGGTCAAAGCTTGTGATCCCATGCATACTTTAACACTGCATGGTGTCTTGAGCTTTCTGTTATGGAGTTTCGCATTGACCTCTGTTGACATCTCTGTCCAGTGCCCGGGTATTGCCGCGGCAATCGAAAGTAAATGATTTATTCTGCTTCCGCCGCGGCATCGACATAGAACAGGAGCGCACGCAAACTACACACATCAGAACAATATAGTTCGGTCTGCCACTTTCAATTCGGCTTTCAAGTCATCCTCGATCGCATTGGAAGAACTAACGACCGAAGGAGTGTCCGTTGATGAGACTTCAGCGAGGCTGGGAGGTTACATTATTTTCCTGACTGTCAGACTCGCTCTGTCCTAGCTTGCGTGCATTCTTCTGGCCTTCGGCCGCATTAACAATTTTCGTTTGGTGGTGAATCCCAACAGTTTTATATAGTCTCTCGAAAATCTAGCTTGACACGTAGGCACCTCGGTGATATATCTCATGTTTCTTAGACGACCCTTGTGCCACAGGCGTGAAGGTGAATTCCCTTTCTATACACCGCAAAAATGTTGTCAGCAGGTTTAGAACCAACTCCAAGAGAAACAGATTTTGACTCTGTTGTGGTATTCACTTGGCTAAGACCAGTTAGATGGACCTCCGAGGAAACCATATGAGTTGATGTCAAGGTGTGTTCCGATATAAAAATTTGTCGTTCGACAGGTTTCGAGCCTGCGCAGCGCAAGATAAACAGATTTTGATTCTGTTGAGGTAACCACTTGGTTAACAGCAGTTAAGATGAGCCTGCGAGAAAACCATCCATGAGTCAATGTCGAAAACGTGTTCTGATAGAAAAAAAGACCTCGTCGTCAGCAGGTTTCGAACCTGCGCGGTCCAAGAGAAACAGATTTTGATTCTGTTGTGGTAACCACTTAACTAAGACCAATTAGGATCAATCTCTAAGGAAATCATCCATGAGCGAGTGTCAAAGATAGAAAAAAAACCTTGTCGTCGTCTTCTCACCTGCGCGGTCAAATAGAAACAGTTTGATTCTTGTGGTAACTATTTTCGCCAAGATGCTCCCCGAGTTCAACGTTGAACCTCTGAGGAACTGTCCATGAGTGAATGCCAAGTTGTGCTCCAATAGAAAAAGACCTGGTCGTCGGCAGGTTTTCAACCTGTGTAGTCCAAATTCGATTCTGTTGTAGTAACCACTTTGGCTAGGACACTTGCCAAGTTGAGATGACTCCGAAGAACTGTCCATGAGTGAATGTCAAGGTATGATATGAGGGAAAATCATTTGTCGGCAGGTTTTGAATCCGCACCACCCACGAAACATGCCAGGAATAAAGCAAATCGGGGGCTGGCGCCGGCGCCGTTGAGATAACAGTCATCTCGGTTCTAGATCCTTTGACAGATCGTACTCAAGTTAGTCAAGTCGAAGCTGCAGTCAGCTTACTTAAGAGATACGCAGAAAACCAAGACAACACCCCCAATGGGATTGTTTGTCTTCATGGTTCAGTGAGCACTGGAGACGTGCGTCTGGCATCGCTGGGGCGAAGGTCCACCTCAATAAAAATCAAACCTAATCATAATATTCCCTTTGTGCGAAAAAAAGATGGTGACTGTAACGTTATCTGAAGCAACCACACGCATCAATTGAGGTTACCCGAAAGCGGCTGTTCTACACGGAGGATTATGAGGATGACTGGTACAGCAGACTACAGTGCACTGATACGAGCCCCTATTTTTCGCAGATGGAATCTTGGAATATCGGCAGAATGCAATGTGAGCTAGATGGTCACATGAATGGTTTTAATCGCAATCGAAACCAGGAATACGCACCGTTGCTCATGCTGCGGTGGTCAACGCTAATCTTGCAGAAACTTCGGCTTGGCTTCGGACCAAGTTCGCGAGGTATGTTACCATTAGAGTGTCCTGTAGTCCTGCGGTCCAACCGCCATCTTCCTCCACGCCGGTGCCCAATACGTCCATAAGATACCTCCCGACTGCCTTGTCCCCAACAACCTCACCGCGCAAGACAGACTGGACATAGGTAAGTACTCTGTTGAGCATGTTTTGCACGTCTGTCAATGAGGATGCAAGAACATCGAGGTCGGTTTGGTTGGATGACGGGTTCGGAGACAACAGCAGGTCAACTAAAGCGAGAAATTCAATCGATAGCGTATTGGTACACCTATAGACTTGAACTCACGGCCGCTGCGTTCTGCTTCATGGAAGCGAAGTTCGCAAGGGATTGGAACAAATACACAATTTTCGGGTTTGGGGAAGATCCCAACTGGTGAGCTGGAACAGTTAAAATAAAATCAGGGGAACTGCATGGCATGGAAGGTATAGCACGTACCTTACATATGCCTTCACTCCAGCACCCTTGCCCTCCTCCGTTCCAGTATCAAGGGCAACATGGACCGCTTGATTTGGTGCGGTCTCTTGGGAGTAGAAATTTTGAATCAAGGCAGAGTATGTGTTTAGGTCCGAGCCAGTCGAGTACCATCCCACGATGGTTTCATTGGGCCTAACACGAGTGCAGAGGTCGTACATGGCACGGTGGTAGTCCATGTCCACTGCAACCTGCTCATCGGTCTCCGAGTGAAGGACAGCAAATGCAGATTTGACATCAACGGTAGAGTCTGTGCGTGTACCAAGAAGGGTACCGATGACACGATGCTGAGCATCTGTTCGCCGAAGGTAGTGGTCAAGGATCGAGAAGAGTGCGGACGGATGAATCGTTAGTGAAGTTGGGCGTGTCCTATTAGCAGATCATCAGACCAACTATATCGCATGGTGAGTTTTGGATGAACTCACGAAGGTACACCATTTGAACTTGGTGGAGCGCTCTGTATGTACGCCGCTGATGAGGATGAGCGTATAGGCATTTTCAGAGATAATAAGCAGCTAATCTTGCTGCAGCGATCAAGCCAAAAAGTCGTCGGAGTTGCAAACAAATGGACTTGCCTTTTTCGTGAACGTTCGAGCTCAAGTTTCTTAGTTTGCGCCGTCATCAAACATTTGCAGAAAATGCCTTCCGAAGAGACCAAGGTTCGACTAATGCTCATATGATTGCCGTGTCCAGTACTCATTATTCTATACAGGAACGTATCACGAAACTTGTGGAGATTGGCCGCGTACGTTGGTCCACACCCTACCCTGAACAGGATTACTGACTCTCTGCAGACTGTGGTGCACTATGGCTGGATACCGCTCATCATTTACATTGGCTATACTCGGAGCACACCTCAGCCCACCCTTATTAAGTGCGTTGTCTCAGTGCCTCTAGTTGACCTTGGAAAATTTTAACACGTTAAATTAGGCTCATAAGCCCACTCGCATGAGGAATTACTCCTTGCATACGCACCTCCAGCTGTATTTTATAATTCAGTCTACTTAAAAGGAACCAATTCTCTGCTCAGTCCTTCGCTTGGTCAGGTGCTACTGGGAGTTTGAGGTTCTACTGATCAATTCTGAGCGGTCTATCATGTGATGCCGATGGAACGTGTTTGTCAACTCAGGTAAGTTTTGCCTTTCTTCCTTTCCACTTGCCATGATTATATTCCGTGGTGGCTCTCCATGGGGGGGCCCTGAATTTCCACCGCTTGTAACCGTTTTAACTCGAACTGGTTTATTATGTGGTACATGTCGATGGTATTAGGCCAGATATGAGCACTACTTTACGCATGACTCTGTCTTGAAGAGTCGAAGGCTAACCACGATGCTTACTTACAGGAATTAACAAGATAGTATGTGATACAAAATACAATGCGACATGCTATATTTAAGGTATCGAAAGCAAGATTAAGTCTGCAACGTCACATATACACCCTTCTTAGCTCTGCGGCGCTGGTAATTCGTTGGCACATGGGGCAAAGCTTAGTTGCCCCCAGACAGCGAAGCCAACATTCACGACAACATGTGTGCCAGCATCCCGTTGACACCGTTGGGTCGGTATACTGTGAAAGACAGATACGGCACAGGTTAAGTGAAGATGTTGAGCCAGCATTAGATTCCTATGATCGACTATTAGTCGGGTGTATATTTATCATGCCTTGAACTTACCAGAGCCTTCAGCTTGTTTTCCAGAGCCAGAATAAGTGCGCTAGGGTCATTTCGCGAGCGCGCAGTGATAATGTCGAGATCGAGCTGTTCTATCTCGATCGGTTGGATAACTTTGCCCTCTATACTATCTGTTTTCATTAAGACCTTGCCCTCAACTATCAGATGTCTGAGCGTCTGACGTTCTTGGGCGGTTCCTATATGACCATCTATGTCGACGTCATTATCTTCATTCTCAGGGTGCAAATCCCGATCACTTGAGGGCAAAGCCAGGACATCAGCTTCGCCAAACTGTGCCTCTCCGAATACTGCCTCATCCTCGCCATCTATGTCCACTTCATCCTCGATGTCCAGTGAATTAGATGTTCGAATATGGATACCAGTGCCTGTCCATAGAGTCAGCGATGATTTGTGTCATGTTGTGGTACTTACCTCGTAGACTTGCACTTGTAATGACCCTTGTCCTAATGCTACCGCCAACACCACCAATATGGATATCCTCTTCCTCATCCCGTAACCGCTCTTGTTCCAACCTAGTGCTTTCATGTGTTAGACATGCATCCACATGTGCCTCGACGACATCCCGATCGCCTCTGACTACTTGTGCACACACAGGACATGACGTCCCTCCCTCAACTTCCATAACCCAGGACACTGTTTCATGCTCCTTAGCAAGCTCTTTGAGGCGTAGATGTCGTGCTTTTCGTCGACGCGTAATGATTTGAATAGTCTTGTCAACGGCAGAAGGAGATGTGGAGGATGGGATAGAGGTGGTAAGGTGTTTGCGAGCTTTTAATGCAGAACGCCGGGCGCGGTTGCTCGGGCTAAAATGGGTAATGTCAATCGCTAGTCCGTGACAATGTATTAGCAGACAATCAGACGCACCCTTCTCCTAAGTCATCAACTTCTGCCAAGACCTCCGCTTCACCGATATGCCGAATGATGTCTTCCACCCTTTGCATTTCAAGAGCCGCATGAGTAGCAAGCAGACGCACAGGAATCAATTCTGCACATGCCGGGCATTGCCTTGTTTCTGCTCTCTTAGCTATGTATGTATAACCTCATTCAGGTGAGGTCGTAAATCGAAGAAAGCCACGTACGCACGTTTTTTCACTGGAGGGGCGATGACAGGAGCTTCCGAATGCGCCGAGGAGAGTGAAGAAGAACTCGGGGACGAATCTCTCGCTCGTTTCTTGCCTCTGGATGCTCTCGTTCAATATACTATTAGAACATTGAACAAAATGAAATCACGAACTTCACTGATCTCGGAAGCCCAATTTGCAATGTCATTTTGGTGCTAAATATTCCGGGGGATGTGTCCACATTATTCAGTGATGTTAGTGAAGCTGAAGCAGGTTTTGGAGGGATGGATTGCATGCAAGCAAGTTGGATGTAGCCAATTACTAGAGCTTGAAGACATTGACCCGATCAGATCTGAAGCACGTGACTTTTTAGTTCCTCCTCGCCTTCAAAGAGGCGACAGACGTCGAACTGCAAGTCATTTGCGATACATACAATCTAGTACAGCCGACTACTTGAAGAAGACCAGGATATACGGTTTACGCTGTACCATCAAGGTGAAATATCATACATGCTAATTAATAAGAAGGATTATGCTTAGACTCCGAAGCTCGGAGGAGTTGCATATGCGCCTGTACCCGCACTATATGGCCTGCGGGAACCCATGGACGTTTTACTATACGACAGACGGATACCACCGTTTCTTATGAGCCCGCCGAGAGTGGAGCCAGTGAGGTCGTTGAGAGACACTGTGGCATAATGTACATCCTGAAACTGCCATCGCCATAAATCAGAATGCTGCGAGTGGAATTAAAATATCTTACGTCGACAAAACACATCATTCGCCCGTCGCTCTTTCTGGTGAATAGCAAACTTCTATATCCCGGGCGTAGAGAAAATAAGGCTCTTAATCGAGCTTCAAGATAGTCACCATAATCCCCTGTGCTCCTCGGGAGATTGCCTACGAAAAGCGTGTTTATGGGAGGATTTCTGCGATGAGGCTTGGTATGCTCTTGACGCAACGGCGCTCCAGGGATATGAGGTAACACTGTCTCGTCTTCGCGATCTGGAGGAGAAAACGCGAAAAGTGAATCCACAGAGTCACTTTCAGTCAGGCGTGATAACTTCGGCGGCTGCCCGTGTCTTGTGGGTCCAGGTAACGCTTTGGAAGGGGGACGAGAATATTTGTACACAATTAGGGGTAACTGGTCGGATCGCAGACAAGATGCGTCGTTCGTTCCACCTGAACAATTGGCGATCTCTTGACCGATAGTGTCGATCAATTGTACAGCTGTCGGACGACTTTCCGTGCTCGAGATCGGGCGCCAGCATTCTGAGATAAGAGCCCAGTGTTTCTCTGAAATGGGTGGATCATCCGGCCGAGGTGGAGTTTCTCCTACAATCAACTTGGCTATGATGCGACATTCAGCCATGGTGCCTCTATCTGTATACCATGGAAATCTGTTAGAGAGGATCTGGGGAACATGATCGACTCGGTGACAATGAAGCGACAAAAGGCAACTTGCCTGTAGTATCACACTGCCAAAAGAATAGATATCACTTTTTGGTGTAGGTGAACAGGAAATTTCTGGATCGAGAAGCTCGGGAGCGGTCCACCGTATTGCACCGGGGCGGTGGGATAACGGAGCAATCGAAGATCCACCTTCAAGTCCTCCTATAACTGTAGAAAGTCCAAAGTCCACCAGGCATGCTATGCCTTCTGTGTTTATCAAGACATTACTCTACAGACCATCTTATTCAGCTACAAATGGGCGTAAAAACGATTCTCTTACGCCAGTAAGATCCCCGTGGATCAGAGGAAATGAGTGCACTTGAAAATACTGGCCTAAGATTGTACAAGTGAACCCAGAGGAGAACGGCCCACAATAATTTAAACCAGTTGCGATATCATGAAGCTGTTATGATTTAATGATTCAGCTCACACCTAAAATGACGGATAGGTCTCACCAGCCATAACTTCGACATCAGTGGTAACTTTCCACCATAGGTTTCCAAGAAATCTGTCAGTGTTCCATTTGGTATCCAGGGCGAAACAAGAGAGATGGTCTCAGGGGGTCCAAATCCCGCTGTTACGCCTATGAATGGCACGATATTCTGATGTTTTAACTTCATCCATATTTTGATCTCTCGACGGATTCTCTGTAACGTGAACGAGAAATTCAGCCTTCAGTATGTACGGCGGAGAACGGATCCCACTCACTCTGATATCATCTGCGCTAGGCAGAAAACGCAAAGCCTTCACAGCAACCTAAGAAGGAATCACTACATTTTGATGGTTCAGCATGCAGAATCAAGGCGCTCATACCTGAATTTGACCTGACGTTGTCCTGTAGATGCCTCTGTAGACATTTCCGAAAGACCCTCCAGCCACAGGATGGTCATCTAATCGGAGAATATGACCGGTGAGGTCTACAGGCGCCTCCGCTGTTCTATTCATCTCATTGGGTCAGATCAAAAACCAAATGAGCTATGTATTGGCTATACTTGTACTGTGTTTTGCGGACTGGCCTGGGGAGGACATGATACAAGAGCATCTGAGAAGGTGGCTGATGGTCGAAGAGATCAACCGAGAGAGTCAGTCTCGAACTGTAATTACAGCGGCAATAACATAAACATGTGCGAATCGAACGGAACAACCGCGTTGTGTGGCTGACCGCCAAGATTTCGTGGCGCATGGATCTTTGAGAGGCAAGGCTGTGGTTGTCAATGTTATTATGTTATTCTCTCACAGCTGGTCTTAATGGGACTTAACCGCAGTATATCTGATATAGGGCTATAAACCCTGTACATGCCGTATGTCGGGACGGTGCACTTGGTTGAAGGAATATGATCAAGTGTATACGTATTTTGATCCTGTATTGAGAGATCAAGTTAACATTGTATAGAAACGCTTGTTACGCAAGCTAATACTGTATGATAAGCGAATTCGCGTGCACACAAGCTTTTGCAAGAGTTTCTCGAGGATAACGTGGGTCAAGAGCTTGATCGCTCAATGCCAGCGGATGTGTCTAGGAGAGAGGCTCGGACTGCAGACGAGGAGAAAAATACGGTTGATCATCAGAAGGAAATAATGTAGGTTGGAATATACTGACCTTAGTGTTCGAGGGATAGACTCCGTTACAAGTGATTAGAAATGAAGAAAAAGATTGGAACCAAGAACGAAAAGTGACTGCGCAGAACGCGTAGTGTGACAACACGTGTGGCGAGCGAGTTGCGACAATACTCGAAACTAAGATACCGAAAACTGTTTAGAGGCTGCCGCATAACTTGCAGCTTCCATGCTCTCCAGTCGTGAGCTGACCTGTGGGTAGTGGCAGGGAACTGCAAGGGCTCGTCAAGTCGACTGCTGATGTAACAGGAAGAAGAAAGCTACATCCAGACCATCACGAAGCTGACCAGTCCGAACAGGAGTCACTGCGTTCGTGCTAGGAGTTTACGGAGGTAGCGAAGGAAAGTACGTCCCTGTGGGCATATCGTAGAGAAATCCCTTGGTGAGCGGGTGACGGTAGGTGATCATATTGGGCGTATTGCATCGACTGCAAAGACCCCATTTGATGAAGCGGTGTAGATGACTATGGATCAGCGTACATTGAGTAAATCAGTGAGGCGTAGACTTTTGTCTGCAAAAGTTATGTTAGTGCATGAGGGGTTGAGTGGTTGGCATACATACATACACTGAGCTTTGCTTGTCGTCCAGGCCGAAGACTAGACAGGATGTGAGGTGGAATGTCGCATATGTATATCTTGGACTCGAGCCAGGCGGTATACACCGGTTGGTGTGAGTTGGGTGAGAGGATAACAAAGTGGAGATACTGAACGTTAAATGATGCAAGGAGCTGATGGCACTCGAAGACCCCAGCTTGATGGTGTGGTCGTAGGAAGCACTAACAGATGAAAATGCTAGACCATGGATGATGTTGGTGTGCCCTTCGAAGGGAGCTCTGACAGTCCGCAGTGTCGACGCGTCGAACTCATAGATCGTCTTCAGCTCGTCATAGCGGTCCTACTGATCGGTCGTGGACATGTGATCGTCTTCCTTGAAGTTAAATGCGGCCAAGATTATTGTTGTCTTTAGTTGTTGTCCAAAACACTGGCGCATAGTTAATTATCCCGCGTCGAGGTGCCCCCATGCTAACGACTTCTGCGTTGCAACATCCTATACCTCAAGCCACTGTGTTGTAATCGACATGACTGCAAGCTTCGTCGAGTCATGCGAGAATCGAACAGCGCACACCTGGTCAACAGAGCTAGTTTCGAATAAGGATCTTCCAGTCTCCAGGTTCATGATATCCGCACTGTAAATTTTCATGTCCCGTTCAACGTCAGCAGCATGCTGTCCGGGAGATATCGATGCAGGCGATAGTACCTGTGATAGTATCTCTCTGACTCACTGAGTGGGCTCTAATTTCAAATGATATTCTCACGATCCCTCATGCTCCCCACGGTGGTTAACGCTTAAGCCTACAGGGTTCGGTGTTGAGAGCTGTAAGCCTGTAATAACATGCTGCTGGTCAAACTCTGTGTCATTCACGTACTATCTCTGATACTCGTCTCGTTTCGTGGCGCTGGCCTCCATGTGAAGATATCATCATCATCATCATCATCATCGGTTTTGTCTTGTCTGATTCATCGCACTCGCTCACTTCCCGGCCGCAGCTGCTAGCCACCAAGTTGCTGTCTGCAGAGATATCCATGCTGGAGCAGGCCTTGGCAAAGTCGTCATCAAATATTCTCACGATCCCCGTCGTCTCCACCTCACAGACTTTGAGCTCCCAGCGACCATTGTCGATATAATTACCCGTGGCGACCCATCGACCGTTCCTTGATACCCCCATCACCCCTACCCCCTGCTCACAAATATACGGTGCCTCCTCAATCTCTTTCCCTGCCTGAAGATCCCACCGCCGAACGGTCCGGCCGAACCTACCGATCATTTGCTCGCCGTCCGGAGAGTAAGAAATGAGATAACACAAGGGCGGAAGTTTACGGCCCTCCAAGGACATTACCGGCGTCAAAATCGATTTTTGGATGCCGCACCGAGCTGTATCGACCTTGAAGTCATGACGGTTTAATCGCTAGGGAGGTTGGCAAGTTTACCAGTTATCTTGATGTATTCGAAGAAGCGTCAGTGAGTTCTCCTCGTGTACTGAAGTTGATGGTAATTTTGAAGATGCCCAACTCGTTTGAACGTTGCGGCGCTCTCCCTGAAGCCAATTGTCAGTCCTGTGCCGGAGGTTCAGATGGAAGTTGACATGCTACCAAGAGGCTGGCTGCGATCACATGATAATGATGTGCTTATGAACACATCTGCCACCTCCTTAAGCTCTTTCCTGTGCATACTCATAGTACAGCATGTCCTTTTTTTACCCCTTCCTTCTGAAACCACAGTCATGTTATGAATATTCCCATGTTCTAGCGCCCCACCGAGCGCCAATCTGAGTGCTAACGTTGCCTCTTCTCCTATACTCGAGAGCTCTTCTGATATGGTTCAGTTATACGTGGGCGTTCGCTCTCACCAACTGTCAAATATTACAAGTAGTTGGTAGATGCATCTACAGCTTCGCTGCATATATCAAAATGTCACATTTTACATTCTCACTTTGCTCATCGCCTGACTATTAATACCAGCAGGGCATTGGATTGATTTGCCTCCGAGTATTCCGTCGGGATACGCAAGGTAAGTTTATTGTGAACGTTCCTCTCTGTCCCCCTCAGTTTTGCTAATATATGTATATTCACGCAAGTCTAATGCTCGCGCTCGACGCCCAAGTAACCAATAGCAACATGACCTATACACCACATATGCGTGTCGCAGATAACGTTCTCCTTTGACCGTCGACCACTTTGACATTTACTTGTCAGTTTTTGTTGATCGCGTCGTGCCCCTACCTGCGCCATGATTCACCCTCCTGAACTCTACGCTTCCCCACTTCTTTATGCTTTACCACTCGCACCCGATCGAATCGGGATTTTTGTGGAGGCACTCTCGCTGATATACAAAGCCCTGGAGCGAGGATTTAATTTGTGGTCGAGTAGTGATATGAGCCGTAGCGTCATTTCACCCGTACGGCTTCTTAATCGGGGCTGTGTCGCGCCGGATGTGACAGGTGGGCTTTTATCATCCCTCTTCCTTCAGCGCAACCCAGAAGTCACTAACTTTTGTATGAACACGGTCTTGCACCTAACTTGGAGTTCCCTTTAATATGTTGCATCAATACATGGTTCCTTTCCTGTTGCTGATTCTGGTCAGATCTCTATGTATCCCTTGCGATTGACGTGAAGTTGGTAATAGTCTTGACTCCTGCATACCAAACCTGTATCGGAACATGATCTTTTAGGCCTCTTTTTTTGTCTTTTGAATCTGATTTTCAGATACACGTACAAGAGCCTCGATAGAATTATTGAACTGATCAACATAGGTATCCTATGAAGATTGAAAGAAAAACTATGTAATTGAACCTAAGTACCATCGTGAAAGGCAGATTAAGCATGAAAAGGCATGTATCCTCTTTGGAACACCAATTTACGGGGCTATTGAATGTTACTTGTCAAACTCGCACCGCAATGCCAGTGCAATCTAGTGAATACCAATGATCTGCTCAAGAGCGTGAAAATTGTGCATATTATTTACATCAATGATACAAGAGTGTGAATCTGACATAGACAACCAATACCTACAGAACGTCCTCGAAGCTGATCTACAAGCAAAAAAACATCCGGCCACTTCCATGCTCTCCAGCTGTGGGTTGCCCTGTGGCAGACGGTTGTGAATTGGATGAACGAGGAACATAATCTTCATCTTCAGCATCGTTGTGCTGCAAATGAATCTGTAAGACCTGGACTACAGCGAGAAAAATGAACTGGGCGTACCAGTTGAGCCGGGGCAAGACGAACATCGAAAATTGGCGGAAATGTACGAGTGGTCCACAGGTGGTGTAGGCGGGCTTTGAAGGTTGTAGCAGTAGAAGATGATTGGTTGGTGGGTAGTCGAGACTAAAAAAAGATGTAAGTTGGAAATCTGATGGTGGCCGTTGACACTTACATTCTTGCGTGGATCTGTTTGTGAACGTCCGTGAGTACTGGCCTGCGATGAGTTGGGAGGCAGGGGCAGTTTCGTAGGGAACTGCAAAGAGACCGTCGAGTCAAGTGCGAAGGAAACATGACAAGAACATACATCCAGGGGATTACGAAGGTCAGCGTTCTGGAGAGGAACTTCCATACGAGGAGAGGAAGGAAGAAGCTTGCGAAGGTAGCGGGAGAAAGTAGGTCGCAGTGGGTGTATTGTAGGTGATTGTCGTGGCGGCTGAGAGGCGAGAGATCTGACAGGTGAGATCACTGGCTTACAACGCCGCATAGCAGGAGGTGTTGCATTTGATTGCAATGATGACGTTTGATGGAAATGTGTATACGAGTGAGGATCATGTACACTGAGTTTGAACCGAGGGATTTCAGCTGCATTAGCACCTGCACTTGTCTGCAAAAGCAAATGAATGTTAGCGCATAACGGATAAATCTGTGTGCGTGAAATGCATACACTGGGCTCTTCTTCTTGTACAGGCAAAATGCTACTAAGGATGTCAGATGAAATGTCGCATATATGGATATTGGCCCAGGCTGTGTAAACCAATTGGCGTGAGTCAGGTGAGAAGATGATGCAGCGAGGATGCTGGACATCAAATGAGGCGAGTAGCTGGCGGGACTCGAAGGCCCAGAGCTTGATGGTGAAGTCATTGGCCGCACTGGCGAGGAGAGCACAATCGAATGAAAGTGCTAGACCTGTGACAAGGCTGGTGTGTCCTTTAAAGGCTCCGACCTTCTTTAGCGTCAAGGCATCAAACTCATAAATTGTCTCAAGGTCGCGGTGGGATGTGTAATTGCTAGCGTTGAAGCTAAATGCTGTTATGATGGTTTTGTCTCGGGCCGTCCAGAACATGGGCGCATTTGTCATTATCCCGCAAGAGGATCCGACTGGACCCACTCTGACACATGTCCCGGCTTGGATGTCCCACACCTCAAGGGACTGTGCCAGAGCTGACTTGACTGCCAGCTTCTTCGAGTCTTGCGATAATCGAATTGCGCCCACGGTTGAACGAGTGCTGTACGATGAAGGGTTTGGGAATTGAACAACCGTGTCTCCAGTTTTCAAGCTCTTTATCCACACGGTACAATCCGATAATGCGCTCGCCAGCAGTGTACTGTCCAAGGAAATATCGATGCTGATCGTACCAATGTGGCCTTCACTGAATGTTTTCACGATCCCCGTCTCAACCTCACAGACTCTGAGCTCCCCGCGTTGGGAACTGAAAGTCCCTTCTGCAGTGACAACCCATCGACCATCCCTTGATACCCCCACCGCACATACTTCCTGCTCACGAACATCTTGCGCCTCATTCATCTCCTTCCGCGCCTGCAGGTCCCATTGCCGAGCCGTCTTATCATCTGATCCGCTGATCAACTGCTTGCCGTCCGGAAAGTAGCATATAGATGAAATGCAGTTCCTCTTAGTATGTTTCGATTTTCCACCCGGGATCAAGGGTGCGACTGGTTCATGACCCTCCAAGGTCATGACTCGTGTCAGAATCGATTTTCTTGATGCTGTACGAGGCTGCCTCGAGCTGGAAGCCATGAGTCTGAATGTGTTGGAAGGACCGCTGGTGAGTTTTCCTTGGAAGTTGACAGTGATTTTGAAGATGCCAAAGTTTGAGCGCTGCAGCTTTTTCCTGCGGAAGCCACTTGTCAGCTCGTTCGTACTGGAGGGTTCAGATGGGGGGGGGGGGGATATATATATTACGAAGAAGCTGGCTGAAATCGTCCAATGATAATAATAATACCTAATGAACCCTTTCCTCGTGATAGCTGTATGTGGCACATCATGATCATATGAGCTTTGTTTACCCCTTCCTAGCCTTCTCAAAGCAGCCATATCTCCACAGCCATGCCAAATATTCTCGTGTTCGTGCGCTAGAACCTGCTCAGCGCGTGCGCCGCAGGTGTCTTCTAGAAACAAGAGTTATTCTGATGGCACCGTGTGTGGGTGTTCACGCTCACGCTGGAGTGGGGTAGCCTAGGGAGGGAGGCCAGGGTTTACGAGAAGGTTTGCAAGAGACTTCGTCAGCACATAGAGGCGCCCAGAGGTTTGCCCAGTGCCATAAGTCAGACCGGATCAAGCACAAGAGGCCAGCTCATTTGTTTATTGGCCAGAGTCCACTGCCCCAATGCCAAAAATTCAGCGAGCATTCTACACCAACAAGTTCTGCAAGGATATCATCGGCGGGCAGGTGCGCGCATTTTATATGCGATAGCGATTGATTCAAATTGGCAGGTATCTTGCGTTGTTTATAGTAGCGCGAAAAGACTTTATTTGAAGGAGTGTTATTGTCGTCGGTGAGTCAGGTATTTTTATGAACATTACCTTTCTAGGTCGACGGAGAAATGGTATGCTCGAGCGGTTCATGAAAGAAAGGTTATGAACTTCCAAAGGAGACGTATTCAGTCTCGCCAACTCTCGAGGGTGAAGAGGAGCTCACCATCCCACGAAGCTGGATGACTTTGACAACGTTAGCTTGCCCAGGTGAAGGATGAAGACGATGAACCGTCTTACTTTTGAACACAGGTAGATTTGATTGGACTGCGAGCTTCTTCGAGTCGTGCGAGAATCGAATTGCGTCCACCCCGTTATCAGTTTCGAATACGAGTTTTCCATTTGTCAGTGTCAAATTCCCATATCCGCGCTGTGGAATGCCATACCTCACGAAGGCCAAAACTTATGCGACCTATTGAAGGAACAATAACTCCGCTGTGGACCATTGGGTCATAGCTAGTGGTCCCACATATAATTTGATGTACCTTCGGCCGCTGCCTGTTGTGGGACTTGTTTCGCCGTTGTTCACGAGGTCTTAAAAAGAGGGCCCCTTCGAGCCAGCTTTCCATATCACCCACCCATCATGGAGACTATTTCCCGAGCTTCATTTGACAACCTTCCCACCGAGCTTGTCCTCCTCATCCTGCAATATGCAGCCGAACCTACTTTTACCCAACCTGAGCAATATGTAGTCAAGAATCCATATTCAACCGCTCGTACACTCTGTCTAGTGTCTCGAGCTGTCAGGCGTGTTGCATTGCCCGAAATGCTACATACAGTATTACTGGGCTTTCGCAACGTAAGAGCTTTCGCGCATGCTTTACGCATGCAGGCAGAATACGCTCAGACAGATTCCAGTCTCTGTCTTGCGTACACACGTTACACACGCAACATTTGGATCGGACATCCCACCTCTGTACCTGAGTCAGACCTTGACCTCTTGGCTCCGGTACTCCTCAGCGCACCATCGCTTGCAATCGACTTTTTAAGCATGGACCTTCTGACACGCTGCGTGGAGCATGCATGGACCCACATGGACAAGAACATCGACCGCCAACATTCGCCACCTCCGTGGCGCACAAAAACCTTAACGCTATCGGGGATGGTGATTTCCCCATGGCACATCACTACGCGGCGTCCCTCAGGATCAGCCTTCCTGGCTTCCGTCGCTCACCTCGTCGTGCTCCCCCACACACAGATAGACTCAAATTTACATGTCATTCGTCGGATTACGGGCGTTATTGGATTTCAAGACTACGCTCTCCCTCGGTGGATGAGGCACGCTCCATGGACTTCATTTAGGAGGCTTGAAAGCATCTCTTTAGCTTTCCCGCGTATTAAACCCTCGCTCAATGTATATGCATTCATCCGAGGAATGAATTTGCAGACGGAACTGTTGACGTTCCCCGCTTCCCTTGTGAAGGGCCACCGTGTGCCCCTGGAGATAAAAGAGTCTGCGGAGACTGGAGACGGGCATATTTCTTTGAACGATGTTTGTCTTGTGGTATCTGACTCTCAGGTGCACTTTAGTGTATTTCATCAAGAGTGGGAGAAAGTTTGGGCATGCGGATTGTATGCTGAAGGGGGAGCAGTGTCATAATACGATTAATTATTCGATATACGTACGCCTTCGCAATTGGATTCCTGTATCAAGTGTGTATAATACTTCTTGGCATCGATCAACGGGCTTGGTCAAGACTTTGTTACTGAGGATTCATGAGTGAGTAACTCAACTATAATCTCGGTTGTAGATCCTTGACATGGACAGGTGGGACTCTTACGAGACGTCTGGCATCGCCGGGGCAAAAGTCCATCTCGATACAAAATCAATTATAATCATAATCTTCCCCTTCGCGCGAGCACAAAGATGGCGACTTGCTACTGAGTCGAATTATTCGTGCTGTATAGGCCAGGCTAGTTACGAGCCTATAATATCTCACACCTCAAGGCAATTCATCGTTTCTGATTTGACTGCGGGCTTCTTCGAGTTTTACAACAATCGAACTGTTGCTACGGAATGGTCACTTTTGAACGTAGTTCAGCGGACCACGGTTTTCCTGGCGTCCAAATTCCGTAACCACTCCCTGACCTGCCTGCGCTCTTTCCTCGCCAGCTCGCAGGACCTATCGTCGTGCGGTCTTATCCGCTGATTATTTATTCGCCGTCTGGGGAAAAAAACCAAATGGAGTCGAAATACTTAGTAGCAGATCCGTTGCTCGCCATTCAGGAGATTGAGAGTGAAAGGCCTATGACCAAAGTCGTGGCCGGTGTCAGAATCGACTTGTTTGATGCTGCACCGCTGGGCTGCATCGAGCTGGAAGGTATATTCGTGAGAAAGGTTGGCAAGGTAGCCCTATGTTAGACAGTACATGCGGTATGTTGTAATCTATGGTACTCTATGTGCGTTCATGGTTTAGTAATCCTGTAATCCTGGTCCAGGCTTGCGCGAGGACAATCAATGCCGTCTGTAGGCGATTGGGTTGGGTAGATGGCTAAGCACTTAGCGCATCGTATGGGAGTCACTGCTTCTTTGGGGGGCTCACGTCTCCGAAGGTGTTCTCTAGGCGTTTTGTTCGAGCGATGTACTTGAGGACTTCCTTGATGCTCTTTCCTTCGTTCAGGAGGCCTTTGAGGCTGTTTGCGCGCGTTCCTAGTACGGCTTTCATTATTGATCTCTGTCTCGCGTATGCTGGGCATGCGATTAGGAAATGGTGTACTGATTCCTCTCTTTCTTCGCAGGCTGGACACGTCGGGGAGGGCGCTCTTGATATTCGGTGAAGGTGTTTGTTCAGGGGAATGTGGCCTGTGCGAAGTTGGATTAATAGGGCTGCGTGCTTTCGTGGATAGTCGTCTGTGAGCTTGTTGAAAACGGTTGGACGGGAAGGATGGATCTATTTCTTTGAATCTGGCGTATCGGGGTGAGTTTTCCAGAGTGGTTTTTGCCTCTCTATTGATCGTTGTGTGGAAAACTTGTTTGATAGCTGACTTGCTGGTCGGGAGGGTGAGTGAGGGATATTCGTGAGAAAGGTTGGCAAGTATGTCTAACTCGTTCGAGCGCTTGGGCGCTTTCCCTGCCAATGTCTATCGTCAGTTCATCTGCGCGGAACTCTTGGATGGGATTTTCATCTTACCAGGAGGCTAGCAAGGAAGAAGGGTAATTGCCTGAATGATGAGCATACATGCACATCTGCCACATCTCTTTGTATTTGATGACAATTATTCCTCGTGACGGACGTGCTTTTTACTCCATTCCCTCCTGCCACGCCATTCCTGTGTAGGATCCGGACTTCCTGTAAGCCAACAGACGCCAGTTTGTTCCCAAAATGCAGTGCCTTTTTATCCACATCAAAAAAAGTTATGTGAAAGCCTTGGCACTCGTGCAGAACTAAATCATGCGATGCTGCTTCATATATCCGTCCCGGAGATACAATAATACAGCATGTAATGGAGGGCTGTACTTGCATCTGACAAAATACGCGAGTTTCATAGTTAGTTTACATGTCGGTCAACTATGGGACAGGTTGATGTGATATAACACATACGCCGGATGATAACAATCAAAAGTAAAATGTTCACGAGACCAGTTTAGAAGCAGCCACACAACCGGCCACTTCCATGCTGTCCGGCGGTAACCTGCACTCCTGTGGAAGGTCGTTGCGAATTTGGATGAGGTGAAGGAGGAGTAGAAGGAACATAGTCTTCATCACGAATCAAGTCCTCGTCAAATGTGGGAGCACCCGCTGTAGCATAGCGCTGCAAATAGATTAATGAGACCTGAAATATAGTGAGAAAAATTATTTGAGCATACCAATTTACCCGGAGCAAGAGGAACATCGACAATAGGCGGTGATGCATGAGTCGCACGAGCGGGCCACCAGGTTGATAGGTGGTGTGGTCGTGTCTTGAAGGTGGTGGGAGCAGTGGCAGAGGATTTGGGTGCTGATATGTGTCGAGCCTGAAAGAATGTAAGTCGAAAACGAGATCATGGCAGCCGACACTCACGTTCTGGGGATTCATATCCGAATGCGCGTGACTCGTGGCTTGCCCAGAGGGAGAGGTGCTGTGAGGTAGGGGCAAAGTAGCAGGGAACTGTAAGGGCTGTCAAGTCGACTGTAAATGTATCAGGAAGAGGAAGCATACATCCAGAGGATCACGGGGCTGATCAGTCCGAACAGGGGTCATGCGAGAAGGAAGCATTTTGCGAAGGTAACGAAGAAAAGTATGCTCCTGTGGGTATATTGTGGGGAAATCTCTTTGTGGGCGGGGGAAGATAGGTGATTGTATTGGGTTACGGCGCGTGGCACGACGTGTTTGCGTTGGACTATGAGGAATTAATGGGGTGGTGTAGACGAGTAGAGATAACGTACATTAAGGAGTTGTGGATTTGTAGCTGCACTTATCTGTAACAGAATGTTAGTCTACGAACAGATATGTGTATGTAACAGTATGCTTGGCTACATACATTAGGCTGCGCTTCTTGTGTAGACTGGATAGTGGTAAGGATGTGGGGTGGAATGTCACATATGTAGATATTCAAGTCGGTTTGCGGGTAAATGGTGTATGCCAGTTGGTGTGAGTTGGGTGAGAAGATGAGGTGGTGAAGAATACCGATATCGAACGAGGCTAGGAGTTGGCGGGACTCAAACGCCCAGAGCTTGATGGTGGATAAGCAAGCACCAGCAAGAATAGCACCATCAAATGAAAGTGCTAGATCATGGATGCCGCGAATGTGCCCTTCGAAGGGAGCTCCGACTGTCTGCAGTGTCGATGCATCGAACTCATAGATTGTCTTGGGCTCGTCATAGTAGTACTCGCGCCGATCGATATCGGTCATGGTCATGTTGTAATCGTCATACTTGAAGTTAAATGCGGCCACGATTGTTTTGTCTTTGGTTGTCCAAAACACTGACGCATGTTTGATGACTCCGCTAGCATATTCTTTCCCCACTCTGACAACCAATTTCTGCGTTTTAATATCCCACACCTGGAGACACTTCGCCACGCTTGAATTGACTGCGAGTTTCTTCGAGTCTTGCGAGAATCGAACAGCTCCGGGTCCCGTTGCATCAGCTATCTCGAATATGAGTTGGCCGGTGTCCAAGCTCCATACCCGCACTGTATCATATACCCCAGAACTCGCTAGAAGGGTGCTGTCCGCGGAAATATCAATGCAGCGGATATGCCCTGAATGGCCTTCAAATGTTCTCACGATCCCCGTCTCAACCTCCCAGACTTTGAGCTCCCCAGCGTGATTAAAGTCATCTCCACCTGCAGTGACAACCCATCGACCATCCCTTGACACCCCCACAGCCCAAACTTCCTGCTCACAAATATACCGCGCCTCCTTGAACTCTTTCCCCGCCTGGAGGTCCCACCGCCGAACGGTGTTATCCCCAGATCCGCTGATCATTTGCTCGCCGTCCGGAAAGTAGGATATGCATATATTATGGTAGAGACTCCCTGGATATTTATCAGTCCATTCATGGCCCTCCAAAATCGTGACTGGTTTCAGAATTGACTTCTTGGATGCTGCGTCGGGGTGTGTTGAGCTGGAAGCCATGACGGTTTATTCGCTTTGGAGGTTGGCAGGTGTCCCAGTTATGTCGATGGGTCCCAAAGACTACCAGTGAGTTCTCGTGTATTGTTGTGAAGTTAATGACTGTGTTGAGGCTACCCAACTCGTTCCCTGCTGAAGCTAATGGCCAGTTCCGTGGTGGAGGTTCAGATGGAGATTTCCAAGAGGCTGGCTCCAATCGCCTGACAAAAGATACTACTCTTTAAGAAGTTCTGTCCTGTGCATAGTACAGCATGTGCTTTTTTTATCCCTTCCTTCTCAAACCTGTTTCTCACTTTCCAGCTCACAATCATTCTCATGCTCTAGCGCTCCAGCCTGCCCAACCTGCATCAACTGTTATAGACCGTTGAACGCCAATTCGAGCGTCACATGCGTCTTCTCCTTTCACCCGAGAGCTCGTCTAATAATTCAGTCATGCGTGGGTGTTCCCTTTCACCAATAGCCGAGTCTTACCAGTATCCGAGTCTTGGGCAAATACATGTACAGTTTCGCTGCATGCTTGCAGTTCCTGGCGTGACTAAAACCCGCCCAAGCGCTGATCTAACCACTACACCTGGATCTCGAAGCCGAAGATGACACCATCCGTAACAAGCAAGTATTCGACAAGTGTATCCGAGGACTATTCTTATAGTAGGGCAAGGAGACTCTATCGGAAGAGTATTGTCGAGAGGCGTTTTCATGAAAATGACCCTACTATACCGCTGGGTGAACGGATGCTCTAGTGCTTCACGAAAGAAAGGTTGCGAGTTTCCAAAGGAAATGTATTCAATCTATAGGGCAAAGAAGGTCCATGTTGGTACAGGCGCACTGTCGAAGCAAGAGGAGAGCATGTGAAGCTCCAGGTATGTAATGCGACTCCTTGAACTGTTGTGAGCCTAATTGAAACGCGGCTCATAGAGTTGACATTGGTGCTTCTGAGCTCTATTCTTTCCCTCTTTGCACTTTGTATCTTTTACGATCGTGGATCCTGTGTCGTATGTCGTGGCGCTGTCCTCGGTCGTAGGAGTATGATCGGTTGTAAGCGTACTCTACTCCTGTGTTGAGAGCTGAAACTTGGTATAAAACGCTTGTTATGCTTGTATTAAGCAGGTATAAAGGCACCGATATAAGATGGAACCAGTGAACTCGCATGCTCACTGGCTTTTGCAGGCGGTAGTGTTCTCAAGGACGCTGTGGGTAAAGAGCTTAATGTCAGATTGAATGACTGCGGGCCAGCGATATTTGTAGACCTGCAACAACTTCTTGCAGGCAACCAATGAGGATCTGATTGTCAACGGAACCATTGCAAGGACTCCATCAGAGAAGCTTTCTGAAATTTCAAATGATACCCTTGTCCAGCCTCCTCCGCACTAACATGGACATCATGTAGCTGTATATATTCGTTTTGATGCTACTGCTAGTACTCCTACTAGTATACTCTGCATACATAGGCATCGTGGTAGAAGAGAGTAGATAAGTGTGGAACCGGTTATTTAATCGCCGAGTAATGCCGAAAGCAATTGGGGGGCAGTGGCTCCCCGCAAGCTCCCCGTTCTGTCATTCCGCACCCCGTCGGCCGTTATCGTGGGGCGTAATTCTTTCCTGCACAGCGAACCGTGTCTACTTTCTGACCACTTCCTTGCATTGCACACTACTCCTTCTACTTCATTTTTTGATTTTTTTTTTTGCGGACGGAGCGTCGCAGACATGAATGCAGCGCGGTCTAGTGCGCTTAACCAGCGGAACCGACTCCTATTGCAGACAGCTCCTTTGAGGACGGCAGCACAAAGTAGGCGGGTGTTGACTACTTCAATACCAGTTGCCTCACCTTCCAGTTCTTTGCCGTCTTCCGGTCATGGACATGGACACGGGAAAGCATTCAATTCCTCGCTTGCCGTAGAAAGCACAATTGCACGCAACGATCCTGCCGAATTCGCTACCATCAATCAGTTCGAGATCTCACAAATGTTCCCGAAACCGATCTCCCCGATAAAGCAACATGAAAAACTCGTGCAGTCTGGGGCACTTCGAAGTGACGATCATCAGGTTCGTATCGTCGGCAAACTTCAGCGTTTCTGGGAGCAGGTGCTCCAGTATGACCCTCCACCTATACCCGAAGCGAGAACAAGTGATTCATTGGTGATTTTCTTTCATTCTCACTGAGGCCCGCTGACCCATTCGCTGCTAGATATCCCGTTTGTTTTCTCGTGCACCTCCAGTACCGGAAACAGCGCCCGCATCGGCGCCAAAAGGTCTTTACCTTTATGGTGACGTTGGCACAGGCAAGACGATGCTTATGGACCTCTTTTACCAAACACTGCCCCCTTCCATCACACGCAAGCGTCGTGTGCACTTCCACGCCTTCATGATAGATGCACATAAACGCATACACGCTGCTAAAATGACCATGGGACATTCTGGTGGCGACCCCATTGCTCCTGTTGCGCGGGACCTAGCAAAGGAGGCGTATGTGCTATGCTTTGACGAGTTCCAGGTTACGGATATCGCAGACGCAATGATTCTGAGGCGTTTATTGGAGGGCTTGATGAATCATGGTGTAGTCTGTGTAATCACATCCAAGTGCGCGTCCCGCTTTGCATGATGGTATTTTAGGACTGACTGTCACACAGTCGACACCCAGATGATCTTTACAAGAATGGAATTCAACGCTCGAGCTTTATACCCGCCATAGAACTTCTCAAGACGCGCTTTGAAGTGACGGACTTAGACTCAGGAACTGGTGTGTATTTAATCAATATTCTTCCAGCGTATGGTCTCACAATTATATGCACAGACTACAGACGGATACCACGCGCTCTCTCACACGTTTACTATCACCCGTTAACACCGGAAAATAAAGCCGAGATAGACAAAATCTTTAATTCACTGACACGTCCAACTCCTGCCGCTGCACTTCAAGATCCTGTTATTGAAAATCGCCCAATAACAACGTGGGGCCGCACACTTCGCGTTCCGCTTTCCACCTCAAAGATTGCGCGATTCTCGTTCGAGGAAATTTGCGGTCGTCCGCTGAGTGCCGCCGATTATTTGGAGGTGACGAAGCAGTTTAGTACTCTGTTTATTACAGATGTACCGAAAATGGGGATGGACCAGAAGGATATGGTATGTTTCTCCCATTCGGAGATATTTTTCGGCATTAACCATCATTTTCCAGGCAAGGCGATTTATCACATTCATAGACGCATGCTACGAATCGAAGGCAAGTTCGCGTACTTCATAATTGTGGTCGATAATCTAATGACTAGTGCAGACAAGGATTTTTGTATCGTCAGAAGTACCCATATACCAGATCTTTTCGGATGAGTCGACACGTTCAGGGAAGGGCATTTCAGATCACATGCGGAGTGTGATGGATGACCTAGTGCGTTTCTTTCTTCAATTCCTCTCTCACGTCATCTCAATTTTTGTGAAGGGCCTATGCCCGGAAGCTGTGGGCTCAAGCTCGATGTTCTCAGGCGATGAGGAGATATTTGCGTTTGCGCGGGCTTGCTCGCGGCTGGTGCAGATGGGGAGCAGAGAATGGGCAGAGACAACTTCTCAGTAACAAGGACAAGCATATACCTATGCGCTCCCTGGTACATAAGTATTATATATATATTGCTGATCTCTCTGTATACAAACTCATTCTGACATCTTCATCTGCAAATCCACATGTTTACATCGTCACTGTAAGCATTCCTTAGGGCGTGACCGCGATATGCTGACCCATTTGTGATTGTTTGCAGGTTTCATTGACACCGATATATCTATACAAGTTAAGTTCGCAAAGCAATGTTGTCCACATTATCTCCCACAGCGGCTGGTAACTTACGTCTTGTTATTGCTCAATCTCGTACGAATCACCTTATCTCTCCTATGTGACGTACTATGACTCGGTGGGCGCTCTCGTTTCCGATGGGGGGAATGCGTTGATCAGCAGAAATAAGGTCCCGAACTAGTCACTGATCAACGCATTTCCCAAAGCGCTCCTATCCAGTCAGACTCCCTTACGCGCCTGCTTACAATTCGCGAACACGTCGCGAAAATACTTAAAGACCCTTCGCATGGACCCGCACTCCCGAACTTCCTGAAGCCCATGATCGGGATTTGTCATGCGCCTACCCTGGGAATATCTTCGACGAGCTACGTATAAATGCGAGGAGAATGCTCGAAGGTACTCCATCAAATTCCGCTACAGCATGTCAAACACCCCTGTTACCGAAATCATCACGCTCACCAGCAATGATGCGATGAAGACGACTTCCAACTTCCAGGATGCCGTTGGGCTCTTGCGCCAGTCCAATTCTGAAGGCCTCCAACAAATGTACTGGGGCGATCGCGTCCAGCAGCCTGGAATCAGGCAGTGGTTCATCAGTGAGCCATGCCGACTGTAGTGATTCCGTGTTGAGCTAATCGCGCGCACAGATTGGGACCATCGTCCTCAGAAGTCAGAGTCGACGGCCGCAACAGCTGCGCAGATCAAAGAAAAGCTCGCCGCAGTTGTCGACTCCCCGCCGACGCGCAGGCTTGTCGCTTTCAACCCCTTCCCACCTACCAATTGCTTTGTCGCGCCGTTCACAGAAGTCATCATCAGCACTGTAAAGCCTGAAACCGACCTGAATGAGTTCAACAAGATTGTTGACGAATCGTTGGATGTGTGTCATGGCTTTGAGGGATGCTACGGAACTGCGTGGGGATACGTCGTTAATGCAGAAGGCGCAAATGAAGTAGTGTTGTTGTTAGGATGGGAGAGTCCAGAGGTGAGTACACGTAATCTAGAAAGTGTGAAACGATGCCCATCACATGCCGATAACTCTCAGCATCATGTTGCGTTCATGAAGACGGAACCTGCCAGGGTAACAACAGCTCCTTACGTTGAGGGAGTGGAGACGTCAACTGTCTTCTATGTTCAGACGCAAGATGCATCAAAGTGACGAATCAATAAAGGGCTCGAGCGATTGCTCTAGTGATACATTGTGACCTTATTACAAACGAACGTTCCTTACGCCTTCGGACGTCCCTTAGCAGTCTTATTTTAACAGATGACTCGAATGATTACAATAATAGATGTTTATAAACCACATTCGCTGTCGTCTTTTCCTCGTTCTCTTCTCCGAATAGTGCGCGAATGTCTCTTCGACAACGCACTCTCGATACGGCGGTGTATAGTTGACCATGCGCGAACGAATCCGTGCGCAAGTCGAGCACTGCTTTTTCTAACGTCAGCCCTTGACAACCGTTTAAAAGTCGTTGCATAATGCCGGTCGCAGTGGAAACTGCTTTCGATTGACTGTCCAGCTTGAGCGTGGTGGATTGAAAGCAAATGTGATCCGAGACACGCAATGTATCTCGCCAGTGTTGGGCATCTGTACCTCCACAAATCTTCGATGAAGTGCAGCGATGCGCACACGTGCGTTACGCACAAGTCCATTTTCAACGGACATGTTGCGCTGTATTGCACATACGGCGTTGACTTTAAGATCCAATCGATGAGGTGGCGTGTTTGGATGAGTCAACATGGCGAGATAGTCCGGAGTTTGTTCTGGAGCATCTGGAGGAGCTTGCTCAGCTTCTTTGCTTTGGACACTTTACCCACCAGGATGACAGTAGGTATAGCACGTGCGCCATCGGTGCGCTGCAAATCCTGAAATGAACCAATTGAGGCAGCAACATCTATAGAAAGTACGGAATGGACTCACATTGACACAATAAAGCTCTAGAGACGTGCTCTCGTTTACAGTGGTGGTGACAATGCGAGCATTGACGAAATAAATGCCATCTTCCGGTGGAGCATTTCTACCTCCAAAGATAAAAACGGAAGCAGGAAGATCTCCAACACCATCTTCAGGGTCGGGAGAAACCGGCACAAACCCTTCCATCTTCCAAAAAGTTTTCTTGGGATCGAGAATATAGCGAGCGGCGTTTTGAACGCCAACTATGCCGTGATAAGTGCATGCCGATGCCATGGTAGTCAATGCTGAAGAAAAGATTGCAAAGAACGGAATATATCGCGAAGGAGAGACAGGAGAGGTGAAACCGATGCTAACGACATGTGATATCGGGCGTTGAAATAAACGGGAGGGCATGTGACGCTCAGGTGGAGCACAGACAGGAGAGAGATGCACAAAAGGCAGATCATGTGGAGCTCAAGTGGAGCGCAGACAGGAGAGTCACGCGTTTTGGTTCCGCGGAACCAAACGTTTCGTACATACATATGTTAGATATCTACACAGTCGTGACCATGTTTATTATATGCCCGTCAGTCCCTTTCCCTTGCTGTCGACGGCGAAGCTCCCACGTGCAACATTCGTGCCCGTCATTCCAGAAGTGAAGCCGTTCCCAGCCTGATCTTTCCCCTTCTCCAGGATATGCGTCACGACGTCAACATCTTTTGTCGTGTTAAAGACGGTATCCAGTTGTTGCTTTGACGGTGTACCCAGAATGCCCTGCGCGCCTTGATTGGAGTAAAACACTTTGAAAGCTAGGAAGTGATGTGATTAGATAGCGATCACACGATTAAATCAGTGCTCACAATCAACTACTTCGGTTAGAGGGATCGTTCTATGCATGCGTAGCAATCGACGTTAGTGGTGTATCACCAGATGGTACTCGTGTACTTTACCTGTCTGCAAAATATGAATCAGGTTACGGATCATCCAATAATCAAAAGTCAAGATGCTTACCTCCTGCTTTCCATTTCTTGTACTACGACAACGTGAGATCGGATGTCCACGAGTTGAAGTCAAGTCGAGATCAGCTTACCTCTGTTGGATTAACAATGACAGTAAACTCGTCTGTCGACTGAGTGTCGGGCTGGTACACGACCTTGGTGAGGGACTTTGTCATGATGGATAGAGATCGGGTGTGGTGCGCAGTAATTGGAGGGTATTATAGTAATCTCAGTGCTTCGGTAAAATGCAACGACGACGACGACGACGATGATGATGATGTAGTTGTTGGTTGAATGTTGGATGAGGTCAAAGGGAGCCTGTGCAGGTGACCTTTATACCCCACACGCCACTTTGACGTCACTAAATTAACGAGCGCTTCGATGTCACGCGACCATCAGCGCATCACGTGCCAGCGCCCTTTGAACACAAGGAAATAACAATAAGATCATTAATGTATGTAACGAAGGTGTCCAAGATACGGTCGGCTCTCAATAAGGGTCTCCAAAGCGAACACAATAATGGTACTTTAGCCTACCGTGAGTCAGCTCAGCCTTGTCCAATCCAATGCCGGTGTGGATCGCCTGCCGCTATGGATACTTACATGGGTCAAAGGAACGAGGGAAGGTCTAGGAGAGGGGCCGAAATGAATACACGTGATTCGAAGACAACCAAAGATACTAGCCTTCCGTGGGCGCATTGAAAGGGAAACGCAGTCGCAGCAAGATGTCTCACAAGGCGTTCACACTGTTCCAGTGATAGTGGATCGTTGAACATGACCGCGCCTGAGTGATCAAGTAATGAGTAAAAGTGTATCGAGAGCACATTAACGTTAATACCTCGACACGCTTTTGAGTTGATCAAATCCAGAAGCTCCTGTGGACACCAGCGAAGAGCCTTGAGCCACCGCGACTCGTCGTCCTTGGTGTTATCGGTGTCTTTTTGCTGCGATAGGCTAGGAAGGGATGCTCCCTCACTTTCGAGAGTTCCAAGGTAGCCTTTGACAAGATCTCGCAGCTCATCGTTCATGAGTAACTATACCACAGGATAATGAGCCCGCAACACCATGCAAATATCTACACGTACCTTGTCGCCCACAATCGCAGGTATTGCTCTGACGAAGACCTGCACATACCCGTTACTTGCTTCATCTCCCGCACATTCCGATTCCAACGAGGTCAACTTCAAGTTAGCCAATCCCTCAAAGCGCACACCCCACCGGTCGAATGCTGACTGTACTTCTTCGATAGTCGCCAAGCGCGAAGCTTCATGACACGTGAGTAAAATAGGCACAGCGGGGGACAGATCCAAAACTTCGACGCCCTCGGTTCCGTCGCAATGTCGTAGGAAACCAGAGCAAATTTCTGTTAGGAAGCGTTCGACTCGGACTCGTTCATCCGCAGCGTGTTGATCAATCAGGATCAGAGTTGAGCCAGGGGGTTTCCCATGCTCCCGGTGCGTAGGATTATCTAAATCAACTAAACAGGCTATGAACTTGCGGTCAACCTGGTTGATGACCTGTGCCTTCAATAAGTCTCTTTTGTGAAATCTGGTTCGTGCATGCTCGGAGCTTGATGGTGTCCCGAAAGCGCGGGCGCAACACGAAGGATGGTTAGGGTGAATAAGAGCATAACCCTGATCGTCGGAAGCTTGATTAGCAAAGAGCGGCAAAGATGGAATCTTTGGCTCTGTGGTGGCATATGCGTCGTTCGCCTTAGATACCGAATGGTCAAATTGAGGTCTATCTCAAACATTCTGAACCTACAACAAGAGCTTCTTGTAGCCAATCGGGTATTTTATCATGAGCAGGACCGGAACATGGACCCTGACCTTTCCTCAGAAGACGTGGAATTTGAGAAACACGGTTCACGTTAGCCGTGTTCGTTCCGTCGATCTTGTGGCGCGAATTTTGAGAATAGGAATTTCCAGTACGAGCATTCACAATAAACATTTCACCCACGGCAGGATCTTCCCAAACCGTCGTTTGCGGAATTTCCTCGGAGATGTTTCCCTTTTGATCACGATTAGCTGAGTACCAAAGCTTAATGGTAGGCTCCCAACTGCTCACCGGGTGAATGAACACCGCCCGTGCTTCTTTCGGCTCTGCCTTCCTACTGGCTGGCGGCTGAGGGACATTGTTTCGGCCCGCACTATTTGAAACTATGGAGACTTTGCGCTTCTTGGGCGGGGGATCACAACCTTCCTCACCACCGCGTTTGCCGGATGCGAAACCATGTCGAATCAAGAATAAATCTATCACAGAAGAGAGGAATGTTGTCACAGCGTTCTTATGCTGTATTTGCCAAATTCAAATCTTCCGGGGGCCTGTGGACAAAAATTTACACACCTCAATCTGAACTGCGGATTTTGCTGGTTCCAGGCAGTTATCGATGAGTCGCGTTGGTATGACCAAATTAAGAACATAGATAGGTTTATTCTCGCCTTTTCGGGGCGAACGGCGGACCGCTAGGACTGAATTTAGAACAACATTCTCAATTGAAGCAGACCGACCTACATGATCGCAGATTTGTTTCCCCTCCTTCATCATATGCCTACAGTACATGAGAATCGTGAAGATACCACAGATACGTGACTTACATGCTTCATGAACGTACTATTTGAGAATTTACTGTCAATTAGGCGATGAAGATCGCAGAATGATATCGGATGCTTGTTTATGTCTGAGAAACGACTCAGCAAACGCTGTAAATATGCTTGGTTCATACTCACACAGATACTGATGAGCCTATTGTGTCGTGAGTCAACAGGTGTCATGCAAACAGGTGTTCTCACCTTCGAACGTGCTCCAACAAGGGATATAAATCCCTCCACTGTCAGATCTTCAGATGTAGCATCAATGTCTTCTACATGCTGTGCCAGTCGATCATGAGTAAATGACGCTGGGTTCGAATCTATTTCCTCACCTCGGTCAGTGCCCGACCATACATGTGTCGAAATGCAGCCAAGATTGAACGGGTCTGACATCGTGTCAAGTGTGAAACAAGATGCCATCTGTTTTAAAATATTTACATGCCTTTGGGATCCGAAGAACGTGCCCCTTGCTCGAAGCATTGTCTCTTGATTTGCTGTCATCTTGAAGAGTAAATGACACTCCAGGAAACATAAGAGCGTATGTCTCAAGCTCTTGCTTTATCGCATCTATAGTCTTAGCTGCAGAGGGATGAGATTGACGACGAATAGGGAGCTATTTGTGCGCGTCATAAGAAGAAACGCCATGTATAACAGTAGATAACTTGGCTCACGCTAAAGAATGCGTCCCTGACGCATACGACAGTTCCTGCAGTTTCTCTTCGCCACCGAATCGATGGACCTGAGTACAAAGACTTCCCACCCTGCAACACTAGTTGAGCCGTATTCGCACAACAGGCGCACTCACGAACCTTGAGGATGACAGACCAGCTTTCCCGAGACCGAGATGTGCGTGACGAAATTTCCAAACAGCACAATTCAGCCATTGATGATAGAGCTATGGAAAGTCTCAGCGACCATTCAAATTGGGACAACGTGTGGAATAGCACAGAACCTTCTCCGCGAAAGCCAAATGTCGAAACAGAGTCTAGGGATGCTGGTGTATATGCTTTGGATGTATCTGCGGTTACTGGCTGAGTGACACGTCTGAATACCATAACACACGACTCACTGTATCTTCCTTCCTCTGACCCCTTGCCGATCATAGTCAATCCAGCTTTGCTAATCCCAGCACCATTATCTCGCACCCAACAGCTCCATTCTTCGCAGTCTACGCCAATATCCACCTGAGATGCTCCGGCATCTAAGGAGTTCTGCAGCAGCTCTGAAACTACTTGTGGTAAGGAAGTAAGGAGTTGTGCGGAACGTAGTTTTGCACGTGTCTCCACAGAGAGCTGGTTCAAAGACGTTTCACATGACATGGTGATAACCAAGAAAGTTTTGTCTACCAATGACGCATTGGTGTATTGAGGAGCAGTATCTAAATAATTACATGACAATCTTCCACTGGGCGTTGTTTGGCAAAAGCCTTAAAAACAAATAAACAAATATGGTAGGTTCAATATTATTGCTCGGTTTCAGGGAAGTAGTCGGCCAAACATCCATTGCCAAAGCCCGCAGGAAGGTTGAGGTTCAACGTTCAACAGTCCGACCATTCGGACAAAATAAATATCATTACATCCTGAACACGCCAAATCCCTTTCCATCGCCGTCCCACGTAGTCGAGCCAACCGATCCCCTCCCGCGTGACGTAGGACGCTCTCTTGCTGCCAGCGCGAGCCCAAGACCTACCACGTCTCGTGTGTCTGCAGGCTTGATAATACCATCGTCCCATAAACGAGCAGTAGAGTAGAGCGCTGTTGACTGCGCTTCAATGTCTGCTTTCAGTGATGAGTGTTGGCTAGGGTCTCTGCAAATGGTGCTTAGTTCGTAGAAGGGAATATTAATATTTGTGTTAGGGAACTGACTTAGAGACCGTAGCCATGACTTGCGATAGCTGACCAGAGCCCATGACGGATACCTTCGCATTCTGTTATGACTGTTATCGCAAGGAACTGCATTTCAAAAAGTTCCGGACTTACGGGCCACATCCACAGGAACCGCGGGGAGTACTAGATTACAAGGCACGAACGTGAAACCACTTATGAATATGTCTAAACGGAGGTTACTTACAGCGCGCCCAGCCATTCCTAAAGAAGAATATTTTCGTTAATCCAAGAGAAGATCCTGAATGGAGCACGCATTACCATAATTACCAGCTCCAAAACTTCCTCCGACAACGACGGTTAACTTCGGAACATCGGCGCATGCAACTGCTCGAACCATTTTGGCACCATCTTTCGCAATCCCTCCTCTCTCAGCCTTTGAACCTACCATATAGCCTAGATCGAGACAGGTCAGGTGATCTAGCAACTGGAACTATAACAACCACTCGCCAGTGACGTTCACCAAGAATAAAAGTGGAATTTGACGTTGTGAACATAGTTGGATAAAGTGTGTGGCTTTTAGAGCCGATGGCGAGAATAGAATTCCATTGTTCGCAACAATACCTACTTCGTACCCATGCACATGAGCAAAGCCCTGGACCACCCTGTAAGGGAATGTAGGCCGAGGATTAAGAAAAGTCTCACCGTAATCATGGTCGGACCATATTCTTTTTTGAATTCTCTGAAACGGCTACCATCTACTATCCGAGCAATCACATCTCTCATATCGAAAGCCTGGCGCGAATCAGTGCCAACAATACCATGTAGCTCCGAAGCGGGGTACACAGGGTCCTCTGGCACTGCTGATGGCTAATCTCCTGCATCAATGAAAGGTGAGGTTAACCCTGCGTCATAACGTACACCATTTGGTTTCCACCCTGCAATGCCGAGGTCGCCGACCATGCCCCTTGCTATTGCGATAGCATGCTCATCATCTCGCGCGAGATGATCGGTCACGCCGCTTTCGCTCGAGTGCATTAGTCCACCGCCGAGAGTCTCCTCATCGACTTCTTCACCTGTAGCAGCCTTAACCAGTGGCGGTCCTGCGAGGAAAATGCGCCCTTGTTCCGCAACAATAATATTCTCATCGGCCATTGCGGGAACATATGCTCCACCTAGACCGGAAATAAGACAAACACAGCGTTCTGGGGTACTTACGCACCTGCAACAGATATGCCATGTACTAGTGCGATCTGTGGAATGCCAAGAGCAGACATTTGAGCCTAAAGAAGCGGTGTGAGCATCACATGGTATTCGGCACTCATACGCTTCGGATCTACGTTACCATGTTGTAGAATATGCGGCCAAAGTGCTCTTTATCGGGGAACACCTGGAGCACTGGTTATAACTTTGTCTGTCCTGGTTTCACAGACTTACATTGGCTTGATGGGGAAGCGCCGCACCCCCTGACTCGACTGAATCGAAAATATTGCGTTTAGCAAACAGCGTAGCAGAAACATGAACGACATACCAACGTAGACACATGGAAGACCATGCTCCCGTGCGATCTCCTGAGCTCGTAAATGTTTCTTGACCTGAAGAATTATCAACATGTGAATCTACACACAACTTGTGCCAGTTTCCGCTCACAGTCAGAGGATAGTACGACCCTCCTTTAACTGTCGCATCATTCACGACGATCATGCACTCCCGCCCTGATATTCTACCGATACCTGTGATCATCCCAGCACCAGGAATGTGTTCCGGGTAAACTTCATGGGCTGCTAGTGGTGACAGCTCCAAGAACGGGGTATGTGGGTCCAGCAGCAGCGACAAACTAATGGAAGAGTTCAGCGACGAGAGCCTCAGAGTCCAGGAAATTGTGTAGTGAGCTCACTGACCGTTCCCTCGGTAGTTTCTTTCCCCTGCTCCGCATTCGCTCTGCAGCCTTCGGACCTCCGCCCTGTCTCGCGTGCTCCAACTTGGCCTCCAAATCCGCAACCAGTAAGTCCATGGCATTTGCTTTCTCCCGAAACTCGAGCGAGGCAGGTGAGATCAGTGAAGGGAGTACTGAAGCATGATACCTCCGGGAGCATCGTGAAGACACGATCGATGACCGTGTTGCACGCTTAAGGACAGACTGCATTCGGATGAGTGGACGATTCAGCTTCAAGAGATAGTGAGAAATGAGCGATAGCGGACGGTTCACAGGAGAATAAGAACGCTCGTCGGCTGTTTCATGGATATTCAACGCGGCCGGAACTAGGGCGCCATTCACGTTATTCGGGGACCCACACTTTCATGTAAATATGCACTGTAGCACTTGGCGGCATCGACCACTACCAGCAGTGTCCACTACACACACTAGCATTACAGACGGTTACTAGAGATGGCACAGGGTATCCTTCAATGTCTAAATCTATATTACTGTGCACCCATCAAATCCCAAGACGCCTATCAAAAATCCTTCCACTCATCCCAATCGTCCTCCTTAGATTTCGAAGCAGGTCCAAGCGTTTTCGACGTAGCTGAAGTAGGGTGAACAGACGACTGACCTAGGCTTGTGCGACCATCGGAATACTCGCTCAAGAAATCCTCTGTGTCATCGTGATATAAAGCCGACGTCTCCCCATCATTATGTGTCGATAGAGCTCCATACCCAGAGCCCTGTGGCCCTGTCCCTAACCTGTCTTTCACCGTCCCCACAACGCCTCCAACTTGATCAGCAACGTCAACACCCAACTGAGTTTTAGACCATTCATTTGCCGAATGACCTGCATCCTGTGCGCGGCGTTGCGCCTCCGACATGTATCCGCGAACGGTAGCATGCAGGTTCGGATCCAGAGCGCGCTCCATTCCAGGCTGAATCACATTTTCATTGACAACACGCGATGCACCGGCGACAGCTGCAGAAAAGAGGGACCAGCCCTTGCTTAGGGCGGCTCCGGGATTATCCTGGAAGTCTTGAAGCGTGGGAGCTGAGGTAGATGAAAGGCCGAACGACGGGTGTTGGGAAGTTGGAGGTGAGGGCGTGTTTCCAAATCCTTGATAACGACCGCCTTGAGAGGGGGGTAAATCTGCAGGGCGAGTGGCATTTACATGACCGAGGGATGAGAAAAAAGCCTCGTTGGCAGATTTTTGATCCGTAGTGGTTAGATCCAGGGAGGGTTGCGGCGAACTCGCGGAGGACACCGGAGATGTAAGGTTACGTGCTGAGGTACGCGACTTGCGTAAACCTTGCGCAGAAGATGGACGTCCTGGAGAGTTCGTTCCGCTCTCAGAGCTGGATGTCGGTGGAGGAGATGGAGACCAAGATTTATCGGCTAGGGCCGCGTCTAACTGGAGAAAGTTGAGTCTGAAATTGAAGATAAGATAGTCGGCATACCTTCTCGCGATATTGCGAAGCTGCCCAACAATGGTAGGTGTCATAGGCACTTGTACCTTGCTTATATCCGCCTTGATCTGCTGGCGTGTATGACTCGATGAATTGTCTGAAAGGAGCATTCCCGCCGAGCTTGGGACAAGTGAGCGAGGGCTGTAAACTCAGCATGCATGCAATTACCCACCTGCATACGCTTGATTTGGTCCGCCTGCCAAGTATCCATTGAAACTGATCTCACGAAGCTATTGTCGCGTGAGATTTGGTGGTTGAAGAACGTGCACATAGGTTCGTAAATTCACCTGATGTGCACTCCGAAGCCTCTGTGTACACCAGCGCATTGCAAGCACAGAAATATGGCGAAACTAACTTTCGGAGAATGACCGAGGGAGGCAAGGAAAGGGAAGAGATGTATTCACCTGAGGCCCATTGTGGATTTGGATTACCACAGTCTACACATGTCTTGTTCTTCAGATCCTCACGCTTGCTGAGCTCTTGAAGAATCTTTTTCGCTGCGATCTGATCCATGTCGACGTCGACGTTGCTCGTTGGGCTGCGTGAGAAGGATTTCCACGTTTAATTTGTCATTTCCGTCGAACCTAAACCCTGTTAACAATGTTACTGTTACAATTGGTCCGACATGTTCAAGACAATAGTACTGTCATTAAAATTGCGTGCTCACGCGCATTTACAAGAAGCCGCTAAAGCGTGTCGCATTAAATGAAGGAGTGCGTTGTTTTCACAGATCATGACGCGGTTACTTGCTTAAATGTTTTTTTTTTGATTGAGCAGCATTAATTAATATTAATTCCTTACCCACGGAATTCCGGTATTCCCAGGGATACAGGTTATCTGTCACAGTAAATCTGATAGTAATCTGATAATTAATTGAGGGTGAGTTTTGAGTTTGTGTGCGCGTTGCCACATCCGAGTGAAGTTTTCGGCTCGAGTGCGTTGAACGCATGGAGTGAGGGTTCTCAAGTAAATATTACGTCTTTGCATAGCTTTGGATGAAGTACTTATTTGATGTGAGCAGTAGTCTTTAGCTAAAATTTGGAAGATCTGCACGTCCGACCTGTGCAGTTTAGCGCGTGCCTCGAGCTAGACTAATCAAGGCAGCAACGTTATCCTCATACCTTCAAGCCAGTATACTATAACTTCATCCCTATAGTATCAGTCAATTCTTAACATCCATAATTCGCCCTACAAGCTTTTAGTTTGCTAGAGCCAGTTGAGAACAAACAGGTGCGTTTTCGTCCTATTAATATCATACACACTGAATACTGACAAAAATGTCTACCTTGTCGCCGAACCTCGCAGGCTCCTTGGTCCAACATCACCCGCAACCTTCACGACGTGAGAACTTATCTTATCTGATTCCCAACTCCTGGTCGTATATCCTGTAGCGCGACCCGAGTCTAAATTGTCCGCAGGTAACCTGATTTCAGACAACTGCCCTTCCCCTTCCCCTATACCGCACCACCCTCTTGCTCTCACCTCTTGCAAACTTTCATGGTTCAAAAGTCAAGTAGCCGCTCCAACATCGATCAACAACCTCGTCAAGATTCTGATGCAGGCATCGAGCAATGGGGACAATGGTGGGGCCGAAAGTCAGTCAATTACGTCCCAACTCGTCCCTTATCCTTCCTAACCTTCAGCGATGATTAGACATTATTCTCTCGAAGTAGTGCAACACCCTATGCGTGCCCGTATGTGCGGTTTTGGTGATAAAGTGCGCGAGCCGTCGCGCCTTTGTCTAGCAACCTTATAACATTTATTATCAGGATCGCAGACCACTCGCGCCTGCAGCAGTCGCAAGGATGGTTGTCCGAAGAGAAGATAACTCTATCGTAGATGTAGAGTAAGCAGAAATCGTTCTTTTGCCTTTTGCGCCGCTTATTACCTACTGCTCAGGGACATTGACTGTTCTTTTTTTCTTGTAACGGTCGACCTTTGGTCGGCTGACGGTAAACGGGAGATGAATCTCGTGTTACATCCCTCATCATCTGCGGACCGGTACGTCACAACGAACGCTCAAAAATCCAGAAAACCTCGGAGTACCAATCCTCCATCATCTCCCCACGATGAGCAACATAGCCCCACGTCGTCTCATTCCACGCCGAATTCTGTGAACCAACATCCACGCCTACCAGTGGCATGTTACCTCATATCTCATTATCATTCTTTTCCACTGACTTTGAACATCAATACAGTCCACTATGACCCCGATGGTTCCCGCTCCGCCATCAGGATTTGTTAATCAAACCTACCCTTATCCCCAGCAAGCACAGATGCCAGATAACATAACATATGATGACCAAGATTCCTACAGCTCGCCATCCGAATCTAACAGCACATGGGGATATGCTCCATCGGGAACTCCCCTCGATCGCTCGCATAATTTCAACCACCCTCATCCATCATTGTCGTCGTACAACCGCAACGGCATACGCAACGGCATACCCGCGGCTGCGCCGGGAGAATCGTGGCAAGCCCAGTCATCGTATCGTACGGATTCCGATCCGGCGGCCAACTATCGCAACTGGCCAGCCACGGAACCATCTTATCCAGTAGTAGTCAATCCACAGACGGGCGTGTACGCTACTCAAGAAGTAGACCCATCTATGAGACATCCAGAACATGCAACTCAGCAATCTGAGGCAAGTAATTGGCCCCAACAAGTCGCAGGTGACCCGTCGCCACGATTTGTCCAGGAGCCTTTTCAAGGCGCAGGGAATAGCTATGATCATCCCCAGGCTTATGGCACACCATCACAACCACCGTATTACCAAGGCACATATGCTCAGAGTTCTTCGTCTTCTCCATCAGCCTCACATGCTCCGTTACCCCGACATTCATACACACGGACTTTGGTTGGACCGCTTTCGTCCAATGCATGCCGACTACTCGACGAGCATCGGCAATCTGGAATATTCTTCCTCTTCCAAGATCTATCTGTTCGGACGGAAGGTATGTTTTTATTACCGCCAAGATCATTCTTCTATCTGACGCCCTGGGGCATTTTAGGAACCTTTCGGCTGCGTTTACGTCTAATGAACGTTGGCGAGTAAGAACGTGATGTTATGTCTGGGAGATAACAACAACAGTTGACATTCCATTTCCAGACTGCCAGCACCGGAAGCGGGCGCAATCCGAGTTCATAATCATGTTTCTCCGGTCCTTGCGCAAACATTCACCGAACCCTTTGTCGTTTTCTCAGCTAAGCGCTTCCCAGGAGTTCCCGGTATGTTCTAGATTGCCGGTCTTAACAGAAAAAGATTATAACCTCCTATGGCGTGCAGATACTACTGCGCTGTCAATTGCTTTTGGTAATCAAGGCCAGAAGTTACCATTGGTAAGATCCTTCCATGCTCCGTCTAGGCCGGGGACTAAGGAAATTAACATTATTGCAGCGAAATCGCCACGGAACCAATAAGCACGGGCGACGACGACGAGATGGTGATTCCGACCCCTCTGATGAGTCAGAAGATAGTTAGTTGATGGGATTCACGTAACATAGTACTGCCTTTGGCTTTATGATGATTTTCGTGTTCAGAGAATGTAACCACCACTGCATCACTAATGCCTCCTCTACCTCGCAATGTACTTTGTACCTGGTGTCATATATACTGAACTCATCATCTACCACCCATCGTCCTGTCTCGTCAACGAAGATTTCCGTGCAGTCCAACGCTCGTGCAAGCGAATAGATTGGATTGTGTCAGGATAGTTGAGATAAATGCGGTCAAGCATTTCTCGCGCGAGATATCCACGAGTGAAACCGTCGCCGGAGTTAGGGTCTAGTGCCTGTGGCGCTGAACTATGGTCTCCCACCGGTTGGACAGGCGTCCCAGATTCCAGATGGCGCAGCACTCCTGACAGCAAGTCAAGAACAGCACGATGGGGGCGCCAAACATTCCAGGAAGGAGATAACTGGTGTAGTATGTGTAATGGATGCGCGAAATCATCCGAGGTTGGATCCATTTCTAGCGCATTACCGGATCTCTTGGTAGCCACTTTCGATTGATAAGCTCGGCGCCCACTCCGGTGCATCGGCGATTGAGAAACTGGTTTGCTGACATCTGCGGGACTGACATCGAAAGTGAGAGGGGAATCAGGAGATAAATCTCTGTCGCGGAGTACACCCTCGCTCTGACGCTGATAAGGTAGTAATACTCGCTCGACTATCTCGAAGGCCCGCTCCGGTTCGCCTGCGCGGACCAGAGCAACCGCCAAATGGTTCCAGTTATGTGAATCGAAGCTGAAGCCATGAGATCTCGCTTTCCCCCACATCTCGGCAATCACGAAGTGTTCCCCAGCCGCAGAAAGTGCATCGATATAGATAGATAGGGGAACGCAGAGAAGATTTCCCTGACGTTTCGTGGGGTCGGAAGGGTTATCATCTTCTCCTTCGAAAAGCGAATCCGTCTTCGAAAAACGTAAGGCGAGTTGCCATATTTGTGGCCAAAGCCCATGGATGGCTTCGATGTCACCAGAGCGACGGTAGGCGTCAAGGAGCACCGACAAGCTACCCAACGAAGGTTCTCCACCTGCATTCAACATGGATTGGAACAACCGCTCCACTTCCTCCGGTTTATCGGTTTTCGTATACGCGAGCATGAGGGGACCGTAGACGTGCTCAAGCGCAGCTGCGCGAGTCTGAGGAGGGATCCACGACGCTGAAGACTCACCAGCCATGATGGTCTTCAAGAAACCCTCTGCAATTTGGAAGCTTTCTTCGGTTCTCTCGTTACCATAAGCGCGAAGGATATGATGGAATGTGGCGGATGTAGGTTGAATGCCTCGTTCGCACATGTCGTCGTAAACAGCCTTTGCCCTACGCTTGTCACCCAGCCGTAAATGACCGGCCATGATGATCGTCAACACGAAGGCATCAACGCGGTAAGTTGTCTGCCAGTCTTTTGCGGCTGCCTGCATCTCGGCGAAAATCTTGTTGGCGACGTTCATGTATCCTGCATCGCAGGCCGACTGGATGATAAGGGTATACATCCGACCATTCGGCTGCACACCCATAGCCTCGAGCTTGCGAAAAATTGTAGAGACGACATGAAAAGGGGCGCCGATAAGGACGTAAGCTTTCAATAGAGTATTGTAGACTTCTATTGATAGCCGAAGGCGAGGGGTTCGAGATGATTTGAGGTAGTCAAAAACGCGCACTACTCCCGCCCAAGAACCAGCTTCCACGTGGGCATTCATGAGAGAAGTGATCATCTTGCGATCGGGAGTTATCCCTTCGCGTAACGCACGTTTGTAGATTGCTTCCGCAGATACCGGGTCCCTCCTATGCGCGAGAAGAGATATAACAGTTGTGTACAAGACACGAGTGGGCATAATTTTGGCAGCGCGCATCTGGTCCAAAACGGCGGAGACGGACTCTACTTCTCCACGCGCAGCAAAGCTTTTGAGGATGATGCTGTAGACGTAGATATCAGGAACTAGTCCAGCTTTCGACATAGCCTGGAGCCAAAAATTGAGCCCGTCGTAATCTGCGCGCTCTGCGTGTGCATACACCACAATGGTGTAATGCCCGAGTGAAGGCTGTGGTCCTTTCTTTGGATTAGGAAAGAACTCGTGGAATAGTTCGACGACTTTGCCCACTCTTCCGGCAACTGCATATGCATGCATGAAAACGGCCTTATCCTGCAACGTAATCCACCGCGCTGTGCTGAGTTGGGAATAATACTCCTCGGCACGGTCAATGTCACCCTGATGTGCCGCGAGGAACATTCCAGTAGAGATGAAAAATTTATGCCGGGTGTTCGTCGACTCCGATATCGTTCTGTACAGTTCATTGGCGTGAATGAAGGAATCAGCGCGAACAAGCGAGCGGACCACTTGTAATTGCAGGTCAACTTGTATTGATATCCGCTGCGCTCGCATTTCTTTCAGCAATGCATACGCATCCTCTGCCAGCACTTCGCAGCAAAATACGTCCAGCAGCAGGATACCCATACGCTGCCGTGTCTCCAAACCCCAGTGTCGTCGCCTTTCCAGTAGAGATGCGGCATCTGGTATGTTGGCCAAAGTCGAGTAAATCGTATCTTGTAACGATGAGGTTTTTACGTCAATGTGCAAATAATGCAGACGAGTAGAGAGGGGTAAGAGATGCACGCCGATATTGGCCCACTCTGCAAGAACAAAATCCAGGACGTGCTCGCCGTCTTGATGAAGAGCCATTGACCGGATGAGGGTCCCATAAATTTCCATTAACTCCTCTCTCCGTCCGTCAATAAGTAAATCCGATAGTTCGTGGGCGGTGCTGATTGCACAGTCCAGATCTCCTAGAAATGCCGAGGCTCTCGCTACGAGTTTTAACCTCGTAATGTCTTCGCTTGAGTGCTTCTCAAACATGGACTCCAGCCGGTCATTCAGTGTCGCAAGTCGTGTGCCCCACTCTTGAAAGTACAAAACGCCACCGTTGTCCTCACCACATGCCTCCGTAGCAGCAGAGAGCTTTTGAGCAAAGTTTAAGACGTCTAACGGTTTCAGATGTTGGTAATCGTCAGAGTCAACCAGCATCTGGTAAGCATTCCATGCATCATCCAAGTTAAATGGGTGGTTTTCTTGCAGGAAGGACAGGAAGTGGTTCAAAGGAGATATTATCACGTCCAGTGTTTCAGGGGCCGGTGAGGACAAAGTCATCGAGAGATGATTAAATCGTGGAGAGTTTGAACACGATGGAAGAGATGAAGAATAGCGGCGGACATTTGGAGGACGTGCAGAATGATTCGATGTTTGCGATCGACGGGGAACTGCGTCATTTATTTTGAACATACGATTTCGTCCTATGGTGCACTCCACTGTCAAATTTAAAATCTACTGTTAAAGGAACGACACGTACTTGGACACCAAACGGAGTGCCTCATGACGCAGCACGGTTCATGTGTTACTCCCAAGAGCCATTCGGCACATTCGGCACACTGAGCGTAATCTACATCCTGCTCCACTGCTTTCTCTTTGCCTTTCCACTGCCCCGCGGTCGGAGTAAAAAAGTCGCGTAGTAGAGGACGGCGTATAGGCCGACCCATGTGTTCCAAATGAGGCCTGAACGCAGAGGCACGTCCAGTGGGTGTGCGTAGCAAAAAACTGTTTACTACAGCTGCTGCTAAAGGCTCGATCATGGGCACCCGCAACTGGGTCTGGAGTGCTGTCGAAGCAGTCTTCAGACTCAAACCTGTTGAAACAAAACTAAGGCTTAAAATTCAGGCAAGCCGGAGTTAAACTTGTATAACTCACACGTAACAAAACCAATGACGCCAGCAACAGTACCAGTTATAAGTTGGTGGCTTTCCTCACTATGTAAACTAGGGATCCAGATGACCAGGTGTGTTTGGCCTTATTTGGCCGATTTTTTCCACTCGTGCGAACCTATATCAAGTTGCAAGTGGCGTCGTACAAACTTAACTCGCATGAAGTACTCCAACTTGGTCTATCTTAATAGTACTTAGGGGCAAGAGCAGCGTGCTCTCTTTCATTCTGTTCTTTTCCTTTGCTCCACAATTTTCACAGATCTGAGTTTCTTTTGCCACTCGCGTAGTGGGACTAAGGACTTAGAGCCACCGTCGGCCCGAAAAGCTTTCTTCGGATGTTCAAGCGCTGGCAACTCTATGATTCGCTGAGCTGTTACCGGCACCGTGAAGTTCATTTCGAGCATTTTAATCTTCAGTATCTCGTTGGCTGTACAATGAGCTGATTGGTCATCCCTGCCATGATAGCAACTTGTATCCGCTTCGCCGAGCCGAGAGCTGGGGTTTATCAAAATTGGTCCGTCGATGAACACCATGTGATACACAAGCGTCTATTAACGTTATTCTGGTTTATCCCCCATCCGACGACTGAGGGAGCTGGTTTCAAGCCTATATCTGACCATCTTCGCGGAACAGCTCATATCAGTCTTTGATATCATTTTAGTACCTTTCATTTCTCACTATGGCAGATGACGCTGCACTCCGGGTCCCACCTACCCATGAGATCATCGTTGTTCCTCTTGAGCACGAAGACCGCCATGCGCTCCTCCAGCAGTGCATCCAAGTTAGGATCGCCGTTTTCGTCACAGAACAGGGGTTTCCTTTGGAAGTTGAAGTAGATGAGTATGTTATCTCCTTCTCGATAATCCGCCACTTGCTTCAACTTGGATCCTTCTAATCCTTTTGGTGCAACATAGACATGATCCGACAGCGACGCATTGGTTGTTAAGACTTTTACCGTCTCTCAAGCCCATAGGGACAATCCGTGCCCACAAAGTGGAGAACGCAGGAAGTTCATATTACAAACTTGCACGGCTCGTCGTTCTGAAGGAATACCGGCATTATAAATTCGGGTGCAATCTTGTACTTGCGTTGCATGATTGGGCCAAGGATCATGCCAGAAACTCAGGGGTGACTGACTTTGTCAAAGTAGTCTGTCACTCCCAAGCAGTCCGTGCAGATTCGGCTGGTGCTGTGGCATTCTACCGCAAGTACGACGTCATTATCAACCCTACTTGAAAACCTAACTCACCGACGGTTACTTTCTAAGGTTTGGTTACGAGGAAGAGGTAATAGTAATTTCCGCAAGAACCTGCGACCTTACTCATTTTATTTATCAATCAAAACTTATCAGGGCGATCTGTTTGATGAAGACGGTGAACCGCATCAGAAGATGGTCTCACGATTATCATTAGCGGAGTGATTGATTACATTGTTCGTGTACTCCTGTAGTAAGATGAAGCAAGGTATAGGACATTACTAGGGGAATCTACTGATACACATAAGGGAGATCAAAGTCGTAAACAAACAAAGTCCTGCGTCGTGAACAGAAAAAAACATAACCATAACGCGATGCCCTCGAATACGGGCTATGACCAAAGAACATATAGCAAGTTACCTAGAGAAATGAAAAGTGGAATGTCATATGCGAGTGTACCGACTAGCGCCATCGTCAGCTGCTACTCCCTCACTCTCGCTTTCCGAACTGAGCGACTCCGTCTGCATCGCTCGCAAGGCACGGAATGGACTCTCACCGTTGGGGCTGCTCGGCAAGATGCTGAAATTGATACTTGTGCCAAGATCAGTGGTGCCTTCCTCGTACAGCCTTCGTGCAGCCTCGTACTCGAGCTTCTCCTGCTCAGCCTGCGCAAGGAAAGGCTAGAAAAACGTGATCAGCTAATTACGCAATTGTGACAAACATTTTCCCGTACTTTGCGCTCATCATCAGTCATCGATCGCCATTTGGCAGCGGCTAACACGCTTTGCTTAGTCGTCTCTTGTTCATCACCAAATATCTCCCTCACAAGGGCACGGTCAGATCGGATGCGCTGCAGGAACATGAAGTATGCGCTAAGTGGCTTCTTGGGCGCGTTGGGATCCTTGATGTTGCTCTTCCGAGAACGACCCGCCTTTCGTTGGGCAGTGCGGAAGGCATTCTCCTTCTTGATATCATCAGGAGTGAGACTCCTCATGTAGGCTGTGTTCTCGCGCTCTCGAGCCTCCTTCAGAACTGCAGACCGTCGCTTGTAAGGCTGAGAGTGACTCGTGAGCTTATGCAGACTTGGCAGAAGGAATGGAACAAACCTCCTTCTCTTCAGGAGTCAAACTAGCATACTCCTGACCGGCTTCCTTGGCAGCCTGCGCAACATTGAGTTTTCTCGTACTCGTTGCTTGGTGCCGCTGGATCCAGTCTGTGAAGTAGAGCTGCCAAGCACTTGGTGCTAATTTGGGCTGCTTGAGTATAGACTTGAGAGGAGCTATAGCGAGATTAGACAAAGTTAGCAAAATGATGACGATAGTAAATTATAGTTGCATACGTGAGTCTACTGATTTCTCTTCCCTGGAAAGTTCGTCAGTTGATAGCCGCTTCTTTCGTCGCACGGTTGCGTCGCGATCATCGCTAACGCTGACAGACTCGCCACGACGGGAACTATAGTTCCTTGTCATTGACGGCATGCCCGTTTGCATTGGAGCGCTAGAAGACTGGAAGCCCAAGGATGACAAGTCTCGTCTGGGTTGAAAACGTTGACGTTTGACTCCATAAGGGTGCTCTGATAGGGGCTGGTGAACACGCCCTGACGACGTGGAAGTATCGTAATGTGGCGAATCCCACAATTGAGTTGCCCATGGTGGCGGTCTCAGTGAAGTCTCCGCAGGCGATATCGACGCCACGCGGAGACCTGGCGAACTGAGATAACCATCAGAGCCGTCGGCCGGCGATAACGATCTCGGTAGCTGATGCGGTGCCGCAAATTCCGACGGCGAGAAGGACGCGCTGGGCGTAAATGTGTGATTAGGGTAGGAGAAGAGTGGGGGCGATTGTGGATCTAGGCCAGCACCACGGATGGGTATGGGAGAAGTGGGAGAGTCCAGCACGGGTTCGTTTAACCAATGCGAGAAGTGGGCGCCATCTAGATCAAGCATAGAATGCATATCATCAAACCGTCCAAACGAAGAGTCATAAAATGAATTATTGGGCGATGCGTCTGTTACATCGAAGTCTGAGACGTGATGGGGAGAAGGGGAGTGGTCGGATGTGGGAGGGGATAATGGGTGATGATAGCCAAAGTCATTTTGGGAATCCCACGAAGGAGCCATCGAGGGACTCAGTAATGGGCCCTCATCGAACTCCAAAGGACCGAAAATCAACTGATCACCATCTGGGGACAACATATCGTAGGACGAACTGTTCAAGAAGTTCATCGAGTCTTTCATCCCGGTATCACTAGAGAGAGAGATCCGGGGCAGGGTACTTGAATGAGAATCACGATGGGGATAGGTATCCATAGGCATCATAAAGGTAGAACAGATACGTGGAAGGCAAAAGGAATGCGATACGTTCGCTTTAATAGTGGGCGGAGCCGCTTGAGAGCAAAACGAATCGGAAGGGGTGTCAGCGGGATACGAGGGCATGTATGGACGCCATCGGGCCTGCTTAAGAGGGGCTATCCTTAGCGGTATCCGAAACCTAAAGACAGATGCCATAAGGGTGAATTTATGACAACCTTGAGTCTGACCTGACTCGGCTTGAATCAGCAGATTGTGATTCTTGAGAGCTCAATTAGACCGTACTCCTGAAAAGGGGGGTGCTTCGGGGTCGGTGCCTGATTAGGATAACGCAAAGGAGGAGACCAATAATAGTCGCACTTACTTTCGGAGGAAAATCCCTACGAACTGTGTGACACTGAGCTGCTTGACATGAATGCACTGGATTGGGAAAGAACGCTAATCCCTGCGAAATCGCAAGTCCAGTAGCAAAGAATCAAATGTTCAGCCTGAAGCTATGCCAGCTGTCTTGCGGCGTCAGCCAGCAACGAAAAAATGTGTTAACGTTGTTACTAACAATGTTGGTAAGAATCGAAAGGTTTAGCGTAAAGTCAAGCGCGACCTGCCCTAAATTCTATAATCTACTCTTGGTATCTTGGAACCGAACGTATGGGCACTATTGTATACTCATCGCCATACCGCCACCGGTGGAACTAGGCCGCGATATAGCAATGGCGGGACCAGATCACACCAAATGCTGTGTGGCGCCCCTCTGTCTATACAATGGAAGCTTCTCCGACTGCGCGCTTTTGCGGCTAAAAGATCTAATAATTGATTGTGACTCTACAAAGAAAGGTAACATAGACCAATCAAAGAACCACAATGGATTCTGCGGAACGATATCGTGCATTGTTATAGACACTTTTACCAGGCTGAGTTTCAGCGATTGGACATAAGATACCGGCCGGGGCGTATCGAGGAAATATGATTGATCAGAATTATACAGTGATATTTTGTCATCAAACTTACCTCCCATCCTTTAACATCCTTCATAATCTCTCGCTCCCGCGCCAATGCAGCTTGCTGGCGACGATACGCATCTCGATCGCCTTCCGCCACCAACAAGGGGACAAGGTGGATGCGGGACCAAACTTGCTCTCTTTGCAGCTCCCTGTCGGGAACAAAGCCCAAATCAGTTTAGTTGGCTTTTCCTGGTACGGCCCTTGTACGGGCCGTAAAATTGGGCGTGACACTGATAAGAACAACGGCCGGATCCCCACAGTGACACGTTTCATGGCGAGCGCGCCATGAAAAGACACGTTTTATAGCCTGCTGATGCCATGCACCACCTTTTCGGTGTTCGGAAGATAAACATACCTTCTCTCTAGGTTTCCCATCCCAACACGATAGAAGCCATATGCACACACGGCTGTCACAGCTCCCAGAATGACTAGACCACTTGGACCACGAAAAGGAAGGTTTCGCTTGTACTTGACTGCCTCGAAGCCCCCGGGTGGAGGCATGTCTCTGCAAGGACTGCGCTTGAGCTCACGGCCATCCTGTACAATGTATTACACGCACTGTCGGTACTGTATAGACACTAAGTTTTTGTAACCGTAAATTAGCGCTGTCGTGATTAATAATTCAATGACTCACTCGCTGAATGTTGGACGCGTTGTGGAAGATAGCGGTGAAGGCGGCTTTCGGACTCGCAACAATGTGTGTATCACGTGATCGGTGTGAGACCTGCCCTGAACGTGTAGTACTAGCTTGACGCTGAGATCTATCCCGCCGCCGCCATGTGGTGTTATCGATGCCATCTATCGAATCATAATCGTTTCATGTGTAACAAATGGATCGCAACAAGATCGGTAAGACTGAATCCAGGCCCCAGGTTGGGTACATAACGGACTTTTGAGTGTGCAGCGCCCATCTTGGTGCCTCGCACATTCCGATAACCTCGAGCTTGCTCCGAAACTCAATATTGACTCTTACAACATTTGATAAGCCGGAAATCCCTTGGAAAGGCCTTGGGGCCCTTGAGTAAGAACTTACTAGTACAAACTGGCACTACATATGGGTCCAGCACCTAGAACTTGAACCTAACGTACCACTGCCGGAACGCGCCCTGGATTTATGAAAAATTATTTGTTAAAATTAAAGACATGCTGCTCGAGCTGGTTCGAATTCTGTGACCAGTAAGGTAGACTTTGTGATACGGAAGACTGAGTCGACTCGTAAGTACGCCGCCAACTAAAACTTTTTCGATGAGTAATACTGATAGGTCCAGCGCGCTGCCACCTCAGAGCACTGCCATAATGTCCCACATCCACTCCCCAAGCCCTGTTACTCTCCCTCATCTACAGATGCCTGCACAATCTGTTTCTGCTACTGCGCCACGTCAGAAATCTAAAGCTTATGCTACAGGTATAGCAGCTGGTGTCGAAGATGAAAAGTATCAAACAAAATACAAGGAACTAAAGCGAAAAGTCAAAGAAATCGAAACGGTTGGCAAATACCACCCTACTCGATGTATTCTTAACTTACCTGCTTTTAGGACAATGATAAGCTTCAGTACAAGGTCCTCATGGCTAAAAAATCTATCCAACGCATGAAACTGGAACGAGCGTGAGTAACTTTCCATGTACATCATTCGACATGTATCTGATACGGTGATACGGGATAGTGTTTTGTATGAACGCCTTTCTGCTGTGCCACCTTCTCCAGACCTTCATAGCCATGCACTTCCTCCTACCCACGCCGGTCCCGGTGTACCTCCCCCACATCCGCGTGATATAGGTGCAACAGCGCACCACCAGCATCGTGACCATCGTGACTTTCCGCCTGTAGATTTAAACGATCACAATGCTATCGAATACATGCACAATCATAGCTCCTTCCGCGTTATTCCTGGCCCAGATGGTCGCCCTATTCAGGCTCCCGACGGGCCCATGGGTCCTGGAGTTGCGCCTTCCCACGGAATGGCTGCAGTGCATATGTCGAGGGGTGGTTCCGCCTCAGGTCATGACTCTTCCCGGCAGCTTCCACCCCTCTCGCAGTTGACTCCTATACAGCATCTTGAGCCACCGAGGGGGCATGGGCACTCACAAGCTCATAGCCCTCATCTTCACCCTCACAGTAATGGTTCTTCGCGTTCACAATCCTCACCTTCCAGATCGCGCGGACATCAGATAACATCTCAGGCACCTCCCCCAGGATACCACTCAGGGGGCATTCCACACCCTCAACAGTACTCCCAGGATTCTCTGGTTCCTGTCCAACATGGGCATCACAGTCCGCCACACCCGGGTGACAGGGAACGATCTTCTAGAAGGCATGAGACGCTCGAGCGTGGCAGCTACCATGGCGATCCATACACTCATTCACGACAGCATTCTTCACATTCTTCCACGATGGCATCCCCTAACGCTCGAGCTTCACGTCTCCACAATCATCAGCGCGTCGGGCCTGGAGCGACCATTAACCACCCAGATCCAGAATACGAGCGCGATCTCGAGAGAGAGCGTGCATGGGCACGTCATGAGGGCGAATCCGCTCGAGAATCCGCGCCTTCGGGAGTGATGCATGCATCTCCTCCCTCCCACCTAAGGCCTAGACCTCATGTAGACAGAGGAGACTACTCATACTCTCGCGAGCCCATTGGTCCCGGTATGCACGGTCGGTCATCTCGCTCTGACACATCGGGATCTGGCTCCGGATCTGGCTCCGGAAATGGTGGCGGGGATGCATTGTCGCGGCCTGAAGGTCACACTCAATATTATGACCGAGACAGGGGACCCTATGCACCCCGTCAGGCAAATCCGCCACGCAATCCAAGTGAAGACCAAGACGTCATCTATGAAGAAGGTCGTCCATACAACCGTGACCGAACCGGCGGGCATTACATGCTTCCAGACCAGCATCGCCCCTCTGCGGAATCATCCAGAAAACGCTCTCGTAAAGACATGGAAATAGATGGAATTGATGACATTGATGATGTACCCGCTGCGGGTGGCTCGGGGGGCGGAGAAGCACCGTTGAGGTTCGCAGGCGGTCATCCTGCCGATGACCGTGGCTCCAAGAGACTTCATCAAGAACCAGCGCGTTCCCACGAGCGCGAGGAAGAAGAAGAGGATGAGGCTTCAGATACTTAGACAAAGTGTTTAATTAATTTTTTGCGGCGGCATGGTAAGTTTCCTTTTAGATCTTCTTGAGCCCGAGTAGTAGATACTTTCATGGTTTACTTTCATGGTTTATTGCATGTATGTATATTGTCGGTATTTTTGTACACATCGCTAGCGCTCGTAATCCTTGGTTTACCCTGTTTTTCGTTATGTTGCTCTCGCGCCATGTCCTCCATTGTCGCCAAACATGAAGGGATGATTTATTGTCTGTCGAATTCCATCATAATGGTCTGACTTGCGGACACTGGGTTTATCGTGAGAAGCGTACACGAGTAATCACAACTTTGTATGTTTAGACCGACCGGCGGATCAAAGTGTAAATCTTTCGCTTTTGTCCTGCACAGGAAAGCCAGGGGTTTCCCAAAAAAAAAAAAACTTCTAACAGAAAGGGGAATGACAAGGGACATAAGAGGACAAACAGAAACGCATCTATCACTGATCAAGAAACCGAGCAGTGCAGTGCAAGTATCATGAGTAAAGAACACCCTCGTCATCAAGATTCGGCGGCCACGCTGGTAGACCTTTCTGCAGAAATCTTTCGGCTGTACGCAGCGGTCAAAACAGTTATAGCAACTTGTTCAAGTTGGTACAGCTCCACTTTACCAAGATCGGCTTGGGACGCGTAAGTTTTCTGCGCATGTGGAAAGCGGCTCTTGGCGGCGCAGCGATAAGGTTGTGCAGCTGCCACTGGCCGCTTAGATTCTAGGATGACATCCATGACCGTGATCCTGCGACCTGTGCGCCGTGACTCATGCTTGGCAAGCTTCTGCGCTTCCGAGAGCAGCTGCCGAGTGCGATCAGACATGGGAGACGAGGAACCGGTTTCTGAGGGAGGCAGTATCACGCCATCTTGCTTGTCTAAGAATCTTACGGAGAGACGGGACCGGAAGTGTGGCTGGACTATCATGTTTGTTGACTGGATGAGGGAAGTACAATGACCCGGGGTGTCAGGGGAAACGAGGGGGGCCACCTGCTGCGCTCTACGATGGAATCCGAGGATTAGTATCTGAGTCAAGGCCATATTCTTAGACGACTCGCCTATTGTCTACTATGAGAGCATGTGATTTCCTCGGGAAACATGTGTTCGGAGCTACCCCGTTGAACGCCATGGTTTAGCGCTGACGTTACTAGGAAGAGAAGAGGGTTTTCCATAATGATTGAGCATGAACTCTTCCATCCCCTCCCATTGGCATCCAGTCTGTTTCATCCTAGACCGCCCAGAGGTGGGTATATCCAGTGGCCTGGTTTGAAATCAAACAAGCCTCGATCACGGTAGTGGAGCCTCATCTGGCCAATACAACCTGACGAAAAACCAATCAACCGGAGAATCTTAAGAAATGGCGATCTCACAGAAAAGATGGAGCACATGTCAGAACATCAGGGTTTAGATCAACGGCACATGGTACGATAACCTTAAAGACGCAAGATTGTGACTGAGAAGTGCCCCTTCCTACATATCTGACACAGCTTGCACGAAATGGAAGACATTGTCGTCATTCACACACATCGCGCAAGTTATTCGAATCGTAGCTGCAACGAGGCGGCCGGATCAAGGTGTTTAGAAGATGCCTGTCTTCAAGCTTACTGATCAATCTTGATGACATCAGGTGAAGAAATTCAGAATTGGACCGTATCAGATAAGTACACCACCTGCCACGACTCATCTAGACTACTGCTTCACCGGTAAACATGGTCCGCTGCATAGTGATTCAGCACGTGTAACCCCCAAAATGTAATGAATACTTACAATGCAAGTTAGCAGCAATCTCGGCCTCTGCCCGGTCGCCATTTGCAAGCAACTTCTCTTTGTTATACAGGAGCTCCTCGCGAGTTTCCGTGGAGAACTCCTGATTTTGTGCTGAAGGGATGCCATCAACATTCCAGTGTCAGTGATACCCCCTTTTTAACACGTACTTTCGACGATCGCGTCAACCGGGCAAGCTTCTTGACAGAAGCCACAGTAGATACATTTCGTCATGTCGATATCTTAGGAAGGACCGTGTAAGTAATGCAACGTTCTACATCGCCACGATACAAATCTTACCGTATTTAGTTGTTTTTCTCGAGCCGTCCGCACGGGCTTCACTCTCGATGGTAATTGCTTGAGCAGGACAAATGGCCTCACAAAGTTTGCAAGCTAATGGCATATGCTTCTTAGACGCGCACGACACGGTCGGAGGTGTTCACGAACCAATGCACCGCTCTTCACCACTGGGATACCTTCGGAGAGCGTGCTCTCCACGGAAACGAGGAGACAAAGGACCCTTCTCATATGGGTACATTATAGTATAGGGCTGCCTGAAGAAATTCTCCAGAACAATCCACATTCCTGAACTAGTCATGCAGAAACTTGAAATAATTAGATTTCAAAAATGCATACCTCGGATGATCTCGGTAAAGAAGAAGAGATGGACGGCTTTGTCAATGGCACTCTGCCCACCATTGTAAGGGTCAATATCCTTTCCGGGCTCGTCCTTTGCGGTCAAACTTCCTGCACCTAGAGGCGGTGACCTTATTGGACCTTCGAGTCGGCTTTCAAGATGCTCTGCGTGCGAGCAGCGGGTACTATGAATGTTGCGGTATGCCACTAGCGACGAGCGCAGCACAATAGAACGCTGTGCTGCCACTATCCTGGGCGCGAGACCCAGTGCAAGACGCGGGCGAGCGAAAGACATGACGGTTAAAGTTTGGTCAAAGTCGAGCAAGGTTGCTAACACCGAACATTCTACTGTGACGTATGTCACTCTAGTGTGACAAGGCTAGCCAATCGTGTGTCCCACATTAAAACACTAGATCACCAGGCTATCGCCGTTCTCCATGTCGACCTCAAAAGCAAAATCAAAAGTTCAACCATTGAGCGATCAGGGCATGCATGCATTCTGCCTACCATCCTCACTTCTAATCACTTCTTCGATCAGATAGAAATACAGCAGACTTACTCCCGTCTGCAAAATGAGCTCCAAAGCCTTGCTGGGAAGATAGGCGAGTTGGAGCAAGAGGCAGAAGAGCATGGGTACGCCCTTTGTCATATATTTTATACCCACATTCAACTAGACTTTCCATTAGACTTGTCCTTTCTACTTTGAATGAAGCACTTCAAGTGGAACCTGGTCGGAAGTGTTTCCGCTTGATCGGCGGTGTGCTAGTTGAGCGTACAGTCAAGGATGTAGTTCCTGCTCTGCAAACAAATCGCGAAGGCGTACGTGCCCTTTTCTACTATGTCACTGACTGTCTGATACCTGCATCTCATTAGATCAAAAAAGTTATTGCCAATCTTTCTGAGCAATACACCACGAAGGAACGCGAATTTGAGACTTTTAAACGCGATTATAATGCTCGTCCAATCAGTAGGGCGTAGTGTTGTGTCGCCGGTGTTTGGATGTGCGTTCATCTTTATCTGCTTACCTTGCGCTATTGAATGATATTTCCAGTTTACCCAATGACGCAGTCAGCAGCAACATGACCTCATTATTAGCATGTGCGGCAAAATTGAAGACCCAGTTGCATATCGTTCAAGCTGTCGGTTTGCACTAAGTTCTAATCGTTGGGCTAGAATTTTTGTCATGTGGCTCACGACGCATCTTGCAAAACACAAGAATCATAGCTGGCAGCAGCGTTGTCTACTAGTGTCTATGTACAGATGATTTGACGCTGGAGTTTGTCTTGTAATTTCGCATCGTGTCGTTTTTATTCAAGATTGAAATATTGAAGAATACAACGCGCTGGCTTCTAGATCAGCTAGATGTGGCGATAAGTAATTTGTTGCACTGCGAAGTTGCTGCGAATATTAATTAGCTGTAATATATTTGCCCAGCACTTTCAAGTACTGGCGCTAGTTAACCTGTACTAATCCACAGCCACTATTAGTAGACTGCTTTCCCGCCAACTCTGTTCTCACCATGTCCAATACCATTATGTCAACCACACTTGAGTCCCTCCCAGTTGAGCTTATTGCTACGATCCTTGGCAACTTAGACCTCGAGTCGCTAGTCAAAGTGTCGAATCTATCTCGGAGACTGAGACATGTTGCTTCAGACTCGACTTTGAACCCCTGGAAACGCCCGATTGCCCAAAACCTTGCTAGTAGCAACTACGAACGAAGTCTCTACCACCTCAGTCTTCGTTCAATCGTACCCAGAAGTAATTGGATCGATATCCTTACGCTTGCACCGCCCGGTTTCATACTTTTTGAATCATCCTTTCCGAACTTGAAGGCTTCCGAGTGGGAAGAGTGTTTTCGCAGACGATTCATTCCTGGATGGTTGAAGTGGAAGAAGGATAATACTTGGAGGGAGTTTTATGTTAAGTATGTACATCTCGTATTGTCTTGGGAGCGTGAATGACACAGCTATAGAATGTTGTATCGTGTCTGGCACAGAACTTACACGACCTGCACTACGGATGAAGCTTGGACTAAGTAAATCGTGTGCATGCTTGCGGATAGCCATTTCTAAGCAGGATGCGGCCTAGATATATCGTGCTCAATCGCAATGGTTCAGTCAACGAACTGGAATCGTCCTCGCGGGGCTTTAGTCCCATGGCCATCTTTTCCGAGATGCAGTAAGTACATAGCACGTTGTTCATCAACGGTTGTTATCCGTTGCATCTTTTTCGCTTACAGAGTAATAGATTTCAAAGTAACCTTTCACATATGTCACCTACAATAAGAGTGAGTGCTTTGTACTACGTATAGCCATATTACTGCTAATGTACTGACAGGTAGTCGCCACATTTGCTGACGTGCGGGTCATCACGATTGGAGTTCTTCACAGGTCTCGGTCGCCATTGATTGTAAACCGCAATGCGCACGCTTTACTCCATCCTCCCGGCATCGAGGTCACTGATACCCGTGGAGCGAACTTGAAGGGCAATAGCCGAGCATTGCATGACTCTCCTTATGGAGATGAGTGTGATGGCTCATCAGCTGGTAATATCGAGCCGTATTCTTGCTCCATTTGTGACCAATTATCTCTTAGCAGGTTCGCATCTATACAACAAGCTTACACATCCCTTACCTGCAGAGTCCCATCGAAATTATCCGTTATATACTCCCGGTGGGGGAGATAGACGACGGGGATCTCTTAAGGAGGAAGGGCAGCAGTGGGTGGGCGGTTTAATGTTTGTTGAAGTGCTTTGCTATTACTCTGGATACTTACTGGAGATATAACAGGGTAACTGTGCAGCTGATTAGACCAAGGGCAATCATAGGGTATGAGCAAGATGAGTCTGAGTTTGCGGGTAGTTGGAATCAGTTTGCCTCGTTCACATGGCATGATCTACTAACAATAGCACCATGGATGAAAGAGAGGGTGACCAAAATTATTGATGGTCCCGGTCTCGGAATATAACACTTCGTCTCGTCGTCGATTAACCAATCTTCTTCCCCTGAACTTCATCACACCATTGTGCTATATGCAAAACTATATCACTCCGCGATCTTTGTGGTTTTGGCTGACCAAGGTGAGACATGGCGCCTTGTTCCCGAGGCTCCGGACAGTACCAATAACCTCGGTCGCTATATTTCTCCTATTGTCAATTTCTGCACGGTAGGCCGGTTTTTGTCATTTTCAGCACAGCAGTGATGTTGAAGGTTTCATATGCCTTCCTCGTCATAGATCAGCTAAGGGACATGTCGATTTTCTTTCCGCATTAGGCGCTGACATCGCTTCGGCCTTGCAACAATGGATTTCTAGCCAAAGTCAAAGTCCGCGAAGCTTGTTCTTCCACCTCGGGGACGGGTGGCCTCTTACCTTTAAATCATGGTACAATCTGTGGACTAAACCACTGCACGTTTTATTACCTTTATATTTCTTTTAATCGACGTCGCTGGCCAACGTCACCCACCTTCCTTAAAGTTAGTAACATTATATACCTGCTACAATGTCGACCGTAAGTAATGCATTGCTGGGACTAGGAGATCGGCTTACTGAGTAATACGGATACCAGTGGTCATGTTCATCGTGCCCCAAGAGCTTCACTCGCAAGGGCGATCTTACTCGCCACCAACTGCTGCATACCGGAATCAAGTGAGCTCTTCGTCATATCAAAGTATTGTGCAAGCTGACAGTCCCAATTTCCAGGCCACACATCTGCGGCACATGCGAAAAAGGGTTTGCCCAGTATTCAGGCCTCAAGACCCACCTCAACACACAGTACGCTTGTTCGTTTTTGGATTTTGAATCATGCTGACTGTTCCATAGCACCAAGGCCAAGCCTTATGTGTGTGGTATTGGTACCTGTATGAAAGCGTTCAGTGATCCCTCGTCTTGCACTCGCCATCGAAAGGAAACTCACAGACGCGAGGGCGCGTACAAATGCACTGTACCAGAATGTGGCACAAGGTCAGTTTTGGCTATTGCCGTTGGCATTGTTCCGTTGGGCTCATGCTCTGTTAGAATTAAACGGCGATCTGCTTTTGTCGCACACATGAAGAAGCATGGAATCGACGCCCGTACACTAGATTTAGATGCCATTGCCTCGTCGGCAGATAAAAATACTTCCCAACAGTCTACCTTCCATTTTCTACCTCCCCAAGTAGCCGATGCTCCTTACCGTCCCCCTTCAGAGGCGTCACTTTCAGGCGTTACTGAAGAACATTGGGCTCCCGCTGCTCCGATGCCGACGAGCAACTACCAGATGCCCGTTCCTGAATGTGGTGGAGCCTCCGGTGTGACTGACGACATGTATAACTATAGTTGGCCGTCTGAACTTGGCACTGGACAATCTAGTTCTTCGTTCATACCCCCGTCATCGCTATCTACGTGTCCTCCTACGCATATTGACGACTTCATTTTCGATGCTGAATACAACGGATACCTACAATCCAATGACACATTCTCTGGGTTGCCCTCTTCATATGCATCGGCGTCACCCTCTTTACCTCCTCTTCTCGACGGCTTCGTAGACTGTTTCGGGTCTCGCATGCGATCGATGTCCTCTTCACCGGCCACGTCTTCTAACTCTGCGCTGGACGATCCGTTGGATTATGCTCTCTTGGACCATAATGTACCTAACCCATACCTTTTGTTCAACACCATTTAATTTACCGCACTAATACTTACACTTCACGCATTCAAGGATTGTCGCAGGACCACTTTTTATTCATAATTTATACCGCAGCATTGTAGCCCTACATACCTCTCACTTTTCACCAGCATTTGTTCAGTGAACTCATGTCTTATTACCCTGATACCAAGTGGCTTTTAATACACTGTACTTTTGAAGTCCCCAATGACAGTAAAGCCTATACATACTTATCGATGTGATAGCCGGAAGTAGTTAGATAACATAGACCTGTTTCTAATCTGACAACAAACGTAAATAAAACGCCCACAAACTACTAACGAGTACTCGAAGGATTTCTCAAGGTCCCACTCGCTCAGGCGTCTTTCCATCGTGTCTATCTTCTTAGTCCATCTTGCTCAATTTTTGCGGCGTGGGCCACCGCTGGCTTCCCGTGCGAAGCTTTTTTCGTGTCCGAATTCGCGTTGGTAGCTTTTGCTCTGCAAAAAGCAACATGTTGGCATCACCACTGTATCCCACGTCCTCCTTTGCTCCTCAGCTTGCATCCGATGATCATTCCCAGTTTCGCCCTGCCAGAGACATCGAAGCCTTCAATAACTTGCTTCCGCCCCCGATCGAATTCGTAGAAGGCTCGTCTTCTGGCGCCCTCGCAGTCGCGGAAGGCAAGTATGAGCCTATCAATGCCACACCTAAGGCATCACAAAATATTGTGAGTATATTCAATAGCTCTAACACAAAGCTGCTCACCTGGTGAACACCCACCAGGTCCGTGAACACGCCCGAGCACCCCCCGCACCCTCGGCCTCGCCCTCAAAGCAACCGATGTCTCCTTCGTCAACAAAGCATGGCTCGTTATCTACCGGAGTCCTGGACTTTTCATGGCCTTGGCCCCCTGGCCACAATATCGGTAACGGCCTTCATAATACAGGGAATACTTGCTTCTTGAACAGTGCTTTGCAATGTCTCCTCCACACGCCTCCTCTGCTCAATGTTTTAATGACGCACTCAAAGTCTGACCCTTGTGAGGATAATCTTGATAACCGTCAGTTGATCTTACCTGGTAATGTAGGTCGAGTAAAGGGGGGCTTTTGCATGTCATGTTGTCTTCGCCATGTAATGCTTGACTCCCATCAGAAGAAGCATCCTTCCACGCCGTACGTCATTGTTTCGAAATTGCATGGTACGTATCGCTTCCCTTATTGAAACCTGTGTCCGATTATACTTTTCTAGTCATCGCAAAACACATGCGGAAGGGCAGGCAGGAGGATTCTCATGAGTTCCTTCGTTATGCCATTGACGCTTTACAAAAATCATGTCTAGCTGGATACCCGCAGTGAGTGTTTTGTTACTTTGCCACATATGTGGCCGTTAACAAGCATTGAGAAGAAAAATTGATCCGAAACTTGCGGAGACCACCTGGGTCCACAAGATATTCGGTGGTCGGCTACGGTCACGAGTGACATGCAAGGAGTGCCACCACAACAGTGACACATTTGATAGCATGCTGGACGTGAGCTTAGACATATATGGCTCAAACAGCGTAAAAGACGCCTTCCGGAAGTTTGTCGCTGTCGACTATCTCAAAGGGTCAGACAAATATAAGTGCGAAAAGTAGGCAATATTTATTAGTAGGCATGCTCACATCTGATATGCAACACCCTTGCAGGTGCAAGAAGCCGGTCGTTGCCGAAAAGCGGTTTACTATTCACGATGCGCCTGCAGTGTTGACTATCCACCTCAAGCGCTTCTCGCCCCTCGGTCGGAAGATTGGGCATTTTGTCCATTATGACGACCGTATCACGCTGAAACCGTTTATGAGTGAGGGTCAATTTGGCCCAACATACTCATTATACGGTGTCATTTGTCATGCAGGCGGGGGACCGAACTCAGGCCACTACTATGCCACGGTCAAAGGTGCTAATGGCATGTGGTACGAGATGAATGACGACAGCGTATCACAGCACCGTAATACCCTTGGGCCTCTGAAGAACGCATATATCTTGTTTTACATCAGGCAGAAAGGCCAATCTCTCGAGGCTGCTATTACTCGCCCCTCGATGACCCCCCGGAATGTTGTCGCTGGAATGAAGAAGAGGAAAGTTGTGGACTCTGAGGACGATGGCGGTGACGACCTTGGTGTCAAAACTGATCGGTTATTCATCGGACCTCTCCTTCCTTCTCCGATGGCTAATGATGTGGAGGTACATAAAAAGGCTAAAACGGACGATAGGGACCCTCAGGCTGAGAGCATTAAGAAGAAAATCGAAGCTGTTAACAAGGTTCACAGCCCCAGCACTGCCCTCACGAGCCTCTCGCAATACAATGATGATGACGACGATGACAGTGAATCGCCAGCTGCGTCTCCCGTCGATCTCAAGCCGCCTTCAAGCACCACTGAGTCGCTCAACGCTGCCTCACCGCCTCCCCCAGGTCCTCCTACCTCTCCTCCTCCTATTTCCAGTACATCATCCCTTAATTCCATACAATTGAACACAACCCCTTCATCAGGCATTTCGCCGAGCAACTTCTATGCGTCATCAAAGAATAACGACAAGAAGCGCAAATCGCCAGATTACGATGACGACGACGAACAGACGCCTCGGAAGCATTACGCCCGTGTACCCTTGCATACCCAATCTTCCAAACAGTCACACGGTCGTCGAAAGTCATCGTTTGGCGGTGGCGCAGTCAATCCTTACAGCCGGCTAGCAGGAAGCAACACGTTGTCCCAACATCGATCAGATAACTGGCAAAGACCTCCACAGCAGTATGGTAAGAAGAAGAAAAGGATGATCATGTAGAAAATTTGTTTTTGGCATTAATTCTAGAGTACACTCTGCAAAAGTCACATATGTTCACGATCCTGTACTAAAGGTCACGAAGCTCGCTTTACTACAGCTTTGCTTTTATATTATCAGAAGAGAACGTCACAGTCTTGGCATTACCTTCTTGTCCGTCTTCCCACCAGATAACAGTTACGGTGGTATCATCCCGATAGCTCCTGGCAATTGGAGCAGGTATACTCATCAACTTTCTCAAACTTTCGGCGTCACCTCCGCCAAATGCGTTCCGGATTAGATGTGAGCTGACGTTCTCCTCTTCAAATGACCAGGAGCCACTACTGCTATTTCGTTTCTTGTCCTTGCCTTCCACAGTTGGTGCCCCTGACGTTGTTGGTACGAGTTCTGGAAGGGCTGTTTTGGAAACCACTCCTTTGAGACCCTTTAAATGTCCGCCGACAAGGGCTACGACATCCTCTGAGCTAAGCTTATCCCACAGCCCGTCGGTTGCCAGCACCACAAAACGGGATGCAGGTGATCGTAATGGCCGTGCAACACTGCCGAAGTCAAAGTCACGATGGGTTACAACTGGGGTGGCGGTAACGTATGGCGGAGTCTTGAATGACGAAGGGGGTGGACGCAATGGTTGATCGTTGCCCACGAGGAAGGCACGGTTTAGTCTGAATGGACCAGAGTTAACAATGGTTTGTATTGATCTTGCCACGATCAAATCTAAAATCACGTACACGTCCTGCACATCGCGGGGCCATTTGTACCGGGCATCTCCGAACGCACGACTGGGTTCAAGCCCACCAAGAACACGACCTGCGCGTATAACACTACCCGCCTCATCAGGAGGATGTTCAGATTGAATCCTAAAAATCGATTTGTAAGAAGCAGTAACGGAAATTAAAACTGCATTAGCAAACCTTTTCAATTCATTTGGGTTGCGACCGGTCTGGTCTTCGCTAAGAACTTCAACGCGCCACGATCCCTGACCTTGCTCATTTTCTTCCCAGATGCCCGCAACAGCACGACTATCCCCTGAGCAAGCCACGTATAGATGCCGATGGGCGGTATCGAAGACGGCCATCAGCGCACAGCTGCCTGAAGATAGAACAGCACGTCATGATTTGAAAAAGACGGGCAGAGATTGTGCCGTACCAGATACAGCAGGAAGCATTGTCTGTAATGCCAGCGGATGTTTGCTAAGATCAGGAAGGAGGTTCTTCTTTATTGATTCAGCATCCAAGTTTGCGGCGAGAACCGAAAGGGGTGCATTGATGAGCTCCTGATCTAACTTTGTGAAAGCATTTCGTATAGCAAGGGAGATTCTCTCTGGGTTTTGAGGGTCTTCGCGAAATTTGGGCGAAGACGTGCGAAACATTAACTTTAATTTTTCAAGAAGTCCGGATTTCGGGACGTCTGGAGAGTGAATCAGGGAGGATAATTCCAGGACCACGGCGCTGATGAGGGTCTTTGAAAGAAGGCGAGATGTGTGAGGACCACCATGGCCATCCATAACGGTGAAGAACAACCAGTCACCTGGTGCAGATGGGTCAGATGGGTCACGGGCAATTATAGCGTCCGCATGTGCATCTTCCAGGGGATCATTGGCGGCGACAGATGCCGTGGCGTAGCGCCATACTGTGCTGTCAGGTCTGGAAAAACTATCAGATGACGCGTTCTCCACAAGACGATCTTTAATAGCGTTCTGTGACAACAGGGAAAATGTGCGGTTGGCCATAATTGGTATTCCGTCTGCGCCGCGAACTTTGACGGCAAGGTCAAATGTCTGCTGCTTGGTGAAAGTATAGTAAAGGTAGCTTGGGGTGCCAATAAGAACGGTGGTGGCAGCCAGTGGTTTCCAAACCCTTCGAAGCATGCCCGAGAGTCCTGGAAGCAGTTGACCGGTATGCGGTAATTCTCAACTGTAAACAATAAGCGTGATCCACGAAATGCGCAACACATGCAATGCCACCCACGTTGAAAAAGATAGAGAGACTACCGACAACGTCACTATGTAGTACTCCAGGGCTTTATTGCGGCGTGAGTGCTGCTACAGCCTGGTGAGTTGCAGAAACTGCGTAGTGGTTGTGCTAAGAAGTAGAGCGAATGTGTGAAAATCAATGAAACAAGTTTTACTTATTAAACCTTCTGCTCGACGTTGCGCTGAACAATGTCAGCCGACACTTGACCGACACTTGCTAAATTGGGTTTAACGCGCGCCTAGTCACGTGTACGTGTGTGTACCGCAACGTCGGAGATTAAAATCTATTGGTCTTCCCATGCTGCTGTCAGCGCCGGACAACACCAACCTGTACTGCTACCACGACGTGCTGCTGTGTCATAGCTATTTCTTTCAAAGGTCCTTTGTTGTTCATTACATCCAGATCATTCAATCCCATTCAAGCTTTCTATCTCTTTCTTATAACAGCTCTTTCGGATGACTAGTTCGGGCAACAATGATGCAGCCATGCAACCATCGATAGCTGTGGGAACAGAAGAACAGGAGGGAGATTTCCTGTCGACGATGAAGACATTCGATTTCGCGATCATCGATGATGATGATCCTGAGCTTGATCTTCCGTCCCAAGTAACGAATGTAAGTGAAAAGATATGTCTGATGACGCGTGCAATCAGTCCTTAAGTGTGTCCTGTTATGTCATCCCTCAAGCCACCAAACTTCATAGCCCCAAGCGATGTGCAGCCCCAAGTTTTAAGACCGTCTTCTCAACAACCCACCGTAGAAACGCTCCAGTCTCTTGGCATTAAAGTGCGAGATTTTGCGTATGAAAGTACTTTGCCACCCATCGCGCCTATTCCGCGAGTTCCGCGGCAAACTCAGCCTAGTGCGAGACCGCTGAAACGTACCAGAGGGGACTGGGAGGAAGAGGATAGAATGCCATCGCAGTCCTCACGCCCGCCATTCGGATGCGAAGCCACCAATGCTGGCATGCAAGCAAACAGCAAGCCCGAGTCTCTTGTGCGAAAAGCCACTGAGCCACTTGAATTTAGCCCTCCACCCGTTTCAAAGCGCGCGATGGGATGCGCAGACTTGAGCAGACCTGTTTTATTTGGAAACCGACTACCGTTCCGTACACCTCGTCGCGTCCTTAAAGCCCACCACACCCCGCCGAGAAGATCTTCCGCAACTCCGCTAACATCCCCCCTGTTCGGGTCGCCATCAGAAGAGCCATCTCAGGGGGCATCACAAGAGTCGGAGTTAGTGGTGACACCTGCTGGACTCGCGTCTTGGGATATCGAAGACACCAGCTCAATACCTGTTTCGCAAATGGATACAGACTTGTTGGCTTTTGTGCCAGAAGAAATATCTTATTCCCAGCTAGGGCTTTCCACGCAGTCTTCGCAACTTGCCACGTCGCTTTCTACTTCCATGCGGTCTCCTGTCACCCCTAGTCACGTTTCATCTCAGGCAGTTGATACCTTCGGGTCGTCACATCTTATTCCACAAATACCAAATTCCCGTCGGGAACCGAAGCGTGGTATGAAAGCTTCAACGACCAAAATTTCTACCCAGACGTCCCCCCGTTACCTGCTCCGTCGACGATCGCTACTGTCCGTTCACGCTCCCACACGTTCACGGTATCCCCATCCGCTCACTCCCACGAAGAAAGGAAGCCCGAAGGCTTCTCCGCAACCTCGCTGCAGACGGCTGCAGCGGCCTGTGCTGTCCAGGTGAATTTTAGATGACTGGATTCCGTTGATCATTGCACCACTTGATACGAGGATGGGTTTAACTTATTTTTATTGCTGTTGTTTCAACATACATTCGAGGAGTATATCGTCTGCAGTGATGCTCCATGTAGTTTTACATGCCCGTTAGTTGATCGACAATTTCATGTACACGTGTACTGCTATCAATCAGGACTCGCACTGTCTTCTAGTCTTCTTGCTATTTTGATTTCGTCGAGCACGCTTGAGTGGAATGCGAACGTATATATATATGGTAGCGATGTGAATGCATTGACATAAACTCGACATGTTCTCATTAGATCCTCTTTTAACTGCTTGATGCAAATCTCGAAAGCAGCCAGCCAGACAAGCGAAGGGAACAGGACGTGTACTAGTAATATTTGCGGTATTGCGCATCGTGAGTAGGGAACTAGTCCCGAAATGAAATAGAGATTGCCAAATTTGCAAGTCACCTGAGTCTGGGGAAACACATGCTGTTTATAAGTAGGTGATTACAGTTAGGGACGTCCCTTTTGAGCTTATAATAACAGATCGTGATGGATCTGATGATACCATTGCTGGATGTAGCTGTCGGCTCAACCTTGAAGATCTTTGCCGCAGCGGCTGCATGAGGGCGATCCGAGGCAATGAAGGCGTTGATCTCCGATGTCTTTGAAGCCAGAGATGGACAAGAGACAACAAGCGTGGCAAGTGCTGGGCATAGATGTCGAGTAGGACCAAGGGAATTACCGACGTTTTATTGATGCGACAAAAGCTAAATGTTCCGTGTTGAGTAAGTTGAATTAGATCCCGATTGGAGTCACAGCAAGTCACTCTCACATAGCGCCCATCAAAATGAAGTTCAAATTTACCTCCTGACGAACGAGAATGTTCCGCGAGTGGAGTGTCGAAGAATGTCATTAATGAGGGACCACTGTTATTCCGACGCACGTGCACACGACGACGTATGACTCAAACCTGAGCTTGGTTCCAAATTTCTGGTAATGGTGTGCTGTCAGGTGCCGAGCTCAGGTCGGTTGCGCCAAGCTACAGACGCTGCGCGATTGGACGTAAAGATAAGGTAAAAGCACGTAAGTTAAAAACATAAAACATTAAAAACACATGAGATCACTGGGGAGGTTGTCGTGATCGGTCCGTATGACAATGAATTGGGTAATCGGTAAATGTAAATGTAATACTAGATAAGTCTATGAACCTTGTTTTCACTAGAAAAACAGCGCACGCCTTCTTCGCGTGACTCCCTCTTCCTATATTTCTATCCCCCTTCCTTCTTCTGCTCTTCCATCATGGCAGAACCATCCTCCAATGTCACAGTATCCCTTCTCCCAGTATCCCTCTCTCTAGTACACATCCCTCGCTCTCGTCTCCCCCAGTTGTTACATCCTGTCCTCAGGCAGATCTTACAACCAAACCCCACCTTCATCAATGTCACCTGCAATGAGATTGAACTCAGTCTTTTCGCAGAATCTCACATGCTAGCAGATTTTGAACCTGTCGCCAGACGAGACAGGCAAAGGCAACGATCTCGCTCTGGCTCCGGATCTAGCTCAAAGCGTGCCCAGCCTGTATTACCTCAAGACCACCTTGAAATATCCTATGAAAAGTGGAATGTTCTCCAAATTGATTCTCATTCTGATCAACTCGGTATGTGACTCGGCTCTATAACCCCTATGCGCAAATTCATTAATTCACTAATTTTCAGACAGCTCCGGAGCCCGTGTACATGAACTGTCCGCACCGTTAGCTGCAGCTGGAATTTCTATCCTATACCAGTCCTCTTACTTGAGCGACTTTATATTTGTATGTCATAGGTTGAATTATCCAACACCTAGGCATTCTAAATCGTAATAATCAGGTAAAGGAGTCGAGACTCCAGGAGGTCATGTCTCTGTTGGGATCAACGGGATTCGACCTCTACTCTTCCGACCCGGAACTACTCACTTCCAGAGTAGTCTCCCCAATGCTCTCCCCGGTCTCTCCCGATGACTACTCTTCCATCCCCGACGTAGCCCCAGATATCACGGTAGAATCCGGTGCCATTCTGACCCGGACAAGAAACAGTCTCGACATCGTTTCTGCTGCTGCTATTACTTTGCAGCACATAAATCTCACGACCTCACCCGATGACTCACCAGCAAGCAGTCCGACTCATCATAAACCTCCATCACGTCACAAATCGCACTCCCCGACCTCGGGGGAAGTACGCGTATTAACTCCTAACCTCGCTTGTGTCGGCCTTTCGGACGACAGTGTTGACACATGGGGACTTAAGATCGTAAAGCTGGTGGCGTTCCCCGAATTGATTCCTATCAAGGAACAACCCTCACGATCACGCAAGTCACAGTCTCGCAATGCCCACCCTACCGGCGGAGTTCTGCTATCGTCGTCAAGTCGAAAACGATATTCAGATTCATCAGATTCATTTTCTTCCTCCAGTGATGATGAAGATGAAGAAGAAGGCTACTTTTCTCACTCTCCTCTCGGTAACTTGTCATCCACTTCGCTCCAGTCTTCCTCCGCTTCGCGGTCCTTTCCAGATCTATCAATTCCTATCCCTTCTCAAACGGGAACTTTCAAACGTTCTGCAAAACACATTGTTGCGCCACTTGCACCACTCTCTCCTCTTGAATCAAAGCCAGCATCACATCGTAAACCCACCTTCCATCATATAGACGCATCAGTTACCATCAAGAAGCCTGCAGATGAGACCATACGTGGCATGGTCCCATTTTTCAGCTTCACCCGTACGCAAGAAGGCACCTCATTAACGACTGATGTTTCTCTTCTGGCCGCGCTATTTCCTCCGAATGAGCGGCATATAATGATTTGTGCTGGCGAACTTGATGCTCTTGATGCACAAAGTTTGAGTACAGATTCAGACTCCGAGGACGACGAGGACACAGTTTCATCAAGTGGTGCCCTTAAATGCTTGCAAATCGATCTGCGCAGATTCGGGCTTGGTATGCCATTCTTTCACTGTCTTCCGGAAGGTCCCAGTGACACCTGTGCTTCTGTCCCACGTAGATAAACACGGCTTGGTAAACCGCTTTTCGCGAGTCTTGGAACAAAATGGCATCAACCACATGTATAGCTCAACCTATAAGACGGCTAATCTGCTGGTGCGTATATGAGTCCTTTAATTATGTGCTTCGTTGTGACGAACCCTGTCTTCGTGTAGGTTTCTAAAGCGCATGCCAATCGTGCCCGAGCCTTACTGAAGGCTTGTTAAATTACATCTCCGATTGCCATCTCCGTTACCAATCACATCTATGGCATCAACTCCACCACCAAAATGATGCAGGCAACGCCCGGTGCCGCCTACATTTCACACACATCTGTCATACCCAAGGAGTTTAGAAGTACTTTACAAAATCCATATTTCCGCAGGCCCCGCTTTGGTTTAGTGTTTATGACGAATGATACCCCCCTTTCTATATCATTATGGTATCCCATGTAGTTTTTTTTTTGGTTTTAAACCCCCATTTTGCGCGTTGTAACGTATGTCGCATTCATCGTCATTTGCTTGTTATTTCATCTCGAGCATTTACACTAACCCAATGTTCTTTTATGCATCTAACCATACACATACGTTTCAGGAATATTCTGTATCATGTAGCATCTTGTATTGTTACCGCGGCAAGTGTGCCTCATGCTCGTGTCAGGGGGGAGTGGCTTTGGAACGTAGTTGCCTTAAGGCGACCAATAATTTCAATATGATAATGCAGGCGTTTGGCAGGAGTGTGAAGAAGAGAATGTAAAAATACAAGGAAGTACTGCGGGTATATATATGTAACGTTACTGCATGTGGGGCAGGTACCAACATATGTCGGAAAGTGTGTAACGATTAACGAAAGAAGCTCGTTTCACATCAAGCGCCAAGAGCTTTAGAGCGTTCGATAACAGACAGGTACCAATCATCAAATGGGGGGAGGTCGTCTTCATCATCGGAATCCGGCGTGGGCGTCTCACACCGAGTGATGGACAGACCACGAGACATTGTTTCTGAATCCATAAACTCATTGACATCTGGGGTAGAATGCGAGTGATCGGTACAAGTCATACGCCCCTTTTCATGTAGTGTGAGAAAACACCCGGATTCGTCAAGGGACGGAGGTAAGCCGGTCAAATGACGCTCCCGCGAGTGGTCAGAGTGCGACGGAATGAAGCTGTCATCATCAGGGTCGCCTTGATGGTGCAGACCAGGAACAGAGGCGGTGGTGAGGGAAGTAGAATTGATCGGAGGTGTCGAACTGCGCTTGGGATATACCGTGAGGTACTCGTAATCTTGGTCATCGACCCTGTTGCTCCATGATATCCACGGGTCATGCGGCTCCGCCGCGATGATGACGATATGGGGAGCTCTAAAGGGACAATCAGACTCTATGATAGAGACGCCCGAGAATTTTCTGCACGCAAGTAGGATAGGCTACGAAGTTTCAATGTCAGGCCTAGAAGTTAATGTCAACAATCTGCAAGTGCGTACCTGAGCAGGATCAGTCCACACGAAGGGCTGTTCCAATTGGGATGCAGCCACTGATTCGTTGAATCTCGCGCAAACCGCGGACGCCGAGAGGGATGCTTCGAATGCCTGAAAGGTGACACAAGCATTCAGTTGATTGGTTCGAGTGAGGGATTTATAAGATAGCTCACCGCAGCTTTACGGCGATGTCGGAATATTCCGTCCACTATATCGCGGAATACAAGTCTTTCAATTGAGGAAGCTTCGACCTAATAGAGAGTAAGAGGATGAGATGAGTATCAGAGTGCCATAAACGACACCAGCCGGCTTACAGCGAGAAGAAGTTTCTCGTGACTGAACACGCGAGGAGGAGTTCTCGGCCGAATAACACCAAGGTCGCCTGACGAGGCTACGGACTGTGAATGAAATTCGTTTGAATAACAGTCAGCCGATTCATCGTGGGATGATGACAGAGGACAATAATGGTAGAACATGTGAGGGGATAAACAGGGCACGTTGAGAAAACATGGCCACTGGGGATCGACCCGGTTTTGGTGCGGCGTGTAAAAGTCGTCTGGATAAGAGACAGGGGGAGTTATAACTATATGGGGTGCAATGTCAGGATACAATGAGTCAAGCACGATGTTGCGGCCATCCAGGCGAAAGTCCAGGAGGGAATCCTGAAAGCGAGACATTGGAATGAGTAGAGAAAGAGAGGGAGAACACTCACATTCTCTCTGTCCTCTTCACAGATGAAGCAGGAACACACGAAAGGGTGAGAATCAACGGTCTCTGAGTCTTCCGAGTTTTCTTCGCGAACGGTGTGGGAGTCCACAAAAAGTTGCTCGGGAACAGATTCGATGGGTTTAGCTTCCGGGCCACCAGTCTGGAAAATATATTCTCAACAAGCTAGGACATTGTGACCAAAGTGTGTGACATACCATGACATTTGTGCGAGAAAGTGGCTGGAAGATGGTTGAGGTTTCTGGTGAAGAGAGAAAGGCAAGGCGCTCGTCTACGTCTGAAGGCGAGGCAGAGGCGCAGCTGGCGTCTGGCAATATGCTTGCATTCTGGTTTTGGATTCTAGAAGCGTTAAAATTCACATGCGGCGCCGAGACCGCTGTGAATTCCCGGTGGTCTGACACTGGTATGCAGGTTCGTGTGATAGAGGCATCCTGATGCAATGCGTTGATCAGACTAGTATATAGCTGATCATGAAGCTTCGACTTACTTTGCTTGTGCATTCAGTGTCATGGTTGACATGCTCGGAGTAGGCTGCATCCAAATATGGCTCATCGAAGCTCGCGAGCGCCTTCAGCATACGCTCCCACGCCTCATTCCATCTTCCCTCCTTGATCGCGTCGTATAGGAGTGCATCTATCATTGACTCTGGGACAGCCAGCATCGACTGTATGATGGTAAGTGCGAGAACCATAAAGCTGCTCATAAGTGTAGGTGGGTCTATCATTTTGGTGACGCGTTATAAGCACCAGGCAATATCGGTATGACGCGTGTTGGAGTATTCGTTGGGTCCGGACGCGTTTTGAAATAGAGATGAAAGGTTGCGAGGTCCATAAACTGAACAGATGATCATATTTAAGTATAGGGACACAGAACGCTTTGCTGTGGCCAAGCGGAGTTTCTTGGCCCTTTGTTGTAACTGTGGAAGTCCACAATTCTACACGCCACTCCACTCGAGCACGCCGCACCCTTTGTAAACAATTGTGGACCTTCAGTCCTGTGGGTTGATACGCATATTTGGAACTCATCGTGGCCTCACGCGTCGTAGAGGCTGCGATATGCTCTGGTCCCGGATACTTATCTTAGTGCCTGACAGTCTATTGGAATTTGGACGTTCCTACAGCAATATCAACGGTGCGTCGGAGTTGCCTTTGCTCAGCCTGCTTTGACTGTTGTACTTTTGTGCCCATTTCCCCGGCGCTAGCAGTCTGTTCAATGGCGGCCGCGAGCCAGTTCTTATTTCACAACAGGGCATTTATGATATTCCTGTAAGAACATAACATCCAGGGATTAATGTCGAATGAGAAAAACACACAGCCAGCAGTCGCACATACAAGTGGTCTTCTACTACTTGTTCGGTTCAGCTTCGATGTTTCAACCCCTGACCAGAGATAACCGATCGAGGAAATGTCAATGATATTACCACTACACACTGGAAATTTTGACAGATCATACTAGGAAACTGACAATCTGGCTGTGTTTATCCAGTATATTGCTGCAGCGACATTGACAGCGTTGGTATAGTACCCTCAATCTTTACCGTTACTAACGGGAAGATCTTCCTCATCCGGCCTGCGTGCCGTCACCTTCGTGAAATTCCTCATGGAATGATCAGCTCCGGAGAACTGGTTTGTCATCAATCAATCAATCCTCATACACGATAAGATAACAAACCTTTTGGCAAAGATCCCTAAGGTAACTGGGGATCATCCTAAGCACCGGTGACAAATTCGTGTAAAACGGCAGATAAATAGTTCGGGACTGCTGTGCGTCAAGTGCAGTGATGATCGCCTTTACTACTGCCACTGGCGCGATGGACGGTGCGAAGAATTGGAAGAAGGGGTTGGATGGCAGCTGGATGGTAGAGAATAAGGGGGTTAAGATGTATCCTGGACAAACGATAGTGGTACGAATCCCGGGCGCATCATACCTAAGAGCGAGATCAGCATGGCGCAGTATTGTATGTAATTCATATACGTACACTTTGTCAAGCTCGTAACGCAGTGACTCGTTCAAGGTCACCAGAGCCGCCTTTGATGCGCTATAATCGGCTAGAGGTTTGTGTGAGGGGAAATATTGAATAAAGAATGGTAAAGCTTACCCATCTGGACGCTGCCAACGAAGCCCATAACAGATGACATGGTCACCTAAGGTGGCATTTCATAACGTTTCACCCCGACACATGAAGAGACTTACAATATGACCAGTTTTGTTTTTGATCATTCCCGGTAAGAACGCCTTCAAAGTCCAGAAATGGGCCAGGGTATTCACACCAAATGTCCTGAAGGTTATGTTTAAGTGTCCAGTACTCAAATGAGATGAAAAATGTCATACTGGTACACATCCTCTGGTTTGAGATCGACGATGAGTTTTCCTTGCACAACGCCAGCGTTGTTGACGAGCATAGTAGGTTGACCGACCTACAATGCCAAATTGAACATATGTCCATAAAAGATACAAAACAATATACCTCCTCGATGATCTTCTTTGAAACGGCCTCGACTTCCTCCCACTTCGAAACGTCACATTGGTAATAAGTGATGTTATCTAGTAACAAAATTTGTATTTAATAGAAAAGTAAACAGGAAAGGGGTGACGCACAGTTTTCAGTCACAATTGGGTTGATATCAAGTACAACAACCGTGACGTTGCGGACAGCGAGTGTGTTTGCTAATAGTTCACCTACTCCTGAAGCGCCTATATTCGTCTTAAGTCATGGAAACGCCCAATGCGACGATAAGGGTCGTACCTCCAGTGACGACTACAATCTGTTCGCTCCAATCTAAGGGTTTAGGTTTGAAGAAAAAGTTCCCTTGATTGCGGTACAACTGTGAGATCCACTTCAAGAGCCCTGCCTATATGTTAGTATCAGAAGCGCTCGTATATTTGAGGACGCACAGAAAGCAGAAACAGCTGCGCAATATACGGATGGAACGAGTACAACTGGATCTGCGAACTCGTAACCTTGAAAGACGTAGAATATGGGTATGAAACACGTAAAGAAGGGGCCTATGGATAGTATTAATGCTTAATCACGGAGACACGAATGACAAGTGCACGAACTGAAAGCTGTCTGCGACAGAACTTTGACAACCATGTCAATATCTACGCTGTCGTAGATTGGCGCAGGGTCGTAACTGGATGGTGCGTTCATATTTAAAGCGGTTGGAATATATGATGACGATGACACCCGATCAGTGGGTGCAGGGCAGTTGAGAAACTTGATAATACGGTAAGATAGAATAAGAAGAAATAAGAGCTGCTGAACGGCACAGCCGATAGCAGGAGAGAGAAAGTTGAATGAGACTCCGTCTGATAGGCGCTGAGAGGCTACGTCGTTTCAATCTCACCGTGAGATGATTTTAAGTCATTGCTTGTTGCATAGCCTGGCATCACTGTTGTGGATCACAGCCATAGGTTGCAAAGTTTGAAACGATACACGAGTGGAGGACAGTCCGAGGTGACTAGTTTCGAGCTCGTCCGAGGACCGGCATTAAATATTGATTTGATGGAAGACGCTACAGTTTTTTTGATCTTCGGACGCGCCAGCATTGTAAGCTCTACGGTTCTCCCGTACCCCATGCAGACTCCAGAAGCTTTTGCTAGTTATTCTCATGTTTCTTCACGCGTTCTAACTTGCAAACCGTTGGAGTCGAAACATATTAACGTTTGGTATACTGATATGTTTGGTCTACTTTGCAGTCAGCTCATTGTCAATTTGAACATCTCTTCTCGTTACCTCCATCCCCGCGCTTCCAGTCATTCACCAGACAAGTGCCCGCCAGCCAAACTAGCATCGAGGGCGTATTCATCCAGGGACATAGTAAGTTCGCGCTCTCCTTCAAAGCCAGGATCCTGTCGTGTTTCTTCATCGACATTAGCTTTATTTATAACTCGCACAACAGATGGGGGTTGAAGCAAGTCGCCCTCCGGCTACTGCTCCCATCGGATCTTCAGAAAAGCCAGCGCCTAATGCCGCAAATACCACTCATGCTCCGTGCGCAACCGTGACTGCTGTGAGCGCAGCCTCCAGTGGCGAGGTCACGTCGGGTCATGTTAAAGCAACTTCCGTAAGTCGCTCGCCGCTTTGGCATGTACTTATGGCGGGTCCTAAGAATGTGCAACAGGGAGATGCGACTGCGTCTAGGAACAAGGTCGGGTATTTTGACACTTTGATTTTGAGATGACTCTCAAGGCCATCATGCAGGAAGACAAAGCTACTGCCATTGCGCCTACACCAAACAATGTTGAGCTTAATGCGTCCAGCGCGGTAGATGCCGTGAGCTTTTTTTCTACATCTTACCCTGAATTACCGCATCTTAAGTTTGATATCGATAAGACCGCAGCCACTGGCAGAGAGGTAAGGGTTTTTAGAATATCTAAAGTCTTCAAAATCTGGACATTCAATGATATCATAGACACTCGGCCTTGATTGCGCATCAGTCACCCGCCAAGAGGTTAGTTTTGCTCACGGTCGTCCCGGAACTACTTTTCACGCCACATACCTACAGACAAAATGCAACCGAGACTTTTGTGTCCCAGACCCCGTACTACAAGGACTTCCGTGTACACCGGGGAATGAAGCTGCCGTTGCCACAGGCTCTGGCCCACCAGGGGTAAGTATTTGTGACCGCTCATCTTATATAACAAAGTCTAATCCTGTGTAGAATGTTGATGAAACACCGTTAATTGTAAGAAAATTATCTGTCATACCCAAAGAGCAATTTGCGCCTGTCGAACATGTCCGTGACATTGAACTAATCGGTGTCTATGACGCTAACATTTACTTTAGCCGGCCAATAATTCCCTAGACTCAATTTCATCTGCAATCATTCCCGAATCATTTGAAGCATCAGAATCACTGTCTCTTTGCCGCGTACAACAACCATTCGCAAATATTCAATCTAATATCACCCAACGCACCGCATCCATAGAAAGTAGTTTGTTTCCTCGCAAGAACAGCATTATCGTGAGTGTTCCTAGTTGCCGGTTTTTCTCATAATCTGAACCGTCAATCGAACTTTAGGTACCCGATGTAGCATCTACAAATGACATTTCTTCTGTCCTTAAATCCGCCACTGAATACAGCACTGAGAATACCGGCATGACCTATATAACTACTCCTATCAAGACCAAACGCACAGAGGTGCCAGTTGCTGTTACATATGCAGACGCCACAAACGTAAGTTGTTATCTTACTGCTTGATGAGTCTCCATCCGGAGTTTACAATAAAAATCACAATTATAGTTAGCCGCACGATATCCAGACCTAGCCTCTCAGATCCTTGTCTCCCCACTGCGGAAGCGCACCGCACGTCAGGAAGTTGCCCTAACGCCCGAACAAGATTTGATCGAGGAGGGCCTGCCAAGCAAGCGCAGGCCTCGTCGTACTCGCAGGCACAGGAGTAAACGTTCTCAGGTCAATCAAGAAGAATCGCAGCAACAAAATCGAGGATCCTTGCGGACCCCGGGACCTGATGCTTCTCCATCCCGCCACAAGGATCCAAGTTCCGCTTCTGTATTTGTCGATCCGAATAGGACCTCCGGATTTCAGTCTGCGCATGATTTTCGCCAGCCGGACTGGTTGGTCGATTCTGCGCCGCCTATGCCAAATCTATCTGTGGAACGTGCCCCGTCGCTCCAGACGAATCGGCATACAGCTCCAGTGACACCGCGGCAGAGAACACACAACTACCAACGAGAAAGTAGCGACACGAACTGGGGCGCTCCCGCAGCCGAAATTCAGGCTTCGACTCCACCTCTATTTGCAACGCCGAAACGAGCTCCAGTCCAAGAACAGCACAGTGTTATTCTTTTAAAGAGCGAAGAGCGTACTGGTAAGGCTACGGATTTGGCGACTGCTTCTATCGGGCGACGTTCTATCAACGCGGATATGTTACTTACGGAGCTGTTTCGTAAGGCGATGGAGACGAGCAGCCCCTCTGCGATGAAATTTCGCCACCCCGAGTACAATTCTATTAGGAAACCTGAGGCTGAAGGTCCGGACCCTATCAAGGCACTCGTGGCAGAGACTGCGCACCCAGTGAATCAGGCGGAGAAGATCATGGAGGGAGACTCCCCTCGGGTCAAACTGCCAGCCCCATCGACGCCTCCGATGAGGACCTCTCCTAACCCTATACACAAGTCCCCAACAGCGCGGATGGAAGAAGACCACACTATACGCCAGAGTTACAAACCCCCGGGTGCGCGGACGCAAGAAGACCACACTTTACGCCAGAGTTACATGCTCCCAGCAGCACGGACGGAAGAATATTCCACTACACACCAGAGTTACTTGGCCCCTGCAACACGGACCGAAGAAGACCACACTATACCCCAGAACTACAAGCCTCCTCATCAGCGCCTTAATGAAAACAACCACAACGCGATAACTATGCAGAAGCTGCCTATCCACCACGCTTCCTCACTGAATAGGCATTCGAACCCTTGCACGCCGCCTTCTCCACGCGCAATTGAATTGTTGGAAAGAAGTAAACGCATCCGTCATTTAGAACGACTTCTTTCAAGGGAGCGTGATCTTCCGATCAGCATGACCGGGCTTACTGTGCCGTCACCCAAGCCGGCCCAAGTGCTGCAGCCCATCGGACCGTGGGGAGCTTCTGACGAAAAGGCGTTCCATGAGCGCGGCGCGATCAACCCCGGTACTAATACCAATCAGTCTTTGGATCTCGTGGGCGTAATGCAGGCGATGGGCTTGGACATCTCTTCGAGGAAGGATACTTTGGCTGCGCTCGGAAATGGCAAACCATCTAGCCGTCCAAGCGTGCGAAGACAGTCAGGTACTATGTCGATGGAGGACACCGTCGTGCGTAATGACTTGGCACGCGCAGTTCGTTCACAGGGCTGGAAGTCGCCCCGAGGAAGCGGAGGTGGAGGATATAGCGGTCAGTCATCGGAGACGAACGCGCGGTGGACGCGCTATACATAGATAGAGGTCCCAGTTACGTTAACATCATGTGCGGCCTTCGCTGGTAATCTTACGTTGGCCCGTGCACATCGTATTTGGGTGTATGTTTGTGATGTCATGAGAGAAAATTTGCTTGACATTGACAGTGAGAGGATCTTCGCCGGTTGAACGATGAGGGCATCAACACAGAATGTTTGAACAGCTCGCAGCGCTGCGCAAACCGATGCCATCCTTGTTACACTTGATCACGTGCGACAAGATATATATCATGTGTGAACTTGCACGGCGATGACCTTGTTTCAGAACAATTTCAGAAAGTCTGCTATTTTCGGAGATTAAGTATATCCAAATTTGGAAATGAAGTATTGCCTCACCATCGCGTCCTTTTGTTCATTGAAAAATGGATTGTTCGGTTCTGTCTTTGTGTTTGTTCAAAAATGTCGTCTCAGTTCTTTCAAGAGGGTACCTCGGTGGTATGAGATTTCCCATAACAACTTGAATCGTAATAGAACCAGTCTTTCGTAAATTTTGGGGCTTCCACTTGCCTCTTCTGTTTCGTGATAAATGAATAAAGTTCGTATGTGCTCCGTTAATCTCACCTACAGGTAACTATAGAATCATTCAGCGCGTGGTTACGCCACCTTCTACGTTCTTTCTACTCCCAACAACCATGGTGTACACAGCAGGCAGCGGAGACCTCACCCTTTCTCCAGAGTCGAAGGCGAGCTTGTTGCCTCGTAATAGACACACTCTTTCACAGTCAGATAGAGTACAAAGTTTTGCAAGTATAACGGTAAGCTCCGTCCGTCCCACTGGGGTCCATGATCGCCCTTGACCACGTTTACAGACAGAGTCACCGTACACTGCTGGTGCAGGTTCCAGGTTGGCTACAATATCAGACCGTGTACGTGGAGCTCTCCTGGATCCGCCATACGCGCCCTCGTTGACTGACCGTATATTTTTTAGTTCCACTTATCGCCAGACCCTCGTGACTGGGGCTCGAGTTTATATAGTGATATCAAGGAATCCGACGACGACCTTCACAATCCCAATGTCAGGGATCACAACACTTGGGGCCCTGATCGTGGTCTAGCAAATATCGGTTGCCTGCTGGTACTGGGCATCGGGCTAATCACGCTTTTGTGAGCATTCCCAGTTATTCAAATGTTTTGCATTCGACTGAACTTGGACACTCGCAGTGCTGGATATCCAATAATAACATATTTCACGCGGACTGCGCTATCAAATCAAGGCGGGTTCAACCTAGGAGGAATAAATGCAAGTGGACAAGTAAGTCTTCTTATTGTCTTCAAACTTCAGTAATTCAACAGCATCACCCTCGTTAGATACCACAAATTCCTGGAAATTTGGGCCTGATCGATACCGACACCCCCAGTAACGTGTTTACCAAGCCCTCCTGGAATGGTGGACCAGACATGCAGCTTGTCTTCTCTGATGAGTTCAATACTCCAGGAAGAACTTTCTGGCCAGGCGACGATCCATATTGGGAAGCGGCTAATCTACATTACTGGGTAACTTACTTCGACATTGCCCATGCTAAGGTACTAATGGTCATCCCAGCAAACGAACAACCTGGAGTGGTATGACCCTGAGGCGATCACCACGCAAGATGGCTACCTTATAATCACATTGTCTCAAAAGGAAACGCATAACTTGAACTATCAGGGCGGTGAGTACTTGATCATCTACAATGTTTCTGAGCTCTTTTTTAAATCCTCGTTCATTGTCTTATTCCAAAGTTGCTTATACCTGTTCTTAATAGGCATGGTATCCTCATGGCAAGTGTTCATCTGGCCGGCACTTGATGAACCATCTCATTCGTGTACAGGAACAAATTTTGTTTCACTGGTGGATATATCGAAGCGTCCGTCTCATTGCCTGGTGTGAACAACATAGTTGGTAAGAGAGCGTGTCATGACTATAACCATGCATAATCAACGTGTACCACAGGATTATGGCCCGCTATCTGGACACTCGGAAATCTTGGTCGAGCCGGCTATGGCGCAAGCTTGGAAGGAATGGTTCGTCGTTTATCCTTCCTCTCTCTGTTCTCGCTCATCGGTCTGATCCAGTGGCCATATACCTATGACGCCTGTGACGTTGGCACTGCACCAAATCAAACCTTTAATGGCCTTCCGATCGCAGCTACCCAAGGCGGGGACCCAACCGAAAACGGAGTCTTGTCGTTCCTCCCTGGCCAGCGGCTCTCGCGGTGCACTTGCAAAGGCGAGTCCCACCCAGGTCCTATGCATTCAGATGGGACATTTGTCGGACGCGCCGCTCCTGAGATCGACATGTTCGAGGCACAGGTATGGTTCGGTTTATGTATTGGTCGAACTAAGGATCTCACAAACCCCAGATCACGGGTGAGCCTCTTACAGGTCAGGTTTCCCAGTCAGCACAATGGGCTGTATGTGTGCGATATCTTATGATCCAAGGCAGAGCTCATGTATCTCTTGTTTTCCCTTAGCCTTTCAACGCTGGTTACATCTGGAAAAACACGAGCGCCAACGAAATAATACCAAACCCGTCGATCACATCTCTAAATACCTACATTGGTGGAGTGGAGCAGCAGGCTACCTCCGGCGTGACAACCACGGATCAAGATTGTTACGAGGGTGGGACAGGGTGCTTTTCGATTTATGGTTTCGAGGTTCGTTCATAACACGACATTAATTGTTCATTAGCTGATCATGCTCCAGTATGTTCCTGGCTTTGATAACGCGGTTGGTATTTCCCATGGGGTTTCAGAATATCAAAGTTAAGTAACTGCTCCACAGTACATAACGTGGGTATCCAACAATCAGGTTGCGTGGACACTGAACGTTGCTGGCATGGGACCGGATGCTGCTGTCAACATTTCCGCTCGGCCCATACCGCAGGAGCCAATGGTTTGTCCTTTTGCTTTTCAAAATCGTTACGAGTTCATTTTTTTTTCTAGTATATCATCATGAATTTGGGCATGTCCACTAATTTCGGTACTGTCGACCTGGCCCACCTGCCCTTCCCTGTACATATGCGTGTGGATTATATCCGTGTATACCAGCCATCAAACGCACGGAATATTGGGTGTGACCCGACAGACTTCCCGACAGCAGATTATATTAACACGTATGTTTCCTTCTCGCTCGACTTGACGAGACGATTCTCATATTTGCCAGGTACATCGAGGCATATACCAATCCAAACCTTACCACTTGGACGAACGACTATAATCAACCTTTCCCCAAGAACTCATTCTTAGGCCAGTGCTAATTTTTTTGCTTGTAACTGCCGACCTATCATCACGTCTGCGACGTTGCTTCTCTTACCTTTTCGTTGTATTGGTACAATTGCACCTGACTTTAACACGTCCCCTTTCCACATCCTCACCATAAACCCATAAACCCATAGCCTGTTCGCATGTCGTTCCTCACCCGCTCTCCTCCATGCATGTGGCCTGCTTCGCCCCATGACTAGACTATCACTCCTCATCTATTCGCTTTACAATCACATTTCACGCGATTTCACAGAATCCACTCACTGCATCATCATTCGTGCTGAGTAGCAAACTTATATATACGAGTAGAAATAGCATATTGTCTGTACAAGAAATATGACAATTCATACACCAGCAAGCTTTGACGGCTCGCTTGAAGTGCGCGGTATCCCCACGCTGGGTAAAAATGAGCGTCTGTTGAGAACGAGACCTTTGAGTGCGCGTATCTCTCGGCGTATTTCGTCCACGTCAGTGTTATTTGGCGTGAACGAGCCGCCGATGCTGCGCATGTGAACCCCATACGAATAAGTTTGGGTGGCGATGTACCCGGTGAAATCTACGAGTGCTTGGAGGGTTCGTTGTGCAGGGCGAAGAGGGACTACTTCAGTTTTGGGGAGCGGAGGGGCTGGTACGGTGCGGGGAAGCGCTGCTTGTAAAGTGTCGAGAGCGACGATCAAAGGAGGAGGGGGTGATTTTGGTGGAAGAACATATGTCCAAAGAAGGCGAGAGGGATGTTCAGGCGTAGAGGAGGAAGTGGAGGACTGTGGTGAGGTGGAAGTGAATAGAGGGGATTCGTTGAGTGTTTGCCAGAGATCATTCTGTGTGATCATATAAGTTTATGACGTTGAAGGCAGATGTAGTACGGACCTGACACTCAGCACCTTGTTCTCCCTTCAACCATGGAAGCTTGGCTTCCAGATGGTTGAATAGATCCCCCGTGCTTATTCCCTCGGTGCTTTCCTTCGAACAAGCCAGTTCCTCGATAGCAGAGCGCAAAATTGAGACATTTGAGGTGTCACCAGCATCCTCGTCGTCGATGTCCGCCTTGTGGCGACATGCAAGGATATCATCTAGCGAATGGCAGTCTGCATACTCTGGCTCCTCTTTATATAGCATGGGTTTTGGTAGATTGACAAAACATTCCGCTTGCTTCTCCTTGAATGTAGCGAGGGAATTGTTGAGGCGGAGCATGAGTCCTGACTGGTGCGCACGGAGTACATGGCGAGCGTGGTAGGTTTGGGAGATTCTTGGTAGAAAGAACCGCTTCGAACAAAGGTCAGCTGTGGTTTAGTATGGAGCGAGTACACTCACGTAGTAGATGAACAGGACGAATGCAGAGGTACCAGTGAGCCACGTAAATATACGCGCAATCCCAACGAACATGTTGGGGAGATTGGATGGAGGAGGCTGGGGATATGTCCGTGGTGGTACTGGTGGAGGCTAAGTGTTCACTTAAGAGCGACTTGGATACACGCAGCATGATCACTTACAATTTCCCGGAGTAGTGAATGGATCTCATCTTGCGTAAGCCCCTTCTCGACGAGGAATGCATGTTTGGAGGTATTGTCCTGCGAGCGGATATGGGGGGTTGATAGGAAAGTGCGAGCTTTTGCTATTAGTTCTGAGCGGTTGATGGACGGTTGCGGGGTTTGATCAGGTTTGGTTTCTGGTACCGGCTCTACCGGCTGTTTGTCGGTATCATTTGCAAGTGAGGAAGCTTGCGTTGAAGCCTCAGCTTTCTGATCTGGTTCCATAACACTGACACGGGCTGCCGGAAGGGGATCTGGAAGTTATAGTACACTCCTGAGTCCTGATGGCAAGGGAATGTTTGTTTGTTTCTAAAGTCATAGCCAAACAAATCGAGGAGCTTCCAGTTTTACATTGCACGCGTACTTCCGAACCGGCCGGACCAGAGAAACTTTACTTAGTAGTGCACCGTTAGAGTTTTCAAAGGGCCTCAGATTCCAGTACGGCTTCCACCGCTCTAGCAATGGGCCAACGAGTTTCATCGTCTCATAGATGACTTGAAGGTCGTCGTCATCGGGTCAGGTAAAATTGACCGTCATTGACGCAGCACCGCAACAAAACAAACCTTTCTATATCATGCAACATCGCTCGAAATACTGGAATCTAGGCTTATCCTCGATGAAGTGCTTGTCGTACACGGACTCATACAGCGATAATGAACTACCTAGTAGTACGCACGCTGGGCAAGCCCTACTCATCCTCAACTTGACTATTCGATAGCTCTGGGGAGCCGGATGACAAGCGGCATGCTTGAACCCCTGAGAGGCCCTCCATCCTGTAACTGAAACGCAAGGTCAATTGACCGTAATACACCAGCAAACCGTTACAAAGATCTATGAGATATCTCACAGTTATAGTTGGAACTTCCCGGGTTTCACGCGATAAGGCTTGACAGGGCATATGACCTCGTCCGCTATCGTCTAATGCACCAGGTGAGAGAATATTAAAGGAAGATTGGAGTCTGAATAATCATTTTTAATATGAGTGAGCTCCAGCGGAGAGTCGCCATCATTGGCGCCGGGTAAGTTTCGCTTTTGATTTGATTCTACACCAACTGAACACTGGACCGCGTACAGTATTTCTGGGTTGACCCAAGCTATTGCTCTCAAAACCAAGCTTGACTTTCACAATTTCACAGTGAGTGCATCCATGCAATGAGTGTGGTATGCTCGCTGAGTATCTCAATAGATATTTGAGAAAGGGTCTGAAGTCGGTGGAGTGTGGCGGGTACGTTTTTGTAATGCACCAAACGTTCTCCTGACATTCTTTCCCACAGGCCAACAAATATCCTGTACATATTAACAACGATTGAAACTGCAGCACATCGCTCACCTCGAACATTCTTTTACTAGGGATGCTCGTCGGATGTCGAGATTCATTGGTACAGCTTATCAACAGACCTCTATCCATACTGGAACAAGTCCCATGGTCTTCAACCGGAGATTCAAGCCTACTGGATTGAGCTCTCAAGGAAGTATAATCTGTACCCGCACATCGCATTCAACACGAAAGTGTTATCTGCTGAGTGGGATGATACCAAACAACAGTATACTATCGTCGCGGAAGATGTTTTTTCAGGCAAGCGGACGACGAGTGTGGCCCACGTCGTGATATCTGCCCTTGGTCTTTTGGAGGCCCCAAAGATGCCATACGAGATCCCTGGAGTTGGGAAGTTTCAGGGGGCTTCGTTTCACTCCGCACAGTGGCCAGGCTCAATAGATCTGCAGAATAAGCGTGTTGCGGTGATTGGAAATGCCTCTTCCGGGTGAGTTACACGACTTCTGCGCGTACATTATGTGGTGATTCGGACATACGACAAGAGCACAATTCATACCATCTGTATCTGAAGATCCGTCTGTTGAAGTAGTAAACTTCATCCGCACTCCGACCTGGTTCAATACTCGAGTAAGAATCTTTATGTTATACTTAATGATTCAACAACTAAACCAAGCATCTAAGCCACATATTCCGTACTCGGACACTGCGAAATGGATGTTTGCTAACATCCCCCTGGTGATGCGACTGCACCGAGCTTGGATCGTGTTCCGGGTCAGGCCTCCTGCATTACAGAATCTTAGCTTGCTGACATTTGTTACAGTCCGTTGCTCCCTTTGACTTACCCATGGGTGATAAAGCTCTCCAGAAACAACGTGACGTGAGCAGGTGTCGCGAGACTGAGTATTCGGTCTAACACTTCTACTTAGGCGATGACGAGATACATTCTCGATAACATACCGGATAGATACCATTCTCATATGATACCTGATCATCGTACGTGTCCGATCAAGGAGGTTTATTTGTGCTCACATATTCCACAGCTCCAGGTTGCAAGCGGATTGGTTCGTCGGCGGTTGTCAAACTGACTCGTTATTCTCTTTCTCATCTCATTACATGCAGTCGCGGACAGTGGTTTCCTGAAAAGTCTCTACCGCTCTAACGTGACACTGAACTTCGACGGAATCACCGAGGTAGTGGAGAATGGCATCATCACGAAAACTGGTGTGTGTGGGTCGTCGATGATATTATGACTTTGCTTACATCAGTTCAGGTGAAATGTTACCATTTGATGTCATTGTATATGCGACCGGATTCATCGGCGTGAGTTGCTATACATGATCCAACATTCATTGGATGCCAACTGCAGAAACAGGAGCGGTACCCGATGCACGTTCGTGGCTTGAATGGAGCCACTGTCCAAGGCTATTATGATGCGCACGGTGGCCCTACTGCATACCTCGGGGCTGCAATTCCAGACACACCAAACTTTTACTTGATCAATGGTGAGTTCAGAGGGGAGCGTATCGTCATCAATTATCACCTGAGGTAATAATCGCAGGACCAAATACTGGAACACGTGCATCGGCGGTGTTTATCGCAGAAATGCAAGTAAGTACACCTTGGTTTTTGTATCCTTCTACTCAAGTCTGTCGCAAGGTTGCATACATCCTTCGACTCATAGAACCGGTCCTTACCGGTTCTGCCTCGTCTTTCACCATCAAAGCCACACCCACAGATGTATATAACGCCGAGCTGCAAGAAGAGCTCTCTCGCTCGGTGCACGTACGCTGTTACTCTTGGACGCGTGCGAATGGTACAGGCAAGGTATTCTATCCGTTTCCTTGGCCTACAACCGTTTGGTGGTGGATGCTTCGTAGACCGAATTGGGATCATTATATGGCACTCGGGGCCAAGAAATGGGTATGGGCAAGACGAATGAAGGCTGTCAAGGAAATTTTGAAATGCAGTGCAGTCTTGATGCTATTGTGGTCATATATCAGCGGCTCTGCGCAGCGGACATGGTGGTGAGTCTATCATTGTTCTCAATGCCTATCGATAACATGATCTCTATCTTTAGGCAAGCGACTACCACGACTTGCGACTACTTGAGTAAATTTGCCTTCCGTCTTTGAGGTGCCATAGGTCTACGAGACACATCATAAATATATGAAGTAGAAACTGGTCGGCTTGTCTCCTGATCTTACAATGCAATGGACTTTGCCTATGGGTGGAATTTGCACATCAACGAAGCGTCGGTGGAGAGTAGTGATGCGCGCGCGCGCATTCCGTACCAACCATTTTCAACTGACATATTTTGTTGCACTGCGCATATCGAACATCCCGCATTGATGAAATAAACTCCGTCGTCCAGTGGCGCGGTTCTTTTGCCGAAAGTGAAAAGGAAGATCACTGGCACTAGGTCCTCTGCCTCAGACACACCTGTTATCAAGAGCATAGGGAGAAACACTTTGAATTGTGATAATATTTACCGTGGAAAGAGCAAGAGGAAGTCGTAATGATATTGAACTGAGAGCAGCTTCGCGATGCACGGTACAACGTTGAACTTGGTCAGGAAGAAAACTGTTTAGGGCGGCACCAAAGGGGTTCAAGTACGCTCCATGCTTACATTAAGTCCCGACAGTTCTAGTCAGTCCGTCGAGTATCTACATAGGTTCGCATGTTCGCACCTCGGGGATATATCCTATGTTTCTGAGACGGCCCTTGCGAAGCGTGAAGGTGAATTCCTTTTCATGGACAGACTATCACGCGCAGTGACTAGGCTTACCAAGTTAAGATGGAGGATCTACACACCGCAAAAATGTTGTCAGCAGGTTTCGAACCAACTCAACAGAAACAGATTTTGACTCTGTTATGGTAACCACCTGGCTAAGACCAGTTAGATCGACCTCTAAAGAAACCATCCATGAGCCAATGTCAAGGTGTGTTCCAATAGAAAAAAGACCATCATTCAGCAGGTTTCGAACCTTCACAGTCCATCTTAGAGAAACAGATTTTGATTCTGTTGTGATAACCACTTGGCTGAGACCGGGCCTGTGAGGAAACCATCCATGAGTGAATGTCAAGGTGTTCTGATAGAAAAAAAGAAACCTTGTCGGCAGGTTTCGAACCTGCGCAGAAACAGCTTTCGATTCTGTTGTGGTGACCACTTTGGCCAGGACGAAGTTGAGATGAACCTGTGATGAATCATCCACGAGTGAATGTCAAGGTGTGTTCCTATAGGAAAAAAACCTTGGCATTGGCAGGTTTCAAACCTGCACAGTCCAAGCGAAACAGATTTTGACTCTCCAGATAGTTGAATAGATCCCCCGTGCTTATTCCCTCGGTGCTTTCTTTCGAACAAGCCAGTTCCTCGATAGCAGAGCGCAAAATTGAGACATTTGATGTGTCACCAGCATCGTCGTCGTCGATATCTGCCTTGTGGCGACATGCAAGGATATCATCTAGCGAATGGCAGTCTGCGTATTCTGGCTCCTCTTTATATAGCACGGATTTTGGTAGATTAACGAAATATTCCGCTTGCTTCTCCTTGAATGTAGCGAGGGAATTGTTGAGGCGGAGCATGAGTCCTGACTGGTGCGCACGGAGTATATGGCGAGCGTGATAAATTTGGGAGATTCTTGGTAGAAGAAACCGCTTCGAATGAAGGTCAGCTGTGGTTTAGTATGGAGCAAGTACACTCACGTAGTAGATGAACAGGACGAATGCAGAGGTACCAGTGAGCCACGTAAATATACGCGCAATCCCAACGAGCATGTTGGGGAGATTGGATGGAGGAGGCTGGGGATATGTCCGTGGTGGTACTGGTAGAGGCTAAGTGCTCACTTATGAGCAACTTGGATACAAGCCAGCTTGATCACTTACGATTTTCCGGAGTAGTGAGTGGATCTCGTCTTGTGTAAGCCCCTTCTCGACGAGAAACGCCTGTTTGGAGGTATTGTCCTGCGAGCGGATATGGGGGGTTGATAGGAAGGTGCGAGCTTTTGCTATTAGTTCTGAGCGGTTGATGGACGGTTGCGGGGTTTAATCAGGTTTGGTTTCTGGTACCGGCTGCACCGGCTGTTTGTCGGTATCGCTTGAGGTTGAAGCCTCAGCTTTCTGATCTGGTTCCATAACACTGACGCGGGCTGCCGGAAGGGGATCTGGAAGTAATGGTATGCTCCTGATGCGGCAAGGGAATGTTTGTTTTCTGAATCTCAAGTCGTAGCCAAACAAATTGAGGGACTTCAAAGCTTAACGCGAACGTTTTAAAGTTGCTGTTAAGGTACTGCATGCATGCACATACTTGAAGCGGGGCCAGAGAAAAGTAGTGCTTCCATGAGAACAGGTAGTTGTTTCATCTCAAGGTATTACAGTTTTCCGAGCGGGATTTGTCATTTTGAAGTCGCCTAAAAACTTGAATGCGCGTTATTGATGTGTTGATAACTACGAGATAATTGCATCTTCAAAGGGCTTCGGATTCCAGTACGGCCCCTTCCGCCGTTCTTGCAATGGGCCAACAAGTTTCATTGTCTCAGATAACTTGAAGGTCGTTGTCATTGGGCCAGGTGAAATTGACGCACGAGATACTGGAATCTAGGCTTACTCGAGTCTTCAATGAAGTGCTTGTCGTACATGGACTCAAACAGTGATGATGAACAGTACTACCTTGTAGTACGGACGCTGGGCAAGCCCCACCGTGACTCATCCTCGACTCGACTGTTGGATGGCTCGTAAAACGTCAACTCAGGGGGCCGGATGACAAGGCTTCGGCATGTCCGGATGCCCGAGAGGCCTCCCAGTAATCAAAATGCAAGGTTAGTTGACCGCTATGATACACCAGCAAATCGTTACCAAAATCTATGAGATATCTCACAGTTATAGTTGGAACTTCCTGGATTTCACACGATAAGGCTTGACAGGGCATATGACCTCGTCTGCTATCGCCGAACGTACTAGGTGAAAGAGTATTAAAGGAAGACTCAGAGTCTTGAGAATAATCATTCTTTAACATGAGTGAGATCCAGCGGAGAGTCGCCATCATTGGCGCTGGGTAGGTATCGCTTTTAATGTGATTCTACTGTCTACACCAACTGAACACTGTACCGCGTAGTGTTTCCGGGTTGACCCAAGCTATTGCTCTCAAAAACAAGCTTGACTTTCACAATTTCACAGTGGGTGCATCCATGCAATGAGTGATATGCTCGCTGAGTATTACAATAGATATTTGAGAAAGGGTCTGAAGTCGGTGGAGTGTGGCGGGTACGTTTTTGTAATGCACCAAACGTTCTCCTGACATTCTTTCCCACAGGCCAACAAATATCCTGTACGTATTATCAACCACTGAAACTGCAGCACATCGCTCACCTCGAACATTCTTTTACTAGGGATGCTCGTCGGATGTCGAGATTCACTGGTACAGCTTATCAACAGACCTCTATCCATACTGGAACAAGTCCCATGCCCTTCAACCGGAGATTCAAGCCTACTGGATTGAGCTCTCAAGGAAATATAATCTGTACCCGCACATCGCATTCAACACGAAAGTGTTATCTGCCGAGTGGGATGATACCAAACAACAGTATACTATCGTCGCGGAAGATGTTTTTTCAGGCAAGCGGACGACGAGTGTGGCCCACGTCGTGATATCTGCCCTTGGTATTTTGGAGGCCCCAAAGATGCCATACGAGATCCCTGGAGTTGGGAAGTTTCAGGGGGCTTCGTTTCACTCCGCACAGTGGCCAGGCTCAATAGATCTGCAGAATAAGCGTGTTGCAGTGATTGGAAATGCCTCTTCCGGGTGAGTTACACGGTTTCTGCGCGTTCATTATGATTCAGACATACGACAAGAGCACAATTCGTACCATCTGTATCTGAAGATCCGTCTGTTGAAGTAGTAAACTTTATCCGCACTCCGACCTGGTTCAATACTCGAGTAAGAGTCTTTATGTTATGCTTAATGATTCAACAACTAAACCAAGCATCTAAGCCACATATTCCGTACTCGGACACTGCGAAATGGATGTTTGCTAACATCCCCCTGGTGATGCGACTGCACCGAGCTTGGATCATGTTCCGGGTCAGGCCCCCTGCATTACAGAATCTTAGCTTGCTGACATTTGTTACAGACCGTTGCTCCCCTTCACTTACCCATGGGTGATAAAGCTCTCCAGAAACAACGTGACGTGAGCAGGGGTCGCGAGCTGGGTATTCGGTCTAACACTTCTACTTAGGCGATGACGAGATACATTCTCGATAACATACCGGATAGATACCATTCTCATATGATACCTGATCATCGTACGTGTCCGATCAAGGAGGTTTATTTGTGCTCACATATTCCACAGCTCCAGGTTGCAAGCGGACTGGTTCGTTGGCGGTAGTCAAACTGACTCGTTATTCTCTTTCTCATCTCATTACATGCAGTCGCGGACAGTGGTTTCCTGGAAAGTCTCTATCGCTCTAACGTGACACTGAACTTCGACGGAATCACCGAGGTAGTGGAGAATGGCATCATCACAGAAACTGGTGCGTGTGGGTCATTGATGATACCATCACTTTCCTTACATCAGTTTAGGTGAAATGTTACCATTTGATGTCATTGTATACGCGACCGGATTCATCGGCGTGAGTTGCTATACATGATCCAACATTCATTGGATGCCAACTGCAGAAACAGGAGCGGTACCCGATGCACGTTCGTGGCTTGAATGGAGCCACTGTCCAAGACTATTATGATGCGCACGGTGGCCCTACCGCATACCTCGGGACTACAATTCCAAACACACCAAACTTTTACTTGATCAATGGTGAGTTCAGAGTGGAGCGTGTCGTCATCAACTGTCGCCTGAGGTAATAATTACAGGACCAAATACTGGAACACGAGCATCGGCGTTGTTCATTGCAGAAGTGCAAGTAAGTACACCTTGGTTTTTGTATCTTTCTACTCAAGTTTGTCGCAAGGTTGCATACATCCTTCAACTCATAGAGCCGGTCCTTACCGGTTCTGCCTCGTCTTTCACCATCAAAGCCACACCCACAGATGTATACAACTCCAAGCTGCAAGAAGAGCTCTCTCGCTCGGTGCACGTACACTGTTACTCTTGGGCGCGTACGAACGGTACAGACAAGGCATTCTATCCGTTTCCTTGGCCTTCGACGGTTTGGTGGTGGATGCTTCGTAGACCGAATTGGGATCATTATATGGCACTCGGGGCCAAGAAATGGGTATGGGCAAGACGAATGAAGGCTGTCAAGGAAATTTTGAAATGCAGTGCAGTCTTGATGCTATTGTGGTCATATATCAGCGGCTCTGCGCAGCGGACATGGTGGTGAGTCCATCATCGTTCTCAATGCCTATCGATAAAATGATCTCTATCTTTAGGCAAGCGACTACCACGACTTGCGACTACTTGAGTAAATTTGCCTTCCGTCTTTGAGGTGCCATAGGTCTACGAGACACATCATGAATATGTGAAGTAGAAACTGGTTGGCTTGCCTCCTGATCTTACAATGGACTTTGCCTATGGGTGGAATTTGCACATCAACGAAGCGTCGGTGGAGAGTAGTGATGCGCGCGCGCGCATTTCTTACCAACCATTTTCAACTGACATATTTTGTTGCACTGCGCATATCGAACATCCCGCATTGATGAAATAAACTCCGTCGTCCAGTGGCGCAGTTCTTTTGTCGAAAGTGAAAAGGAAGATCACTGGCACTAGGTCCTCTGCATCAGACACACCTGTTATCAAGAGCATAGGGAGAAACACTTTGGATTGCAACAATGCCGTGGAAAGAGCAAGAGGAAGCCGTAATGATGTTGAACTGAGAGCAGCTCGATACACGGTACAACTTGGTCAGGAAGAAAACTGTTTAAGGCGGCACCAAAAGGGTTCAAGTGGAGTGCGCGTGTGGCGTCGACGCAAATTGCTTCCGCGGGATCAAACGCTCCATGCTTACATTAAGTCCCGACTGTTCTGGTCAGTCCGTCGAGTATCTACATGTTCGCACCTTGGGCGACGGGGATATATCCTATGTTTCTGAGACGGCCCTTGCGAAGTGTGAAGGTGAATTCCTTTTCATGGACAGGCAATGACTGGCTTATACACGGCAAAAATGTTGTCAGCAGGTTTCGAACCAACGCCAAGAGAAACAGATTTTGACTCTGTTATGGTAACCACCTGGCTAAGACCAGTTAGATCGACCTCTACGGAAACCATCCACGAGCCAATGTCAAGGTGTGTTCCGATAGAAAAAAGAGCATCATTCAGCAGGTTTCGAACCTTCACAGTCCATCTAAGGACGAAGTTGAGATGAACCTGTGATGAATCATCCACGAGTGAATGTCAAGGTGTGTTCCGATAGGAAAAAAATCTTGGCATTGGCAGGTTTCAAATTTGCACAGTGCAAGCGCAACAGATTTTGACTCCGTTGTTGTAACCACTTGGCTAAGACCAGTTGAGATGAACATGCGACGAACCATCCATGAGTGAATGTCAAGGTGTGTTCCGATAGCAAAAAGGGACCATCATTCAGCAGGTTTCGAACCTGCACAGTCCACCTTAGAGAAACAGATTTTGATTCTGTTGTGAAAGCCACTTGGCAAAGATCAGTTAAGATCAGCCTCCGAGGAAACCATCCACGAGTGAAGGTCAAGGTCTTCTGATAGAAAAAAAAACCATATCGGCAGGTTTCGAACCTGCGCAGTCTAATCATCACAGACTTTGATTCTGTTGTGGTGACCGCTTTGGCCAGGACGAACTTGAGATGAACCTGTGATGAATCATCCACGAGTGATTGTCAAGGTGTGTTCCGACAGAAAAAAACCTTGTCGCTGGCAGGTTTCAAACGTGCACAGTCCAAGCGACACAGATTTTGACTCCGTTGGTGTAACCACTTGGCTAAGACTAGTTAAGATGAACATCCGACGAACCATCCATGAGTGAATGTCAAGGTGAGTTCCGATCGAAAACAATCTTGTCATCGGCAGGTTTCGAACCTGCGCCATCCAAGAGAAAACAGATTTCGATTCTGTCGTGATAACCACTTTGGCCAGGACACTTCCCACGTCAAGATGAACCTCCAAAGAACTGTGCACGAGTGAACCACTCAGCGATAGGACCTGCGAGCTGGTAAGGAGATTGAGGACGCGTGTGATGTTTGTGTGCAGGGTATAATTGCGGTGGGGGTATCAAGGTATGGTCTCTGGGTTGTCACTGCCGGTGGAGCGAATCGCAATGATCGCGCTTGGAAGCTCAAAGCCTGTGAAGTTGAGACGGGAATTGTGAGAACATTTGAAGGCCACTCTGGGTATATCGAAACCATCGATATCTCTGCGGACGGCACAGTGCTAGCTGCGACGAGTGGGTGGGTTGATTACACAAATTTGAATATGAGTTTGTCAGTATCCGATTCTTGGACACTGGCAAACTCATATTCAAAATTGCTTGCGCAATGACTGGACCTAGTTAGAATGGACCTCCGAGGATCTATACACCGCAAAAATGATGTCAGCAGGTTTCGAACCAACTCCAAGAGAAACAGATTTTGAGTCTGTTGCGGTAACCACATGGCTAAGGCCAGTTATATGGGCCTCTGAAGAAACCATCCATGAGCCAATGTCAAGGTGTGTTCCGATAGAAAAAAAGAACCGTCATTTGGCAGGTTTCGAACCTGCACAATCCAAGCTAGAGACAGATTTTGATTCTGTTGTGGTAACCACTCAGGCTTGGCTAAGACCAGTTAAGATGAGCCTCTGACGAAACCATTCATGAGTGAATGCCAAGGTGTTCTGATAGAAAAAGCGACCTTGTCATCGGCAGGTTTCAAACCTGCCTAGTCCAATAGAAACAGATTTTGATTCGGTTTTGGTAACCACTTTCGCCAGGACGAAGTTGGGATGAGCCTCTGAGTCTGACCGTCTGACGAACCATCCCTGAATGTCACTTGAATGTATGTTCCGATAGAAAAAACCTTGTCACCGGCAGGTTTCGAACCTGCACCATCCAACTTGCAAGAGAGACGGAATTCAATTTTGTCGTGGTAACCGCTTTCGCCAGGATGCTTCCCAAGTTGAGATGAGCCTCCGAAGAACTGTTACTGTAAAGGTCACTCACAGCTTGTAATTGTGGCGGAAAGATGAAGTCATTAGTCTCCAGTGTTCACAGCGTGGTCACAGGTCTGGAAATCCTTACCTAATTATGTCTAACTTTTCGCACGAAAGGGAAAGAAAGTAAAAGTCACTAAACCCAACCCTACGGCTCAGAACAGTACGGCCCAAAGTACGGCGGGAATTCCCGTCCTACGGCAGTTTAGTCGGAGTTGGAAACTACCTGACGTGCATCTGTGTTAATATCGAAACTACCTGATGTGCATATGTCAATAATATTAATATTGTTAGTTATCTGATATCATTTGGGTTGCCTGTTCCCGCTGCGATACCTCTCATCCTCCCTGTGATACCCACACAGGCCCTCCCTGTGATACCCACACACGCTCGTTTCCCTGGTATCAATATTTGCGACGTGCGTTGCCTGTTCCCGCTGTGATATTTCTCATTCTCCCTGTGATACCTGCCTGCTGCACACGCTCGTTTCCCTCATATCAGTTGTGATACCTCTCGTCCTCCCTGTGATACCTGCCTGCCTGCCACACACGCTCGTTACCATGGCCAAAGGGTGTGCTACATCTTTCTGTGCCATCAAATCCGTCAGAGCTGCGTGCCCACACCATATGTGCAAAGCACACTGTATTATAAGTGGCGGTGAGGCGATCTCAACCTGGCTGGGCTGATATGAAATATCTAAAAATGCTCAACCAGTATAAGTGAGTCTTGGCTCTGCCTAGCTGCTATACTCGCAGAATGCAAGAACGTTCGACCCTAAAGGGGACTGCTACTGAACACAGAACCAGATGAAAGAAAGACCCTTGAAGTGCGATGGATGCGCGAAAGCACAAGAAGAAAAGCGAAGTGAGCGTGAAGCGCGAGAGAGCGCACTAAGGTAAGCGCGAGCGTGGGAATGTGAGCGCTAAGGCGTGCATTGTGCGGAGAATACCGGATAAGGAAACGGATAAGGAAGTGGATGTGCAAAGCGAGTGCAAACGCAGAGCGAGTGTTATAATGAGCGCGGATAAAGGTCTAGTATAGGCGGATAATGATAACCATTGGAAACACAAAGTGCGCCCAAGTGGTGACTACTACTTTAAAGTAAAACCCAATAGCGAGGGAAGTACAGCAAAGGGGAGTAATAATGATGGGATGTAGTAAGTCAGCAACTTTATACTATGGAAATCGCATCGGAAGCGGAAGGGATAGGAGCAATAAGCGCTATGAATACGTAATGACATGTAATAACACTGCAATGCTTGTTACAAACCACGAGGCAAGGGATATGACGTACCAATGAGGTGGGTGGACATAGACGGACGTCCCTGGATGATAGGCGATGAAGGGCGATGCAGGGCAATACAGGGCGCTTAAGTGCGAGAAAGCGCGCAAGGTGCGCGTGTGGGAATGCTGCGCGTTGTGTGGGAAAGTACCGCGCCTATGGCGCGTTTCGCGGGAAAGCTGCGCGTTATGTGTAAAACAACTAGGGACATGATAGAAGTCGAATATAGCTGATGGTGCGAGTTGTGCATTGAAGGCCAATTGTCATGAGTTGTGAAAAGGTGCGAAATGTGCCCATATGTGCCTGCAGAAACACGAGTCTCTACAGCGGATGTTCTACCCATGGCTTTCCGTCTGCTCAGTCCGAATCAGCACCCCCAGTGTCAGCCACATGTCTCACATCAGATGACTGCTTGCTCGACACCGATCCTCCCGGTGGTCTGGACCCATTGTCTCACCTGCCTGTCCCTGCCATAGGTCTTGATGGCACCGCTCACGAAGCATTGGCTGCCGAAGCACCCCCCTCAGTGTCACAACCTCCCTTGGGTTCTGCTGCCACAAGAACAACGAGAATCCTCGCTTCACACGCAAGTTCTTCACAACCAGCACACCAGACCCTTGATCCTCATCTTAGTACTCAACTTAATGATACATGGCTCACTATGCATACCGAACGTGAGATTCTCAAGACGGAGCACCAGCGTCGCATGGAGATGAAGAAGACTCATGAGCAGCGCCTGAAAGGTCGCTTCATAGTCAACTACTGGGATGAGGTGCGATGCTTGAATTTGTCTCACTGCTGTTAACAAACCTGAATGCAGAGCGATGCTGATCCTATCTCTGTGACGGGATATGAGAAGTCTACGGTCTGCTCTTTATCTGACCACCACGATCTCCTTCGAGCACTTAGCCCCAACCTTGGTGATGTCGAATACTATGATACGAAACTTTGCAGGTGGATACTGGACAACTGGGACCGTCCTCTCGAGGTCACCACTAACACCCAAGTGTTTATTTGTCGGCGTGGAGTTGTATGTAAAGATCTCGGCAACTTACTGCAGAACTATCAGGACGGTGTGGGTAACACAACAAAGGTGACTGCAAGTCAGATGACAAGCAAACACTCTCTATGTTGGGTCTTGATATGCCGTGCGATATGTTCGACCCTTAAGGGAAGCAAAGAAAGCAAGGATCCATGAAATGATGCTGATCAACCCTGATCAAAGGCGACAAAAGGGCGATGTAAGCGTGAGAAATGCGCTCAAGGCGCGCGCAGGAAAGTGAAATGCGAAAAATGTGCGAAGCGCGGGAAGGCGAAAGTGCGAAAGGCGAAAATGCGCAGAGAACAGGGATGGTAGTGCGAGCAGTGGACAAGTGTAGAGAGACGATAATATGGTGTAATGTGCGGATATAGATGGATACTGATACTGCCACTAGCTTTAGACTGATGCTAGGGCCTTAAGACGACGACGGACGCATGCATTGCATGGAACTAACTGCCAAGTACATGGTGGTAGAAAGATGTGGTAGTTAGCTCAGGTGTAAAACGAACATGAAAGTATGTAAGTTCTACCTAAGCGCTCTCCCAGGGCTCGGAGCCGAATAGGGAGCGCTCTAAGGATGTAAGTGAGGTAAAGTGATGTAAAGTAAGGGCGCATAACGAAATACAAAGTGTAATAGGCTAAATATGGTCTGATAATGAAAAGGGACACACCTAGGAACTGGTTGGACGATGGATGGATGCTCCTGGATGATGTGCAATGGAGTGCGCTTAAGTGCGAGAAACGCGCTAAGCGTGTGTGCGGGAACGCGAAATGCGAAAGTGTGAGAAAGTGTTGCGCCTATGGTGTGCTTTGCAGGAGAGCTGTGCATTGTATGCGCAAATGACTGGAGACATAGCAGAAGTTGCGTATGGAGTAGGGCGACAAGTGCGAGAGAAACATGCTAAGCGCGTGCAGGAATGCTGCGCGTTGTGTGGGAAAGTAGCGCGCCTATGGCGCGTTTTGCGGGAAAGCTGCGCGTTGTGTGTGGAACGACTAGAGACTTGATAGAAGTTGCATATGGATGATGGTGCGAGTCGTGCAGTAAAGGCCAGTTGCCAGAATTCGTAAAATGAGCCCATATGAGCCCACAGAAACGCGAGTCTCTACAACGGCCCTGCAGGTCCCCCTCATATGCGTAAGAAGATGACGAATGAGCGGTGTGCTCTACGTGAAGAGGCGAAGATCCAATGAAACAGTACTCGTAACGAACACTACAGTTCGGATGCTGAAGCGACTGGCAGTCCCTCCATTCCCTATCAACATCAGCAAACCCAGGGTCCTCTGTACAACCCTGGACAGTGCTGGACAGAGCCACAGAGCCCACAGAGAGGGTTCTCTCTGTGCAGCTCTGTACAGAGTCGTACAGTGTAATGTATGATACTGTACAGAGCTGCACAGAGCGGTACAGAGTGTTAGCTACACTGAGCAAAACAATACAGAGCATTGGGTAGGCCAGACAGGAATACTGCAGAATGCTCACAGCATCACTACAGAAAGTGCACAGTAATTGAACCCAAACAAATCATGATGTCATTGCGTCATACTACAATCAGGTATCCTACAAAAATGCTAAAAACACGATCAGTCCAGTTGGAGTTTCAAGCCCCAGTCATGGCGCCTGTTTGGATCATCGCGAGTCAGGATTCTGCATAGCCGTCAGAAAATGATACAAATGATAAAAAAAGCTTCACAATACCCTGCAGTACGAGCCCATTTCTTTCTGGCGGCCCGGCATTTCTTTGCATGATAGTGGTCCTTCTGCACATCATGGTAGAGCTGAATGACGCTGTCGTAGATGGGTTGATATAAATCGGCGACGAATTTCATTTGCTTGTAAGTACCGGTCTTGTACTCGTCGATAGCGGCAGCAAGCTAGTTAGAGATGAATGAGCGAAGACGATTATCCGAGCCTGAGATCACATACCGCAGTCGCTGCAAGTGCAACGGCACCTTCGGGGACAGCATCGGCGAACAAGTCTGGAAATGACTTCGCGAGCGCGTTCTCACCCTTGTAAAAATAGGACATACAAAAGCTGCCCAGGGCCTCGTTTGCAAGATTATTGGTCCTGCCCTAATACACACCGCGTGAGTCAGTAAGTGCGGGGCTATTTCTCATTAACCTGCCTGTGCATCTACTCCATCCCGTAGGAAAGCACCATTCTGCAACAATGTTTTGACGTTGTCACGCACCTCCCGCTCATAGTCGTTCTCGTCGTCAACATCGGGTGGAAGAATTTCGTAATGTGCCAGAACAATCGGACGCGCAGCCTTTTTCATTTCGGAACGCATAGTAGCGCGATCGTCCCATAGCTAAAATAATTGTTAGCGTGATCCGACAGAGTAAGAACACAAATACCAGGACTGCCATATCAGATTTATATTCATCCCAGTATCCGTCGTCAACACCAACACCCTGGGATCCAAAGTCTTCGAGTGTTTCTAAGAGATATTCAATACCCTTGGTTTTGAGAAAATCACTGCGCTTTCACATATTGCAGTAACATATCTCCGTATTATACGAGTGAACGGATGTGCATAATATCCCGTATGATACGGGCCAGCGGACCATGGGCCGAAGGTAGATATATCCTCGACTGTGACGGATGGGCCGGGAGTGTTATTATTCCCGATGGAGACGGGTTGGCCCAGGTGGGGAATATGTAAAGTAGATGGGTGGGCCGATGGACATGAATTTTCAATAGACGGATCGGCCGAGGTAGTTGGATATTATGTAGATGGGTGTACCAAGGTAGATATGTATCAAATAGCTGGGTATATCAAGGGTGCTTGTTATCACATAGACAGGTGGGCCCAGATATATATCATATTAGACGGGTGGGCCGACGAATTAATATTATTTTGTAGACGGGTGGGCCGACGTATTGGTATTATTTTGTAGACGAGTGGGCCGAGGGAGCGGTTGAAAGATTTATTATATACGGGTGGGCCAATGGTAGACATATATTGCATAGACGGGTAGGCCGACGTAGGGGTATATAATATAAACGGTGGGCCCAGGAGAATGATAATTGTAGACATGATGGAGCTCAGCTAGTTGTATATCATGGAGGTAATAATTCAAAGTCATCTAATGATGTAGTATGGCATGGAGCCTTGCAAAGGGGTGAAGTGGAAACTCGAGCGAAGTGTACCAAGTTCCGAGACCCGGGTCTCGACAAATGAATATGTGATGTCCAGCACACTTCCGATCGTCTGGTATTTCATTGAGCAATATATGATAATAGATCTTTGAAAGCCAACATCATCCAAGCCTACCAAATGCCAAATGCCAAGTTCCAACTACCGAAAATCAAGTGAAGTGTACCAATATCCGAGCCCTGACTATCAAATCCCGACAATCGACCATTGAGTCCCGACTACCGAGTCTTGAAACCCGAGTCCCAAAGCCCGAGATTTGAGTCCTGAAACCCAATGCCCGACCATTGAATCCCAACAATCGAGTATCAAGTCCCGACCAACGAGTCCCAAATATTGAGTCCTGACCATCGAGACCCAACACCCGACACCCGACACCCAACACCCAACACCCAACACCCAACACCCGACAACCGACAACCGACAACCGACAACCGACACCCGACACCCGAGATTCAAGACTCAAGTTCCGACTATGGAGTCCCGGATATCAAAAATCAAGTGAAGTGTACTGAGATCTGAGTCCAACCTGAAGGATTCCTTAGGCTGGACTTCCAAACCTTTGGATTTGTCCTTCCATCTCTATCCAAGCTTAAGGATTGATTCCTTAAGCTGGACCTTTGCCTTTCTGGCACTTCCTGTCTTTCCAAGACTTATGTCTACTTCCTGTTATCTCTGACTCCACCTAAGTGTAGCCTACCTCTGTTTGCTTCTACTCCAGACCTTGTCCATGGTAGTCTTTATTCTCCTGTCCTATAATCCTGTCCACTCCTGCTGACCTCCAGACCTTTGGATCTCCGGACATCTTACCCTTCGGATATCAAAACCTTTGGACATTGTAACCTTTGGACATCATGACCTTCAGACATCATAACCTTTGGACATCTGAACATTCAGATGGCGCAACCTTCAGACATCCTGTCCTCTGGACCACTCCTCCTATCTCATCCTGCTTTGGACTCTGTCCCTTGCAGTCTCTCCTCCATGTGCTTCCATCTAGGAAGCTTACCTTCAGAAGTCTTATCTTCGGACCCTATGCAGCAGGTGAAACTCCTCCAGAGTTTCCTGTACTTCTCTAGAAGTTTCTATACTCCTCCGGAAGGTTCCTGTGCTCATCCAGAAGTCCTCCAGCACTCCATCAGAGTAGCCAGTCTCCGGAAGTCCTTCGGACTTCATTGGATTTCATCTGGACTTCATTCTGAAATTAAGGGTATGTACTTGGGAAAGGTGCAAAATAAAATATACTGACTACCAAGTGCTGAGCACTAAGTGTCGAGTTCCAAGTTCCGAGTTCCGAGTTCCGAGTTCCGAGTGCCAAGTGCCCCGATGCTTTCGGGTATTAACACCCAGATAGCCCTCACACTCAGGGGCCCGTCAGAATTTAGATCATCTCAAACGGATGTGATTTGAGTGAGATATGAGCAAAATACTATATACCGGGTGAATTTTGGCATCAGAAGTTCGATGCTTTCGGGCATTGACATGAAGATAGCCCTCAATCTCAGGGGTGTGGGAGAATTCAGATTGTCTGAAATGGATATAATTTGAGTGAGATATATGCAAAATACAATATATTGACTACTGAGTGCTGAGTACCAAGTGCCGAGTGCCAAGTGCAGAGTGCCCCGATGCTTTCAGGCATTAACACCCAGATAGCCCATGCTCTCAGGGGCCCATCAGAATTTAGATCATCTCAAACAGATGTGATTTAATGTGTCCCAAGTGCTGAGTGCCGAGTGCTGAGTTCTGAGTTCCGAGTTCCGAGTTCTGAGTTCCGAGTTCCGAGTTCTGAGTTCCGAGTTCCAAGTTCCAAGTTCCGAGTTCCGAGTTCCGAGTGCCAAGTGCCCCAATGCTTTCGGGTATTAACACCCAGATAGCCCTCGTCCTCAGGGGCCTGTCAGAATTTAGATCATCTCAAACAGATGTGATTTGAGTGAGATATGAGCAAAATACTATATACCGGGTGAATTTCAGCATTGGAAGTTTGATGCTTTCGATGTTTTTCATGTCGGGTCTTGATGCTTTCGGGCATTAACATGTAGATAGCCCTTGATCTCAGGGGTGTGGCAAAATTTAGATTGTCTGAAACAGATATAATTTGAGTGAGATATATGCAAAATACCACACACTGACTACCGAGTGCTGAGTGCCAAGTGCCAAGTGCCGAAAACCAAGTTCTGAGTGCCGAGTGCCGAGTGCCGAGTGCTGAGTCCCGAGTGCCGAGTGCTGAGTCCCGAGTGCCGAGTGCCCCGATGCTTTCGGGCATTAACACCCAGATAGCCCTCGCTCTCAGGGGCCTGTCAGAATTTAGATAGTTCCGAGTGCCAAGTGCCGAGTTCCAAGTGCCGAGTTCCAAGTGCCGAGTTCCGAGTTCCGAGTGCCCCGATGCTTTCGGGTATTGACACCCAGATAGCCCTCGCTCTCAGGGACCTGTCAGAATGTAGATCATCTCAAACGGATGAGATTTGAGTGAGATATGAACAAAATACTATATACCGGGTGAATGTTGGCATCAGAAGTTCGATGTTTTCGATGTTTTTCATGTCGGGTCTTGATGCTTTCGGGCATTAACATGTAGATAGCCCTTGATCTCAGGGGTGTGGCGGAATTCACATTGTCTCAAATGGATATAATTTGAGTGAGATATTTGCAAAATACTATGTATATACTGACTACCGAGTGCTGAGTGCCGAGTTCCGAGTGCCGAGTTCCGAGTGCCGAGTGCCCCGATGCTTTCGGGTATTAACACCCAGATAGCCCTCGCTCTCACGGACCCGTCAGAATTTAGATCATCTCAAACGGATATAATTTGAGTGAGATATTTGCAAAATACTATGTATATACTGACTACCGAGTGCTGAGTGCCGAGTTCCGAGTGCCGAGTTCCGAGTGCCGAGTGCCCCGATGCTTTCGGGTATTACCATCCAGATAGCCCTCGCTCTCAGGGACCCGTCAGAATTTAGATCATCTCAAACGGATGTGATTTGAGTGAGATATGAATAAAATACTACCACACACTGACTACCGAGTGCTAAGTACCAAGTGCCAAGTGCCAAGAACCGAGTTCCGAGTTCCGAGTTCCGAGTGCCGAGTGCCGAGTGACCCGATGCTTTCGGGTATTGACACCCAGATAGCCCTCGCTCTCAGGGACCCGTCAGAATTTAGATCATCTCAAACGGATGTGATTTGAGTGAGATATGAATAAAATACTATATACTGGGTGAATTTCAGCATCAGAAGTTTGATGCTTTCGATGTTTTTGATGTCGGGTCTTGATGCTTTTGGGCATTAACATGTAGATAGCCCTTGATCTCAGGGGTGTGGCAGAATTCACATTGTCTCAAATGGATATAATTTGAGTGAGATATTTGCAAAATACTATGTATATACTGACTACCGAGTGCTGAGTGCCGAGTTCTGAGTGCCAAATGAATACCACACACTGACTACCGAGGGCTGAGTACCAAGTGCCGAGTGCTGAGTGCCGAGTTCCGAGTTCCGAGTTCCGAGTTCCGAGTGCCAAGTACCCCCGATGCTTTCGGGTATTAACACCCAGATAGCCCACGCTCTCAGGGACCCGTCAGAATTTAGATCATCTCAAATGGATGTGATTTGAGTGAGATATGAATAAAATACTATATACTGGGTGAATTTTGGCATCAGAAGTTCGATGCTTTCGATGTTTTTAATGTCGGCTCTTGATGCTTTCGGGCATTGACATGCAGATAGCCCTAGATCTCAGGGATTCATCAGAATTTAGATAGTCTGAAATAGATATGATTTGAGTGAGATATATGCACAATCCAAGATACAGGGTGAATGAGTCCCGAGTGTTGAGTGCCAAGTGCTGAGTTCTGAGTTCTGAGTTCCGAGTGCCGAGTGCCGAGTGCTGAGTGCCCTGATGCGTTCAGGCATTCAATCACTGTCAGGAGGTGTTCCCTCATCCACCTCAGTGCCTTCAGTGTTGCAATCAAGCTTTCTGCTGTGTGCTGAGTGCCGAGTGCCGAGTTCCGAGTTCCGAGTTCCGAGTTCCGAGTTCCGAGTTCCCTGATTGCTTTCGGGTATTTATAACACCCAGATAGCCCTCGCTCTCAGGGACCCGTCAGAATTGAGATCATCTCAAACGGATGTGATTTGAGTGAGATATGAACAGAATACTATATGCCGGGTGAATGTTGGCATCAGAAGTTCGATGCTTTCGATGTTATTGATGTCGGGTCTTGATGCTTTCAGGCATGAACATGTAGATAGCCCTCAATCTCAGGGGTGTGGCAGAATTCACATTGTCTCAAACAGATATAATTTGAGTGAGATATTTGCACCATACTATGTATATACTGACTACCGAGTGCTGAGTGCTGAGTTTTGAGTTCCGAGTTCCGAGTGCCAAGTGCCGAGTTCCGAGTGCCGAGT